TTGAGAGACAAGTCACGTGAAGGATCGGGTGTAGGCGTGTTACCATCAACCTTATGGTAGAGATTGATACTTTGAGTTGACCACGAAGGTCCTATCTACTGCTAGAGAGCGTGGTCTAAATACAGGTTGCAACTTGGATCAAAGGGAATGTTGGATCAAACTGTTCACTGGATCAATCCGAAGGTTGGATCAATCTGAGGGGGTTGATCCAGTGTGGGTCCGTCATGTGACCTCTATGCCACTTTTCTGACGACCGCTTTTCTGCCACCTAACAGGCACCTTTTATCTCGCAAAGCGGGCGCGATAAGTTCCTTGCCCTTGATCGTTCTGTAGGTCGGTTGTCGGCTTGCTGCCTCCTATCCTTGTGGGCATTAATCCCCTGCGGGCTTTCTGGAGTCGTCGCCTTTTGGTCGACTAGGTCCCTGCGGGGCGTACTCCCGTGTGGGCTTCTTGGGGCTGTGGACTTAGTTCCCTTACGGCCTTGCCTAGCACGTGTCTGCTGGTGCCTTGCGGGACGCGGGCCCTTGTGGTTACTAAGCCCTTGTGGTCTCCAGGCCCGTGTGGGCCTTTCTCCCATAAGGTCTTTCTGACCCTGCGGGTTGGTTTCCTTTGTGGTCCATAACATTAATCAAGTAACTAAGCAGACCACGTGCACATCACGTGTATTGTATCAATCTTAGTCGACCAAATTTTCGTCGAGCATTTGCCGCGAAGCTTCTGCTTAATACACATCTGTGGCATGAGCCAGAAGTCGGGGAGCCTGTGTGCGGCGACTGGTTGCCGATCAAGCCCACAAGTCGGTCAGCTCGCAGCAGCATAAAAAAGTTAAAAGCGATTTCTGCAAGGCAAGGAGTGATGGGCGGCCTGGCGGGCGATGAACGATCGAAGCTTGCGGACCGGCTCCGACTTTTGGTAGCTTGATGTAGAATCCATGACTTGCGTGGGGTCTCATGGATGTCTGTAGTTGGCCCCGGATAATTTGCCCACCCCTTCTAGATATTTTACCCACCCCTCAACTATATATTAAGTAAAATCTATAATACTTATACAATAGTTCTTAGGTAGTTATAATAGACTACTATACTACAGCTAATAGATACTATATAATTATATAAAAGTAAAAATATACGAGTACGAAAGTATACTACGAGAGTATAGAGGTATAGACATATACGACTACTAGAGTAGCTACGAGGGTATAAAAATAAATATTCGAAGGGTACGAACGTACTTATAAGGGTATAGAGACCTAAGATCTTAAAGACTAGAAAACACATCATGTAATTCTGTAGATGCTATCACGTGGGGTGGGCAATATATCTAGAGGGGGTGGGCAAATTATCCGGTGCCCTGCAGTTCATTCTACAACAGGTCGGCGACAGGAGCGGCTCATCCAGCTTGCTCACGGAATAACCAACCTTTGTGATCCGCAATGTTCCCATGCAGCGGAGCAACGCCCCTGCCATATGCGGTACATGAAACTCTCGGGGAACGACGCTCCGTCTTCGGAAACGTACATCGATCGCCTTTGCTCCCCAGCACCGAAGCAAGCCACCGCCACTCCCCGCTCAAGAACATGTCATACTACGTGATTTACCACTACAGTGGAACAATGCGTTTTAATGGTCGGCTCGCGGACTGACTTGCACCTATGTATGTACGAACACGATATGCAAGACGGCCCACAGCGAGCGCGCGGTTTCTGCGCGCATACGCAAGGCGGGGTACGAGGGAGAAGCGGGGCGGCAGCATATGTACCTTGAAAAGAGCTCGGAGTAACATCATGGTTGCCTGACGCGGGCCGGTAGCGAAGCCTTTGCGCATGAAGAGGAGACAAACAATCATCCGGAGTGAGGCCTCCGGTATGGTAATGACATGTATAAAAGCATCGGGCCCACAGTTGGAGGATTGGTCCTGTGTCAGTCCCGGCCGACTACAATATCAAGCGAAACATGGTTCGGACAAGCGCTCTCTTGCTGGCATCTGCGCCGGCGGCTCTGGCTCTCGTCTTGCCGGACGGTGTGGGCAAGCTGCCTGCTCTTGGGTGGAACTCGTGGAACGCCTTTGCCTGCGACATCAACGAAGAAAAGTTTTTGACGGCTGCGAACAAATTTGTAGAGCTTGGCTTCAAGGTAGAGAGAGTCCTTGGAATTCAATAAAAGATGACCACTGAATCCTCTCATAATAGGATGCCGGCTACGAGTATGTCAACATCGATGACTGTTGGTCTATCAAAGATCACCGCGACAATGTTACTGGACGCATAATTCCTGACACTGCAAAGTTCCCTGATGGTATCAACGGAACTGCGGCAAAAATACATGATCTCGGCCTGAAGATTGGTATCTACAGCAGCGCCGGGACCGAGACTTGTGCTGGCTATCCCGCGAGTCTGGAGCACGAGGAGGTTGACGCGGCTGCTTGGGCTGAATGGGGTATTGACTGTACGTGTTTCTACTCTTCAAACTTCATTCGATACACCTCAACCATAGCAGGGACACAGCTGACATTGCCATTTTCGCAGACCTTAAGTATGACAACTGCGGCGTCCCCGAGAGCTGGGTCGACGAATGCAAGTTTTGCGTGCCTGACAGAACCAACGTCAATGTCTACGTTAACGGAACTTGTAAGCGCTTCGTATCTTTCCACATTCATCCGAGAGCCGCTTCTCACACCAGTTCTAGGCACCAACACCACCGGCCTGTGCCCTGAAGGCTACGACTTCCACAAGTCCAAGACAGCGGAGCGGTACAATCGGATGCGGGACGCGCTGGCAGCGCAAGACCGCGTCATCCAGTACAGCCTGTGCGTCTGGGGCCAGGCGGACGCGTCGGCCTGGGGCAACGAGACCGGAAACTCGTGGCGAATGTCAGGCGACATAACCGGTAAGCCGCTCTCAGTAGCACTGACACGCAAGTCAATAGTAAGAAGCTCAAACTAACTGACAACAACGCGCAGCGGACTGGGCTCGCATCCTCGAGATCCTCAACGAGAACTCGTTCCTACTCAACTCGGTCGACTTCTGGGGCCACAGCGACGCCGACATGCTCGAGGTCGGCAACGGGAACCTCACGCTCGCAGAGTCGCGCTCGCATTTCGCGCTGTGGGCGGCCATGAAGTCGCCGCTGCTGATCGGGACGGCACTGGACACGCTGGCGGCCGACTTTGTCGATGTCCTGCTCAACAAGCATCTGCTCGTGTTCCATCAAGACGCAGTGTTTGGCGCGCCAGCCCAGCCCTACAAGTGGGGCACTAACCCCGACTGGACGTTTGACCAGTACCGCCCTGCCGAGTATTGGGCTGGTGATAGTGTTGAGGGCACGTTGGTGCTGCTGCTGAATACCGATAATGCTACGGCGACCAAGGAAGCCAGTTGGGACGAGGTCCCCGGTTTACAGGCTGCTGGTGAGTATGACGTTGTTGATGTGTGGTCGGGAGAGGACTTGGGTTGTAAGAAGGACGGTGTTACGGTTGATATCGAGGCCCATGATACGGCTGTCTTCCTTGTCAAGGAGGGCTGCGGCTCTGAGATAAAAAAGTGGGCGCGTCAGGCTAGGCCTGTGGATGTCTGGATGTTGTGAACGTAGTAAGTAAGGTAAAAAGCCTGCGTGATAGTCCAAGAAAAAGGTTCTTTTGCTTACCAAGTCTTGCTACTGTTTGGTGTTTGCTGCATCTTCAGTTTCTGCTTGTTACCTTCCCCCTTTGTTTGTCCGCGCATACTTTATCCAGCACGGGAGAGGAAAAGTTGTTCGATTCATTGCTAGGTGCACTCAAGTAGGCACCCAAACCGCAGGCAAACAATCCCACCCAAAGGACTCTTGTTTGTCATTCTAGGGTATCCCGTCGTCATTATGCAAAGCCCAATCCCAAAAAGCAATCCCAAACCAAAGAGCAACCGCAAGGAAAAGTCTTTGCCGTATCATCATCTCCCCACTCCCCACCCCCTAGGATGGAATCTCCAGTCTTTCTCTCTCTCTCTCTCTCTCTCTCTCTCTCTCTCTCTCTCTCTCTCTCTCAAGGCTCGTGGGCGTCCTCAATGGCGGCAAACCACAAAGTTCTCCGAAACCGGACGGCGGCGCAGGCATTTGGGGTCCTAGAAGTTGGTCTCAATGGCTGCCTCAGGGAAGAGGTGGTCGATCTCGGCGATGATGCTGTGGATCTTGTTGGTGACTTTGGTGTCGAGATCGACGTCGTCGTCGTCGCCCTCCCCCTCCTGCTCCTCCTGCTCCTTCTGATCCTCCTCATCGTCATCGCCGTCGTCGCCGCTGAGGGCTTTGCCCTTCTTCTCTCCACAACCACGCTCGTCGTTGCCGTTGTCGTTGCCGTTGTCGTCGTCGTTGCCGTCGTCGTCATCGCCGCCAATGTTGAGATCTTCAGCATCATCACCATCTTCTTCTTCTTCTTCTTCTTCTTCGTCGTCGTCGTCATCGTCGTCGCCGTCATCGTCGGCGGAGCCGCTCTTCTTGTCCTAGTCCTCATCTTCGCCCTCATCGTCGTCCGTCTCTTCATCCTCAAAGCCGGAGAGACTGCAGGAAGAGAGGTCATCAGGGATGGTAGTAGCAGCCGAAGAGATCAAGGGCGCCGAAAACGCAAAGGGAGACCGCCTAAGGGCCAAACGGGCCCTCTGCTGGAGATGAAGGGGGAGAGGTGTGCCAGGCACACGGGCTGTCTGCAGCACCGCCCGCCTGACACTCATGATGGCGACGGCGCGGTCGCAATTCATCTGACGCAGAAGTTCAGCGGAGTCGGCGTCGTTGACCTCCTCAAGACCCGTCTGCTGGATCCACAGAGCGACGCGCATCGGGTCGAAGTGGCGAGGGAGGAGGCGGGGCGCGCCCGGCAGCTGCTGCTCAACCTGGTCGTACAGGCTCAAGAGGTCCTCATGCTGGCCCAGGGCGTCTTGGAGGCGGCGGTTCGTCAGAAGAGAGCCAAGTGGGCCGGGAGGGCCGCCTGTTCCGCGGCTCTGCTGGCGGCGGTGGCGGTTGGCAGAGGCACCAGCGAGGAACATGGTGGCAGTGATGGATTGCGTTTTTCGCGGCGAGCAGGGGCAGGAGTTGAAGATTGTGCGGGAGCGCTGTGCGTGAGAGGGAGAGGAAGTTGCTGGGAGGGAAGGGGTGTCATAACCTCCAGACTGAACTGAAGTCGTGAAAGTGATTGTACGTTGTTGCCTTACCTGATCTGGTCGTCCGTCTCCTCCTCTCCTTTCCACAACACAACTACCCCGCACCTTACATTATGCATTTTATCCCTTGGGCTCCATCGTACAGCCACTGCGATACTTTTCTGATACTTCAAACAGTATGCAGCAGCAATGCTTCCATCCGGAGGAGGCTGGGTCGTGTTCGCGGATCGGGCGAAACGAGCTGCACCACAAGCTACGCCAAAACCCTCTTCTGCTGCTCGACTGTCCAGATTAACTCAGCTGTAGCAGGTGTAGAAGCATCTGTTCCCTGTCTTTCATCTCGCAGGTTGGCCTTTTTAGCCTTCTTGCGTTCATCGATGCTGGTCGCCATCCCCTGAGGAGCTCTCCCGCAGAAAATCGGACGCACTGATTGCGCAGGACACTAACTTACGTCCAACGCAGATTTCCTGAGCATCCCGAGCATTGATTTGCTGAGAAGCTCAATCAGTACCTCTGCCAGAGCTTTGGCCGGACCGCTCATCGTTTTGTCTGACCCGATCGGCGACCGGGCATCTTCCACACAGAACCCAATGAAGCCAGAAGAGCCTAAGACCAGTACACGAACGGTATCCAGCTACTCTCGAAGCTTCAGTGTTCTTTTAAAGGCCTTGAGGGACGTTGAATTGCCCTGTACTCCCTGCTTGATGCCAAAGGTATGAACACCCGACAATGGGCGACCGGCACAACGTTGACATTATCATCTGTGGAAGCTTACCGACACGCATTTAAAGCCATCACGTATGAAGGCTGTCGTCTCTTTGGATACATCGGGGGTTTCCTTGTTATTAACGACGTTGAGGTCAGAACTTACCTGTCCAGGGTCGGCAAGGTCCATACCATTCCTCGTCAGCAAACGAACAGCTGTAGCATAGATCAGTTTCCTCACCAAACGTTCATCCTCTCAGGCCTGGTGACCACTTCAACAGTTTCGCCAGTCCAGTTTTTCTCTTGTTGAGCATCATCGTAGACTGTTTTTCGACGATGGCAGTAGCGAAAAGCCAATCTTACCATCAAAGATAACTCAAAGACCACAACAGAGACCGAAAAACATCAGTCTTTCAAAGGCCATTCTAGAATGTGAGGCGCCTCGGTTCCTCATTGTGCCACCAGCAACATGATTCGAGCAGCTTCTGGCAACAGACAAGCAACTGCTACTGTGTTTCGAGACCTAGAACACCGGCCATGCGCATCAGCACCCCCTGAAGGTTCCGGTTGGGGGAAGGAGGCAAACCTACCGTACACGTCGTTATCACACCCCCCAGTATCAGCCACCACAGCAGTTCCGTTCCGCACATCGCTCAGGGAGAACCACGACAAGCAGCGACGAAGCCAAAAGAATCGAAGCTCGATAATAGGCAACCATGTCATTGAGAATAGATCATCATATCAAATTATAGTAAGGAAAAGAAAAAACCGAAAACTCAATCCCCTTGCCCCGGCCATCACAGCCAACGGGGCATATCAGGGATTACCGAAAAGGCAAGGAACCCAAAAAAGGAAGGGAAAAGGTATCGTGAATCATGATAAATGCCGCGTCCACAGCAACAGCAGCGGCAGCGACGCTGCCACCGCGCCGGCACCGCGCAGCGGCTAGGCCTGCTCCATCGTCTTCGGCGTCTTCATCGCAAACTGCTTGAGGTACTCGTAGTCGGCGACGTTCTGGGCAACCGTGGCGCGGATGACGCTGGCGCCCTCCTCGCCGAACTTCTCCACCCACTCGGCGTAGAGCTCGGCATCGGGCTTGGGAATCTTCTTCTTTGGGGTGTTAGCGCTGTCTACTCTGCCGGGGCGGAATTAATGGAAGGAGGAGAGAAAGCTGTTCCTGTCCTGCCTGACTCGGTCTCGGTTCACAATTTCGATCAACCATGCCACGCCATCCAAATCCTTGCAACACGCCCACGCTTTGTCGTGGTACCGTGAGAGTTGGAAATTTGAAAATGGAAATGGAAAATGGAGGAAAGAGAAAGAGATAGAGAGAGAAAGAGAGACAAGAACAGCGGACACTTACTTGCGCGCGAGGCTTCAGATCCTTTGAGTCGATCGCGTCCTCGTGGAAGCCCTTCCACTTCTCAAACGCCTCCCTGGCGAAGTCGTGGTCCTCTTCATTATCCCAGTTCAGCATATCGTCGCCGTACTCAATGCCCACGCTCTTGCAGTACGTGCTGATGATGCCCACCGGATCGTCGAGGAGGTCGTCGGCGTCAATGACGCAAATCTCGACCTGCTCGGCGCCCGGCGGCGGCGTCACGCCCTCGTTGTCCGCGAGGCCATCCTGTCCCGAGATCTTAGGGCCAATCATGCCGATGGACTTGAGGTAGTCGAAGAAGCGCCGCAGCTCCTCGTAACCCGCCTCCGACGGCATGTAATTGTAGAAGCCGGTGACCTCGTCGAGCGGGGGAATTGTGCAGCGGTAGTACGACGGGATGCTGTTGCGCGGGTGCCGGATCAGGAACGTCCAGTGGAACTTCTTGAGCAGCTCCAACGGCACCAACGTCGGGTTGCCTTCCTCCCTCTCCGTGGGGTAGGGGTAAGGCGGGGACTCGACGGGGATGGTCTTGACCGTGTCAGCATGACCATTGGCACCGTTGGTGTCGCTGACCCCGTTAGTGCCATTGACGCCGTTGGCGCCGTTGGCGCCGTTGGTCGTAGCACCCGCCACACCGTCAGTGCCAACACCGCGCTTGTAGTTCAAAAGAGACGGCGCAAGAGAGGTCGGCTTCTGATCGGGAGAAAGGAGGTAGTACGCCATGTCCTTGATGAAAATGCGCTTGCCCTATAATACAATGAGTAAGCATTTTTTCGACCATCATGAATGGTTGCAAGCCGTGTGCCACTTAGCAAGGGATCCGAAAAGGTGTATGCAAGATCCCTGCAATCGCATCATGTATCTCAACTTTAAAATAGGTTGGATTGGCTGATGCTCGCCGTACGTATCTGTAGCCTCGATGAGGTCCACCGAATCACGGCAGATCTTATCTAGGCGACGGGATTTGGAACATAGCCGGAAGTATGGAAGTGTACCGGCTTCCCACTCGCCCGATTACTGACGGAGCGAGGGATCGTCGGTCGGGGAGGACCAAGACTGCAGGAAAGCTTGCAGAAGGGAGTGAGGAGACTAACCTCGGTGTTCTCGCGGTCAATGCGGTCCAAGATGGTCTTGTATGTGCTGTCGGAGAAGCCGCTCTTAATCCTCGCCTTCTCGTCGTTGGCGTAGCGTTCGCTGAGCCTCTCGGGGCCATAGTAGAAGGCATCACCAAAAGGTTCGTGGACGCTCTGGAGCGTGTCCCGGCGGGTCATGAAAACCTGCGATGCAGCGAGAATCAGTAAAGGTTCTGGGAAGAATCTAGGGAAGAACCAACCCGCTCGAACGCAGTAGAGCATGCCCTGGGGTGGGTAGCCGCAAAGATGGGCTTGTTCGACATGATTGCCGGTAGCAGACGCTTCCTGGGCAGCGCAGACTGCTCGAATGTGTTCCAATCCGAGGAGAGAAAGCGATGGAGAGAAAGCGAGCGGGAGCTCGAGTATATTTCAACAATCGAACAGGGCGGCAGTGTCAGTGGGAAGGGCGAAGAGTGGATATGAGAAAATACGCTAGGTGCTAGCTCTCAAGGTAGCAAGGTACGAGGCACGGTAGCGGGCAAGAGCCCATCGGGGCTCTTATACGCATTTGCCGTCATGTCGCTTGTTTGCGATGCCCCGCTGGCGTTGAGGGGTACTGTAAGAAAAAAAAAAAAATCAGGGCGGCAGCGACGTCAGATAGGGCGGCATGCGCATCCGTTGAGGGCTGTGTGGAGACGGCGTTTGCTCCCTCGTTGCGTGACGCGCATCAGCTTCGCAACTCCCGGTGGTGGTGCCCCAGATCAATGAGGCATGCAAGTTTGCCCTAGGCGTCCCGCCCCCAACGTCACCTTCGTGACAGGTTCCACAAGCCTCGGTGCCGGCTCTACCTAGTAAATCGTTTGCTGCACGCCCGCCTGCATACTGCACGTAACCACGTTTGCACCTCGGCCCCCATGCCACTATGGAACCAACTACCCAGCCTTGAGCCCGAGATTTGCCGCGAGCGGATCCTCCACGCCCTGACCTGCCCCGCCCGCATGGAGCAGCAAGATTCCAGACCAGCGCAGGTACGACCAACGGCTCCCGCGGTCCCCTCGCTGTGCCACACTTACAACGGAGTACATATAACATGGCTATGGGAAGCTGTGGCCGCGGAGGAGCCTCGACCGTGCAGAAATTTCTCGCGACGGGCCTTTTGCCCTCCGGCCGTTTGTGTCAGGAAAGAGTCGCCCGACTCCGAGATCAAAACTGTGAACTTCAGTGCTGCTGCTGATGGTCGTCTGATGATCCTTCCGGTCCGCTGATCGACTTTTATCCGTAACCAGCGGCTCCCTTCAAACGGCATCGCTGCCTCCGAAAGCCACAGCCGCTAACCGCAACCTAGCCCGGAGCAAATAAATGGATCTCTCAACACCATATGCCGGCGGCCAGCTACTGAAACGGCGACACACAGGTCTGCTTGAACACCCAGCTCCAACATGACACAAAAACTGCTACCAAGTCTCCTGGGGCCCACGAAGATTGGCGTCGTGAGGCAGCAAAAATTGGCAGGTACATGGACATAAATGGCAACTACACGGCAAGACATACGTACACAATGGAGAAGAACTCGTCAGCAAACCATGTACACCCTGTAGCTGAAGCTCATGTTCTTTAGTCAATACCCCACAGTCAGCAGATCTTCATCTCTCAAATTCCTGCGTCCGAGCACTTTGGATACAACGGTGTGTTTCGACAAAGTCGCATTCACGCGCAGTCGGTCTTCCAACGGCGGTCGAGAACTGTCTAAAAGTTGATACGTCGTATTCATCCTGCATCTTTCTCTACATCTATTAGTCGACGTTCGGAGGGGTGTGGTGAGGAGCATTCGACGACAAAGAAAGAAATGCCTCTTCACTAGATCGATTGGCCCACAGGACCTGCTGTTATCTCTGATGGATGCATCTGAGCTGCTACCTACTTGTGAACAGTCAATGAGCATGTTAACCTTACGACTGGTTTTCCTTTAGTACAATAGAGACACCAAACACAAGGGACTCTCCATTTTCCTTTATCTCGTACTAATTTACCCTTTTCCTTGCCTTTTTTTTATGTGCATCCACGTACACTCCAGATCATGTCGCTCGTCGGAAATTTTCTGGGCCCCGTTTCCTATTCGTTTGCTCTTGCTGCGTCTGAAGAGTAGCTCCACTCCGCGGCAAGCGGGATCTCGGAATCCGGCACGTACCGAGAAGGCATCCGTGCATGCTGGAGAAACGGGAGCTTTGGCCTAGGTACTGTCGGCAGCCCGGTCCCTACCGGAGCGCATGCACATGCTATCAATCCAGCAAAACCCGGATTTTCCAGGGGCCGTTTCCCGGTGGCACGGCGGTTAGCAGCGGAAGACCTCGTGGCGCGCTGGTGTACGGCGGGTGCGTTGGTTCACGTGACCGGGTACGGCTGCCCGCATCGGTGGTGTCGGCGGCGACTTCCTGCTTCATCCACTGCGCAGACCAACCCTGTCAACTATCCACCCACGCTCATCCACCACATCTCCGATCGCCACGAGAAGGATCACGATTCCGTCCAGTTTGGCGCCTGCTCTACCACCACGGGAGGAGCCCCTACTCTGCCCGTCCTAGCGACCATTCCATCCCCGTTGCGCCAACATGTCTGAACGCAAGGTTCTTACGAAGTACTACCCCCCAGATTTTGATCCCAGCAAGATCGGGAGACAGCGCAAGCCCAAGGATGCCGGCCCCAAGATACAGACCGTTCGCCTTATGGCGCCTTTCTCCATGTCCTGTCAAAAGTGCGGCGAGTTCATCTACAAGGGTCGCAAGTTCAACGCCCGGAAAGAGCATACTGACGAGAAATACTATGCGATTACGATTTTCCGCTTTTATAGTAAGTTAGCAATGTATCTAGAGCGTTATTATATTAAATGACTAACTATTCTCGTAGTCCGCTGCACGAGGTGCTCTGCTGAAATAACATTTAAGACTGACCCTAAGAACCTCGACTACACCTGCGAACGTGGTGCAAAGCGTAACTTCGAGCCATGGCGCGAGGCCAAGCTAGCTGAAGAGACAGAGGAGGAGCGCCTGGATCGGCTAGAGAGGGAAGAGGCAGAGCGCGATGCCATGGCCGAGCTGGAGACGAAGACATTGGATGCGAAGACGGAAATGGCAATCGCAGACGCGTTGGATGAGATCCGGACGAGAAACGCGAGGATAGAGAGGGGCGAGTTTGCTGCAGAATCTGGAGCTGAGAAACCGGCGCCCGACTTGAAGCGCGAGCGGCAAGAGAAGGAAGACGAGGAAGCGGCTAAACGCGCCTTCGAGACCGCTACTGGTGAGCGCGTGCGGAGACTGGATGATCAGGCCGTTGCGGAGAGTTCGGCAATGGCGGCGGAGCCCGCTGAAGCTATGCCGCCGCCGACTTTTAAGCGTGCGCCCAAAAAGAAGAAGGATTTGGGCGCAGCGCTTGGAATTAAGAAGAAGCCTTCATTGGTTTAGTGAGTTGGTTGGTGAAGTGGCGTATCTAATGACGGCGTTTGTGAAGGTCTTTTGGAATTAGCATCTCTGGGCGAGCTTGCGGGTATGGAGTTGGTTGGAAACTTACGATATCACAGGGAAGAATCTTTTTGAACAATTCCTAGGAATTTAAATCTTATTTTTCAATTTACGTTCATAAACGAACTAATTCAATATCAGGTTAAGCGCTGTCGTCGAGAGCTAGAATCTGGAGAATTTGTGCTGCTTAGGCGAGTCTCTTGTCTGGTGGATCGTTGAAAGACTGAGGAGCCTCACTTTGTATAATGAATATACTCGGATCTTTATTGGTAATCAGAGCGGACTAGGAACAACTGCTGGTAATCTCCTCATCCCCATGACACTATTTCTGAGCTGATATCGTGCCAGTCGCTTGATTTGTTCTGCATGGGCTAGGCTTGAATGAGGTATATATCTTCCCGCCCTTCTGCAATGCACGCTCAACTGGAAATCACAATTTGAAAGTGAAACCGCTAACCCATATCGACTACTCCATTACCCCATTACCTAAGCACTACTCGACTTCATTTTTTGCTTTTCCCGGTCATCTTCCTCCCACTTCCTGAAGATGTTGCCACCAGAGGGCAAATCTATCAAGGGCATTTCCGCCCAAACTTGTCGCAGTCTCCTCATATCTGTCTTTGGATTCCTTGGTACAAAGACGCACCAGATTTAGCAAAAATAGTCAGTAAATGTAACACATCGAGGCCCTACTTGTACTTACCATCGAGCATCTTGTCTTCCGCTGGGGTCGATTGGGTTGGAGGTGGTGGTTGGGTATTCTTCATCGTCAACTCGTCTACCAGGCTCACAAGAAGGTCTGCGTCTGGTTCCGGAGAAGTGACGAGGGAGCGCAAGCGTTGAAGGATAACGCCTTCGCGTTCGGAATGGATGGTGCTTCTTTCGTCCTCCCGTGGCGGCCGGCTGATCAAATCGTCTAATGAGGTGAGGACATTCTGTTGAATCTCCTGCTTCATTGCCGCAGAGCTTGGCAAGGCTCCTTTTGGGTCTGATGCCATCATGTCCTCGAACTTCAAGGCAGTGTTTAAGGAGCGTATTGCTTTTTCAAGCCCCACATCCGGACCAACGATAGCGTTTTGCGTGCTAGTTCTCTTCCGTTTACTGTCCATTGTAGGTGTTGAGGACAACGAAACAGAAGAACAGATGTTGATTGACTGATCAAGCAAGAAGCGCTGCTGGCGAAAAGATAAGGCAGCGCTGCTGACCAAACGAGACTAGGCTAATTGAGGAGGGCACTAAGCTACATCAGGCAAGACAACTTTGCCTGCACAACAGTACCTAGGTAGTGCGTACGCAACAGGAAAGGCAAGAGCTCAGAATGGTACCTTCCGGGGAAAGACCTACCAACAGACGGCCCAGGTGGCGGGCAGGTACGGTCTTGGTACACCCACTCTATAAATCTCCCGCTCTACCCAGCTTTCTTTCAACTCACAACAACTCACAACCACTTCTAAATTCTGTCGATATACCACGACCACGACTACGCCAACGCCATGGCGGGTGAGCCAGCAGGCAAGAAAGTAAGCATTTCATTACAACATTCAAGCTGAGACTTTACTGATGTGGAAATCGACAGAGGCTCAGAGAGGATGATGAAGGGGATGGAGCTTCCAGCAAAGTAGGCAATATCTTCTCTTCTATCGAGGGCCTCGTTAACATCTAGTGAAGCGCTTCCACACCACAGTCTCTAACCCAGACACCGCTCACTCTGATGAGTCGGGCCATCAGCAACACATTGATGAAGAGTTCACTGAGGTGAGAAACTTCTTTTCATCTATCGATGGCCTACTTAACGTCAAGTGAAGCACTCCCAGACCGCAGACCCAGACGCTGATGCGAATGACTGATGATTCAGACTCTTCTGGCAACTCAAGTGACACTGACGAGGAGGACGTGCCCATGGACGTAGCAACTCACGAGCTCAACAGTGACGAGGAGGAAGACGAAGACAAAGAAACTGGTGAGGTCAGGGTCATCAAAGGTGGCCTCACCCGGCCGAAATGGGTGGAGAGTCTGAAGAACTCGGACGAGGCAAAGGAACTCGCCAAGCTTCATGAGGAGAGAATGAACTCGATACTCGACTACTATGTCAGTAGGCATTACTATAAGCTCACCTTGGACACTACTGACTATATACACAGGCCTACAACGCTCAACCATACAAGGTACGGGATGAAGACATCGAGGGCCTCGTTTCCCACAAACCCGACCCTCGCGCGAGATTCTTCTACGTTGAAGATGACAGTGGAGATTGTGTGTTGGAAAGCCTCGGAAACGGGCTTTTCAGGGAAAAGGGCAGCACGGTTGTCTTAAAGCAGGTCGGGGATACTGGAGATGACGGTTTCTTCAGACTTAAGCAAGCCTAAAGGTAAAAGGACTATGCACCACTCTATCAACTACATTGGGGATAATAAATTGATCTTTGCTCATTCCTTGTGATCCGCGGCATTCTCATGCAGCGGAGCAAAGCGCATAATGCGTTTCCTGGGGTTTCTTCCTCTCAAGCGTCAGTGTTGTCGTCTTGGTCCGCCAATCACTGAGCATGTGTTACTAACCCGTCTGCTAATGAAAAGACAGACGGAAATAGGAAGGTAGCGTACCGGCATGCATTGTTGGATTTGTTGGATTTATTCAATAAACGTGTCTATTCATGTAGTTTCCAAGCCAACCCACCTTAAAGGACCAACTAAGACTCTACACCGTTACCCCCGCATCCTCGCCTCGTCACTCAAGCATTAAAGATGTTAGGATCGTACTCTTCTCCCGTAATCTCCTTGATCTTAGCGCCTGCCTTCTTGAATGCCTCCCGCTCATGCAGCCTCTCAAGATACGCCGTCAGCTTAGGATAAGCCTCCTGGGTGAGACCAGCGCGCAGCTGGGCGGCTTCGAGGGGATAGCTCATGAGGATGTCGGCGCCGGAGATGTCCTTGCCGCAGAAGAAGTCGCCGCCGCCGGGCGAGGAGCCGATCTGCTCTTCGAGGAAGTCGAGGTGCGTTTTGAAGTTGGGGTTCAGGAAAAAGTTGTTGACGCGGGACACGATGCCCGAGGTAATGGGGCGGATGAAGAAAGGTACCGGTGCGTTTTCGATGTCTGCGTGGGAAAGAACGTGGTAAGAAGCGGGCGTTGGGGCGGGGAGTGCAAGTGTGGGAGGAGTTAGGGAGGGACTCACTGTGCATGACGAGCGACATGACCATGAAGGGCATGATGCTGCCCTCGGCATAGTGCATGAGGAAGCGGTAGCGGATCCACTCCTCGTTCTCAGCGCCGACCTGGTCCTCCTTGCCCGCGGGATACCGCGCCGGGACGAGCCATTTCCCAAAGTGGTCGGTCAGGTACTCGACGATGGCGGCGGACTCGGCGAGCACGAGCGGCTTGTCGGCGCCGGCGGGCAGGATGCTGATGACGGGCGACTTGCCGAGCGGGTGCACTTCTTTTAGCTCTGGGGGCGCCAGCTTGTCGCCGCCGCGCTTGTAGATCTTCAGCTCGTAGTCCAGTTGTAACTCTTCGAGCAGCCAGAGGATGCGGTGCGAGCGCGATTTGTCGAGCCTGGTGGAGGGTTAGATTGTGCTTTGGATGGTGGGAACGCTGGATGATGTAATGCAGGAAATGGTGGATGCATGGAAGTGAATTGTTGGAGCATTTCACAGGTGTCTGAAGGAGAGAAAGAATAATATATGGAGGCTCATGGGGTCTGAGGAATATGTCTTGACAAGTGACTATAAGAAAGATGGAACTATACGAAGCTCTTTACCTACCAGTGAAGCGTGATCTTCGCACTTTGGTTGTTTTCTGCCGACATGATTGAGGTTATGCTGATATTATTTGCTGGTGAACACAAGGAAGAGATCAGAGCAAAGGCAATGAAAGGTGGATGGTCAGTCCATGAATGAAGTAGGCCTGAAGGTGGCTGGCGCTAGCAGCCAAGTTGCCTAGGCAGGGACGATTCAACTCTCAGGCTCGCATCGCATCACATCACATGCCCGATCTAGACACAGGTGTTGCGCCACCAATTTGGTATGGGCAAGTCTTCGGCCGTATACGATTCAGCTGGAGGTGTGGGAGCAAGGCGGCGGAGCTCCGGACGTGCTTTAAATTCGTTGCCGGCGGCACTCACGTGACCCGACACTTCGGGAGCGCTGCCGATGCCAAGAAACGACCCATCACCAACCGCCCTCCGTCACTATCCAGAGCGCCCATACACCACCAGCTACCCCGCTACGACCACACTTCACAATGGCGGGCGACCACCACAGTGAGTCACGAGCGCTGCGCGCCAGCTCCCAGTAAACGTGCAATTGGAGCGACAGCCAGCTGACTACGTGCGCTTCGGCAGCCCTTTCTCTGGACCCGGCGTTGGTCAAGTACAACAGTATGCCACCACCCCGATATCCGCGCGCAGGCCAAACGAGCGCGGCCGAGTATAGGGGACCCGTGTGATTGACTCGCGAGCAGACGTCAACGTCAACCGTCACAAGTACTTCCGCTGGACTCCCAGGACCGCCTGGTACTCCATCGCCTACTGCGTTCTCGTCCCCTCCGTCCTGGGCTACATTGCGTACTCGACCGATGTGAGTGATGGGATTTTCTTGGGCATTGGCGGATCTCGGGGGGTCTCGGCGATCCAAGAGGCGCCTGGCGGCCTGGAGCGGGCGTCCAAGGGCGTCCTCTTGGCTCTCCCTTTATGGCCTCTGCGACAGCTTCTCCTTTTGCGTGGAGTTGCATCAAGCGCTGACGGCTAAATTTCTAGGGCAAGTTCGACCTCCGCGGAAAGCGCAGGGGTGACTCTATCAAGGAGTTCTAGAGAAGATACCAATACCAATCATTCAAGGCGTAGCGCTGCAGGAGTGACATGATTTGTGCGCTCGCGACGTGTGTGTGCGGGGTCTAGGACGGTTGTAAATATCATCACATGGCTACCTCCTACTCTAGTCTAACGTCGGTCACCATCAAGCGAGCTCCACTGCCCAGCGAGACAGGGAAGAATATACAAGCAGTCCCTACGGAGTACTCCTTGTCTAGCTACAAGCCCGAGTCCCAGATATGAGTGAACGGGTCTTAGAGCATATACATACTGCAAACATCTTGGCCGGGCTTTTGCTTCCATTCCGTACAGTGGTGAATATCACTTGATGGCAGGAATGTGATTACCAATAACGTGGGAGTCGTAGCACAATTGGCTTGGAAATCAACCATGGGACGATTATTGAGCAGGGGCCGATTTTATGTGGCGGCAGAAAGGATGTGGACATTAGCGAAGAAAGCGGCAATCATAGGAGCGTTGCCTACCTATGAGGCAAGGCGATCCGTCGCCAGTGCATGACGGTCTGACAGCCATGGCATGGGCCCCACCGGCAGGGCCTCCGCGTGGGCGGACATCGACGGGCGAGACGGCCTGACAAATCTACATGACCCTGCCAAAACGTCCACCACGCCCGCGCTCTCTCCCAATGGCGCATCTTGCTCTCCGATTCTGTCTTCCATGGCGGCTCCAAGGCCCGGAGGCGTCTTTGACACGGTCATTGTGGGTATGTTGTGCTCGCCGAACCCGGCCATTTCAATGCGGGGATTGCTAGCACCTGTATTACCTACTTTCCTTGCGGCTCGCTGACCACATGGACGCGCGCAGGCAACGGCCCCTCGGCTCTGATCCTCTCATATATCCTGCACGGCAATATTCCCTACTATGCACGCCCGCACCACGACGCAATCCTGCGCTCCAAACTCGACCGCCGTCCGAACCTCCTCCACCTAACGCCCGACTTGTACGCCCACTTTCTCGCGTCCTTGCGCTACTCGACCCAAGCCTTGCCCATCAACACCCTCCTCGACACCCTCATACGCCCCAATGCCGACACAGAGGTCGACCCCGAGTCCTGCGTCGACTGGCGCCGCGAGCCGAACAAAGCCGTTTCGCACCTCTGTCTGGGCGACGCCGCCGTATCGGGTGGTCAATGGGCTGAAAACCCCGTCTCGGCAAGCAGCGACATAGGCACGCTGAGCTACGCCGAGATGCTCTCGCTGCCAGGCTACTCCTTCGCGGACCATTGGCAGGCTGTGCACGACGAGCCACTGCCACAGTTCCTCAGGCCGAGTCGGACAGAGGTGCAAGGCTACTACAAGGCGTACCCGCGCGCCGCTGGCATCGCCGACTCGATTCTTTGTGGCACCCAGGTCCGCGACATTTCGCGGACTGCCGACGGAGGTTTCCTCATCGGCTCCCACGGCATCCGGTGCAAGCACCTCGTCCTGGCCTCTGGAATCTTCTCTGTCAACATTCCCCCGCCGCTGCCCCTCCGCCAGCTGGCAGAGATTGACAATGTAGAAAAGCCTCTGCTGGTTGTCGGATCTGGGTTTTCCGCCGCAGACGTCATCATAAGCGCCCCGCCCAGCCGTAAGATCATTCACATGTTCAATTGGTCGCCGGACACGCACGCCTCGCCTCTGCGTGGGTGTCATCACCAGGCATATCCCGAATATGCAACGATCTACCGGCAGATGAAGCTTGCGTCTATGCCGTCCAAAAGCAAAGTAACCACCGTTACTTCTCCGCCAATGAGAAAGAAGAACAACCCCTTCTTCAGTCACAGGGATTGGGCGAGCGTGTATGAGGGCTTTGCGAACGCCGAGATTCTGGACGTGAAGCTTGAGCCAGGAAGAGGAGCGAAAATCACGATCAAGCTCGAGGACGGAGAAGTGGTCGAGCGGGAGGCGGGAGGCGTGCAATACGTGATCGGCCGACGCGGCAGCCTAGGCTATCTGGACGAGAAGCTACGAGACGAGGTCATCGGGCCCGTGGAAGACGGCGAGGCAAACCCGACCCTGATATCCGGCCGCACTCTCCGCGACAAGGCAGAGATAGACCTGGAGGTAGCCCCCGACGTCTTCATCATCGGCAGTCTGACTGGCGACAGTCTGGTGCGACACGCCTTTGGTGGCTGTGCCTACGCCGCCGGCCGCATCGTTGAGGACAATCTTGCTGACGGGCATGGCGAGCTGAACGGCGGAGCCAAATCCCCCCGCCATGCGCGTGTGGTTTCAAATCCAACGCCGCCCATGTCGCCGGGACGCAGTCCTAAGATCCGGCCAAACGGCGTTTCACATCAGGACTTGCACCTGGATAGGAGGAAGCTGTCAATGGCGGAGAAGAACTGAGGGAGAAGGGGTTGTAGAAGTAGAGAGGGTGGTGGCTTTGTGCTTTTTCTGACCAATGCGCGGGTGGGGGATTTTGAGATTGATTGCATGGTGGCCTTATGTTTTATAGATTTTCAGGGAAAATAGTACATGTTCTGGCACGTACTCTTTTATATGAACAGCGTTGACGACCATCATCTCGAGCGCGAGGCGGAGTGTTTCCATACTCGGGCATGCAAGCGACTCGGGCCAACCGGGGCTGGGCGGGAGCGCGCGGGAGAGCCACGGAGATTGCCCCGGGAGCCGCATACCTGGAAACGGCTAGATGACAACCCCGCGACGACGTCAGGATGCCGGGATGCTCTTTTCGGAGCGCGACGTTCATGAGCGCAGACAAACACACCAAAATCGGGGTCTGGAGGCACTGCAGTTGGAGCCAGTGGCAGTCGGCGGTTATTGTTCGGGCTGGACAGCTGTCGACGACCCACGCGGTTCCCCGGGCTCGACGCTTGACAATGTAATCTCCCATTTGGCCGTCCGGTCACCCAGCGTCCTAGGCCAGGCTACGTGCGGCGCGAGAATGACCCAAGTCGTGACTCAGCAGCTCTCTGCCACGCTTCCAAAGCTATTTGGTTGCGGTGGCTTCATTCCCCTTGGCGACTGCACCCCTTCCGCCGGCCCCCCGCCGTCATTCCCGACCTCGACTGTCCGCGACAGCATCACCGAAGCCATGACGACGGCCCTCACCGAAACTATGGCGTCCGCGGCTATGCCTTCGTCCAGCACCGTCCTCGCTGTCGACGACGTCCTGCCCAACCTTAATGCCTCCGCTCTCGCGAACCACCCGTATTACCCGCTCGAGGTCGAGATTGTAGGATACTTGGCGAATGACTGGACGGTGCCGCATCTGCTGGGTGCTTTTGCGACTGGATGCGCCGTCATCTTCGCGGCGACGTACTTGGTTACGAAGAGGGTCCGGCCGGCGTTGCCCACGTCGGAGTTGCTCACCATCATGTGGTTTGTCCTTTGTGAGTGCTTCTCCAGCTCTAATGTTGCGGTGCGGGTTGGTGTTAATGAGGCGGATACACAGGTGGCTGTATACACCTCTTCTTCGAAGGTAAGGAGCTCCGTCACTTTGCAGTTGTAAGCAAGCGATTCTGACGCGCGCGCGACCAGGTTTCTTCGCGTACAACTTCCAGACTTTGGGAGGATCTCAGCACCTGTTCGGTCAGTTGTGGAAAGAATACGCGCTGTCGGACTCGAGATACTTGACGCAGGATCCGTTCGTGCTATGCATGGAGTCGATCACAGCGGTAGGCAGACGCGATTCCTCTCTGCTAGATGCACGCAAACTAACGAGCTGTGCAATTGCAGTTCTGCTGGGGCCCTCTCTCTTTTGTCATCGCGTACATGATCGCAACCGAGCATCCGCTGCGCCACCCGCTGCAGACGGTTGTCTCGCTGGGCCAGCTGTACGGCGACGTGCTCTACTACGCGACCAGCCTGTTCGACTACTTCCTCATGAAGGTCGAGTACTCGCGGCCGGAGGCGTATTATTTCTGGTGCTACTTTGTGGTGATGAACGCCTTCTGGATAGTGATTCCGGGAGTGTTGATCTGGAATAGCGTGCGGGCGGCGGGACGGGCGTTTGGGGCGCTGCAGCGGATGGAGCGGTCGTTGATGGCGACAAACGGGGCACTGAAAAAGATTTCGTAGTAGCGAGACAATAATGATATGATAGCTTATGATGGCAGAACGTCATGGGGCGCGGAGTGCGCGGGCAGGTGGTCCGAGTTGGGTCGAGCTGAGGATGATGTGGAGCATGGATCCTTGGGACGGGAAAGCGCACGAGACAAAAGGACAGACGTGACAGAAACGAGAAACTTGGAGACAAAAAAAGACATACTTGCTGCAGGCATTCGACTCTGGTGCACGAGCAGGTTGCAGATCGACCGGGTCTAGCCCGTAAATCAAGGCAGCTTGCCGCATCAGCACCCAACTCCCTCACCGGCTGCCGCTGCGCTCGCTCCTCCCACGCTCCCACTGCCACGACCCAGAATTTCCCTGTCCCGCTTGACGCGTCTTCATGGAGGCCTTGCTGCCCTCGCTCTTCCCTCGCTCCTCCCCTTAGCCTGTCCAGTCCTTCTCAGAACGCTCATTCCATTTCGCATGAAGAAGCCAGCCGTTGCACGGTCGTAGCCTGCACGCCCCAACCTCTTTGCGCCCGCCAACGTCATCTACCAGCACATAGTCCCTAGACCCGAGACCCAGACGGGGACAGCAAACTACACAACACATCGGCCACGCGCTCCTCGCCCGACCCCCCGCCCGGAACCCAGCTGAGTCCGTGTTGCACGCGCGCCCGCAGGCATCCATGACCGCGCCCGACGGCTCCCCGAAAACGCCCAAACCACCACCGTCGCCGGAAAAGAACGCGAACCCGGCCGCCAAGTCGGGCCTCGTCCTGGGCAAGGGCCCGGCCCCGATCAACAATGCCAAGATAAAGGACCGCATCGCCAAGTGGCAGGCAGCCGGCGGCGGCACCGTCGTCGTCAACGACCCGCTGGCCGGCGACGCGGGCGACGCCGGTAGCAAGAGCCCCAAGCCCAAGCCCACCGCGGATAAGTCGGAGGACAAGGAGGCGGCCAAGGCGAAGGCCGACGCGGCCGTCTTGGGCGCTGCTGCTGAGCTCGTCTTCAGGCCGCCGCGGAAACAACAGCAGCAGCCCTCGTCACCGCATAAGCCCAAGGCAAACGATCTCGACGAGGACGTCCTTGACGCCGTCAAGCCTAAGAAACGCGTCGTCAGTGACAGTCACTGGCGCAAGAATAAAAACCCGCCGAAGGAAAATCAAAAGCCCAACGCCTGGGTCCGTCCGAAGAAAGTTGTCCCGCCGAAACCGGCGGAGGAGGCGGAAAAACCGGAGTGTCGGCCGAAGAGTCCCCCAAAGAGCCCTCCTAAGAGCCCTCCGAAGAGCCCGTCAAAGAAAAAGGAGTCGCCAAAGCTTTTGCCCAAGCCGGTTTATGGACCCGGCGGCAACAGAGTTCAGGCGGTGAGGAGGCGGAGAAAATCTTCAAATTCGAAGAGTAGCGAGGAGGAACCGGTAAAGGAGCCGGAAAAGGTTGACGATGATATCAAGAGCAAGGAGGAGAAACCCTCCACACCAGCACCCATTGTCCACAAAGTGAGGGCTGTTGTGAAGCAGCACGCGCCCGCTGAAAAAGCAGAGGACAGTGCCCCAACGAAGCGGAGATCCGTACGCAAGGCAAAGAGCACTTTGGATGAAGCGGAAAAGCCGGAAAAGCCTCGCGAGCACATCAGGGCGAAGTCAGCAAGTCGTAGTGTTCTTTCGGAGGATGAGCTTCGCCGGAGAAGGAAATCAAGGCGCAGTACTCTGGTGGGAAAGCCTAAGGAGATACCTACCAGTCCACCCTCTGCGGATACACCAGTCACGGAGCGGAGAAGAAGCCGCAGGTCCAGGCGCTCTTCATCGGAACAGGAGGACAAAGCACCGCCGGTCAAGTCACCACCGGCCAAGTCGACGCCGGCCACACCTGAGACTCGTCCCGTCAGCAGCGTAGAGGCATGGCTTTCTGGCACTCCGGATCCGTTCGCTGAAGCAAGCCAGCCGGCAAGACGCCCCTCATCAAGCAGTGATGGCTCGGTTGTTGTTCCAGAGATCAAGGAGCCTAAGAAATCCGATAGTGAAGGCTCTCCTCGTCGCGGCAGTAGGCGAAGGAGACGCAGGCGAAGCCGTGAGAGCCCTGATGGGTCCGCAATATCCGACGACAGGCAGGCACGACAACGCTCAAAGACCCCTGTGAACAATGATGAGAATGTGGTTACTGTTGAGTATGAAAAGTCTAACGTTTCGGCATCGTCGTTACCACCAGCATCGCCAGCATCGCCAGCATCGCCGGGGTCGCCGGGGTCGCCAGCTCTCAAGCGGAGGGGAGCCAGACGTGCCAAGTCGCTGTCGCCCACTAAGCGGACGCCGATGTCTCCGCAGCCTGAAACGATCCACGAGGATGATGTGCTGTCATCTGTTGCTTCTTCCGTCGACACTTCCACTATCCACGACCCTGAGCCCGTCAGCCGCCCTCGCCGTCCGTTCCCCTCTACCGGCAAGCAGCTGTCGACGATCGCTTCCGTCACGGACCGCGACTCGAGGATCACCAGTGGATCGCGGATTCCGTCTCAAGAATCGGAGTGGACGATTTCGCCTGATGACGCTCTTGAGGCAGCCCCTTCAGAGACAGGCGATAGGGACAACGATGCGGAGTCCATTGTGACGGCTAAAGGACGGAACAACAGCATTAGAAGGACCGGAAGTAACAACGTCAAAAGGACTGAAAGTTCGAGAAGAAGACTTGCGTCGCATTCGGACCTCATGTCCGTCCTCTCTATGCCGGAGCGGATGGCTAGCAAGAGTAAGAGTATCGTTTCTGCCCGCAGCATCCGCACGAACCGGAGCAGACTCGAGACAGCGACGGTTGGAGATCTCATGGAGGAACTTAAGTCGGACGAGATCAAGTATATGCGCGAGTTGCGCACACTCGTTGATGGCGTCATTCCGGTTCTGCTGACCTGTGTGTTGTCGAAATCCGAGTCGGCAGTGGCTGCTGGATTGTTCAGCAAAGCCGGATCGAAGGATGACCCCAAGATCACGAAACCGATCGTGGATATGGGAATCGCTTTGGAAAGATTGAAGTCACTGCACAGACGCATTCCACTGGACGATCCAGAAGCACTCTTTTCGTGGGCCCACAGTGCCCAGAGAGTGTACCAGGATTATGTTAAGTCATGGAGGCTTGGATTCCAGGACGTCGTGGTGAATCTTGCGCCCGCTAGCGACAAAGACGATGAGGACGAGCAAACCGCAAACGGACCTCGAGATGCATCTTTGGATGAGGGCTTGCCTCGGAATGAAGAAGGCTACGTGGTGAACGGCGATGGCGAAAGAGTTGACGTGGCATTCCTTCTCAAGCGGCCACTCGTTCGTCTGAAGTACCTAGCCAAGACTTTTAGAGGCATCAACATCCTCAATCCGTCCGATCGGGCCAGCGATGTTGCCACAAGGTACCAGGCCCTTGTCAGTGATGCCCGCAGACGTTCCAACGAGGAAAGAGCCCGGATCGAGGACGAGGCAGCCTCCAACATCGATGCGACTAGGGCTAGAGACCCACGTAGCTTGGCACCTTTGGCTGGCGTCGTCATCGACAACACAAGATGCGTCCGCGCCAGAGATTACTTCGACATGCGTATTCTTCACTCTAGCGGGCAAGAAGTCGACTGTAGAGTCGAGCTGTTGATGCGCGATGACGCACCCGGCCGAGGCAACGGCGGCGACCTTCTCCTTTGCGAAGTTGACAACACTGGGCGCTGGCTTTTCTTCCCACCTATCCAGCACAGCCGCCTGTCGGCCCGCAACGGCGACCAGAAAGGCGAGGTTGTTGTCATGATTCGTGGCTTCACGTCCAACGGAAATGAATGGCGCGAGCTCTTGACGCTCCGTATCGACGATGAAGAGGCTGGTTTTGAGTGGGTTCACATGCTTGGGCTCACGCCTGTTCCGCACAAGGTCCAACGCACGCAAAGTTTCTTGGGCAAAGCACACAGACCGTCGAGCAGTCAGGATTCTTCGCTGCTCTCTGTGCAGACTGGGTCCACGCCGCCGCTCAAGAGCAGAACGCCGAGCCCGCGTGAGATTGAGGTACCAATCGGCGAGCAGGCAAACGAGTCGTCGAAGAAATGGGGCTCTGATACTCCGGATCGGCTGCGGGCCAGGTCGCCAGATACTGCGCCAACCAGCCCGACGAGCAGCGTTGACATCGACCGCAGCGAGACGGTCAAGAGGTATCCGAGACGCAAAACAATGTCGGCCATTCCGCCACCGGACCTGTCAGAGGACTGGGCGAGGAAGCGCCACTCGATTGATGTGCCCAACTTACAGACGAACGTCCCTATTACGGATGCCTTGGCAGTGGAGGAGGCCGGTGGCTCGCCTACCAAGCTCAAGCGCTCCAAGGCCAAGAGATACACGCGCGATGATCCCCGTGCGAAGCGCGGATCGAAGGAAATAGATCGCGACCAGTATTCTGAATCGATGTCGCGGCCTTCACTCCAGTCGGAGCAGTCGTATGCGACGACTTCCTCTGCTTACTCCCAGGGGACGTACTCGAGCGAGTCGACGGTCACGACCAACAAGGGCAACTACTCCGTGTGGTACCCGCCTTCTGAAGCCGAGGAGGACCTCAGCGACTACTCAGACGAGGATTACTCTGAACTCCATCGCAGACCCTCGCGGCCGTCGCCTCATAGGCGCACGTCATCGGTGCCCACGTTGGATATGCCCATCATCCCGCGTTTGCGACAGTCAAGCCGGCCGGATAGCCTTACCGACGAGGAGATGGACTACGAGCCACAACAGCATGTCCCATCAAAGTTGCAACAGAAGCGCCGCGCCAGCGATATCATAATTGAAACGCCGGACGACATGGAGGATGAAAGGAATGAGGAGGCGCCGCCTGCGCCTCCGCCACACCGTGTCGTGAGCCCGAATAGCTCGGGGAACCCGGTGAGTCTCGGAGACTCGCCGATTCCGAAACTGTCGCCTACAACGGGTAATCTGTCGCCTACCTCGGCCCAATACAAAAGTCACAGACGCACGTCTTCGCCGCTGAAGCACGAGTGGCGGCCTTCGACGTGTAGCGAGTCTTCTGGTGGAAGCGATCTTTCTGCTTCGGATTACACGGAAACCGAAGGTTCCATCTATTCCCAGTCAAGCGATGACGATCTGGAGGATGACGAGACAACTACCCAAATGGAGCCTTCTCTACTGGAGCCTTCGATTGACGATGATGCTGACCATTTCCCCATGCGCGAACCTCCAGATTCGTTGTACTCTCCCCCTGATGATACCCTGAGCCCCTCGCAGTCGGCTTCCCAGGCTCCGTTCAGAAGGGTGCCGTCAGGGAACGGTAAAGCAGAAAAGACCGTTGCGATGCTTTACTCGTGGGCTGACCGTGGCCACTGGGAGACGCTGCATCCAGATGAATGCAGCATTGTCATTTCGCCTGGCCTGATTGAGGCTTTTGAGATGTCCCCCTCGCACAGCGATCCCGGTCGCCCTGATGAGCAACCGCTCGTCGCCCTCGAGCTCACTCCACTAGTTCCCCTTCGCCGCGGCACGGCGCTCGACATCTCGATCCGCTCGCCTCCTACTTCAGAGTCGAAGATCACGTCAGGCACAAACGTCATGTTCCGCAGCCGCTCGTCGGAGGAGTGCGAGGCGCTCTACGCCCTCATCAACAACGCGCGCATCAACAACCCAACCTACATCGCGCTGCAGCGAGCACGCGGGCCGCAGGGCGGGTCCAGCTGGGCCGAAGTCATGGACCGGCGCAACGAGGCGCGCACGGCGCCAAGCGCCAACGGGGCCAACGGGAGCTGGTGGGGCTCGCTGGGACGGCGCAACAGCTACCGGGCGAGCAGCACGCGCAACATGAGCACATCGGCAGGCACGTCGAGCAGTGTGGGAACGATGGCCAGTGCCTTCTCAGCGCTGAAGCGGTTCAGCGCGGGCGGCAGCAACAAGCTGTTCAACGTGGGCAAGAGCAGCCTTGGATCGCACGACTACGACAGCCGCAGCCACAGCACGGACTCGCTGCACGGGGAGGCGGAGGCGTCGCCGGACGCGTTCACGCCCGCGACGCAGAAGGAGCTGGACGCGGCGGCGGCGAGCATCGCAAACACGAAGATCCGCCTGTACGCGCGCGAGTCGCAGACCAAGTGGCGCGACATGGGCTCGGCGCGGCTGAGCATCATGCACCCGAGCCGGCCGGCGACGCCGTCGTCGAGCGGTGGCGGGGTGCGGCAGGGCGGCCAAGGCAGTCCCGGGTCCGGCAGCACGGACCCGGAATGCCAGAAGCGCATTGTGGTGCTGGGCAAGACGAAGGGCGAGACGCTGCTGGACGTGACGTTGAGCGAGAGCTGCTTTGAGCGGGTGGCGCGCACGGGCATTGCGGTGAGCGTGTGGGAGGATGCGGTGGGCACGAATGGCGAGGTTGGTGGGGTGCCCGCTGTGGGGGGCGTGGGGGGCACGAGGGCCAAGGTTTATATGATTCAGGTGAGTTTTGTCCTAAGGATGGTGGTGGTGGTTGTGCGGTTGCTAACGGCTGTTCTTTTTACAGATGAAAACGGAGCGCGATTGCGCGTATTGCTTCTCGTTGCTGGGGAAGCTGCGGTACTGATGGTAGCATCTGACTGGCTGTTGGCTTTTTCTTTAACACTTGCTGGTATCCTTTTTCCTCTTTTCTCCTTAATCGATTACGACGGCAATGATTTTCTTCTCATGAAGATTCGTGGTGGCCGTCGAGCAGGATACGCTGTTGGATTCTTGAGCACTCACTGCTCGTCGTTTTCGCCTTCGGTTGGTACCCGTTCTTGGCTTGGTTGATTGATGATGCATGCTTCTTCTTTTTCTTCTCTATTTTGCGCGGCGTCGGCGGCGGTTGACGGACAGAGATGGATGATTACCCCCCCGTTTTCCTTTGTTAGGTATTGTCGTTTTATGACGATGGCTTCACCAGCCTTTTCTTTTTCCTTTTCCTTGGTTCGTTTCTGATGGGGTTCTTGCTGCTGCTTGCTTGCTTGGCTGTTGCGTGTGGATGGACGGGATACCTAGGCTTTTTGGGGGATTTGGGAACGGAGGGAACGAGGTGTGCCAGGAGGGGGTAGCGAGTATACAATACAGTAATGAGACGAGCATGATGATGCGACCCGGAGCGCTAGCGAGATGTTGTTCGCACGGACCCTCGCCCGCCAACGTCGCTGCTTCAGTCAGCACCTCGGTCAGCACCTCGGCCGCTTACATCAACCTCCCGTATGGTAGGTGGCAGGTGAATGTCGTGAGTGCGCGTGAGGAAGAACATACATATACCGGGCCGTTGCGCGTCGCACAAAAGAGCTAGGACGTCAGCTAGGGTACAACGGGTAGGCCATCGATCAGCAGGATGCAGAAGCGCAAAGAGCGCACCGGCTCACTCGATGACGACAGCAGCGGCGCGCCAGCTACCAAGCGCGTGGCGCATGAGCAGGATGACGAACTGCCTGCTGGTAGCTTATACGAAGCGGAGGAGGATGCAGGTGCCGGACGCGACATCGCGGAGCTGGGGGGCGCGGCCGAGTTGCCGGCCGGCCGCGTCTTTTCCATCCAGATTGGCACGGAGCTGTTCAAGCTGTCGGGGGCGTCGATATCGTCGGATGGTGAGTACAAAGAAGAAAGGAAAAGGAAAACACAGCTAAGGCCGCCAGAGCACCCTCGTACTTCTCTTCGACCTTCAGCGCGCAGCCCACGCAAACCCTCTACATCGACCGCGACCCGGCCACCTTCCGCGACATCTCGCTGCACCTGCAAGGCTACCACGTCGTGCCGCGCGACTCTGCGCATTTCGTGCGCCTCTTCGCCGACGCCCAGTTCTACAGCCTGCCGCGGCTGGCGCACCAGCTGTGGGCCGGCGACATGCTCATCGCCGTCGGCGGGCGCGAGTTCCGCATCGCACGCGACCAATTCTCCTCCGCCGCGGCTGGGCCGGGCAACGAGCCCAACTTCTTCTCGCTGGGCTTCGGCCATTTCTTCAGCACGCCGCACGAGGCGTTCCCGGGGCTGGACCGCCTGCGCCTCCTCCGCCCGCCCAGCATCAGCCCGCCAGCCGTGCGGGGCCGCGACGCAGACGTGTTTGCGGAGCTGCTGAAACTGCTCATGGGCTACGACGTGCACATCAAGAACGCCGCGCACCGCGCCGCCCTCCTGCGCGACGCCCGCTACTTCCACTTCCGCGGGCTCGAGCAGCGCTTGCTGCCCTGCGAGCTCGGCTTCGACGCCCCCCGCCAGCGGGCACACATCGCGCTGCGCCTCGCGGACCTGCGCCAGGCGGGCCTCAGCGTCGTGCCGGACCCTGTGTCTGCCGTCCCTTGGCAGGGAGAAGCGCACTACGCCCGCCCGTACGTCGACGACGCCGACGCGCCCCGCGCCCTCGTCCTCGTGCTCCCGCCCCACGAAGCATTGCTGAACCCGCGCACGGCGCGCCTCCGCCTGCTGGGCGCTGCAAAGGCGCGCTTTAATGCCCTCTGTGCGGTGCTGGCTGCACGGCTGAACCTGCCGGCCTCGACGCTGCCGGCGCTGGGGCTGCTGATGCAGGAGGGTGGGGGAAGTGCTGCTGGTGCTGGTGCACCCCGCTCGGCGCTCGCGCCCGATGAGCGCGCGGGCGTGCGCGTCGAGGTGGGCGAGGAGGCGTGGTTGGATGTCGATGGGGCGGGGGCGTGGTGCGAAGACGACGACGGTGGTGGTGAAGGTGGAGGTGAAGGTGAAGGGAAAGAGGCGAGTGCGCCGCTCCGCCCACGCCTACGCTTCGAGGGCGGCGTTGCGCCTGCGACGTTTGCCCGGCGGGGAGATACTGCTACTGAAGAGGGCAAAGACGACGAGTGGTGGACGGTTGCGCGCAGCCAGTGGCGCGTGCGCGTCGTGCCTGGCTGTGGCCGTGATGGTGATAACAACGGCAATGGCAATGGCAATGCCCGGCCAGAGGTCGTGTTGCGCGCCGTCAGGGTCGAGGTGTTTACGTGTGAGCGGGCGAGGAATCGGACGAGGGCGTTTTTGGAGGAGGGGTAGGGTTGATGAGGATTGTGGTTATTGGGAAGTGTATATCTCTTTTTTTCTTTATCTTTTTATTTCTACTTCTTTTGTCAGTGCTGCGTGAATGGCAGCAACCCTGTACAGGGATATGATACATAAATCCATACTACCTACAGCCAACATCACCCCGTGGTATACAACATCATACACAAGTCCTCGTCTACCTCCCCCGAAACCTCTGATCCAACATCCTCAATATATCCAGCCCCCTCACCTTGCCATCGTCCGACCTCGGCATAAGCGACATCTTGTCCTCGACCATGCGCCAAAACGCATCGACGACAGTCGGCCTGGTGGGCTGCAAGCCGGCGGCCACGACGCCCTTGCCCTGCATGACGTCGCGCACGAGCTCCAAGAAGCGGTCCCAGTCGCCCGCGAACGCCAGGCAGCGGCACAGGAGGTCGAGGGCGACCCAGCCGGGGCTCTTGCCCTCGCGGCTCATGCGCGACAGCGTCGTCATGGCCTTGCCCAGCTCGCCCACGTGCGCGTACTTTTCAATCATGCGGTCGTAGAAGATGGCGTCGACGGGTATGGCCTTGGCCTGGATCTCGCTCCACAGCGCCTCAACCGCCGCAAAGTCGGGCGCCTCGGCCGCGTCGAAGTAGTGCGTCAGCAGGATCGTGTACACGTGCGGCGAAATGGGCACGTCCTTTTTGCGCATGTACGCCAGCACCGCCGCCGCCGCCGCAAAGTTCTTGTGCATCTTCAGCAGCCCGTCGACCAGCGTCGCGAAGACGAAGGCGTTGGGCGTCAGCCCCCGTTTCTCCATGTTCTGCAGCACCGACAGCACCTTGGTGTTTTGCACCTCGGGGCCGGCGTTCTGCACCGTCGGCGAGCGGAAGACGCTGTTGAGGATGATGGCAAAGGTTGCGACATCGGGCGCCACGCCCGCCTCGTCCATCTGCCCCAGCAGCGTCATGGCTTCCGTCGAGTTCTCGTTCCGCAGCGCCATGCTGATCAGCGTGTTGAACGTGACTACGTCGGGCGGGATGCCAAAGCTGCGCGCCCAGTTCAGCACCCGCGCCAGCTCCCTGTGCAGGTTCCGGCGCGACATGACCGTCACCACCGTGTTGATGACCTCAATCGTCGGCCGCGGCGGTAGCTTCGTCTCCTCTGCCTCTGCATTCGCCGCATCTGCCGCCGCGCCGCGCTTTTTCTTGCCGCTCTCCTGCGCCCGCTTCGCCGCGAGCCAGATCTGCCCCATGTCTTCCAGGCACTCCATGGCCCGCCGCGTGTTGCCCGTCACCATGAAACCGTGAATGCGCGTCGACCAGGCGAACGCATCAGGCTGGATGCCCGAGTCGAGCATCCTGCCCCACAGCTGCTCCAGCGTCACGCTGTCCCGCGCATTGCGACACCCCGTGAGCATGGCCGTCCAGGCTCGCACGTCCGGCCGCACGCCGTTGGCCACCATCGTGTTCCACACCTGTATGGCCTGCTGCGGCTGCCCGAACTGCATCATCTTCTCCAGCACTAGGTGGTAGATGCGGTTCGGGATCACGATCTTGTCCTTCTGCGCCAAATCGCGCGGGGGGAACGTGTTGCGTGCCTGCTCCCACAGCGCCCACACACGCTCTGGCTGCTCCCCTTCGGCAGCCCGCGCAATGCGCTTGTAGAAGGAGGTATCTAGCCTCTCTTCGTCCGTCAATTGCCGCTCGTCTTGGCCCCTTGACCGGTTGGCCGTGCCTAAGATCCGCACCACTCTCTGCCCAGAGTTCCGTAATCGCCCTATCACGCCGTCCACTTCATGCCTCGTTACACCGTGATTGAGCAGATAGTCCTCCATGTCCGACGTCATCCTGGCCACATTGGACATTGGCACAAGATGCGCAATGAACTGGGCAAAGGGACGGTATTCCATAATCGCGCTCTGGGGGATTCCGAGTGGATCATCTTCGCGGGTAAGCATGTCGAACGTCAGCAGCGCAGACATCCCTATCATCGATGGGGTAAGTAGAGGGAGCCGAGGCAGGAACATTTGCAGCCGCTTCTCGAAACTCTCCGTGTTGTTCGCACCAGTAGTCGTCTTGGTTAATTCAAACGGGGGAGGGAGAAACGACCACTCCTCGCCGTAGGCCTGCACTGCGATGTGCGCGATCTCCGGCTTCGCCAGCTTACCGTATTCCATGTAGAAGGCGCGCCAGAGCACCATCAAGTTGGCCAAGGCCTCTTGCGGCCGCTTTCGGTCTGCAGGCGGCGTTGTGGCCGTGCGGAGGACCTGTGCTGCCAAACATGACAAGGCCGTGTCCCAGAAAGATTCACGCATTATCCCCAGACTGTTGTATTTTCCCACCAGTTCAACCGGCGACGGCACGTTCGTCTCGCCGTCTTTGTCGCACCATTCCCTGAAGGCAACGGTCAGGAGGTTGCTGAAAACATTGCCCTTGAGGACCTTGAGGAGATCTTGCAGCGAGGGCGCAGCCAGAGCCGGGCAGTCATTGCTGGTGTAGTGGGCCTGAAAGTAGGCCCACGCCTCGCCGACTGTGCTCTCGGGGTTGTTGAGGATCTCATCGAGTCCCACAGCAATTGCTCCGGGGGAATGGAGTAGTCCTACACCCGGTCGCCTAATGGGTGGAAATGCTTGGGTTGGCTGCTCGGCCTCGGGCTGATTCCAAGGCGCTGAATATCGAGACGATCCGCCCTTGGAGGCGTCCTGGAGCAGATGGGGAAGTTTTGTCCCCGGTGGGGCAGAGGGCTTCTTCTTCTGAGGAACATGGTCGAGCTTGGTGGGCGGTTGCTGCTGCTGCTGTTGGTCGGCGGCGGGAGGTTCGGGCTTGGTCTTGGCCAGGGAGATGAAATTGGCACGGGAGGATGGCTGCAGGCTGCGGTACAGGCCATGGCGACAGCCCGGGCAGACGTAGGGACGACGCATGCTGGAGGATTGCGGGCGAATTGAAGGCAGAGGCGAAAGATTGGCGGCGTGTCGGCGTCGGGGATCGGGGGTCGGCAACGTCGGGTCCAAGTGACAGTGACGTGTGGCGGATTCGTGAGGTGCGACAACAACACTGGAACACCTATCCCTCGCCATGACGACCCTCGCCCCTCGCTCGCCTTATTCGCAGGCAGACCTTGATGCCCTCTACCCGGCCAATCTCCAGCTGCAGCTCGTCCAAGTGGTACCGTTCCTGCTCCGTCGTCGATAATCCTTCTCCGTCCGCATTCTAACTGCCGCCTATAGTTGCTCCGCCATGGTTCATACCTCTACCTCCTCGCCCCGGGATAACTTGCTCATGTCACCGCAGGCGAACGAAGCCCTGTCTCTCCGCGCTTCCGCAATGTGAGTTTTTCTACCATCCGTGACGATACAAGGCTGATCATTCCACTCGCAGGCAGGACTTCCCCCTCGTACGTCAATTCCCACCGACGCGCCCCTTCTCATATTAACCGCGAGCAGACTGGCCTTACTGCAACTCGGCGCGCCAATTGACTAGCGTTATCATGAGCACAAAGGACTGGTCGCAATGGGGCGAGCTGAAGTACCGGAGGAGGCTGGAGACTTTCGGCGCTGATGACGGCCCTGTGGTGGCGTCAGGCCCTGGCGGAGAGTTTGATGCCGTATGGTGCGCATAGTCATTTCCCGGAAGCGGCCTGTCAACTGACTCCGTCCAGTCAACCAGGCGAATTGACCGACAAGGGCCGCGAGACAACTCTCGCCCTTGGCGAGCGCCTGCGGCACCTCTACGTCGACCAGCTCAAGTTCATGCCCCGCTTGATCTCCGACAGCGACATGATCTACCTCCGCGCGACGCCCATTCCTCGAGCCCTCGAGTCCGTCCAGCAGACCTTCTTCGGCCTCTACCCACCCTCCGCGCGGACCGCCGATTTCCCCATGCCCACGATCTTGACGCGGTCTCCTGCCGACGAGACACTGTACCCCAATGACGGCAACTGCAGGCGGTTTGCTCAGCTGAGCCGGGCATTTGCGGAGCGTACCGCTGACCGCTGGAACGACACTGATGAGATGGAGTACCTGAACAAGCTCCTCTCCAAGTGGATGCCAGAGAGCTCTCCACGCGTGGCCGTAGACTCCCACCCCCGTCTCTCAGGCATCATGGACACCATCAACAGCACCTTAGCCCATGACAAGCCCACCCGCCTGCCCAAGGAGTTCTACGACCCCAAGGGCCGCAAGATCATCGATAAGATCGGCGTCGAGGAGTGGTACAGCGGCTATCAGGAGTCCCGCGAATACCGCATGTTGGGAATCGGCGGGCTGATGGGCGACCTCACATCACGCATGACGGGCTCAGTCGAGCGCAACGGCAACGACGGGCTAGTCGAGATCGGCGGCGAGAACGGCAACCTCGGCGGCGGGCGCGGTGGCGAGAAGAACATCAAGTTCGCCCTGTCTGGGTGCCACGATACGACTCTGGCGGGTGTGCTGGCCAGTTTGGGTGCCTTCGAGGGTGAGGCCTGGCCCCCCTACACCAGCCACATCGCCTTCGAGCTCTTCCGTAAGACGAACCAGGGCGCTGTGGCCGCCCGCCCGCCGCAGCCAGAGCAACGGGCTGAGCCTAAGTCTCAAGGATGGTTTGCTAGCTTGTTTGGTGGTGCTAAGAGCGCCGGTGTCTCTGCGCCTGAGAGCATCGCGCGTAAGCGTCTCGATCAGCTGACGGAGCAGCAGCGCGAGAGCCTTGATGAGTACTTTGTTCGCGTTAGGTACAATGATCGCGTTGTGTCGGTGCCAGGATGCAAGGCACCGGGCAAGCATCTCGAGGGCGACGAGAGCATTTGCACGCTGGTGAGTGATTACCTCTTGCCGCTGAACGTATCAGGTAGATGGTGCATTTTTTTTACTAATGCTTTGGTAGGCCGCGTTCAAATCGATTGTCGATGCTTACACTCCTAAGAACTGGAAGCGCGCTTGCGCTTCGAATCTTGACAAGCCGGCTTTTCCGGCCAAGCTAGAGCCGGCGGGATATGAGGAGTAAGGAAGTAGATGAATGGGTAATTGAAGGTGGTTATAGTGCTGCCATAAGGCGGGAATAGATAGATGATGGTGGGCCTGAGTGGACATAACTAATTTTCTACAGAACAAAATAGTAGATCTGCGATGCGATGTGGTGCACGGATGTGTGTGCTGTTGTTAAGAGCATGGATGTGTGCATGTAGACTTGTCGTGCTGTTCTGCTAAGCTGGTGGTAGGTAGTGCATGTCCTCGGCCTAAGAACAAAGGGTGTGAGCAGGTTTGCATCTGTACAAGACCTATCTCCACGCCACCTACATACAGTCAAGACTGGCTAGAACGTCTGAGCTAATCATCAGCATCTGACTTTTAAAGAGCAGTTCATCGGTATGTCTAGCCAGGGTTTGTGCGGCCTTTCGCACACTTTAGTCGTTATGCGTTACTCCTATGGATAAAGCAGTGTTATGTCCAACCAATGATGACAGGAGGGCGGATTGTAGGTGATGTCCTTTTATGGGTCGGGAGATGCTGTCATGGTCATGCGTTGGAGTTAGTCTTGACTGTATTGGCAGTGCGCTTTGAGGCTCCAGACCTTACGCACATGTGCACATAAAGTAGGGGTTGAATTGATGTCGCTATCACCCAGTTAGCAAAGCCTTTCCAAATATCCAACGGCCTCTAACGCAGCCTCCACTCGCGTACATCGACTCAGCCTTAGCCTCAGCGCAGCTCGCTCGCTCCTCTCGCTCCATTCACTTCACTTGCCCTCCCGCCCCAGTAAAACCTCCAGGCTCTCACAGCTCTCGAGCAAGCGCCTGTCGTCATCCATCAGGCGCCGCATGGCCTCGATCCGCTGGCGCGACTCGTCGCGCATTTTCTTGACGGCGTGCAGGTCTCTGAAGACGGTTTCAGCGGTGGCAGCTGGTTGCTGCTGCTGCTGCTGTTGCTGGGTTTCGCCATCGCTGGACGCGCCGTCGCCGTTCTCTGGCGGGGTGGCGTGGTTGTTGTTATCCGGGGCGTCGGGGCTGCTGTGCTTGCGACTCTCCTGCCCATGTGAGAGTGTGGTGTGCCTGGAGACGGTGGTTGGTTTGGGAGTTGGGGTGTGAGCGGGGGAGGGGGACAACGTACAGCTTGCTTGACTTGGGTGATTGCGGCTGCGGCGGCGGCTTCTTGGGGGGTGAGCTCGAGGTGGAAGGAGGGGGGGTTGTCCTTGTTGTTTGTGGGGTTGGCGGGGTTGGCATGCTGGGCGCTGGCCTGCTGCTTGGGAGACGACATGGTTGTTGTTGTTGTGGTGGTGGTATTGGCGTCGAGAGGTGGGTTGCGTTGGTGGAGGGTGAAGGGTATCCTGGAAGAGGGGCTGTTACGCACAGTTATAAGAAATTTTGTTTGCTTCACATGGGTGACTGGTTATTAAATTAACATGAGCTTTGCCGAGTGTGAAGCAAGTCCTTTGACGTGCTTCCGGGGTCCGTAAGCACATGTGTATGATTCAGTGAATGATTGTTCACCCAACGCGAAGACAGCTCGATTCGAAGCAATGGCCTCCCGGGGTGGCTCGCTGCTACCTTCAATGATACACCGTCCAATTTAGAAGGCAGTGGCTCTAGAGCGGATATCCAGGTTCGGCGCTAGGACCTATAAAGCAGTTTAACCAACTCCCCCATCATCCAAAAGCGTGTGTGGCGTACTCGTCATTTCCACGCTCGCAGCTATCAGAGACCATTAGATGCCACATTCAGACAAAGTTCCAATGTTCGATTCCCTGACTGACCATTCTTTAGTTTCCATCTCTAGGGCAAACTCGATATTAATCTGGCCCTTACCTCAAGTCACCATGGAGACCTGCACCAAGTCCTAAGACCTGCGTGTACCCCTAGGGTACTATGGACGGGCGGTACATGCCGCACCAGGAACTATCCTACCCCTGTTCATTACTGCCATTCCGAAGCTTTCTCCCGGTTAGTCGTCATTACGCCCGGCCCCGATTCGAGATCAAATTTGGGGGGAGTATTCATGAAGTGTGTTCAGGGGATCGTGCCCTGCCTCACGGCGGGGATTCGCGATATGTAAGTGTATAGATATCCGCTCTATGGTCTCTGACAGCTGCCTTCTTTTTTTCTTTTCTTGTTCCTAGTTGTTGAGTACCGCCTTTTTGTTTTCTTTGTACCTGTGACAGAAAAGTAGATTACCTGCAAGAGCGGGAAAGAACGAGAAAGCACATATCTGTATGTTGACCGTGCAGAGCGCGACCCGGTGAAGCTAAGTAGTATTTTACCGGTAGAAACAGGGTAAAAGAAGGTCACTACACCTAACCGTTAGAATTACTGAAGGGGTAATGGCTACCATTGTGGTGCAAAACCCCTCGATATAGCACGCTGATAGCGTATAATCCAACGACAAGGCCGAGAATGCCTTTGTCGGACGGTGTACCCGGAAAGACAGGGAGGCAATCGTCCTCAGTGTTGGCTTCTTGCCACATGGCCGAGAGACTCCGACAAACAAACATCACGAACTGTTCAAATCGAATCAGCAGTGTCGAGTTGTTTACTACTCCAGGTTCGTACCGGGTGACATTACCGCTATAAACGAACATTGAGTATCTAGGATCTATGTCAATGTTGATCGATGTCAAAGAAGTCCATGTTTATGTGCTGCTCTTAGACCATCCCAGCAAAGCCCGCCAGATTACTGAACGGCAGCCATTTCCCGGCACCAAAGGGCTATTATGATTAAACTCCAAGGAAGCTTGCTCACAGCCTCCTGAAACCGCTCGCATAGGACAGATCTGAGTGTGAATATCGTCGGTAGCTAGTATATTATAAGGTGCTAGAGATACATAATCTGCTGTCAAGTTGTTATCGTGCCATATGATCATTCATTCTACCACCCTTCCATCCCCCAAAACAAGATTTTGAAAACATGCAGGCCCAAAATAAACGGCAACTGCGGAGAGACAGGTATGCGCGGTGCGGTGCAGGTGTGGAAATCTAAAAAGAAAAAAACAGATCAAAAGAGCCGCCCAGTGGTACCCACCTTCTAATGCAATCATCGATCGAGAGTAGAGACCTAGAAACGAATGATCCGCCGATGGTCCCTTTCTCTCGCCAGGACCGAACAGCCAGAATATAGAAAAAACGCCGCCTTTCTTGATGGAAAAAGCTTTTCCTTTCCTTCGTGTCCCCTAAAACAAAAAACAACAACAAAAAAAACAAACAAACAATTGGTATCCCTTTTTCCTGTCTGAATCCGCCATATGTCACGCGCCGTACAAATATAAAACACGGCAATGAGATCTGTTATTACTTCACCCTTCCTGTCACCTGGCCGTGCGGCACCTGATCCGCAGTGCCGCCGTTCGCCTGCCAGTTGTCCAACAGCCTGCCGACCTCCCTGAAACTGACCGGCTTGGTCATGTAGAGGTCGAACCCAGACGTAAATGCCTCGCTTTGGTCTCTGCCACTTGCCAAGCCCGTCAAAGCAACAATCAGGCTGGGCGCTGGCCGTTGCATAGGTGGCAGTTCATCGCGGTATTGGGCCTCGATCGCGCGGATGCGGCGTGTTGCCTCAAAGCCGTTCATGATAGGCATGCTGATGTCCATGAAGATGATGTCCGGCGGTTTCGATGGGGTTTGCGATATCAGCGACGTGAATACAGACACGGCTTGGGCGCCATCTTCGGCCGAAGATACGTTGGAGTATTTCCGCTTTTTCATAAAGGTTTGAAGCAAGCGGAGATTGACTTTGTTGTCATCAACGCAAAGAAGACGTGGATGACGTGGCGTTGCTGGGGTTGTCGGCGGTGTGCCCTTGTTTGAAGCATCAGATGGTGTGGGCGTACTAACTGCAACGCCGATGTTTGTCATTGGCGATGCTGCGGGCGCTTCGTTGGCCTCTACTTCTCTTGGTGTCCAGGACATTGTTCTGCTATGTTCGAGATGAGGTCGACTTGTCGTAAATGAAGGTGACGTTATGCCGTCACTTATTGGCGAGGTTTCGGGGAAGGGGTATTCCTTTTCAGCTGGCACCTCTTTCTGAGGAGACGGCAAGGTGTCCAGTGCCATCTGAGCTCCGATGCTTTCCTCTTTGCCCATCACACCTCCTTGTTGTAGAACCGCCACAACCGGCGAGTTCGGATCTTGGGTTTCGAGAGTGAGTTGGTCCACATGTGTAACAACGTCCTCGACTGGATTGGCTTCAACGTTCTTTACAGGTTCGGATGTGTGTCCCCGACCTGCAGCACATTTTGACCGATGCTCGATTAGGTTCTTCATAGCCCGTGCCAGTTTATACGGACCGCAAGGCCGGGAAATGAACTCGGAATGCCCAGACATCAAGAGGATGTCGGTAGTGGAAGCATGCATTGAAGCGCTTGCGCGGACGATTGCCAACATAGGGCTATTCGGGGCTGAAGAGCCCGCAAGCGGGCATTCTTGTAGCAAATGTGGCAAGTCAACCTCATCAAGAAGGATGATATCGGCTTTCTCCGAGGGAGACCATTCCATTACATGTTTGAAATTGTACCAGCCTTGAAGATAGTTGACAATGGTGGTCCTGGCGATATTCATTGCGTCGACGACCGTAGGGTTTGAAACTTCGTCATAGTCGTTCGGCCGGAACACGGCGACGGAAAGGCTGGATGCCATTTGCCTAACATTCACAATAGTGTTGTCGATAGGCCGCTCGATTGCGCTGCTCGCAGATGCAGGCGTCGAAGTTGACGAAGCGCTTGAGCCGCTGGGCGAGCCTCTGACGACCGGCAAACGGACCACCACTTCTGTGCCTGCTCCAAGTGCTGATCGAATCGTGATTTCTCCATTGAGCATATCAACGATGGATCGTACAAGTGAGAGACCAAGGCCAGTTCCTGGGTTGAGAGGCGATTCCTGGGAAAATGGAGCGAATATCTTCGTCTTCAGATACTGTGGCGAGATTCCCTGTCCGGTATCGGAGACCGTAAGAGTGGCGACACTCGATGTAGGCGTCTCATGAGTGTCCGATTTGACAACCGCCGGAGTCTCAACTTCCGTCACATCCAGCTTGACTTTGATGTATCCAACCTTTGTATACTTCAACGCATTGCCGAAGAGATTCATGACCACACGTCGGAAAGCTCCAGGTTGAGTGATGAAGTTCCAGCGATGTGGTGAGATGTCGATAAATATCTCAACCTCGGGTCTAGTTGCGCGAGTTATGCTTACAGCGGATTGGCGGCGTTCCATCCGACATGATTCGTCCTGGGCGGGGTTATCAGAGGCGAAGGTGGTAAAGTCCTTGAAATTGTGCCCTAACGCAACGCCTTCAACAACCTCTTCCGTGACGGCCGCCAGGTCGATGGATTCGTAAATGTTTAGAGACGCTTGTTGCAACATCGGCATTTTTGCAGCAGCAGCAGTAATATCTTTCCGTGACCTTTTCGCCTTGCGAATGTTCCTTTCAAAAGTGTTGATCTTGGAATAATCGAGGACCATGTTGATCGTATCGAGCAGTGTCCTTGCACAGCTATCAGCTGTTGACACCAGAGTCTTCTGGTAAGACGAGCATTCGGTATCTTCCAAAAACTCGCACGAAGCGAGGATACCATGTAGCGGAGAGCGTAGCTCGTGCGAGATGGAACCGATAAAATCGCTCTTTTGCTGGTCTGCGGCAAGGATTGCCAAACGTGAAATCTCCGTCATCAGACAGTTGCAGAACGCTATCGCGTGGAGGAACTCCGTGTTGTGCGAAAAGGAACGGTAATCGTCGTTGTTGTAAGCGAAGCAGGCTGCCCATCGAGATGATGTCACATCCCACAAGGGAAGGAAGATAATCTGGCGAGCATTTGGGAAGGCTCTCATGAGTATGGCCGACTCAGTCTTGGAAGCCCTCCCGTGTCTCATGCTGCCTACGGTAAAGGTTCCATTCGACTGGACTTCATCCCCAGAGGAACCGCTGAAATTAACTCCGTTGTCGTCGAAACTATACAATTTTCCGCGCGGGTGACGCCTGATCAATCTGGCAAGATCAGAGGGAGACAAAGGTACAAAGGACGGGCGAGGGGACGCTGGAGATTCGTCGTTCTCTCCACGCATTTCTGAGAACGCTAGCAACTCGGAGAATTGACCAGCTTCAAAGTAAACCGTCGGGCGACCACCAGGAGAATATAAAGGTTCTTTCGAGTTCGCGCTGATGTGATCTGAGGATCTCTCAAAAGGCATAGGGGGACGGCCGTTGCTTGATGGTAGCGCGGTACACGTATTCATAAAGACAACGCCACCTCCACTTTCAAGAGACAAGGATTCCCGCAAAAGCTCCGCCGCTCGTTGGAATGTTTCGATGCGATCGTCGGCGCCGACTTTTGACTCTGCTGGTTCCGACTCACTTTCCGAGGATTCCGAATCGCCGTCTACTGAGGCAGTCCGTCGTCCTTGAGATATGACGCTCTGTCTGCCGCTACTTTTGCTTCGTGATCCAGGGGTCGATGAGCTACGGGGCGAAACTCTTGCTTTCGGAGACCTCGGTGCTGTGGTTGCGACTTTCGGACTGGTCGATAAAGATGTTCGGTTGTGCCCGTTGCTGCAGCGCAATGTAGCACGCTCGTCATCTGCGGTGTTCTTTCGAGGCACATTGCTGGTGTTGAAGCTGGCTGAATGCTTCAACCCCCCTCGAGACTGGTACTCGGGGTCAACAAAAGCAGAGAGACGCATGTTCATGTTGACGGCGCGTTTGCGGTCTTCCTTCTCTTTCAAGAGCTCCAAGTGTGACATGACGTTCGTGGCCATGACGGAAAGGACTTCTACGAGTTAGCTTCAGCGCGCTCGGCCGCAATGCCCGTTGACTCACAATTCCTCTCAGAGTCGGACAAGGGCTGGCGGACCTTGTCGTCCATGGCGAAGAGCGATCCAATGGCGACGCCCTTTTTCGTGCGGAGCGGCACTCCAGCATAATACCTGAAGTGGGGCGCGCCGGCAATGAATGGAAGGGAGTTGAAACGGTCATCTCGGGCCAAGTCCAGGACCTCGAAGCAGACGTCGCCGCCGTCCTCGGCGGGCTGCTGCTGAATGGTGTGCTCGCAAAGGCGGCCTGCCTTGGGGACGCTGACACACTGTCGCGCGAATTAGCATGAGAACTCCAGGGAGCAAGAGGTCCAGGTTGGGGCCATACTCCGGCCCAGATGGCATCGTTTGGATCGTCATGCTCTGCGGTGTTGGCGATGTTCAGAGTCTTGGTGCCCTCGGCAACGAAGTATTGCGTGTCCCGGTCCAGGAAGCTGATGAGGGCGCGCTGGGTGTTGAGGCGCCAGGAAACCAGCTGGGCATACGCGGTGAGGACAGTGTCCGGAGGGGCGGAGCGAAAGGCGGTGTTGTCGAGGGGCCGCGGGGGCTGGAAGTACTTGTACAGCTCGCGTGCGCGCAGGACATCGACGCCCGCAAAGCCCGCGCTTCTATCGGATTTCCCGGGGGACATGGCCGCGGTGAATGAGGCGTCTGGGACAGGCTGGGGCCCCAGAACTGGCAGCAGAAATTCCCCGACGATGGAGATCCGTGTTAGCCGTGTTAGGGCCGCACGACTGGAATCATGAGAAGCGGTTGGGCTGAGGGGAGGGGTGCGGAGAGGGCGAGCATTGCGAGGTTCTTACAGCACGAGGCCGTTGAAGTCTCTTTCGCCGCCGCCATCGCTGGGCGTGGTTTGCGCTTTTCGCCCTTCGGGACAGGGCATTGGCTGGAGGGGCGTGTGGTGGTAGAGCGGTCCAGGCCCACCGTTGCACTCTGACAGCACAGCGATCCCTGCAAGCAAAAGGTGGCCACTGTCCGAGCCGGGTCCGCCGCTCAACTGCCTCTTGTCACTGCCCTCCTCAGGCGTGCCATGAGCGCCCGGTCAGGCCATTGCACACGGCGTCCGACTGTCAGCCCTGCTCTACTGCTGCATTAGGCTTCCCCGATCTCTATATAATTTTCATAAGGTAGCCTCATCATTTCGGCCCTTTCTCCACCCCAAACCTGCGCGTCCATGATGTGCTTTTTCGCCGCGTTGCCATTGGCTTCCTTCGCCCGACGCCACCTAGCTGTCGCGCCCCAGCTGGCACTGCCGGCACTCGAGGTACAGCGCCGCGCAGAACTCGCGAATCGGCTGCCATCCTTGCGCGTCGTCCACGGCCGTGTGCTGCCCAGGGCACTCCCATCGCCATCGCCCTTCCCCGTCCCGCTGCAGGTGATTCTCCCCCAGCGACCATGACTCGATGCCGAATGTGATCCTGTGGAACCGCGGCTGCTCCAGATCCTTGAACTGCTGCGATACCTGACTCCACAGCCAGAGTGGATTCCACATCCGGTCGGGCACCGCGTGCACGTGTAGCTTGAGGCTTTCCACCTTCGCCATCGATGCTAGATTCCTCGATACGCGATCTCGCAAGGCCCATTCCCTCGGCATGGAGCGGGGGTCGCGCGAGCCGAGCATCGCCGATGTCGCCACGATGCGGACCTCACACTTCCTAATCCGTCGCATCGTCTCCGCCGGCAGAGGCCACAGCCGCGCTTCCTTCTCGTTGGACCGGTCGATGGTGAGCTTAAAGTTTGCCTTTTTGCAGAGCACCTCGACAAACTCGGCATGCAGCTGCCGGCTGGCCAGCAGAATGCCGCATTTGGTATACGCCGGCTTCCGTTGTTGCAGAAACCAAGCTAACGATCCAGGCCGCCGCCGGAGGGCTAGAGGCGCTGGATAGACAGGGTCACTTTCGACCAACTCTTCGTACACCATATCCCGAATCTCCGCCGGAAGTTTGGTGAAGCCGAAGGAGAGGGTTGGTGAGGCGGCCTGGCGTTGACGAATCTCTCGTACGAGAAGTGGGAGGGACAAGGCCGCGGCCAGGGCCAACGTGCCCAGAAGGACAGTCCAGCTCTCAAGGGAAAGGTCGGCCAAGCGTTCCATGGTTGGGGAGCGAGCGATGGAGGTGAAATGTGGTGCGAGCGCAAATGCAGGTGTAGTAGTAGGTGCAGGTGGGTTTGTTGTCTCCACGTAGAGTACTCTACTCATATGCAACGCATGGGTGCTGCTGCCTGGGCGCCGAGTCAGCCACAGCCACACAGCCACAGCGCGCGCTGTTTCATGTGCTGGTTGGTGGGAAGCCAGGGCACAAGGGGAGGGGGCGCAACCCCAAAAACCGGACAGACCGGCTGGAGCAAGAAGTTGTGGTAGACGCTACGGACGGCCATTGACGCAAGAATGGCGCGACCAAGATCCAACTGGGTGTCTGGGTCGCTGGGCTGGGGCCCCGGGGTTGGGCTGCGACCAGATCTGCTGCTGAGTAAGAGCCGATGGGAGAGAAGCCTCTCTGGATCTTCCCGACATTTGGCCTTAACCTAACTTCACTCCTGGCTCTTTGTCGCCCAAAAGCCCCCGCAAGGCGCTTGGGCACGAGTAGTGATTGCGAGTGGATTGCCTAGCCACTCTCACCGGTCTGCTGTACTAATCGACACACACGAGACCATGACGTTCCCGCCAACCATCCGTCCCCTACCTACCTATCAGCAAACACGTGTTGCGCGCCCAGGGCAAGAGCTCGTCCAGGCCGGCCGTGGAAGCCGACAGAAAGCGGGCCTAGGTACCTACCGAGGAGTGTTCTAGCCATATCCATCTCAAATACAAGCCAACCCACTTGAGTTCATGCAACCATTTGGAAGCAGGTAGAAAGAAGCAGCGCGCACGAGTACATATGTTCCCATCCGTCTGACCAGGATCACGCGTCTCCATGGATCCATGCCGAAACCCCCAAGCCTGCGTTTCTTGGCGCCCTCTGCCAAGCTTCCGTTGGTGTCTCCGGGGGGGCTGATCATTGGCTAGTGTGATCACGACGGGTTGTGTTGCGAGTGAGCCTGCGACTTCATACCAAGATGCTGATGCTGTCGTAGTTGTTCATTCTTGCTGCGTCTTCCCGACAGATCGGAGATTTTCCTTGTCAGCTGACGCAACAACGACAAAACCTGTCCGCGCCCTTGCCTCACGGGCTTCACGGCACGCATACATCGACGGCGGGAGCCAATCCCAAGACTTGCCGGCCCTGGCTATGCCGTCCGATTCGACTTGATTCTGCCCACGTAGAGTATTGATTGGAGGCTTGCTGCATGTGAAGTCATGGCAAGCAGTGCGCAGGGCCAAGAGTGTCACAGAACGCGCAGGATGGGGAAGTCGAAGTCGAGGGGGACGCGTCCTCTACGTGGCTTCCCGCAGCAAGTGACGTGACCTGATTTGCTGCTGCTTGATTCAATCAATACTTGGTACTTCTGCTCTTCCACTGCCAACTTCTCCTTCACCTCGCCCGTCCCTGCGACAAAAACTCCTTCGACTTCACAACCTCGCCCGTCCCTGCAATAACCCCTCCGACTCACCCAGAAGACTCCCTGCGAAAGTAGCACGATGATCATCTCACGTGTCGTCTCCCTCTTCCTGCGCTTCGGCCAGTTTGTCTGCGCCGCTGTAAGTGATAGCGCCCTCGTCACGGCCTTGCGACGGTCCAGCTAACGCCAGATGAAGGTCTGCCTTGGAATCTCTGCGCACTTCCTACACGAGTACTATGAATCTGAGCCGCACACTGGACCTAACGGCCGTGAAATCTACACGATCATCATCGCTGCCCTTTCCCTCCTCATGTCACTCGTCTGGTTGATTCCCTTCACCTCCACCTTCTTCCACTACCCTTTCGACTTCCTCCTCTCGCTTGCCTGGTTCGCAGCTTTCGGTGTTCTTGTTAACTGGGTTCACCGCGCTAACTGCGGCGGCGCCTTCCATTGGGGCGGAATCACCCACAACAACTACTGCAGCAAATGGAAGGCCAACGAGGCGTTCGCCTTCATCAGCGCCTGCTTTTGGTTGGCCAGCGCTATTTTGGTAAGATTAGAACAAACGCGACCTTCGTATAATTTGCGCATCTTCTAACGCTTTGGCCTTATTATAGGGTGCCTACGTCTTCCACCAGCGCCGCCGCGAGGGTCGCGTCGTTGCTACGGACGGCACTACGTATGTGACTACCATCCACTCTTAGTTTCTAGTGATTAGCTGACCGCGTTGTTGTAATAGACGTCGCCGCCGCTGGGGCCGCTCTGCTGTCTAGACAACGGCGCGCTACGAGTACGACTTCCGCGAATACACCAATCATCATGACAACAGTTTCAAATTGCATCACACTCATTACCTCGATACCCACGATACCCCAGGAACCGGTCATGTGCGGAGCTCGGACAGAATGCGGGCTTTACGGTTGCGATGCTTTTTCTTTGGCTAATTCTCTTTTTCTGGCGAACAGAAGGCAGGCACGGTGTCGGATGTTGCATTCAATACATCAGGCAGTTTAGCATGTGGCCTTCTCGAGTTTGCAGCGTTTCTTCTATTCCCCAAAGTTCACAGAGGCCTAACCGGCTTGGCATAAGTTGCCAGGCTAGTAGTCCGGATAACTTGAATAATAAAGCACATTGGCTCCTAACACCGGCGTCCCGCCACAGCCCATGATCTATCACAGGCGTTATCTTTGATCCCAGGCTCGTGTTCGACAAAACCGCGTGATCCCAGCGCCTAAGAAACGCGCCAAGGAGCATCAAACTCATATAAAAAAGTAAAAAAGCGCGACCCCGCACATCGACGGGCCGAAGCAAGGATGCCGATCAGCGGGAGCATCAATCCGCCAAGCACGCCTCAACTCCGCAAAAGCACCACAAGCGCCACCGGAACCTTAGTAGTTCACGGGCTGCACCTGAACGTGGGGCTCCTTCATCTCGACGCTACTAACATCCTCAAACTTACGTTGCTTGTGCGCACTGTACTTTTCGACGCACCAAGTCACAATGGCGCCGACCAGCATGGCGGTTTGCAGCAGGAAGATAACAAGGGTGGTATAGAGGGCGAATTTCTACGGTAACGCGGGTCAGCTTACTATTGGAAAGTGGGCAAGAGGAAGGTTAAAACTTACGCTCTCGGTGCACAGACGCCCAAAGTCACCGTTGCTGATGGCGGACGCCAGGCGGCCGGAGCCGGGTCCGGGCTTCTGGCCCTTGACCTTGCACGTCCAGGTCTGGATGGTTTCGGTGTCGGGTGCCGAATGGTTGATAACGTGGACGTAAATGACGGTGATGAAGGAGATGAGGGCGGAGGGGAAGATGAGGGTGATGGTGATGAAGGCGCGGAGTGTGGTGCGCTCAGTCAGGTTCAACTGCCACAGAAACAAGTGTTAGTTGATGCGTCTCTTTCATGAAGTGCGGGGAGGGGGGAGGGGCATGTACCTTTGGTAGGAGGCACAGGGCAATGAATGTAAGGTTGACCACCGTCGCCACAGCGCCAGCGCCAATTAGGACGTTGGTTCCGCGAACGTTGAAGTGCGAACTCCAGAGCGGTAGCCACCACGGGTTGGTCGAGTATTGTGACCGGTACACGTCAAGCGTGTGGCCTGCTGTGCCCATAATGGCAACGCCGAAAGCCAGGCACAGGCCGGCGATGCTCAACTGAGCTATTCTGAAGTGTGCAGGCTGCATCTTGAAGGAAGAAAAAGAAGCGTAGATTTGGTGAAGAATGAGCTTAAAGGAGATATACGATTTTCGAAAGAAGATAGAAACGACGAACAAGAGCAGTTATGAGGCACTGCCTTCAAAGAAAAACAACCAGGCTTTTTCACCCTGGAGTGAGCAGGTGGAAACCTCTTGAGCACACCACACCGATGATGACCTCGTCCCAGACATCAAAGGAACCGCGGAGTTTAATACGACACCAGCCCTGCCGACGCCCGCGATCAAGCAGACCGAAATTCCAACCCTCCTCCACAGACAGGGCGCTTACACCACCCACGAGCCGACATCCGGCCGCCTCGCTGCAAGTGGACTATGCAGCTTCGCGCCCCATAGCAGCGCAGCGCGTCCAACCACACGCGCAGGGCCGCACAAACCCGGCCTCAAACCTGTCCACAGGCGTCAACCTGCTGCGCTAAGGGCCGGGGCCGTGGATAAGCTTGGGCTAGGCGCGAAAGGCTTGACTGCTGCTGCTGCGAATCAGTGGCCTGATACGCCCTGCTGCGGAGCGACGCGCAGGGGTGAAGTGGTCGCTGCTATTTGCAGCCCGCTGCGTGGGCGCTTGGGTGGGTGTGGTCGTTTGGGAGGCCTTTTCCTGCTCACGTCCTGATTCGTCGGTGCCTGCGGACTGCGGGCGCTTACCTTTGGGGTGGGGACGTGCGCGCGTCGTGCTAGGCTGCGGGGTGTTTGACGGCCACTGTTTGATGTACAGGAAAAGTGAAAGAAAGAGCGAGGAATTGTGTTATGGAGAAAGCCATGCGATGATGAGAGGTGCGCCTCCAGTGCACAGGCAGTTGGAATTCCTTTCCCAAAAACTGCACTTACCTTACGTCACTACAAATACTACTATATATATAAAAATATATATAGATATCTCAAGCACTGTGTACTACAACATCTCCATATCTGGAAGAATGCATGCAAGCAATCAATGGTTCGGTTGAACACGTCCGTTTGAGGTAAGTCGTCTCCATGCAAGATACCCGTTCTACTCATGTACTGGGATTTTCGCGCCCATACCCATCTAGCACGCATACAGCCGCCATGTAACGGACCGGAAACTTCAAGGAACCAACCATGTAATGCTTATATCCGCTAGTTCATCGCTACTGACCCTACTGAAACAAAACCCCACATAACTCTATCCGTGATGTCTCATCAGATCATCTACAGTTGCCCCGTGATACTGCCACCGATCGACCACTTGCTCTTTTTGGGCTTGGCAGACGCCTTGTTCTTGCCTTTGGATGGTCCAACCATAGGGTGTTCCATTTCCCACCGCTCGTCAGCCTTGTACGCCTCTATAGCAGTGTCTAGGTTATAGTCGGCTTGTTCCAGATACAACAATGCGATGTCATATCTGTGTTTGTTCGTCAGCTTATAATTTCTCAAAGCCGTGACTGACGGCTTGCGGCTCTAAAATTAAGACTTACTCGGCAACTTTGCAAGCAACCATCCATCTCCGCACTTTCGCTTTCCGCGCTTCTTCTTCCTCTCCTTCGACCGGCCTTGGGCTTAGACTAACACCTCCCTTGTAGTACTCTCCTGGTATGAGGATGGCCTTTCGACCAATCAGCAAATGGTCCGCGAATAGTTTGTTTGTTCGCCGCAATGCGTCGGCTGGTACTCCATATCTCAGTGATAAATTTAGTATGGAATCCTCATCCTGGTTGACAAAGTGGAGCACATCTGGAGCCGGCTTCTGTGACTTTTCTGGCGGAGGCTGGACCGGATCATGCTTCGAGTAAGCAGGTGGTCTTTCGTCCATGCCAACTGGTGCTAAGATTGCATGTGCTGGTCTAGGAGAAGCAGGTGGCGAATATGCCGGTGGCTCGCGGAGGCCTTGAGGAATGACGGAAGGGGCCGAGGAGATCTGGCAGAAGGGACAGTAAGATGCGAAGCGCAGGTTATCCGTCATGCAACGGGCGCATATGGCACGACCGCAGCATTCAAGGCGGCGCTCATAGCGGGCTGGCTTCTCGGTCTTCTCGTCATATGTAGGAGGGATGGAGGCCAGCAGGGTGGCGCAGGTGCAGCACGCTTCTTCTGAGAAATGCATGGTGGGTGGGATATGTACAAAGAGAGTAGATAGAAGTACGAGAGGTAAACTAGAAGTATCGCCTCCCGAGACCACTACTGGACCCTGATGTTGTTGATGACGCCTGCGACCTGACAGGTCCATCCCTTATCGTTATCGCCAGACAGTCCGAGGGTCGCACGCGTCGGTGCTCGGGCCACGACTAACGCTCGCTTAGCCGTGCGCCCACTCAACCTCAGATTTTGCTCTCGTGGAACTTCCTTCTTCGCGCCGCCGACAACTAACGACCAGCACGCAACGTCTATCTTCTCCCGATCTCCTCGAGGTAGGTCACGAATGACATGTATTCAGTGCGAGTGCCCTTCAGGTAGCCAGGTGGAAGCAATCGTCGCGGACTCTGGCGCGGAGCCAGCGTCGCGTGACGATACGTTCCCTCCTACGCGACAGAGCTGAAGAACCCTTTTGGTCTCGCTACCTGGGGGCACTCTTTGCGCTCTTGGCTTCTGAAGGCTGACTTTTGTTTTCGCTGTACAGATACCTCAATTGCACCGCGCCATCTGAGAATCTCCTTTTACAACCGCAAAAATGGTCAAGACTAGCGTGCTCAACGATGCGCTCAACGCCATCAACAACGCCGAGAAGCAGGGCAAGCGCCAGGTTCTCATCAGGCCTTCCTCCAAGGTCATCGTCAAGTTCTTGACCGTCATGCAGAAGCACGGTATGTCGACTTTTCTTCGCCTCGACTTTCCACGCACCCCTAGCCCTACACAAAGCCCCCTCCTCGGACTGATAACTACCCAACTGTTGGCTTTTGCTCCACAACTTTTGGGCTTTAAGTGTCCGAGAGATCAACATCTGCGAAGATCTTACACGTTTCTTGACTTAATCGTGATTTTCAACGTTTAATCTTCCGCAACATACTGACGTTCTGTCTCAGGCTACATTGGCGAGTTCGAGGAGGTTGATGACCACCGCAACGGCAAGATCGTCGTCCAGCTTAACGGCCGTCTTAACAAGACCGGTGTCATCTCCCCCCGCTACAACGTCCAGCTCCGTGACCTTGAGAAGTGGGTCGTCAAGCTCCTTCCCTCCCGTCAGTTCGGCTGCATCGTCCTCACCACCTCCGCTGGCATCATGGACCACGAGGAGGCCAGGAGGAAGCACGTCGCCGGCAAGATCCTTGGTTTCTTCTACTAGAAGGTCTATGCGCGTCGGTGTTGAGGATATCCGGGGTTCAAAAGTTAGATATGGAACGGCGGGCCGTATCGCAATTGCTGTCGGGTTGCACCAAGGGCGCTACGGATAGCATTGGCAATACCACCAATATTCAAGTCGCCTTGGAAACTTCTTCTCATATGGATCAATTGTAAAGCGTGCCTGTGATCGTCGCGTTCATCTCAACAAAAGGGCAATAGGAGCCTCACTTTTTCGTTAGCATGACGTTTGCGCCCGACGACTTGACCAGCGCCTGCCTCAAGCATCGTGAATGTGAGCGGGTCGCAAAACGGGCCTTTGAAAATTCAGCCTTGGGAGGCGCATTGCGTCAGAGCTAAGGCTCCCCCGTGCTCATTCATTTACCCGGTGGGCGACTGCGCCTGGACGCTCAGGATATCGCATCGCATCGCTATCATACCATAACCGCAACACCCCAGATTTAGGAGCTGTCACACCACGAAATGGGTTTGGAAGTGATATACGTTTGCAGGCATGGCGTAAGTCAATTCCGTCAAGGCTCAGATCCAGATCCGGAGGTCCCCTGCATACATCCATAGGTCGTCGCAGTGCGGCGCCTTACCCCGCCATGCCCCCAGGACACCGGATATTCACCCTACCCCTTTAAACAGTCGCGTGGCCTGTACCCTAGCCGTAGTCGCTAACCAGCAAATCCTCACCATGTAGTTCCGCATGAACTGGGTCGTGAACCCAGATACGGGCGAATACAAGTCGAGCGCCGTCTCCAAGACACCCACCGGTATCCCGTCAGACCCCGCGCTGGCCGCGTATGGCGAACAACAGGCGGCAGAACTCGCGGGAGAGATCATGACGCTTGACCCCCCGGTCGACTTGATGTACTCGAGCCCGTTCTACAGATGTCTGCAGACACTGAAGCCGACCGTGGAGAAACTGAACGCTGAGGGAAAGAGTGGAAAGATACGGGTTGAGAATGGCCTCGGGTAAGTTCCCGCTCAGAGCCCGCGCGCTCTCACCTAGCGACTATGAATGAGTCTGGAAAGAAGAGGGACAGCTGGGCCATTGAAGGAAAATGCTGACAGGCGCACAGCGAGTTCTACGGCCTCGCCCGCTTCGACCACCCCTCTCCGGCGCCCCTCGAGGAATTGCACACCCACTTCCCTGGCAAGCTAGATGCTTCATACGCGCCGCTCCTGATCCCCTCCAACAACGGCGAGTCGATTCCCGACCTGCACGACCGCATCGCGTACACGCTGCACCGGATGATCGAGGCCTGCGACGCGGACCCGAACGGCCCCAAGTCGCTGCTGATCTGCACGCACGCGGCGAGCATGATCGCAATCGGGCGCGCGCTGACGGGGCGCATGCCACCGGACGAGGGCGAGGAGGACTTCAAGTGCTTCACGTGCGCGCTGAGCCGTTTCGAGCGCCGCACTGGCGACAGGCGCACCACGGAGAAGGTCGAGGTCGAGGACTGGGATTACAGCAAACCGCATGACATTCCGCGCGTTGATTGGCGCAAGGGCAAGGGCGTCGGAGGCGGCTGGGATTGCACTGTCAACGGGAACTGCAACTTCCTTACCAACGGCGAGGAGAGAGGATGGTGAGTTGTTGCGCGAATGGCTTGCCTCTGGTTGCCGTGGATGCTGACTGTAAACTGCAGGAAATTCTCCGGCGATGAGGCTTTCTTGACTGATCCTAATGCCTTCAACGACAAGCTCAACACGGGCGTGCCTATTCCGTCGACGAGCTCGGGCGCAGATCACTCGAGCGCAGATCCTTCGAAATTGTAAAGCATGTCCAGCAGTTCGGAGGTTGGACCACTAGGAGTACAGAGGAATGGGGACGGAAGATCGTGGGTGGCAGAAATTGGAGCAACAGAATTTGCACCTGTGATACCTTGACTAAACCGTAGAATTATAGACCTGGATGGCGTAGAGGAAACATCCAACTCACTCGATAGCCAACAAGCGCTGGATCGACTGTGCATGTACATATATATCTTGAAAGTTCAGCAGCCATGTGTCGATCTGCATCGTGGGTGCAGCTATCAGTAGGAGGATGGACAAAGCACGACTGCCGGTAATTTGCACAGTGATGGACAGTAGGCGACGATTAGATGGGCATCGTGTGCAGGTCTTACGAATGCAGCAATGGAACTTTTTAATGGATATCGACATTTTCTCGTGCATGTACGTACCAATTACCTTAAGTGGGTTCAAGTAGGTACATCATGTGCGCAGACGTGGGCATGTCCACAGAAATGAAGTCATTCATAGGATTAAGATGCTGTTCGCATTGCTGCTTGCTATCCATAGGCTGTGCATTCTTATGATCTCGAACCAAGCCGTGCGTCCCAAAAGCATCACTTCACCGAAGCATTTCACCCCGCACAGCAAATGGTCAAAGCGCATTCGGTCGGATCGATGACTTTTGGCAACATGATATCGTAGAGACCTGTATTGAGGAAAAAGTACGCAGTTGTCGCCACGCATCCATCCGACCTCGAAGCAAGCCCCTTTGAAACACCGGGAAAGGTCCCAACACTAAGCCCATTTTTCCGTCCCCGAACCGACGCTCACCCAACCGCTTCAATGCTCATCGCTTAAGCGGCGGTGATGGCCTGGCGGACGCGGGCACCACGCTGCCTCGAGTTCAACCTAGCCTGCTCGCGGTTGACGGTCTCGGGGGACTTCTGAACAACCTCCTCGCCCTCGGTGAGGATCATCTCGATGTGGCAGGGGTTGGACATGTAGGGGTTGATCTGCGCGATTGTTAGTGAATCCAGTTCCGGAGCATCACACGGGTCCATCGCCGAGGTGTAAACATACGCGACCGTGCGCACGGTAAGTGCGTCTCCGCTGCTTGGGGGCCTGGTTGACCTGGATGTGCTTGACGACGAGGTTGGAGGTGTCGAGACCCTTGGTGTCGGCGTTGGCCTCGGCGTTCTTGAGAAGGTCGAGGAGGAACTCGGCGGACTTGACGGGCCAGCGGGCCTTGGAGACACCGAACTGCTTGCCTATGGTTCGTAGCGTCTCAGCGATTTTGCCCAATTGTCAAAGATAGCACCACGTGCGCGACGAATGACGATCCATCCAGCCCAACAGCCCTCATCCCCATTCAATCCCATGACGAGTGAATCCACCGTGTTTCGTTTCTTCATCGGAAAGGGTGGTGCGACTCACCCTGAGCGCAGCGACCAGTGCTGCCGGCGTACCGCCTCATGGGGACGGCCTCGGCCTTCTCAGTGACATTCTGGAGGTACTTGACGGCACGCTCCAGCTTCCAGCCGTTGATGGCCTGGGCGGTCTCGCGGGTGTTCTTGAAGGAAACACGGAGGTAGGAGCCGCGAGCGCGCGCCGACTTGGCGGGTTCGATGTGGGTGGCAGCGTAGCGGACCTGCGGGGGGAAAAGAAACGGGTGTCAGCGATCGCGCAGACAGCGGGCGCAGGTACAGGCTTCATACCATCTTGGCGGTGGTTTTGTCGATAGGTCCTGACGGTGTCGGGTGGTGTCGTCTCGCTGGTCGTCGTCGGTGTTGGTGCTTTGATTTTTTCGATACCGTCGTGGGCCCGCTAGCGTGGCTCGCTTAGTACCGCCTTCCTAAGCTTGCCGCGCCTGCTCTGAGAAATTCTAAGATTTTGCCCGACCCAAAAGAACGCCAACTTTTCTCGCTGCGCACCACCTTCGAGCCGATTCGACGAATTCATCCAACTCTACAATCTCGAAATGGCCTTCACTCCTAGGGGCGGACGCGGCGGCGGCGGCGGCATGCGTGGCGGTGGTGGCATGCGTGGTGGTCGCGGCGGCGGAGGTCGCGGCGGTGGAAGAGGTGAATAAAAGACTCCACTATCCCCAGAACCGTTGCGACGTGCTGGTCGCATCCTCTTCGAGAGCCGTTGAGGTGGTTGGATGCTTCCTTGTCCTTTCTCGCCTACCTGGAGCTGTCACCATTGGTGGAGCCCGGGCTTGCGGACAGGAAGAGAAAAATATTCATCACTGCACCGAGCTCCAATGACCCTCACTTCGCGGTCATGGGATGCGACCTTTACGCGCATAAGTCCCTGAGATAGAGCTTGACAGAATTCAACAAGTTGCTAACGGACGATAGGTGGTTTCGGTGGTCCTCCTGGCAGAGGTGGCGCTCGCGGTGGTGCCCGCGGTGGTGCTCGTGGCGGCCGTGGTGCTCCCCGCGGTGGTGCTGGTGGCCGTGGCGGTCGCGGTGGCGGTGGTGCGAGGGGTGAGTCCTGATACTCGAGCTATACGCAAAATGTGACATTATATTAACAGTCCTGCAGGTGGCCAGAGGGTCATCATCGAGCCCCACAGGCACGCTGGTGTCTTCGTTGCTCGCGGCAAGGAGGATCTTCTTGTTACCAAGAACTTGACTCCTGGTGAGGCCGTCTACGGCGAGAAGCGCATCCAGGTGCCTACTGGCGGTGCTGAGAACGGCACTGGCGCCAACGGCGAGGCTGCTCCCGCAACCACCACCGAATACAGAGTCTGGAACCCCTTCAGATCGAAGTTGGCTGCTGGTATCCTCGGTGGCATGGAGAGTAAGGACACTCCAATCGAACAGAGTGATTGAGCAACGGCTGATGATACTCTAGACATCCACATGGGTCCTGGCAAGAAGGTCCTTTACCTCGGTGCTGCTTCCGGTACCTCCGTCTCTCACGTTGCTGATATCGTCGGACCCACTGGTAAGTTTCATTTGCACCTAGCTTGAAAAGAGTAGGATATTAAACAAAGGCTAGGTACCGTCTACGCTGTTGAGTTCTCCCACAGGTCTGGCCGTGACCTTGTCAACATGGCCACTCACCGCACGAACGTCATTCCCATTGTCGAGGACGCCCGTCACCCGCTCAAGTACCGTATGCTCGTCGGCATGGTCGACTGCATCTTCGCCGACGTTGCCCAGCCTGACCAGGCCCGTATTGTCGGTATGAACGCCCACCTTTTCCTGAAGCAGGATGGTGGTGTTGTTATCTCCGTCAAGGCCAACTGTATCGACTCGACCGCTGCGCCCGAGGCCGTTTTCGCCCGTGAAGTCCAGAAGATGCGTGAGGAGCGCATCAAGCCTAAGGAGCAGCTTACCCTTGAGCCCTTCGAGAGAGATCACGCTATGGTCGTTGGTATCTACCAGCGCAACCAGTAAACGCATCTGCATATATAGCGTGCATCTTATTTTGGACTTGGGTTTGTTTTGTTTAATGGTTCGCGAGACGTCTCCCCACGGGCAGGCTGTGTGTAAGAGAGCTTCTGGGGCCTGCTCTGCTTTCCGAACTGAGGTGCGTTGAACAGGGGGTCTTTCATCTGCGGTGTACATTCGGCTCTGGGAGTTCAGGGCGTTACAGCGGTTGATGCCGAATGATCTACGTGGCTGTCTCTTATTATCACAAAAAGCCGTTTTTCTTCCACTACTCTCCATGCATTTCCTGTGAACTTTGTCATAATGTTCTGAGTACTATTCTAAAGTCAGTGGATCTCCGTGTGGTCTATTTACGATGGTTGGCTACAGATACTCGTATTCAAAAGGAGGTAGTTCGAGGCACAAGTTCGGAAAGGTTGCTTTGCAATTGGCCTGAAGGTTGAGAAAGTGATAAGTTGTTTGGAAGGTAACACAAGGAACGCCAGCTTTTATTTCCTCAACTCAATCCAGTCCTCATCAGTACACGAAAAGAGCATTCGCATGCTGATGTAGACGTCTATGCAGGTATTCAGTCGAAACAATCACTTACTAAACCGCAGGTTCATACCGCATCAACCGCAACCCTATGAGAGGATTCCCTCACTTTTCGCACCCTCTCTCCACCCTTTGCACCACCCCTCGTCATTTACGACAGAACCTTTCCTTATCCTTTTTCTACTCCCCTTTCGCTGGTTCTTTTCCCATCGTTGATCCCTTCGTCGGTCCGGGTTCTTCGTCATGGAGAATGCCGTTTCCCTCGTCAGGGGGAATGGGGTCCTCCTCGCCATGGAAAAGGGTATCTTCACCACTCAATGTATCGACCACCTGCATCCCATCTTCGTACCAGCCGCGGCGGGTGTCAGGCCGTTCATTTAAGGCTTCACGCTGCGTGGTTGAGGCAACGGTTTCTTTAAACTTGCTTTCTTCACTAGCCGTAGCTTTGGAGTTGGATTGAATAGGGCCTCCGTCATCGGTAGATTTGTCGTTCTGTTTGCTTTGCTTGATACCTGGCTGGTCCAATTGTTGGGTGTTTTGCAGCCTGTCCTCCGTGTTTCCGCCTTCGACGTGCTCTGTCGTGGTTGGACTATCAGGCATGTCCTTGGCTCCTGTCTCCGTCGTTGTCTTTGGCTGTTCGCTGCGCGCTTGGGCGGAAGAATGGTCTTTGTTGACTCCGTCGAGATCACACGGTAGCATTGCTTTATCGTTGTAGTCGCCGTTGCGTGTCTCGTCGCTGTTCTTGTTGGTTTCGCGATCAACCTTCTCCGGGTCTTCCTGTTGATCTAGTAGCGGCAGGGACGTTGCGCTTTCCTTTGGTGCGCCGGTCTCGCCTTCCGCCTTCGAGGTCAGCTTTTCTTCATTCTTTGCCCTCTCGTTCTCCTGCTTCTTCCGCTCCTTTTGCCGTTTTCTCTTCTCTTTCTTTTTCTCCTTTCGTTCGTTCTCCTTATCCTCTTTGCGTTCGTCCTCTGTCTCGGCCCTGCTCTCGCCCTCTCCGTTTCCCATCATGTGGTTTGTTTGCTCCTGCACGTCAAGGTTCGATAAATGAAGAGTAGTGATTCTGACGTCCTCAGAGTTACCTTCGTTGCCATCTCGGGAGTGTTTTTCAGGGTGGCTCTCTTTCTGCTTCCGAGTGATGGTGTTAGAGTAGTCACCATCTTCGGCTTCGTCCATCCTGTTCTCATGAGCGTCCGACTTGTGATCAGGGGATTCGTCGGTGCGACTGTGGTTGTCGTCATTCGTACGATTTGTATTGCCTCCGTCTTCAGAATCGGACATCCCGTAAAGTTCATCGTATTCGTCCCTGTGAGAAACTTCGTCGTTGTCCTCATGGCCAGGCACTCCATGCGGCTTCTTCTCCTCTTCGTCATAGGAAAGCTCTTCGACTCCATCCGTCGTGTCGTGGGTATCCTCGTCCGCACTGTCGGGCGTCTCGCGTAGTTCCGTTTCCTCGTCGCTTTCTGCAGCTTCATCGTGTTGGTTCTCGAAGATGTCATCAATGTCGGCATCCAAAAGATATCCATTATCAAGGGCACCTCCATCGTCAGGTTTTTCATCAGCTTTTCTGCTCTCTCGGATTCGTCTGTGGTCTTCCTCTATATCCTTCTGCTCTTTGTAATAGCGCTGTAGCCTTTCCTTCACCTCTTTCTCAAGGGCCAGCTTTTTCTGTTTCAGACACATGATCGTTTCGTGGATGGTTTTGATATTGCGTGCGTAGTCATCTTCGCTCTGTGTACCCGATACACTTGTTTGCCATTCGGACAGGAGTTCTTGCTCCCTCTCTTCGAGCGATTTAATATCGTTACAAAGTCCTTCTAATTTGTTACCTATTAAATCGATATCTTGTTGGCATTTAGACTCAAGTTCCTTGAGCTGGTCCTCCATCTGGGTAGTCTCTTGATCCCAACCCCTAAGCCTCTCATCTATCTTAGATACTGGACTAAGTGGGCGAGCAGAAACGTCAGAGTCGGACATCTTGTCAAACCTATCAACTGTGGCACTGGTCGGGCCTGGGTGTTGAAAATTGCTACACTCATGGCATTACCGAGTGACTTCACTTTTATATACAAGGCCATGGCTCCTCTAGAAGTACAGGAAGTGTTTGCTAACAACAATTGCATGAGACAAGCAGCAAGCTTTGTTCTAGCTAGACATATATAAGCCTGATCGGGAACGGGCATGAGTCCTTTCAAAGACTGTGTTGTCTCTTATGTAAATGCAAGACACTCGACGGGATCGTGCAGGAAAGTCGAATAAAAGATATCCAATCGAAACTTAATGAGGGCACATCAACTGTCCCTGTTTTTATACCCCCTGCAGTGAAGCCCAAAGTTAACACCCTCCTCTTTTGCTCCAGCTGGTTCTTTATTCTCTGTTTGACGGTTGGTTATTTTCTGTTAGACTAGCCCAGGGATGCTGTTCTTGAATCCTCGTGGATAAACATGGGCACCCATTTACATATATAAAAGACTTATACCATTATTACGGGGCTTACGTTCATATAGTTGTTTTGCTGAGACCTATGTGGTTATACGGAGGATTCTATTTGTTTCCTCGTTCTTCTTCCTTAACAAACAGGCTGCCTTTGGAGTTTAGATTTTGTACTCACTTCCTGGGTCACTGAACCGTTATTGCACATCTAAAAATAGGCAATGACAGTCATTAGAGAACTATATACGCGCAGACGAATGGAGTGCTTTCCTACAAGCAAGTTTGGTTGGTGACAAATCAAACGGAGATCTTATAAGGAGATATGAAGGAGCAAACAACTCGACAGTTGTCACCCTCACGGGGATCTTGCTTGGTCGTACGGATCTTTTTCCAGCATCAAATAACTGACAGGTATTCTCATTTGCGTGTCCGTCGACAAAATACCCGGTTTGTTTAGCAATTAGATCTGAGAAGCATAAGGGTCGTATGTGGAGCCACGCCAGGCTGAAATTCGTACAATCAACAAAGAAAGCACCAGAGACAGTTCCTACCGCTCGGATGGAAATTAAACGTCCGACAAAGCTACCTGTTTGAGGCTGGGTTTGTGTGGCAGCATTCTAAAAGTCCAAGTCTGCATGGAAAATGTAGACGTTTATACCATAGCAAAGCCATAGCAGACTTTCCGGGATAACAGTTAAGGGGAGAGTATTGCAGAAGCCATTCTGATACCCCAGAAGCTGTTTCCCAAAGCCCGTTATCTAGATAATGTAAGCACAGCTAGGAATAACTAAATGTATAGTGGAATGAAAACATACAAACGCCAGTAATCCCATACAGGAGGTGGAACTTTTTTGTAAGAGGTTTCTGAGTTACCTTGCATGGTAATTACGGAGGTTCCAATGTTGCTGTCCAAATCGAGATCGACAATTTTCCCACAGGGGTGGTTCCCTGCAGCAGTGAAGATCTTATAACGTTACTATACTATTGCAGATTTGCCTATGCCAAGTCTAATTGAGCGGCCAGCTCATCAGGATGTACCTGTAGATAGCATTCCCCTTTACAAGGAGCCGCCCTGATGGTGGCGCTTTTTTCACGGTCTCCTGGGTGATCATGATGATATCAGCAACTTACTTGTTGAGTGGTCAGTCATTTCTAGGGTTCAGACTGTGCCAATGTTGCGATCTTCAATCTCTGTGACTGTGAAGATATTTCCCCTTCTTCTGTGCTGACGATGTGCCTTTGAACCGTAATGAGAGGAGACCCTAGTGTACAAGCCAATTACATTAGCAATGATGAAAAAATCTAAGATCATTGTTTGGTGGTCGCAAATCAGTAAATCCGCGCGTATACGACAGTGACTCACAATAGAATAATGAGATAAGCAATGTCTAGTCTGTCTGAAACTCAGACAAGCACTGTGATGTCCTTATGCGTTTGCAGGCATTACCCAATCTACAGCACGCAGCATGATGATTTGGAATGCCAGTGCATTGCCGGACTACCAGTGTTGAGTTACTGTCTGACCGAGACAAATATCATTGTTTCCGTTGACGGTAATTCGGAATACACACCGAATTGGCGAAACGGGATGACTTGTATTACGTTCATCCTTGCTCTTTTGTCGTTTGTTCCTTTTTGGGTCAATTTTTCCATTGTTCTTCGGTTTTTTTGTGTTCCATCTACCAGAGGTCGAGATCTCTTTGTAAAGTTCGCATCACATCCTCCCTTGTTTACACTCCCCGGACGATACGTGTAGATCCACGAGTACCAGTTCGATGAGGAGGTTCTCTTCGTGACTGGAGATCTGTGAGAGCCTAGACTGCAGGAACAATATGGATCGGAGCCTGGTGGATATGGTCCGGACTTTTTTCGACGACACGATATTGATTCCTCTCACATGCTTCTGGATCAGGCCACTTCTCCGGTGCCAGGACATGACGTTGTCGGCCTCGACCAAGCCTCAAAGTGTCGTGGTGGTTAGTGAGGTGGAGGTGGGGGAGTGGGGGAGGGGCGGGGCGGGCAGTTGATCATGGTTCTCCGAGCATCCCGGAGTGCTAGATTTAGAAAGTGGATGATTGAGAATAGGTGGTCGCCGAGCACGCGTTGAAGCGGTGAGATGGCTAATGTTAGCCATACGGACGGGAAGCCGCCGGCCACGACAGCGCGTCCACACGTGCTTGGTGTCACCCAACCCGTGTGTGCAGCGATACACCATCGGCTGGCCGACCTGGTTTATCTCCGCGCTCGTCTCCGTGTGGCTGAAATTCTGAAAAAGGCACCCGGGGTGCCTGCAGCTACACCTCCACGACATCCAGTCGTAAGCGAACACGGTTGCACCCACCAACCGCCTTTGCGCGCGCAGCTAGGCTTTTCCGTTGAATCGAGTGCGAATTGCAGAAATTGTTTCTCCTTTGCACCACTCACCTGTCACTTTCTCGGCCTTGCCCGCATTGTCGGATTCACCTACCCTGACCCGGCGGATGCACGGCCAGCGGGTAGCGCATGGCATACGTATCAGAGCTGAGAATAGCCTCATCTCTACCTAGACGCTTGACGCCCTTTCCCCACTGTCCGCTCGTCATTCATGCGAATAAGCACCCGCGCCGCACACCGACTAAGTCGAGATCAGCAAGACATGTTTGTTTGGACAATTGCAGAGGCTAGGCTATGCAAGACGCTTATATTCCTGGCTCGAAGGCCCCATTACCGAGAGCCACGACACGCCGCCTGCAGCATGTACATGCGATGCGGTCCGAACATCGTTGGGTCGTTATTTGATACCTACGTTCCACTATGCCAGCGCACTGGCTGACCCGCGCGGAAAAAAGAAGCATCCCTCCCTGGCTATGCGCCGAAAGCGAGCGAAAGCAAACGAATGGAAAGAACATGCAGAAGCACTATCTTGGTGAATCAATCCCAAGTTCAAGCCGCCAGAGAAATGTACTCGGATATGACAAAGTCCCTCCAATCGTTGCGAGTTTGACTGCGGGCGCCAACGCGAAGCAGAAGTAAAGAATGAAATCCACGATAGCCGTACCCAAATGCCTCTAGGCGTGCAGGAAATATCCATGTCCGGATGATTGGTCCATTCTCAGTGGAGTCGTCGCTCTCAGGCTTCCGGGCCCTCGATCGTGCCATTATCGGTCGTGTCATTATCGGTCTGTGATTCAATCTTCAATCCCACCACTCAGTGCGCTGGACGCGGCCATGCTGCTGGAGTATGCTTAGAACGCCGGCACTGGTCACTTCGAGACCATAGAGGCGCTGCAGAGGCTCGGCGATCATCATCCAGTCCATCCTCTGTACGTCGTAGTACTGGAGAACAATGGTTTCCAGAACGGTGCAGGTGCGCGGAGCTGGTACAGATAGAGGCAGTTGGCGTCGGTAGTGGACCTGTGCCTCAAGGTCCGGGTCGACGTATCGTTGGAGTCGACGGCGTTTGATCATGCCATGGTCCGGGGAGTGGGTTGCCAAGGAGGAGTCCGAGGAACCGCATGTGGAAGGCGACGGGCTAATTGGGACAATCTGGTCGTCTGGTGTGGATGGACGCTCTAGAACGGCAGGCCCAAGAGCATCGACCGGGCTGATGTCGGCGTCTTCTACCCACGACTCCTTGGGCAGCGCGGTCGACGGCCTTAGGAGGCGTGCCACGGCATCAAGCATGGGGGAAAGCGGCCTGAAGATCTGGGATCGGGACCTGAATACATGTCGCCGCGATGCTGATGGCAATTGAGGCATGGCTTATGGGAATGTTTAAAAACTCGAATAAGAAAATTAGAAAAACGGCATTCAGTGAGGGAGGCGGCGTAGCACAAGGGGGGACACCGGATAACCTGATGGAAGGCAAGCTTCATGGGAGCCAGCAGTTACTTATCCTCGACGCATCGTGCGTCGCGCCGTGGAGAGCAGCAGCAGCGTGCCGCGGGGCCGGCATGTGCAGCGGTGCATTGTTGGAGGCGCCCTACAAAGCCAATCAGTAGATCCGGGGTATCGGGGCAGCGGACAGGCCGCAGAGACAGATCAGCTGTTCGTGGAGGCGCACGTTTCGCCGTTGTGGTCCTCGGAGAGCGATGCAGTGTATATTGACGCCGGACCGGGGTGTGACGTGGACCGATTATGCAGCCAGAGGGCAAGCCAACCATGATTCTATTTGAACATTAATGCCTCGCAGTCCCCGGGATATCCAAAACGGCAGAAAGTTCGGTGGAGCGCTCAGTTGAAAGATCCGCACAGGCAGTGACTCGGAAAAGTGAATTTTTGAGAGATACTGCATGTATTCTTGGTACACTCGACCGCCATAGCCGGCCAAACAGCCTCTCATCGTCCGTAGCAACGCAAACCAATCACGATCATAGTTGCCATTTTGCGTAAAGCCATTGTAGACTCCCACCAGAACCCAATGCCCACGCCAGTGCCGTCGCTCCTCATCTGCGAATCGTTTAACCCTTCTTCTTGGAGACACCGACGGTACGGCCTCTCCTGCCAGTGGTCTTGGTGTGCTGGCCACGAACGCGGAGACCCCAGTAGTGACGGAGACCACGGTGAGCGCGGATCTTCTTCAGGCGCTCAAGGTCCTCACGGAGCTTGGAGTCGACGCCGTTGGCGAGAACCTGGCCGTCCTTGCCATCGGTGATGTCGCGTTGCCTGTTAAGGAACCAGGTAGGGATCTTGTACTGGGTGGGGTTCTGGATGATGGTGACGATGCGCTCGAGCTCTTCCGAGGTGAGTTCACCGGCGCTGCAATTTGCATCAGCTTCCTGCCCGCCTGCGCAAATTCCGGTAGTGTGTATTTACCGCTTGTTGAGGTCAACATCGGCCTTCTTGCAGACCAAGTTGGAGTAGCGGCGGCCGACACCCTTGATCTTGGTCAGGGCGTACATAACCTTCTGCTTTCCATCAACGTTGGTGTTGAGGAGACGCAGAATGTACTGGAAGTTGCTCTTCTCTCCGGAGACGAGCGCTGCGAAAATCCGTTAGCATTGATCCCGTATCGCATGTCGGCGGTCGCGGAGCCACATACACATGATGGGCAACTTGTCGTCGTTGGCTGGTCGTCGTCGTGGTTGTCGCTACGTGAGGCGGAGTGTCAAGGGCTTTTTGGAGAGTTGTGGGCGGCGGGTTTTCTTGCCGAAGTTTTGCCTACCGACACCTTGCCGCTTTGGGCGAAATGGCGAGCATTTTGCGGCGACGCCGGACGCGACAGCAGCACTGCGACCGATTAAGGGCTTTGGCTGGATCGCGGTGATCCGGATGCTAGAGTGCAATATGTCGCGAGCCCTGCAGGCAGTTGAAATTGTGGTTGCAGTGCGTTTCCGGGCATGGCAGAAGGAAGTGGTGTCCGCAACGACCACCAAGCCAATCCGCTCTGCATATGCTGCGGGAGGCGCGCATGTTTGCCCGAGGAGACTCACGGATTGGTCGCTGGCCTTAACGCGCATGCGGTCAATAAGTCCATCGGCCCCTGGGGGAAGAAGTAAATGTTAAATGTGAAGAGGGCGTTTTGGCGGTCGTCGCGCAATCACGTGGGCGGCTGACGCTCGGACAAAGGCGGCCGGTCGGCTTTGGAGCGCAAGACACCTGTTCACTTGGAGGCGCAAGTGTGTCCGTTGCGCTGCTCTTCTCTGTAGCTGCCACATTTAAGGTCCACCACCATCTTCGCCCCCTGTACCTTCTCAGGCCGGAGCCACTCTCTTCTTGCGATTCCACTGCCCTGAGCAGCACTTAAGAATCCGCAGCGTCCCTCCGGGACCATTCTTTCATTATGTCGACCGACTACAACTATGACGAGCAGGTTTGTTTATACTCATGCGCGCTTCCGCCGCAAGCGCTTGCTTACATGGTTTAGGGACAATTCTTCCCCTACTTCGTCACGACGATCACTGGACTGGTGACCATTCCAGTAACCATTTCGCTGCTCACCCGCAGCAAAGAGCTAGAGAACACCGCGCCGAGAATACAGTCCGACTTTACCCCCGGCCATGCGGATCTTATCGAAGGGCAAAGGCGCAAGCAGAAGAGGAAGGAGCGCAAACTTGCCAGGATAATACTCGCCATCAGCGGATGGCTAGTCATCGCGTGGATGGTTTACCTTATGGCAGTCACGGCGAGAACTGCACCAAAGATCTGGGACCCTTATGAGGTCCTGGGTGTCTCGAGGGTAAGGTCGTGAGGGTCGAATAGACAAGCGCGTGTGCTAACCTTGCAACTATAGTCCGCAAACGAAAAGCAGATCAAGTCGCATTACCGCAAGCTTTCTCTTACCCAGCACCCCGACAAGGCCCAGCCTGATGCCGCGAAGAACACGACCATTGAATCGATTAATGAGAACTGGGTTGAAATCACCAAGGCTTTCAAGACGCTTACCGACGAGGAAATCCGCAATAACTATCTGCAATACGGGCATCCTGATGGCAAGCAAAGCTTCAGCATAGGTATTGCGCTGCCCAAATGGATCGTCACGGAAGGGCACGGCAGATATGTTCTGCTCATGTATGGAATTTTCCTCGGCGTTGTTCTTCCCTTCATGGTCGGCAAATGGTGGTATGGTACCCAGAGAGTCACGAAGGAAAAGGTTTTGGTTTCGAGTGCGGGTAATCTGTTCAAGGAATACAAGACGGATGCGAACGAGGGCAACGTACTAAACGCGTTGAGCACCGGCGACGAGTTCAAGGCCATGTTGAAGGGCAACAAAGCCGAAGCCGGTCTCTCTACAGTGGAGTCGAGGATCCTCAAAGAAGGCGAAACCACAACATTTGCCGCAGGGATGACCGTCAGGGACAAGACCATACTGGAGGAGCTCGATGAGGGTGCTCGGAGGAAGGTTTTGGCACTGCTGTGGGCCTACATGGGCCGCGTTGAGCTTGATGATCAGACCCTTAACAACGGTACGTCTCCTAGGCTGTCATTCGCTACCTTTAACTGACAGGAAGCAGAAAAGTTTGAGGCCGCGCCGATTGCTCTTGGATTAAACGAGGCATTCACTGCGATGACCTTGGCGTTTGGCAACGTTCAACCGATTCTGGCTTCCTACCGTACTTCGCAACACCTTATCCAAGCCATGGCTCCCGGACAATCTCCGCTTCTGCAGCTCCCCAACTTTACTCCAACTATCGCTCGTGAGGTCGAGGGCCACGGCGCGCGGACGCATATGCTTCTCCAAGAATTCATGAACCTCCCGGCGCAGGAGAGGCGCAAGCGTGCTGTTGGTCCCGGACTCTTGACCGAACCCCAACTGGACCAAGCAGAGAAAATCGCTACCCAGCTTCCGCTTCTTAACATCGAAGCCGCTTTCTTCAAGGTTACTGGCGAGAAGTTCATCACCCCCAGCAGTCTGGTGCAGTTTGTTGTTAAGGCTCGTGTCATTCCTCCCGGCTCTACCAACGTACCTCCGGTTAAGGACGAGGATCTTGAGGATGTTGACCCCAAGGAAGGCGATCTGGATGCTCTTCATGGCCGCAAGAAGGGTGCTGAAGCAGAGGAAGCCAAGAAGGCTGAAACTGCCGGCCAGCCTCCTCTTGCCCACGCTCCGTACCTTGCCCGCGACCACTCTCCCAGATGGCACATCTTCTTGGCCGACAGCAAGCAGGGCAAGATCGCCGTTCCTCCATTCACCTTCACCAAGTTCGACAAGCCCTTGTTTGATGAGCAAGGTAACCCTACTTTTAACATGCAGACTCTCAAGATGCAGTTCGGCGCCCCGCCTCAGGCTGGTCGCTATCTCTTCACTATGCACCTCGTCTGCGATAGCTACATCGGCTTCGATGCGAGGGCAGAGGTTGCGCTTGTTGTTGACGAGGCTTCTAAGGCTGCCCAGATTGAGGAGGAAGAGGAGATCAGTGAACCGGAAGAAGGTAAGCAACAAAAGTTTCTCGTCCCTCATAGTATCAGGAAAACTAACGTGCATAGACTCCCTGGCGGGCCAGATGAACGTGCTGAAGGGCGAGCCCACGACGACGAAGCGGACGCGCAAGGCGCGTGAGGACGTCTCCAGTGGCAGCGACACCGAGGGAGAGGAGTCTGAAGAAACGAGCGAGACGGATACGGATACTGATACTGATGAAGAGTAGCCTTTCGAGCCTATTGTACGAATGAAAACATTGTTTGGCGTTTAGAGATGTTATTAAATTGCTGTGCTTGTTGCAAAGCATATGTATGTACTTTCAAGATTAATTACACCGTTTGAGCTGGTCAGTAAATTCGACATTTAAAGGGCACTAGGGTTTCCTTGACTTTTCGAAGCATACTTTAATCGTTATGAAAGCCAACGCTCAAAGGGGACCGAATCACGAAGGCCTTTTTAACTTTTGGAGACTGCTGGCTAGCTCAAACTTTGTAACAAGCTTTGATCATATCATAACGCAGCTCTGAATGCACATGCGGCCTTTCAACAATGGCCAAAGAACAGCTTGTTCCTGGTCCCGTGTGTTCTCTTCGTCGCGCGAGAGGAAGTACTCGTTCCAGGAACGATGCCCCCAGAGCAAGAAAGCAGGCAGCCAAGGCTGATGACAGGATGGGAAAAGCGGATACCTTACGGATGCTCAGGCATCTATAGCAAGCGCAACTTAACGTCCTTCACCCACAAATGAATCTCACCGTCCAGCGAACCACACCAATTAAAGCATGCTGTGTGGGTCCTGCGTTTTGATTGGCGGGGTTCGCTGAACGGTGAGGTTCTTTTATGAGTGAAGGACGTTAGACTTAGCCATATGTCAGCAGTACAAGGGTGGCTGAGTACAGTCAGATCTGTACGCCCGAAAGGAGAGCTGAGTAAAGACCAGAGCGCGCAGCCTTCCCACCGTTTCTGCAGCTCTTTCTTCTCTGTCCTCTCCCCTTACTATGATTCTACTATAGTAGAGGCCTGTCTCAGTATACACTCGGTTACGGAGTACCGTCACTTACACGTGTCAGCCAATCGCGTGGTCACTATTTCCAAATCCATGGCTATCACGTTCACTTCTCCAAAGGGCAACCCCACTGCCCATCAACACTGCTATTAGAAGGGCAGTTCCAGGGAGCGATGAATGGAGACCATAGATCGGCATCACCGCCACCACCATAACCACTCGCCACCAACCCTTACCCAGACCTCCCCTTCTGATCTAAGGACTAGACCTCATCGACATCCGCAACGACTGGCAGAACCCCTACACATCGTAGCTCTGCAACGCTGCAACGCTGCAACGCAGCACGACGCCTCGCACCTCGCATGACCCCAAACTACCCCGCACACACAAAGAGCGTGTGTGCGTACAAACCGCAAACGTAGGTGGTACGCCGTAGGTCCATGGCCGTGGTAACCTCAGGCACACAGCCAAGCCATGCACCCACCGCCCCAACCACAAAGGGGAAGGCAGCGCTCGGGCCGCGCCGTACCGCACCGCGCCGCGCCACTAACGCCTGACGCACGCACGCCCGCACGCACGCACAGCGCTCAGAGGAGAGCGGGCAGTGAAGGGTCAAGGAGTCGGGTCGACGTTGACACCGATACCGCTGCACTGCGGGGACGCGCGCCGTGGCGCCTAGGCCTTTAGGCAAGCAGGCGGGCGGCGAGCGGTGAGCCCGTTGCCCGGCTGACTTCCTTGCCGACAGACCGGCTGGCGCTGGCGCTGTTGCTGTTGCTGTTGCTGGCGCGCGCTCCCTCCCTTCCCTTCCGTGCCGACGTGCGCGCGCGTGCGAACGAGGGAATAAGAATGGAAACGTGGGCAGTGACGCAATGCGTCTCAGTCATCGGGGCACTCCGAGCCGAGACTTTCCGTTATAGTTACCGGACAATGGACATTCGACACGACACGACACAACACAACACAACACGAAACAAACAAAACAACTGATCAAACGAACAAACAGCAGCCACATCTGCGAGAGAAAGAGCTACATTGGAAACAAACAAATAAACAAACAATCACGCAAACAAAGACACGTGGATGGGACCAAAACAGTTTCAAGTCAAGCTAGTGTAGACACTTTTCATGCTATCCAAGACTACCTGCGGGGTAGGGTATCTCTCATCCGTGCCCGTGAGGGTGGATGTGCAGAAGACTGCGAAATATAAAAACAAAACTACGCAATGAGACAGCGGTGGTGAGAGCAAATCAGAGCGGTGCGAATCGACCGGGAGAGAGGTAGATAGGTTGCGAAGGGTGTTGTGTGTATCGTGTGAGAGTTGTGAAGTAGAAGGGTGAAGTAGTGTGAGAGTGTGATGAGGTGATGAAGAAGAGCCATGCAGACTGAACGCCGCGCCATGCCAGTAAAAAAAAAAATCGGAAAAGCAGACAAAAAAAGTAGTATGGTAAAAAAAAGATTATCCCGAGGGATGAAGTGGAGGATGCGATGAGCCCTATGCTATGCACAAGAGGTCGGGTATCGCTCCGTTCCAAGAATCGAATCGAATCCGAAGGTGCCGCGAACGACACGGACGAAGAAAGCAAAAAAGAATCAACCAAAAGAACCAACTTTTTCCCTCCCGCCATTCCTCGAATGCGAGATTTAAATCCTCACCGCTCTCTAATACGTGAAAGCCTCCTCGATAAAGTCGACACTGCCGTCCTCGATACGTTGGCGCACGGCCTTGCGTACGCCGTCACTGAAGGCGCCTGCACCACAGACGGTGACGGCGACAGCGCCAATGCGCTCGGCGACCTCGCGGTCGATGATCATCTGCGTGTCGCACCGACCAGGGAACATCTGGACCGACCCTGACGACGAGTTGACCTCGGCGTGGTTCTTGGGCCGCGTCACGAAGAGCAGAATCTTCAGGCACTCGCGACGCCCGGGCATGCGCAGGATCTCGTCCATCCACGGGCGCACCCACTCGAGGCACTCGGTGTTGGGGATGGTCCAGACGAGGACGATTTTGCGCGCGGCGACGGTACCGTTGTGGTAACCGTTCACCAGATGGCGCACGAAGCAGACCTGGTGAGTGATACCGACACCTGCCGCAAAGAGGATGCATGTGCCGTAGCTGTCGAGCGACTCGTGGCCGCCGTATGGTCCCTCGATCATGCCGTAAGTCGACAGAATACCGCCGGGGCGCTTGCTGGCGCGGTCGTAGAGCTGACGCGTCATGCCCTCACGCGCGCGAATGACGAGGCTGATGCTGCGCTGAGGGAGGTCGACGGGGTTGACGTCGCCTTCTTGGGTCGTCATGGGCAGGCCAAGCTTTTCGTCGGCGAGAGCACCGGCACCGCTGCTGTGGTGGGGACTGCTCCACGCGACGGAGAAGGGGTGCGACGCCCACAAGCTGAGGGAAGGAATGTAGATGTGGACGTGCGAACCGGGGCGGAAGTTCCAGTTGCGGACCAGGTCGCACGTCACGCGGCAGGCATCGTTGGGCAGGGCCTCAATGGTGAGCTTGGTAATAGACCGAGTCGACATGTTGTAGTAGACAATGCGGAAGGTGCGGTAAGCCCACTCGAAGCCCCACAAGGCGATGCTGAGCTGCATCCACGAGAGCTGGGGCAGCCCGTGAATGTCAATGTGGGCGTAGGCGCCGACAATGGCCATGACGACCATGACGCGGTGGATGTTGAGGAAGGTCTCGTAGAAGGCATGGCGCAGCGGCGACCAGGCCTGGATACCGAGGACGACAAAAGCGACGGTGCCGACCATACCCCAAGCGTACGAGGGCTCGGTGGCCAGGACGTTGCTGACACCGGACCACTTGCCGGCATTGTACGTGTTGATGAGCCAGCAGAGCGTGTGGACAATGGTCTCGATGATGACAATGCGAGCGGCCCAACGATGCAGCAGGTTGAACGTGTCGTAGCTGACGTGCAAGATCCAGATGAGCGGGTTGTTGCGCAGAGCGAAGAGGATGGTTGGGATAAGGTTGAGGGCAGCGAGGGTGCCGGAGCGGCCACGCAGAGCGGCGGCGACGGAGGCCGAGTTGTCGCGACCCCAGGGCAGGCACAGGCAGTAGGCGACGTTGCTGGCGCCGTAGAGAACCAGGATGAGGAAGTGGAAGCGCGAGGGCAAGGTGCCAATGCTGACGGCACTGGACAGGCGGATCTCCTCGTTGTGGCGGCCCTTCCAGAGCGGGGCGTAGAGGAGATGCTTCTTGACCCAGGGCACGAAGCTGGTCTGGTTGCGGCCCCAGTAGACCTGCCTGCCGGTGGTGCCGAGGACGGAGACGTGACGCAGGTGCGCATTGGCCATCATGGCCATGCGCACGAAGAGGGCGAGGGCCATGATGCCCAGGAAAGAGCCAAGGAGCACATCGACCCAGAGGTAGTTGCCAGTCTGGTCGACACCGGTGAGGCCGTGGGAGAAGGCGAAGGGATCCTTGTTGAGGTCGACCAGGTCGCTGGCGCGCTTGACGAGGGCATCGCCGGCCACGGTCCATCGCGAGCGGATGGGGTGGGCTTGCTGCATCGTGACTCGGAGATGGTGGTTGGAAGTCGGGGGGGGCTGGAAAGTCGTGGCCACGCAGACGGGGGCTGGCCGTAAAAAGGGTGGAGAAAGTCGACGCGCCGGGCGTCAGCTAGCTAAGTGTGGGCGGAAAGAGCGAATGGGGAAATTAGGATGTGATGACACCAGGCCGGTGGGAAAGAAGCTTTAATAGCAGGGCCGGTGTGTTGTCGCGACGCCGTGGAATGCCGATGGGAGACAATGCAGGACAAAGAGACAAAGGGCTATCTATCGCGGTCCAGGATCATGACAATGGGATTGTCTGTAGACGATGAGAGACTTTGTTGTTGCGGTACTGTGACTGCAAGCTCAGGGTGAGAGAGGCGGCAGTCTTCTGGGAGAAGTAGGCGGCGATGCCGATCGGGAGATGACGGCAGATGGTGGGATGACGATCGTCAATGGGGTGAAATTCAGGTGAGGCGGATCTGAGTGAAACGAAGGAATGTAGTATAGTCACGAACGTCCGGCGTGGTGAGGTCGGCGGGGAGAATAGGGCGACAAAAGCGTTTCGAAACGAAGAAGAGAAAAGCAGCGGAGTGGATGGGAAGACAGGAGGCTCAGAGCAGGGAGGCAGAGGGTGGGAAGGCGGAGAGTATATGCGCGCCGGGTGGCAGCAGCGGTGCGGAAGGGCCCGCAGCCAATCAATCCGGCCGAGTAGAGCCGCGGCCAGGTGTCTCGTACCACCAGCTCCTGACCTCCCCTGCAGAGCATCGCGCTGGCCGCTATTCCTGGCCCCGCCGCCTCACGCGATTCTGGAAGAGCAGAGATTTGGTGTTGGCCGCATCCCGGCCGCGCATCACACACCAAAGTGGCTGGGGGGGGGCTTGGAGGGGCGTTTCAGCCGAAGCGATAGGCTGCTTCCGGGGGTGTGCTGCGTGCCACTAGCGCGCGGTCTAGGCAGAGGAGGATGGCAGGGTGGCGGCAGGGTGGCAATGTGGTGGAAGAGAAGAGAATTGACGCCCGTCGTCTTCATGTCGACTGTCGTTTCCATGTGTGTTTGCACCGTTTGTTTGTCTACCTCCAAGCATCCACACACGCATTGCACCCCATAGCAACCAGTCCCACTTGCTAATCGTCGTCTCTACCTGCGACGGGCGGGCAGAAAAAAACGCCCCTCGTCTTTCGAAACGCCCATCTTCTTCCTACTTTGGAAAGTGCCGTCCCGCTTGTCCACCAATCATTGCCCTTTGTCGCCTCGGCTGGCTCCGATCAAGATGCCGCTGCTGCACCTGCGTCCCGAGCCTGAACGCTTCCCGTCTATTGTATCGCAGCCCATGGGGCCAATCCGCCCTTTTATCTCTCTCGCACTCTCCCCTTGCTTGCCACCTCCACAGTGAGTGCCAATAACTAATCAGCCTGGGGCGCCGCCCGCACCCAACCGGCGCCAGGCCGGCATGTCGCTTCCGGGCGGAGAAAGCATGCATCGCTTCTTCTCCGCCCGCGGGTCTGCATAGGCTCCGCCCGCCGGGGCGCATGAATGAGGAAATATGGGAGTAAATTGCCCTACGCACGTATCACGCCGGCACGGAGAGTCCTCCGCCACAGCTAGCGCATCCCGATCGGCGCTGGGTGGTGTCGGACGGTTGTCACCCCGGGGCAACGTGGTCGCAAGGTTCGCATTGCTCTCACCTTGTCTGTCGCCATTTCCCGTTGCGGCGCCTGGGGTTTCCAGCCTGGAGATTCTGGCGCCATCGTCACGGTACGGCGCAGCTCATCTGCATGCATCCAACCTCCAATCCCGCCGCTCGCTGCCAATCAGGCAGTCGTTGCCGCCATCTTTCGTTTCATCTCCATTCCCCCGCCTGCTTATCTTCAAGTCTCCAGACTGTCGCGCCACCCTCACGGTTGCTTGCTTGTTGCTATTTCGGTCCTCGTCCTCTTCAGGAACTTCACGCTTTGTCTCTATCCTTCTCCCTCTCCGCACTGCACGAGCACCTCCATCTGGTCGTGGGGCACGGTAATTCTTCTCCTCCCAAGTCCTTCATCATGATAGCAATTAGCGGCAGGTCTTGGCACGCCTTTACATCCGACTCTTTTTCCAAACCCGACAACAAATCCGACAATAATACCACGCCACCACCCTAACCATCACCATGTTGCTTGCCCCCACGCACCACCACCACCTCGGACTTGACGACTCGACCTGCCTCAGCTCAACCTAGGTAGCTCGACTTGATTCGACCTACCTACATACATACCTTTGACTCAACCGTCCTCCACCGGTCCCCCGTCATGGGGAATCTGTTTCTAATCCATGCGGCGCGGAGTCAGGCCCAAAGAATGACAGCGTCATCTATCCTTAACCTAGTCAGCAGCGCCCTGCGGCGCTCGGCCTCAGCCTCGGCACTGGCTCGGGCTCGTATGCGCCGGCCGCCCTGTACAAGCCAAACGAGCCCCAAGTCCTCGCTTGCTCCTCCCGGCGTGCTCGTGCGCCGCCAGCAATGTCAACAACAACAGCCAAGACCCTTGATTGTATGTGCGGGAGCGTGTGTGCGCCCCTCCCAAGTGAAGAAATCACAAAAAGATTGCCGAAAAATTGCGGCTGATACACATTGCGTGCTCCTCTTGACCCCACTCCCGTATTCCATTCCCCTTCCTTTCTTTCCTCAATCCCTGTGTCCCGACGTCCGTCTCTTGCGTCCGTACCACTTCCGCCCGTATCCCCACCGTCCGTCCACCAACCAGCCCAGCATCATTATCGTCTTTGTGTTCTCCTTCAATCCTCGCGGTTCCTCGGCGGTGAGTTCAGGTTCATCATGTCGATAGCCTCCTGCGGCCAGCTTATTACACTGGAGTCGGTGCTCGCGCGATTCGCAACGCGCAGCCCGGGGCTTGTGACCTGGATGTCGAATGGCTCGTGGGAGTCATCGACATGGTCGACTTGCAGGAAGGGCTTGCTGGCATAGCTGGGCTCCGGTGGGTGCTGTTGTTGCTGCTGATACTGCTGTTGCGTGTAGATGCTGCTACCCGCACCACCAGCGCTGGTGCTGCTGCTCTCATCATCGACGCCCGGGTAGTGCGTCGGCGTGCGCGGCGGCCCGCCCGCCCCGGGGCCCGCCATGTCGTAGCTTGGCCGTCGTGACGGCTGGATAGACGTGTTGCCCGACGTGGCCATGCTATTCGCATCAAACACGCCTTGCATGTCCACGGGACTGTAGTCCGTCATTCCAGTGCCGGGTCCGGCTGGCTGCAGGTGCGGCAGCAGGCCCGCGCCCAGCATGTGGTTGCTGTTGCCGCCTACGTAGTTGTTCGTCGGTGTGAGCATGTCGTCTGGCTCTGGCGTCGGCAGCTCGGGGATGCTGTTGTCGTAGGGTTGTGCCGGCATCTCGACGACGCCTGGCGGCAACGGTGGCAGCTGGAAGCTGCTGCTCGATGCACTCGTAGGCGGCGCCATTCCCGGGTATCCGCCACCTGACATCGGCACGCCGAGCGGACCTGGGGTCGATGGGTCTGGCAATGCCGATGCGCTCGTTACCTTGCGCAGCGAGCTGGGGCCCTTGACCGACCCGTTGCCCGCTGTGCCCGGCGGCGGGCCCATCATGCTCATCTGTCGGCTCTGCATGCCCGGAATGTGACCACCCTCCTCCGCTACTTCTGTCAGTTGGCTGTCCGCACCGTCTGGATCACGGATACTGAATTGTGCGATTGTGCGCATCTTGCGGGTCACCCACGTAGCGAGGACCTTGCCGCGCTGCTTCTCGCCCAAGCGCGAGCGGGGGAAGTCGCCCTTGGAGACGAAAGCAACAATGTCGGTAACGAGATGGTGTTCGTTAAGCACCGCGTTGACAATAACGGGTACAACGCTGGCCAAGAAGTTTTTGCGGAAGACTTCGACGACAATAACGACGAGACCACCGGCTTGGAATACGGCGCTGCCTCCGGGCACAATGTTGCGATGGCACCTCTCGACAGAATATTCAATATCCATAGGGAAATGGCTGAGACCATTGATCTCCATAGTCTCACCCACATTGCCCAGGACGAAGAGGCACTGCATCTCGACCAGCGTGCCACCGGGACCAATGGGCCTGCTGACGTTATGCAGGAAACCCAAGTCGCCAGTGCGCATGTACCTGACATTCGGGTCGCCATCGACAGTCCGGCCATTGAAGCGCTCCACATCGAACATGTCTTTTGAGCCGTAGAAACTATAGGCGTTGGCCTCTGATTGCACCCAGATCTCTCCAAACTCTCCGTTAAGGCAGAGACGGTTGGTCTCAGGGTTGACGATCGAGATCTGTGTGCTCACGGGCACCATTCCCGAGTCCTGGACGAGCAGGCTGAACGGCTCCTCATCTGGATCCACCGGGAATACCAGGCCGCGGCGTAAAGCGTTCATATCGAGCCAGAGCTCGATGGGCTCAATGCACATGTACGATCGAGATGCCACCATTGGGTTCAGAACGTGCGAGTAAATCGTGTTGATGGCAGTGCGTTCGAGACCGGCAGCGGCGAAATGAAGGCGAACCTTCTGATAAACGTCGACACGTGGCCTGCCGTCGGTGGAAATCATCAGGTTCTTCAACTCGTGCAAAGCACTTGCCTTGCCTGCCTGATGACCCATGGCGAAATCCAACATTTGACTTGTCGCGTACGTGTCTTTGATCTTGTACCGTGAAAGTGTCTGGAAAAGGATGTTGGGGTTCTGCGCGAAATCGACGGGGGAAACTAAGTAGGTAGGAGCGGCTGTGAAGGAACATCAGTAATGCATATTTTGCTGGCGGAACATGGATACGTACCCAAGAAGATGCCCATTAAACAAGTGTGGATGAAGCCCAGACCGACTGTACTCCTCACACATCCCAGAACGGGCCTGGTACTCGTCATCTGACACGTCTCCTTCTGCACTTTGCACAGCGCCATCAACGTGTCATGACCCAGCTGCACCGCAACCCTCCTTTGATCCGGAGTCCAGTACGTCCAAATCAGCACTGGATAACCCGGCTGTACCCAAGCTGGTCTGATTGTCAGACCCAATTCCCGACAACCTTGAGTCTGCTTCGGTGGCTTTGAAGTATTGTAGACGTTGGGCATGCCCACCTTGAGCGCCGTTGCCGTCTGCTTGAGGTGTTGCGAAACAGGCTTTTGTTTGAGCACATGGTCAACCTCGTTGTTGACCAAGATAGCTTTGATGGTGAAGTCAGCCACCATGTGCAACAATGCTGGTGCATCCTCATTGAGGCGGTTCTGGTCGAGAATAGGCATAGGAATTGCAATTGCTCCTAGGCAGAAGCAGGCGTGGGTGGCGTAAACAAAGTCTTCCGAATGTGTATACATGAGGACGAGGTGGTCGCCGGGCTGGACCTTGACCTTGTTTCTGAGGTACATGGCAACTCCAGCCACCTTCAAGTCGAGTTTGCGCCAGTTGACTCCCTTGCCTTCTTTGCCCCTGCCATCGATCGTGCAGTAGGATAGCTCTTCAGCTTGTCTCGAAACGCGCCATTGCAGAAGATCGTGTATGTTGGTAAATTGATTCAAAGGCGTAGAGGTCCGGTCATCGATGACAACCTCGCGGTAATCCACTCCAGAATATTGCTTGTCTTGCAACATGAGAATTTCTTGACGCGCAGCGGTGGAAAGAGGAGACCAGATGCCACCAGAAGGATCATCCCCAACAGGGAGGTTTTGGACGGCTCTTTCTACACCGAACTTGACGTGTACGCACGGCAGCTCTCCATTGTCGAAACCCTTTCGACAAAGCATGTTGCCAATTTCCCTTCGGCCATTCTTGACTACTCTTGGGAGCGTATTTGGCGCCGTGATCATGACGCAGTAAACTCGCAGATGATGCTCCTGGTACAGCAGGTCCATGACCCGTTCGGAAAGCGAATCCAAAAAGGCAATATCGAGTTGCCGTGGCGGCCCACCTGTCGTTGTGGGGGCTGTTGAAGCCGCTTGAGTCTCTATCAGGATGATGGGGAGATACTCGTTGTTGACGTGGGAATCGAACGCCGAACTAGTTTCACATATTAGCAGATGTCCGCATTTCCAAGGCTAACATTGAGTTCAGCACTCACCAATCATAGATCTTTGGCACCGTCTTCATGATGCTAACCACAAGGTGTTGCACGAAGAAGTAACGGTGCTCAGCCTCTTGTACTCCGTGTTCAACCCACTCCACCCTTTGCCGGATGCGATCTTCATACAGACCCAGCACATAGATTTTCCCCTCAATTATGCAACCGAGAAGACCGGTGCGAAGGAACTCTGGTTCGACGAGAACTGGAGTAGGACTGCCCTCGACAAATCGGTAGGGTCGTGCATGGAAAATGGTTTCGGTGTGCTTGGGTAGTGCCCAAAAGCCACCCGACAATGAAGGAGAGTCTACCCAAATCTCACCAACCGCATATGGTGAGCACAAGAGGTTTGTTTCAGGGTCGACTAGTGCGAGAGTGGCATCCGGGATAGGATACCCAAACGCGCCGACTCTGATAGTTCCCGGCTCATTGCCCCTCCTTCTTGCTTCATCGCCCATGGCGACAACGATGATTTCATTGGTCTTTAGAGCTTCCTTGTCAAGTAGAACTTCACTAAGTTCATTTCGACTTTTCCTGCTGCTCGATTTCTTGTTGTTGGCGCCACTAGTACCAGCACCACCTCCGATCAAGCTACTGTAACCATTCGAGGTCGTATTGTCTTGGTTTTGCTTCTCGTCCGCAGGGTTCTCCTCCTCGGGTTCCATGCTCAAAGGACATCCCATCCTCTCTTCACCACCCAGCCAGTCTCTGACCGAGATGATCATACCGCCATGCTCCGGTAAGCAAAGCATTGGCGCTACCAATTCTCGTGCTCTTGGATTCCTCATTGGTCGTAGCCATCTGTCGGCCAGTACCTCATGGAATTCGCAGTCCAATGTCAAGGTATCTATGAGACAAATCTTAACGGAGGAAAAGTTGGGCTCCGTATTCTTCTTGAAGTTTCTAGTAGCCATAGGATCTTGTTGATAGTTGTATGCCGCACGCTTCAACCCAGGATAGTCAGAGACCATAATTGTGGTCCGGTATTTGGAGATCAAGTGAGCATAGAGGCCGGGCGTTTCCACGGTCTTGGCCTCCATCGAGACGGTCGTATGGCCTCCGTAAACTGCGTACAAGACGCCCAAAATCAAACCCGGTCCAGAGCGGGGGTCAAGGTAGCTCAGGACGACTTCACCTGTCCCGCTCTTTTGGGTCGGCGCAATGAGTTGACCGTTCTTGTCTCGGAGGTTCGGATTGAAGGTGTCGTTGTTCTCACTAGCGTTGATCGATGCTGTTATGGCCGTAAGGCAGGCCATTTGATGCATGATCGTGCGGTGGCTCAACACGACACCACGGAGGTCTCCCGTCGGGGCGCGAGAAAATTCAATGTACGCCAGGTCTGGAACCTGGAGGGGGGGAACCTCGTCCTTTTTCTTCGGGTGGTAGCTACCGAACTCGTTCGTTTTCCACCACTCGACTCCGGCAGGCCACTTTTGACGGGAATTGCTAATGTCTCTTTGGAAAGCCTTCAGGTTATTATCTGTGGTCAGTGCCAGATGTGCCTGAGTAGTAGTCAAAAGAAGACTGAGCCTCGTGTAATCATCAACACTGTTCATGGGTACGGCCACTACTCCGGCAATGAAGCATCCAAGCAGCGCAGTCGCGAAGTCGATGATTTCGGTGTCCCGATAGACCAAAGCCACGCGATCTCCGCGGTACAGGTTGCTCTTGTCGCGAATGACTTGCGCAACTTTTTCTGCTTTACTGGCCAGCTTTTCCCAAGTAATCTGCGCAGTCTCCTTGCCTTTAGAATCCAACACCCAAAACGCAGTCTGTTTAGCATTAACACGGCCACGATGCCGCAAAACAGCTCCGATATTGTCAAACTTGGACATTGGCAAGTTTCCATTGTGCGGATCGTAGATCGCGAAGGGAACCTCACGTGGTTCAAGGGGCAACTGGCATTCGATGATACTGGAGGGCGGTAGCTCGTGCTGTCCTAACATAGGCGGAGGTATAGCTGCAGTTGGCGAGAAAGCATCTCCGGACGAATATCGGTTTGGGCCCCCATAGCTATCTCTTTGAGCTTCTAATCCTTGCTGTCCCGCGAAATCCGAAAAGTATCCTTGTTGCGAATCGAGCATTGTGCTCAGCCGGCTTGTGCCACCAGGAGACTGGTCGTTGTAGACTTGCTGATTCGCGGGATTGAAAGCGAAATCTGAGTTGAGCATTGTCCCCTCTCTAGACGGCGGGTACGCCTCTGGAGTCTGCGGACGGGGCACAAAGCTCGTCTCCCCATATGACGACTGTCGCTGCATGGGATTTCTCACGCCCAGCTGTCTCTCCTGGAATCTTCCCACCTGGCTCGGGGGAGCCATCTGTCCCGGCAACTGACCGCCGTAGAAGTCTCCATTGTTAGGCATGTAGGCCGATTGTGCGCGTTGCGGAGTCTCTGACGGCGAATACTGTATTTGGGGCGGGCCCTGGTTGAAGGCGAAAGAGTTGGTACGTGAGGCGTCGTTGCGGAATGCGGCCTCGTGGAAAGACATGGTGCGGGAGCCCTCGTGGAAGGACATGGTACGAGGGTCATTCTGGAGCGTGTCGGCCTGTGACATGGGGCGCGGGTTCATGTACTGCGACAGCAGAAGCGTACGGCGCTTCTCGTACCTTTTGCGCAAGTTAGCAAGCGCTCCTGGGGGCAGGCGACCAACGGCGACAGGCCGCGACCGGCCAATGAGGGAGCAAGAGGGAGGCAAGGGCCGGCGTACCCCTTCTGCGTGATGTCTCCTTCCTGTCGGTACAGCGCATGTCAGCCTTGTCGTCGGACGTCACGGGTGGCGTTTGCGGGGGAGGGCGGAAGGCAGTCACCTCTAGTTCATTGTCCAGCGCCACGAGCTGCGCCTGCAGGTCGGCCTGGTTGGAGTCGGTGAAGGACATGGCAGCAGCGTCTTTGTCGACTTGGGACGGTCGTGCAGCCGACAACGGCTATCGTAGTCTCATCTACAGAGGCCGGAGGATGCGCCGGTCGGGATTCATGTAATCAGCTGGGAGCAGGGCAGGGTCAAGAATACGAAGACCCTGAGCTTGATGACGTTCTGGAGCGAGCGTTGGGCACGAGTGGTCGAGAGAGGTAGGTAGGTAGGTACGCAGGCGGCGGCGCATCCGGCCAGCGAAAGGGGCGTTTGCCGTGGATGCGCGACATTTCTTCCCCGGTGTTCAGACGGACCCCACAGTCCACGGCAGCTAGGTAAACTACACCATCCTCCTCAAGCCCTCTTGCCCGCTGCCCTTTTGACGTGCTCGGCCAATCCCACGTGACCTAGCTCCATCGCGATCATCCGCAACCTCGGCTTCCCAGCCAAGCTGCCAAAAAGCATCGTCACCATGTGAACCTCGGCCGCGTCGTCCTCGCCCTTATCTCGCCAGCTCCTCGTGCACTGCTCCGTCCGCTCCACCGCCGCCGTCATGTCGACTCTCATCAGGCCCCCGCCCATTGATCCGTCCGTATCGGCCATCGAGAACGTGCTGGAGCTGACCCAGCTCTCCGACATCGACCCGGACCTGTTCACCAACACGCAGCCCCTGTGGCATCCTCCGGGAGCTCGGGGCGTGTATGGCGGTGCCATCATCGCCCAGTGCCTCAGCGCCGCTCAGCGCACCGTCCCCGACAACTTCTCGGTGCACTCGATGCACTGCTACTTTGTTCTCGCCGGCGACTCGGAGATACCCGTCATATATCATGTCGAGCACGTCCGAGAAGGACGCTCGTTCGCGACGCGCACGGTACAGGCTCGGCAGCGGGGCAAGGTCATCTTCACCACGACCCTGAGCTTTGTGAGGACAGACAGCGGAGGGGACAGGAAGATTGAGCATGCAGCCGCGATGCCAGATATCCCTGGGCCGGTGGACGAGGAAGAAGACTTGCGCTTGCCACAGGGCCTGGAGGGGCCATTTCAAAGCCAGAGGATCGACATCTTGAATAGTACGTCATTGGCACTTTTGCATCGCGCATCTTGGAGTGCTAACAAGCAGTGCAGATGACTCACCGAAGGCCCATACTAAAAAGACGAGGCAATGGCTCAAAGCTCGGGGCACGATATCGCCGAAAGGCGGGCATCAGGCGCATCTCTCGGCGTTGGCTTACATGTCCGACAGTTATTTCATAGGCACCGTAGCGCGGGTCCACAAGCTCTGGCAATCAAGTCGGCAAAGTGACGGAAAGCCCGGGGTGGATGAGGACGTGGTCAAGAGGCTCCTAGTCGAGGACGAGGAAAGACTGCGAAAGATGCCGGGTATGGACGACCATGTTGTACGGGCGCTGAAGGAGGGAAAGAGTCTAACTGCTGCAAAAGAGGAACGGCCAGAGATTGGCATGATGGTCAGTTTGGACCACACAATCTACTTCCACAACCCGCGAAACTTCCGGGCAGATGAGTGGATGTTCACCGAGATGGAAAGTCCGTGGGCAGGCGACGGGCGAGGGCTGGTCCTGCAACGAATATTCAGCAAAGACGGCACGCTCATTGCCAGCTGTGTCCAGGAGGTAAGCATGGAGAAAACGCCGCGGATGGATGAATCTGACATTGGCAGGGTGTGGTGCGTCTTAAGCAGGCACGCGAGAGCAAGTTGTAGGCAGCCGACGGTAACCGATATAAGTAGGTACTACGTAGAGAGAGAGAGAGAGAGAGAGCACCTTGGCATCAAACTTGGCTGTTGTGGTTGGTGCGTAGGCGCGTACAAGCCTGCAAGGGCCCACTCTGACTCGCTCCGCTGTCGGCGCGGGGTTGCGCTTGTCGAGCGGGGCGGGACCTGTCGTGGTAGGGCGCGCGCGTGAGTCAATAGGTCCTGAACTTTTGACGTCGTTACACCAGCCGCCTCTTTCTCTCCTCCCGCATCCTCTCCTCTGAATTTTCTGCCGCACCACCACCATGCCTATGCTCGCAGACCCCTCAACCAAGTACAAGGCCTTTAAGCCTCTCCACCTCCCAGACCGCCAATGGCCCAGCAAGACTCTCCAGAAGCCGCCTCGCTGGCTTTCTACCGATCTCCGCGATGGCAACCAGTCGCTCGTGGATCCCATGGTATGACTGACTCCTCTCGCCCTTTGTCGCGACCCTTGGCATTAACCGCTGCCTGCAGGACGGTGACCAGAAGTGGCGCTACTTCCAGATGCTCGTCAAGCTTGGCTACAAGGAAATCGAAGTCTCCTTCCCGTCCGCGTCGCAAACCGACTTCGACTTCACGCAGAAGCTCATCAACACCCCTGGCGTAGTCCCCGACGATGTCGCCATTCAGGTTCTGTCGCCGTGCCGCAAGGAGCTTATCCGCCGCACTGTCGATTCCCTCAAGGGCGCCAAGAAGGCCATCCTCCACCTGTATCTCGCCACAAGCCCGTGTTTCCAGCAGATCGTCTTCAACATGAACAACGAGCAGAGCAAGGCTCTGGCTGTTGAGTGCACCAAGTACGCCAGGTCAATTACCAAGGACGACCCCAGCACTGCTGGCACGGAATGGATGTACGAGTTCTCTCCCGAGACTTTCTCTGACTCGGACCCCGACTTCGTTATCGAGGTCTGCGAGGCTGTCAAGGAGGCATGGAGCCCCTCTGAGGAGAACCCCATCATCTTCAACCTTCCGGCAACGGTCGAAATGGCAACCCCCAACGTCTACGCTGACCAGATTGAGTACTTCTGCCGGAACATTTCCGAGCGCGAGAAGATCTGTGTCTCTTTGCATCCTCACAACGATCGCGGGTGTGCAGTTGCTGCGGCAGAATTGGCGCAGATGGCCGGCGCGGACAGAGTAGAAGGTACTCTCTTCGGCAACGGCGAGAGAACCGGAAATGTTGACCTCGTCACCCTTGGTCTCAATCTTTACACTCAGGGCGTTCACCCCAAGGTCGACTTCTCCGATCTCCCGTCCGTCATCGACATTGTCGAGAAAAGTAACAAGATCCCCGTTCATGACAGGGCGCCTTACGGTGGTAAGCTGGTTGTGTGCGCTTTCAGTGGATCACACCAGGACGCGATCAAGAAAGGTTTCCAGAAGCGCAAGATCGAGGGCGCTACGGACGACAACCACTGGCAGGTGCCGTATCTCCCCTTGGACCCCAAGGACATTGGTCGTACGTACGAAGCCATCATCAGAGTCAACTCGCAAAGTGGCAAGGGCGGAGTTGCCTGGATTATCCAGCGCGAGTTGGAGCTCGACTTGCCGCGTGGTCTTCAAATCGCATTTTCCAAGATCATCCAAAAGGAGACCGACATGCTTGGTCGCGAGTTGCTCCCCAACGAGATCTCGAAGCTTTTCAAGCAAGCTTACCATCTCGAGAAGAACCCGAGGTTCACTCTCATCGACTACGATATCACCACCGACCGCTCAGCGTCGCCTGTACCCCCTGAGGCTGGCAAGGCCCAGAACACCATGAACCTCAAGCGGATGTTCTCCGGCGTCATTGAGATTGACGGCCAGCAACACCACATCAAGGGTACTGGCAACGGTGCCATCTCATCTCTTGCCAACGCGCTCAAGCAGCTTGGCATCGACCTCGATGTTAACGAGTACAAGGAGCACTCGATCGGTGAGGGTCGTCATGTCAAGGCTGCTACCTACATTGAGTGCAAGGCCTCGAACTCGGTCCAGAAGGTGTGGGGAGTTGGCATCCACGAGGATGTTGTTCAGGCTTCTTTGATTGCCTTGCTTTCGGCTGCGTCGTCCGTGAGTCCAGCCAGTTGTGGCCACCCTTTTTGCCCATTGCCTTGCTAACAATCTTCCAGTTCCTGTCTTCCAGGCCAAGCACACCGATTCCTTTCCGTCCCAAGTCCCAGACTTTAGAGGCACCCGGCATTTCGCCGTTGAGGCCGCATGGCGCGCCTTCTTCTGGGCCCGATGCGGAAAATCACATCATTGCGAATTTGGAGAAACAGGTTAACGGCGACCAAAACTAGGAGGCGGTAGAGGATGGCGTTTTGATTCCCTTGCATATTGTGTTGGCATATATGTGCATGCCCGATACAGGGCGGGCCTCTTTCGTTTCCAGGGCTAAAAGGCGAAAGTTGATTTGCAATTTTCCATAGCGCATGGTGGCATTGATTTCCAATGATACGCATAATCAGGCACCGTTTTTTTTTTTTTTTTTTTCATTCTGTGATTGCTCGTATTGCGGTGGACAGTGCATGTTCTGATGCAGATAGGCATGAGGGTTCTACTCGCCAGGGTCTCATCGCTAGAGCCGAGGCAAAATCGCGGGTGTGGCATCATCGACGTGGGGTAAGGGACGGGGCCAAGGGCACCCTCGGAAAGAGAAATATGTTCGTCATGCTGCTTCTTTCTTCTCTCAGCAACCATTGCATTGAGGTCACCGCCCATTATGAGCGCAAAGTCAGACACGGAGCTCAAAGACTTCCAGAGCATCTTCCGCCTTGATGGCAAAGTGGCCGTCGTCACTGGCGGCTCGAGAGGTCTAGGCTTGCATGCGGCTTCCGGGTAGGTTTTCAGGGCCGAGCGTACACATCCATAAACTGACATGCTTGTCTTTGGATAGTCTGCTCCAGGCCGGTTGCTCCAAGGTCTTCATCACTTCACGCAAAGCTAAGGCCTGCGAGGAAGCTTGCGCTGCTCTGAACGCTCTGCCCAACAAGTCTCCGGGCGCCGAAGCCCTGTCCGTGCCGGCTGACAGCAGCAACGTCAGCGAAATCGAGCGTCTAGTAGAAGAAGTCAAAAAACATACGGATAGGGTGGATATTTTGTTTGCGAACGCTGGTGCAACTTGGGGCGCGAAATTTGACAGCCATCCAGTCTCTGCCTTTGATAAGGTGGTTGATTTGAATGTAAAGAGTGTCTTCTACACCATACAAAAGTAGGTGTTGGTATCCCATATCCCAGTCCGATCCCTTATACCTAGCATTTGTCCGTAACCAGTCTTGACTGTATGTCTGTTAACATGTATGTCGCAGGTTCGCCCCTCTGCTTGAGGTCGCTGCGTCAGCCGACAGCCCTGCTCGGGTTATAGTTACTGGTTCCGTCGCAGGCATTGGCATAGGCAGCACCGGCGCCAACGCCACGTTTTCGTACAGCGCTTCCAAAGCGGCCGTGCTACACCTCGCGCGCAACTTAGCCGTTGAACTAGGGCCCAGGCACATTTTGGTTAATAGCATTGCCCCTGGCTTCTTCCCCACCAAAATGGCCAATGGGCTTATGGAGGTGAGCGGCGGCGTGCGCCAGCTGGAGAAAGCGAATCCGAATGGTAGGCTTGGAAAACCAGAGGATGTGGCTGGCGCGGTCGTCTTTTTGAGCAGCCGGGCCGCCGGGCATGTCAATGGCGACACGCTGGTGCTGGACGGGGGGAAGATTTGGGCGAGGTCGTCGCTGTAGAGCGAATCACAGCTTAAGATTTGTGCAATTGCCGCTTTGGGCTCGTCTGTTACCGACGTCCAACTTCACCCCATCCTCTCCCCGCACAATTGAATCCTGAACAGCCACGCGGCTACTCTCGGATAGTCTCTCCTTCGGCATCTTCCAGATAAGCCGATGACGCGAAGCATTCAGTCATGAGCTTCTCACTGCAAAATTGTGTATAATAATGCCCAGACACCCCAGCATTGCACATCCCAAAGACGTTGCGCAATCCGCCGCCACCATGTCCTCAGCCGCCAACGTTCCACCCGGACAACCCTCCGCCCCACAACCAGCCTACCTCCCCGCACCGGGCAGCATCCTGTTCCCGCCCACCGAGCTATACTCGCGCATCGCATCAACCGCGACTACGCCCTCAGCGCGCGAGCCTCTCACTACTCTAACGATCCCACCCCGCAGCGGCGCTGCCTGGCACGTCCCGGCAGGCAGCGTCTTCCGGCTCAGCACGCCCGAGGGCCCGCAGGTCGGTGACCTGAACATCTGGAGCGCGGCGAACCCGCGCGAGCGCTTTTGGGCTAGCCGTACGCGCCAGCTGCACGCCAGCCATGTCAGTATTGGCGACCGCTTGTGGAGCTGCTTACCGTATATGCGGCCGTTGTGTGGCATCGTGGCGGATACGCTAGGAAGAGAGGGCAGAGGGCGCTGGGGCGATGCTAAGGGCACCAGTAGATGGGGTGGAAGGTGCCATGATTTGCTGGGGACGAGGTGTGACCCTTACGGTGAGTGTGGCTCGACAATGTCTGACCTTCAAGGGAGAGCAGATTGGCTGCAACGGTAGTCTTGGGCTGGTATATGAAAAGCGCCCGAAACTGCGCTGGAGATTCAAAAATAATTAGTGGGCAATAACTGACTACCACGTCCATACAGTAAATAAGATGCTCACTGGCCGCACGTACAACTACCACTGCCACTCGAACCTCGTGCGTGCCGTGCTCCCTCATGGCCTCAACGAGTCTGATGTCCACGATGTTCTTAACGTGTTCCAGGTCACGGGTCTCAACGAGCGTGGACAGTACTTCATGGAAGCTTCTCCCGCCCAGCCCGATGACTACATCGAGTTTTTCGCCGAGCAAGACCTGTTGTGTGCGTTGAGTACGTGTCCTGGAGGCGACCTTAGCGAGTGGGGTTGGGTCGGTGTCAAGGAGGGCGAGGGGCTGCTCGATGAAGCTGAGGAGTCGAGGCGTATGAGAAAAACTTGTCGTCCCATTAACGTTGAAGTCTGGAGGATTGCGGATGAGGTCAAAGAGAATGTGTTGAAAGGGTGGGAGCCGCCGAATATGAGTAATTACTCGGGGAAGCATGGGTTAGGAGTACCTATGGGAGAGGGCAAAGCGTGATGGACACTGTGATGAGTGGTGCTCTTCCGTTGTTTTGAGGTTTTTTGACTTCTTGTATAGTAATTTTTATTTCTTTGACTGTTCAAGTGTCAATGAACAGCACCTGTCCCATTTGCATCTCTGCCTATGAATTCCATAATGACGATGATGATACAAGAAACTACGCTTCTATCGCAGGATTCTGAATCGATCCATGTTGCTTCCTGAAAACAAGGCCGGCCCTTCAATGCAAAAATGTATGATTACAGAAAGCGCAGCATCAAGGGCAGAACTCCTTCGTTGTAACTGAAACAAAAAAAGTTGGCGCTGGTCAATACAGTCGAAAAACTCTTCAGTGACATGGAGGTTCCAGAAAGACGGAGATTTAGTATAACGCTGAAGCCCAAAGAATGCCTCTGTCTTTAACCCTATACCCGTCGTGAAGGTCCGTAGTTCTTTAAATGTGTCTCAAGTCCATCTGCGGTTACTCCTTGACTACTCTTCGAATTGTACCGTGTCAAACAAACAATTTCTTTGTGTCATCGCCCGGTTATCCTGAGCTATTGACCATCCGAGCTATTGCATTGTACTTGGACGCTTTCTCTTTGTATTGTTTGTTCTCTTCATTAATCTTCCTGATAACCTTGTTGTACTGGTCGACGGTTTGAAGTAACTTCTCCTCATGCTCCGCCTCCTCATGTTGGCTCTGCTGTTGCAGCTGTTCAATGGTGGTTTGTTGCTGTTCAAGGCGTTGGCGGAGTTGTATTTTTGCCCTTAGCAGCTCGTGTTTGTCTTGTAGAAGCTGATCATGTTCTCTGGTAGTGATGATCATGGTGTCGTCTTGTAGAAGATGGTTATGTTTTCTAGTAGCGATGTTCGTGGTATCGCCAGTGTTACCTTGAGATAACGGACTGCTCGTGAGGTTAACGATCTGAGGGTACCTGCCAGAGGTCATTGTGGAAAGGCTCTCTGAGGCAGGTGCGTCGTGACTTGCGCCTTCGCCGTCGATCCCCATCAGAGAAACAGCAGGTGGCACCGTATATCCATCGTAATGAGGTCTGGTAATTCATGTTAGAGCCGTTTGGATGATTCATCGAGGGCTCACTTACCGATTATCATGAGTGGCGGATGGCTCACTGACAGTCTGCTGGGCTTCACTCCCATTCTCTTGTGCAGCTCCAGCCTCAGTTACATCGGCAACACCCTCAACATGGGGAATCTTGCTGAAGAGGTCACTGAAAAAATGCGAGTCCTCGCGCTGCAAATCCTCATGGACAGTGATGAGCGTTGTGATAGCTACCTCAAAACACCAGTCACGGCCGGCTGGACCAAGCCCCTTGAACGGGCTGTCTACAGCTCGTTGGCCATGATGAACCAACATCATAGCACTTCGTGAAAGGATATCCTTCCAGTTGAGGTGTTGCAGCTCATTGCTTTTGGCGCCCAGAAAGCCGTCTTTAAGTGCCTTGTTTTTGTACTGCTTTTGAACAGCATATTTTAGCTTCCAGACAAGGTGGGCAATCGGGTCTTCGTGGCCTTCATGAGCTTCGGAGGCGTATTTTGCAAGTTTTTGCTCAAACGTCTGGCAGCGCTCTTCGCTCGCGGAGAAGAGCTCGGCGAACTCCTTGAGGTGCGGGGCGACTTTGGAGCTCTTGAGCCAGTCCAAGACAAACTGTCTATCCCAGCTAATCTGGCTGAGAAGTCTTCGAAGCCTCTCACTTGCAAACGGCGGTGGCATGGTCGCTTCTGGTTTGCGGAGGGAAGAAGGTGAAATGAAGTCGCGGCGAGCGGCGAGCGGCGAGCGGCGAGGAGGTCAGTGGAATGGATGACCGGAGGCAAAAGGCCAGAGTTGCCAAAGTATTTGTAAAGTGTGAAAGGGCTGTAGAAAATGACGTTACTAGGTAGTGACTGCTTTAAGTCTATCCACCTCTGTTACGCCATTCTTCTCTGATTCTCACTCCAGTTTGCTCACTCACCATTCGGCCCACCAGATACTTAATTGTTGCGCTCTCCGACTCCTAAAGCATACTCCATGCCTTGCGAAACTGCCCCCATGAATCCTTTGGCATATCTAACAGACTCATATTTTCGTTCTCTCGTTTATCCCGCTGCCGGCCTTGTACGCCAGTGCTTTGTTTAAAGTCCCGGATAACTTGCTTACCTCTCAACCATATGCTAAGTAAAATGTACCATACCTACGGAGTATTCCTTACGTAGCTATAATAAACTACTATGCTACGGCTAGTAGTCTCTAAGTAATCATCTAAAGGTGAAATGATACCAAGTACGGTAGAAATGTATACGAAGGCACGAATACAAAGAATTAGTAGAGATCCTATAGAAGTATAGAGATGTAAGATTCTAAGGGTATAAGGATACTTAAGGATACTTACAAAGGTACAAAGATATTAATTATACAAGTAGAAAGTATGTTGCATGATTTTGCAGATATGCAGGAGTGGTGACATTGAAGATTTGGGGAAACATAGACAGTCGAATGTTGAGTGAGCCTAAAGAGATCTTTAGTTGTTAGCATAGAAAAAGGCCTCGGCCCCGGAACCTTGTATGGGTGCATAGGTAATACCTGGACATAATTCAGTGCGTACGCACTTTCTTCTCGTTGTCTACCCTTCCGGAGGTCTTTTTCTTAGCATTTCGGTCTCACGCTCCTCCCTAAGCAGTTAATCCATGTGCATATAAGACATCATTTCGTATTCGTGCTCATCGTAAGCCATAGCTACATAGGCCACGGCCCTTTCAAAGTTTGTCGTAAGACATTCAGACGTTCCGATTTTCCTTGGTGTTCGACCGGGCGTCACCGCGCCTAGCAGACAGCGTGCGTCTTCCCTGTCTGGCCTTGCAGTGAGTGCTTCTCATCCGTAAAGTGTTGGTTCATGCTCCTGCGACGGCCGGACCTCGCACCATGGTTTTGCATGTGCTCCTTATGCTCCTCGATCTTGTGGGGCTCCATCTTATCCAAAACCTCAAGCGCCAGCTTGAAGTCCGTGATAAGCGCATCACACCTGCTGCGAGAAAAGTCCTCGCGCACCACGACGCGCATTAGCTTTAGCTTCTCGCTATGGGGAGCCATGGTGTATGCTGGCACCACCCATCCACGTTCGCGCAACTGATGGGCGATGGCAAACTCGTCGTAGTGTTTACCGGCTTTTGGGTCAAGGCGGCAAGCAACCAGAGGGAGGCCTTTGCCACCAGTCTCAGACATGATGATGAAACCAAGATGTTTCAGAGAAGCAGCTAAGTAGTCGGCAGTGTGGGTAAGATTGCTAGGGAATGTTAGTAGGGAGATGTAGATAATTGTGGAAAAAGTCCTCACCCCATGATGGAACGGTAGCCGTGCTTGCCCAGACGGATCAACTGATAGTACTGGCCAATGATCTGAGAGGCTCCACGAGAGAAGTTGAGTGTGAAGGAGGCTTGATCGGCACCAAGGTAGTTGATATTCTATGTTTCTGTCAGTAGGCGACCAGATAAGGCTGAAACAGTCGGCTTACGAAGATAAGCTCCTTGGGCAAGAATTCGGGATCCCTCCAGACAACCCAGCCAACACCAGGATAAACAAGACCGTACTTGTGGCCCGAGACGTTGATACTCACGACCTTAGGGAGACGGAAATCCCACTCAAGCTCGGGCTTTACAAATGGAGCCACGAAGCCACCGCTAGCAGCATCGACATGAATGGGGCAGTCGATGTTCTTCTCGACCAAGAGATCGTTGATACCCTTTACGTCCTCATACTCGCCAGTGTACGTCGTACCAATGATGGCACAGATACCAATCGTGTTTTCGTCCACGAGCTCGACGGCCTCTTTAGGATCGATGACATAGCGGTCCTTGGTGCAGTAGACGTACTTCTCTTCGACGTCAAAGTATCTCGCAGCCTTCTCCCAACAAACCTGGACGGCCGAGTTCATGATAATGTTAGGCTTCTCGGTGGACTTGCCTTCGGCCTTGCGCTTTTGCTGCCACCGCTTCTTCATGGCAAGGACAGCCAACATAATTGCCTCGGAGGAGCCAATCGTGCTGGTTCCCATGGCATTTGTGTTCTCGTCATGCGTAGGGACATTGAACAAGCGGGCTATCATTGAGACGCAGCGGTTCTGGATGTCGGCCGAGACGGGATACTCCTCATAGTCGATGAAGTTTTTGGCGAAACATTCGGTCATAAGCTTCTCGGCTTCCTCCTCCATGTAGGTCGTGACGAAGGAAGCCAGGTTCAAGGTCGGGGTACCGTCAAGCGTGAGGTCGTCCTTGATCATGCCTTGAGAGAGGAATTAGACTAGCTCTGCTCCACAACTTGTGATTGCTTACGGTAAGCGACCTCTCGCGGCATCTCCTTTTCGGGCATGTCGTGCCTAGGAAGATCCTCGGCAGCGAACCTGGAGCCATAAACGGAGGCTGTGACAGTGTCTTGGTCCGTCTCGGAAGGCTTGAAGGACAAGCCCTCGAGGATGGGCTTGTGCGCCTGGAGATCGTTGACTACCTGAGCAAGGTGTACCATGGTGATGTTGTGTTGTTTGCACCTGAGTTGGAGAGGGAAGGTGCAGGTGCAAGAAAAGGTGTGGACAGCAATAGACAGCAAGCTAGCGCAGACGTTAGGCTTGAGCTTGGTGAAGCTTGGTTTCGCGATGTCTGCGTCATCTGTGACGTGGGGCAGTCACGACCTGTCATGGTGAGATACTGCGCCTCGCCGCTTTTGGCCTCAAAACCTGGCCCGGCGCATCCACCACATCATGATCGGGCTCGTTCCTGAAGATCCCCGTGACCGGGACCGCCTGCTGCGCTGTGCTCAAGCTCTGTCAGCTGGTGATTGGCAGATGCGGGGAAGAGCTGCCGACGTTACAGGACTCGCAAGCTCGGATAAATTGGCCGGCAGCTAGCGGGTCTGCTTGCAGCACTCCAGAAACATCCCGTCACCCGCCTGGCAAACCACAGAAAAATCACGCAGTCATTGTTCCCTACGACTACTTCCTAGACACTCCCTTCGCCTTGCAGAAAATAAAAAGCAAATGCTAAGGCTTCATGCACACTCTATGATACACATAGCTCGTCAATCGTACCCGTGTCCCATAGCAACACCAAACCCAGCTCCCCACCCGTCAAAAATTACCATTAGACCCCGACCGAATCCGAAATGCTGACCCGCTCGCTGAGAAATGCACCACGACAATAACATGTGTATGCAAGGAGACTATTGTGGCCCTGGAACGCCGTGGAAATGCCGCAGACACATGTGCCAGCCTGCCCAAGGACTCAATGCAAAACCAGAGATGATGTATGATCGAAATGACAATGGCTGGTTCGACCGCTCGGTTCCCAAAAGGCTTTCGATGTTGTTCCCTAATCCTAGCCGATTTCCAGAAATGCCGTTCGCTGCCTTTACGCCTTTCGGTCGAAGTTGCAGTGCGTCGGCGCCGGTTCGGGATTTCTACCGCCGCTCCTCGGCGGCTATATAATATTCGCAATGCTGATTCTCGAGGTACTTCCTCCTGTACTTACTGAAGATCCATGGGGTTGCGCTGGCGGCACCACTGCTGGTGGCTGGATGGGCGCAACCGCTTCCGGCGCGAGATGCAACCTCTTGACTGGATTTGCCGGTGACTGGTGGTAATAGGATGGCTGCTGAGCATGGCTCCTTCTCTGTTCCTCTATGAGCAGTCCAATCATTCTCTCGACACGTTCCCAGCCCCCCCACTCTCGGTTCTCCGTGTCCGTGAGCAACCAGTTCATTCTCGGTGCAGGGCCCTCATCAAAGGTTTCCCCGTTCTCCTGCTGTGAGGCACCATGTGTAGCAAATGGCGGGGGAGCAGCTGTAGACGTATTGAGCTTGATGCCCGTTTCGCTGCCAGCCCAAACCCAAGAGTTTTCTGTGCAGCCCTGGAGATCGCCGCTTACGTACGCTAGCATTTCCTCATCCATCTCCAGCAGACCTTGCGTGCCGTTTCCACTCTGAACACGCTCTGTTAAACGGTCCAGAAAGAAAGCAAGATTACGGCCGCACGCCATATTGACTTTCCTCAGGGATCCAATGGCGGCATTGACACGTACGCAAGTTAGGGCGCCCGTATAATCGCCGCGGAAACAAAGGACGAGGATGCAGCGCCACAGATGCGTACACAGCATACGCTCCGTTGTGCATGTAATGCGGGCCTGCCATGTGTCACCCCTGAAACTGGCCGGATCACCCGCTTGTTCGTGGAGTTGGGTAGGCGACAGCATGGTCCTGGAGATGTATTTGACCGTATCCTGTGCCACAGCAAAACAGCGGTTCAAGGCGTCTACCCGCTCAATGTGATGACAAGCGCTGGAGAGGTTGTGCCTGCACAGGTGGAAACGCGCTATTTGCAGCGTGAAGACGGATAGCAACAGCGCCGGGTCGAGGTAGCTTTCCGAGGTGGACTGGTGCGATTCCGGAAACGATGACATTATCGAGCGAAAATAGTCGTCGTACGTTTGGAGCGTCCCGGGTGCGACCGTGCGGGCTTTAAGTGTCCTTTTCAACTGTAGTATAAAGCGCACGACAGGGACGATGGTGGATACGTTTGTTCCGAGATGAGCCGCCGCGGGATGACCAGGCGGTGGTCTGTTGATGCCGTGCGGCTGGATGAAGCGGTCGTCTACCGGACAAGGCCAGCCGACTTCGCAATCATCGTCATCAATGAGGCACGGCCTCCCAACCTCGAGTGACATGAGTCTTTGGCGTATTAGCGTGTGGACAGAAAACGTCGAACAAAGGCACGTCGTACCTATCCCATGAATAGATTGCCCACCAGACCCTTCTGCGCATTTCTCCCTCAATCACAGGCCATGGCCCCGACTCACAATGCAACCCAAGATCTTGCGCGATTCTAACGGCAGACCCCAGCCAGACCCAGGCTGCTGAGGTCAAACTGACCTCAAAGATGTAGGTGCTGATGAGTAAAGTCGTCCTGGCATGGTCCACGGTTAGGTCATCCGACCAAATGTTGATGCTGCGAGCTGCAATGTCCACATAGGTACTGCCTTCCTTTTCAGGTCTCCCGGCGTCGCCTTCTGCGGTTTGGAGAGTCCCGTTCGCCAGAATCGCATGAAATAGCGAAACCCATATTTGGGGAACTCCCTGGAGGGTGCCGGCAGTGTACACTTTGTCGACCTCGGTCTGGAAAGTAGGCCAATGAACCAGTGGCGCATAAAAATGTACAGATTTGTGGTATTGCGCCAAGAGCTTGTCCGCGAGCTGCCTCGGGGGCAAGGCCACGTTGCTGGAGGGATACAACGGGGGCGGAGCAATCTGACGGTAAGGAGGAGGGGCCTTGAATATGCCACGGCCGTAGATTCTGATGTTTTTGCGGACATGGTCGAAGTTACCCATCTGAGGAGGGCCGTGTCTGCGCTCTGGGCTAGGGACTATCTCGGGTAGATTCAGGGTCGGGACATCCATGCTCTGCCGGTCAATGTCCATGGCGCCGCCGTTGTGCAGCATGGAGCGTAGTTGGTTGATTTGATGTCTCGCGTCTGCCAATTGGCTTTGAAGGTCTTGCACCTGCTTAATCGACGACATTCGCCGGTTCGTCTCCTTGGTGAACTGGCACTTCACGCTCCTGCTTGAGCATTCCGAGCAGCTGGAGGTCTCCGTTGCATCACACTTGACCTTGCGTTCTCGGCAAGCGTCGCAGCTCGGATCTTTTCTTCTTTGCCGATACGCCCTCTTTTGCGCTGAGAGGCTCGATGCCGACATGTGGGTCGGCGAGATGCCGGCTGACATTGCCGACTCGGGGTGTTCGCTGAGACTACCGGGGAGACTGCCAGCAACGGCGCTGGGCGAGGTGGATGCATTGCCATATGAGTGGGCGTACGTACTCATCCCGCTGAAATTTCCGGGCGACCGCGGTATGGTGTGGTGCGAGAGCGAGGGAGTATGCAATCCATGAGGCGGCCGGACTGAAGAACCAAGGCCGAACAGGCTGGAGGGCGGCGGTATTACGTTTTGAGGGGAAGCATTGGAGGAAACAGAGGACGAATCGAGACTGATATGAGATTGCTGTTGTTGGCTTGGATAGGGGTTGGCAGATGAGGGTATCTCCATCTTGCAAAAGCGGTAGCTCCACCTCAAGGGCGGCTATGTGGCTCCCTGGGGGGTTTTCAGGCACTCGGTACCAACCGAGATCCCTCAGCGGATCGCCTCGGCGCGAGCAGTCCTCGAGGCCTTTCTGCAACGGGAAGAGAAGGGAAGACCCTGGTCAGCTCCTATACATCTGTGCAGCTAGCTTGTGACGCCGGGGTGAGATGATGGTGCGCGGTAGGCGACGAGAATAGCTCTCCTGGTGCTCGGCCGCGCCAAGTGACGGCTGTGCAAGGAAAGCACGTCGATTGTGCGACCAGTTCGAGAAAGAGCCGATTTGCGCGGGTCAATGGTCGTGGGCTGATCCTGCAATTGAAGTAGCTACAGAATTCCGCAGCTGCATGCAAGGCGCCAGGTCAGCGCATGTTCAGCAACGGCTGACTCCGGACAAAGCCGGTGAGGGAAGCGATTGGACCCTTGTCCTTAAATGGAAGGAAAGTGAGTGCGGGATGGAAGCTGTTGCGATACCGCGACCGGGTAGAGCGAAAGGGTTGAATGCATTTACGCGTGATCAAGCAGAGTAGAGTGGCGGGACGGAGGAGGTAACAAGAGGAAGAGCTCCTACCTATCAGATGCGCGCGTAGACCCCGGCTAGATCGAATGGTCCAGGCGTGGGATCTTCTGGCCGAGAAGACCAGAGTCGCGGCGTGATCGACGACAGCGGTTCGTGTCCGCTCTCGTAAGGCACCCGGGTGTGCTAAGCGGCCGGTATATGCTGCTCGGAGCGGGAAAGAGCCCCGAGGGCGCAATAACGAGATGCTGGGGCGAGTCCGGGTGCCTGGTCTTGACGCGCCGTCGAAAAATTTTGCATGCCCCCTTGTGGGAAGGGCTGCGCGGGTGTGGCTTTCTGGCATCGACGTGATTGTCAACACCACACGGGGCAACGAGCAGGAGCAGAGCGGCGGACGGGCGGGCTGTGGCGCGCCGCGCCACAGCCAGCACACACGCACCACAATGGGTTTTGCCGCCATTCAACGGTCGGCAGCATGTTGATTAACGAGGGAGCACAACATGCGGTGCCCCGTGGAAGCCCAATGATTCTCGTGGTGCGTGCAGGCGGGAGAAGGGCCTTGTTGAGGGCGACGATCACTCCAACTGGGGTGCGGCAGGATCCATCCGGGCGTAAATGATCTCGGGCAATGGAATCTTCAGTAGGTAGGGCTACCGCTCACGCGAGCCCTGGCAACAGGCACGGGGACGGGGGGTTGTAGGCGGCTTGGCCTGCAGCGAGCTATTTGCTGCATGCGTGCCGGCAAGGGTCCGGCGGGCGAGGAAGACGCTGAGGCTCGGGCGTTGATAGTGGTGAATTGCGTCGATAGCCGCGGTCGGGATGCCGACATTACGCTGTGGCTTGGCTGTAGCCGCAAGAGCCACGTTTTTGCTTTGCGACCAGCCGAGGCAGATTTCGGGGCCGAGAAGGCGGGCGGTTGACGGGCAGTCTCAAGTCTGGCGGCGGCGCGCGCCCCCCTGCTCTGCTGGATCTGCGGGATCTCCACGACGCTCTCGGCTTCCTCCGCTACCGCCCGCCCGTCACGTGGACCAGAACCACCTTTCGGCCCGCTGCCCGCCACGTGATCGAGCCATTGTGGCGACCCGCCGCGTCTTGCGCGGTCCAGACTGGCGTATCTCGGATCCGCCCGACCACTCACCTTTTTTTTCTTTTCTTTTTTTTTTTTTTTTTGCCCTCCGCCACCGCAGGAACCTGATGGCGCGAGCGGCTGTCTTCTTTTCTGGCAGCACTGCCAAGCTGCCCTCTGCATCTCCAAGCCCCTGCAGCTGCCCGGCAAGAAGAAGATGTGCAACTCGCCTGTCCATGCCTTCCTCAAGGCCCTGCCCAAGTGCGAACAGCACATCCACCTCGAGGGTGCCCTGACCCCGGCCGTTCTCTTCACCCTCGCTCGCCGCAATGCCATCACCCTCCCGCAGGACGACCCTGCCTACGCTTCTCCTGAGGCTCTCCTCGCCCGCTACCAACGGTAAGCCTCCCCGCACTGACCCCACCAGCCCTATGCCAGTTTCAGACCCTGCAGCCGCTAACCCGTTTGATGCAGCTTCACCTCACTCGATGATTTTCTGCACTACTACTACATCGGCATGTCGGCGCTGGTGACAGCCGGTGACTTTGAGGCCCTGGCGTGGGACTACTTCCAGCACGCCGCTGCCGATGGCGTGCAGCATGCCGAAGTCTTCTTCGACCCCCAGGCGCACACGAGCCGGGGAATCGCTTACGCGACTGTGCTCGACGGCTTCACTGCCGCTCGCAAGCGCGCACAACGGGAACTCGGCATCACTACCGAGCTCATTTGCTGCTTTCTACGCCACCTGCCGCCGGCCGACTGCCTGGCCACGTTTGAGCACGAGGCAGTCCAGGCCAGCTACGTTGGCGGCCAAGTCACAGGCATTGGACTCGACTCATCCGAAGCAGACTTTCCGCCTACGCTGTTCGAGGAGCTCTTCTTCCGCGCCGGCAAGCTAGGCTTGAAGAGTACTGCGCATGCAGGCGAGGAGGGTCCAGCATCGTTCATCGCGGACAGCCTCGACAAACTCGGCACGCAGCGCATCGATCATGGCCGTCGCCTCACCGAAGACAAGGAGCTCATGGCGCGCGTGGCCAGGGACAAGATCCTATTAACCACGTGCCCATTGTCGAACGTGGTGCTGCGTGGCATTAGCCACGTGCGCGAGATGCCAATTCGTGCCTTCATTGATGCCGGCGTCCGCTTCAGCATCAACTCAGACGACCCGGCGTACTTTGGTGGCTACATCCTCGACAACTATTGCGCAGTGCAGGAGGCATTCCAACTCAGCCTCAAGGACTGGGATTGGATCTGTCGGGGCGCGATCGAAGGGAGCTGGTGCGCACAGGAGCGCAAGGACGAGCTGCTGAAGGCGCTGGACGAGCTGCTGAAGGAGTGGGAGGGGAAGAGCATAGAGGGTTGAATGGTTTTTGTTTGCCCAGACGAGATAGACCGAGATACCAAGACATATCGTGTCACCGATGCCGGGATGCAAAACGATGTTGATACCCGGGGCGCATAAGTGAAGCAGGCGGACTGCGCCACAGGGCGTGTGTATGACGCGTGGGAGATGGCTGACGTACGAGGACTCATATAACCCGTAACGCCAGCCCCAACGTCAGCCGGCATTATTCCATGGCTTCCAAGGTCAAGCGCGCCGTGCGCAAGCGGCTCTCGCGCGGCTCGAAAGCCGCTACGGCCGTCAGTGACGCGACGAGCGAGAACATCTCGAACGACAAGGCCGCCTCCAGAGCCTATGACGAGGAGCAGGGCGCCGGCCGCCCCCGCAATCCCCGCCGAACCGTCTCTCCGTCCAAGTACAAGCTGCGCGTCACCGCAGGCCCTTCCTACGATGTCTCCACCCACCGAATCGTCGATGTGAACGCCCGCGACGCCCTGGCGTTCGAGAATCAACACATGCGCGTCAACATCAAGGTTCGCGTGCGCGATTACGAAGGCCTGCCCCTCTCTGCCCCCGCCAGCAGCGCGTATTTCGCCGATCCCGTCCACGAAAAAGACCGCTACAGCATTGCCTTCTCCTTTGTCCCCAAGGCCGATATCCAAGGCACTCATTGCGTCTGGGGCCCTAACTTCGAGCATCCCGTACGCGATCGTCTCCCACCGGGTTTCAACTACGCTTTTGGCATCGTGAAACGCTGGATTGATCCGGGAATTGAGTGTGATGCGTACGCCGACAAGCCCTGGCTGTACGCCCCGGCGCTGAGCTGCTGGTTTGTGCTGCGCGTCGGCCAGAAGATTTCCGCTCACCATAATGTGCCGGAGGTGGATGAGCACCCGGTGTTGGCGGAAGGCGCCGACGGCGACGGCGCGGCAGTCAGGAGTAGACTCGGCTTGCCCGCGGAGAGCGAGAAGCGCAGGAAGCATTTTCTCGATGCGACCAATAGAGATAAGTTTGTTTTTGAACGGGGACGGCTCTACCAAGGCGACTTCTTCAATCCATACCTCGACTTCAACAGTACGTCCGTCCGTCCGGGTTGCCAAGGTGTGGAATGTGTTCTAATTAGTTGGCAGAGTTCGCGCTTCGATTACCGGGCTTCTCCCTCGGCGTGCTCAAATACGTCGACGACAAAACCCACACCCTTCGTTGGGTTTTCAAGAACGCGTCTACCGGTGATGTTTATTTTGTCGTCGTTTTCAGTCTTCTTTACGGAGCTCAGCTAGACGAGGCTCTTCGACAAGAACAAGAAGATGAAGATGGATCGCATCGGCCCTAATAAGGTCTAGATGGGATGTGGCCATGAATAATGATTCTGAGATTGAGGCAGCATAACGCATGCCGGCTTTGCTGTACTTTGTTCTGCTAACCCAGCGATTAGGTTCTAGGAGTATAACACTAAACAATCTCAACAGGGCTTACGGACAGGACAATACATTCAATTATGCTTGCTGTGCACTGGCGCAGGGGGTCAGATAGCGAATCGATTATTAGAGATTTCCGTGCATACTCCAGACAAATTTGCGCGAAAACGCGTATAGTATATAAGTATTTAGTAGTGCAAAGTAAGAATGGGTTATAGAGCTTAATAGTTATATTCTTAGACAACTAAACTTAACTACTTAACAGTAAGTGATGAAGCTTTTAGAGTCAATATCAAATAGTAAATGCAGCAAAATAAGAAACTAGATTCCTTTAAAACTAGTAACTAAGCTTAGAAGGATAGATTAGTAGTTCTTCCTAGCGGAGATTATATTACGTTCTACCTACCGGCTTATAGATATTTATTTACTTAGAGTAGGTGATAGTTAGAAGAGAAAGAGAGTAGTATTACATCTAATAATTTTCTATAGAAACTATATATCTTAGAGAATAAAATAATAACTATATATAGAGCTATTTACTAAAATATATATATTTAGTTAAATATTCTCTACTAATATAATATATATATATATATATAAATTATAAATATTAGCTATTTACTAAGATATATATATTGTTCGGCTATTCACTAAGATATATATATTTTTTCGAGTATTTTCTAAGATACACATATTATTTCTAAGATAAATATATATATATATCTTGGAAATATTCGCAAAATATATAGTAATTTTTTTTAAAATATATATATATCGCTTTTTTAAAGAACATATTTTACTTTTTTTTAAGAATTTATTTTTTCTTAAGAATATAATTCGAATTTTTTTTAATAATATATTCTTAAGAAATAATAAAGATATTCCTAAAAATAAAATTCTAAGATATATATATTTTTCGATTTTATTTCTAAGATATATAATTTTATAATATATTATAGTATATCGAAATATATAGAAAAACTTTAAAAAAAAAATATCTTAGACTTTTTCGATATATATATCTTAGAAAATATATAAATAAAAATTATATATCTTAGTAACTTATAGCCGTTCTAAGATATATATATAAATTTATCTTAGAAATAGTATATATATCTTAGAAAATATTCTTAAAAAAGTATATATCTTAGTAAATAGCTATAAATAAAACTTTTTTAGAATTTTTTTTATATTATATATAGGTTTATAACTCACTTTTTAAAATATATAAATCTAAAAAAAGTATTATTTATAGTATATAGTATAATTTTAATATAGTTTAAATAAAGCTAAGCCTTTCTTTTTCTTTTTAAATATATTTATTATTTTTAAATTTAAAAAATAATAAAAGCTTATAGAATTTATTCTAGAAAATACTTTTAATTTTATTCTAAAAAAAATTCTAGTTATTTTCTAGAATAATTTCTATAACTTTTTTTTCTTATAGATATTTAGCTTTTTATAAATATATTCTATATAATTATATCTAAGATAAATATAGTAGGTATTTATTTACTAAGACTTTTAGGAAAAACTTAAACTTAGTTTTAAAATATTTTATTTTAGATTATATTTTATCTTATATACTATTTAGTTTAGTTTATATTATATATATAGTTATATTTACCTTTAGTAAAGACTTCTTAAATAATAAAAGTCTAGAAATTATATATATATATATTAGATATTATTTTAAAAATAAATACTCTTATAGTATAGTATATTTTTCTAAAATAAGAAAAATTAAATTTTTTTAACTAAAAGTACTACTCTATATACTCTAAAAAAAGCTATACATTTTTATTAATATTCTATATTAAGTATTTAGTATATAAATAATAGGCTATTTACTAAGATATATATTTTTTTCGTAAAATTTCTAAGATATATATAATAACTCTAAGATATATAAATATATATATATAGTATTTTATTACTAAAAATAAATATATATCTTAGAAAATTATATTAAAAAATTATGTATCCTAGAAATATATTTTCGAAAATTATGTATCTTAGAAATATTTTTTAGAAAATTATGTATCTTAGAAATATTTTTTAGAAAATATATTCTTATTAAATCGAATATATGCTTAAAAAAATCGAATATATTCTTAAAAGAAATAACTAAATAGAATACCTAAACGCCTAAAAGTAGAACTATAAAAAATTAATCTCTTCTTCTTCTTCCTGCGACTGAGACCTAAGTAGATCCTAATTAAACTAAATATTTTCGAAAATTCTAAGTTTTAAGAATGTAGATTCTAATTGAACTAATTTTTTTTTATAAATTCTAAGTTTTAAGAGTCTAAACTAAATTAAATTAGATAACAAGAACGCAATCCTAATAAAAAAAATTTATTTAGAATTTATTCGTTTTTTTAAGACTTTTTTTTTTAGAAATATATTCGACTTTTTGTAAATATTTAATGGTTTTTTTTAAATAAAAAAATTAGGAGTTTATTCGTTTTTTAAGAATATATTTTTTAAGAATATATTCAATTTTTCTAAGAGTATATTTTTTTTTAGAATATATTCGGTTTTTTTTAAGAATATATTTATTATTTGTAGTAATATGTTTTTTTTTTAAAAAAAAAATTACTAAGATATATAATTTTTTTCGAACTAATTTCTAAGATATATATATTTTCTTAAATATATTTCTAAGATACACGCTTTTTTTTTTCGCTAAATTTCTAAGATATATATATATTTTGATTTTTTTTCTAAGATATATATGTTTTTTATAATATACTATAATATATTTATTTACAAGCGAAATATATAAAAAAGTATATATCTTAGAGAGACTTTTTCGATATATATATCAAGAAATACTATATATCATAAAAATTTTATAAAAGTGTATATATATATATATATATCTTAGTAAATAGCCGTAAAAAATATAAAAGCTTTTATTTTAGAAAAGTATATTTTTAAAAAATATTAAATTATAATAATACTTATTTATTTATGAAAATAGTAATAATTATTTATTTTATAAATTATTTAACTAAGTTACTATATCTTAGTGAATAACCTTTTTTAAATACTATAAAATTTTTTAAATTTATTTAGCTTTTTATATAAATAAACTATAAACTAGTATAGTTTAACTTTTAATTTTTTTTAATTTTTTTTACTTTTTTTTTAGAAAAAAAAAACTAGGTATTTAGGAAATCTTTTTTTTATTAAAAAAGCTAAATAATTATATTTGAAAAATATATTAGTAAAAAAAAGTAACTTTACCCAAACATATTTTTTAAGAAAAAATTAAATATATCTTAGAAAAATAATTTTTAAAAAAAATATATATTATTAAGTTTTATTTATAAAATATAAATCTATTTAGCTTTATACTATTATATATATATATAGATATTTTATTTAGGATATATATATTATTTTAAAGATAAATAAAAAAAATTAATATCTTAGAATTTTTTACTAAATATATACTAGTAATTTATTATAAAGGTGTTTTCTTTTTAGCATATATTTTATTTTTTAGATTTTCTTTAAAAAAAATATATATTCTTCTTTTCTAGGAGTATATTTTACTTTTTTAAGTAAAAATATTCTTCTCTTTTTTTTTAAGAATATATTCTACTTTTTTTTTTAAAAAAAAGAAAAAGTATATTTCTTTTTTTAAATAATAAAAAAACTCTTTCTTCTAGTATGTTTTATTCTTTTTTTATAAAAAATTATACTTAGCTTTTTTTAGAGAGAATATTTTTATAGATCTTTTTTTTTTAAAAAAAAAAGTAAATTATATTTTTAAAAAGTAAAGTATATCCTTATAAAAGTAAAATAAATTCTTATAAAAAAAAACTACTTTAAAGTATATTTCTAAGATAAATATATCTAAAAAAAAGTTTCTCTAAAATATATATACTTTAAATATTTTTATAATATACTATAATATTTATTTTTTTTTATCTTAGAAATAAAATAAAAAAGTATATATTATAGAAATTAAGCTAAAAAAAAATAATTTTTTAGAAATAAAAATTAAATATATATATATATATATATATATATATATATTATAGAAATTAAATTAAAAAAATTATATCTTAGAAATAAAACTTAATTATATATATATTTTAGAAATTATTTCTTTTAAAAACTATATTCTTTTTTTTTTAAAGAGAATACATTTTACTTTTTCTAAAAGAATATATTTTACTTTTTTCTAAAAGAATATATTTTACTTTTTTCTAAAATATATTTCGCTTTTTTTAAAATTAAAATTAAAATTAGTAGATTTATTTTTATAATAATTTCTTTCTAAAAAAAAAATAGATTTATTATTTTTCTAAAAAAAAAAAGCTAAGTATATTCTAAAGAAAGAGAGATATATTTTTAAAATTTATTTCTTAGACTTTATTTACTAAGATACTATCTCTATTATATTACTTTATACTTTTACTAAGACTTAATTAGTAAAAAAATAAAATATTAAAAGTATTTATCTATATACTATTTCTACTTATATATAACTACTTTTTATAAGAGAAAGTTTATATATAGTAAGAGCTTTTATAGGCGTAAGATCGCTATTTCTAATAATAGAGTTAAAAGATATACTTTAGAAATAGAAGATTAATTACTAAGATAGATAGCCTATAGTAGTAAATTATCTTTTACTCTATTTTAGAAATAGTAAAGGTACTAAAATATCGTGATATAGAAAAAGTAGTAAATATTTTCTTCTATTATATTTAATAAATATAAACGATATTTTAGTAAATAGGGCCTACTAAGAGATATCTATTTTTTTTAAATATAGCTTTAAAATCGGCTATTTACTAATATATATAATTTTTTTCGTATAATTTCTAAGATATATATAGTATTTCTAAGATATATAAATATATTTTTCTTAGAGTTTTACGCTGTATATATAGTATTTTATTACGAAAATTACATATCTTAGAACTATATTTAAAAAAAAATATATGTATATTTTAGAAATTATATTTAAAAAAATTATATATCTTAGAAATAAATATCGAAAAATTATATACCTTAGAAATATATTTTTTAGAAAATATGTTCTTATTATATTAAACATATTCTTAAAAAAACGAATAAACTCCTAAAAAATTAAAAAACTAATAATTATTCATAAAAAATCGAATATATTATTAAAAGAATATATTCTTAAAAAATATAGTCTTGAATAAATATATTTAAAGAAAATATATATTCTTTAAAAAAAATATTCTTAAAAAATCGAAATAGATTCTTAAGAGAAGATATATTTTTAAAAGTATATTCTTAAAAAAATATATATATTCTTAAAAATAGCAAAATATATTCTTTAAAAAAAAAGCAAAATATATTTACAAAAAAATAAATAAAGATATTCCTAAAAAAATATATTATTCTAAGATATATATATTTTTTTCGAGTATTTTGTAAGATATATATATCTTTTAAAATTTATTTCTAAGATATACGTTTTTGTAATATATTATAATAAATCGAAATATATAGAAATATTTAATATATACATATATATATATATATATGTCTTAGAGAGACTTTTTCGATATGTGTATCTTAGAAATTATACGAAAAAAATTATATATCTTAGTAAATAGCCGTTCTAAAATATATATTTTTATAATAAATTGCTATATATATAGTAAAAAAAAAATTCTATGATATATATATTTATCTTAGAAATAATATATGTATCTTAGAAAATATTTAGAAAAAATATATATCTTAGTAAATAAATAAATTAGTTACTATATTTATAGCTTAAAGCTTTAATATATATTAGTAAAATTTTTAAAAAAATAGAGAATACTTTAATAGATAGCTATTTAGTACTAAGCTTTAAGTATTTAATTAGCTTTTTATTACTTTATCTAATTTACTAATAAGAAATTTTTTTTAAAACTAAAGAGTTTGTTATAAAATTTAAATTAAGCAGTAGCTCTTAAGCTTATTTTTTTTTAATATTTTTTTTATATATTTTTTTTAAAAAAAAAACTAAAGATTTAAAACTATATAATATAATAATAATATATATAAATATATTTTTTTTACTATATAATATATTATTAGTATTATTTAAATATTTACTCTTAGATTTTATTAACTAGTTTATTACTTAAAGTAAAAATAATTAATATATTTATTTAAAAAAAAATAATTTAATAAAAATAGTTACTAGTAGTATATAGTATATCTATAGATATCTATTACTAAGTAAGATAAATTTAGAATAAAGACGTTTCTTTTTTTTATGTACGAAGTAGCTGCCCTTAATTATCACTGCATCATGTCGACACTCTGTGGGGTTTGCACTGAGCGACCACCGAAATACAAATGTCCATCATGCGAAATACGATAGTATGCTTCAACTCATACATACCTTCTCTCAAACTGATTTAGTTCGCTGATAAAGGTTCAGTTGCTCGCTCAACTGCTTCAAAGTGCACAAGCCGGTCCATGAAACGCCTGACGATCCAACCACAGACATCGTGCCCTCTTCGGAAGCTCACCTTTCGCAACCCAGCGCACCCTTTCTGGCCAGCGCAACCCTGCCACAGTCTTCTGATGACACACCGTTCAATGCGCTTTTGAGCAACCATACCCTACAGCACCTCCTCCAGAGACATCCGGGTTTGCGCTCCCAACTGCAAAGGATATACGCTTCCACTCTCGAACCGTCATCGAACGATGTTGCACCCGCTTCCCATAGCCGCGGAAACAGAGGATATCGTGGCGGATATCGTGGACGAGGTCGTGGACGAGGTCGAGGAGATGGCAGGCCGAGAGGGCCATGGAAGCAGGAAGCTGCTGACAAAGGTGCTGTAAGGCAGATCTTGCGAGTGCAGAACTATGAAGGGGAAAGCGGTGACGGCATGAAAGAATTTGTGGCTTTGACCCAGAAGCTCTACGGAGAAAACGTCAGCGTGGAGAAGAACCAGGATACCGATTTTTCTGTGGATCGCTGAAGAAGTTAAAGGGTTACCTGCTAGGGCAGTGATTGTTACATCACCGTCCAGTATGCTGCGGACGCACAAGTATGCCGGCGATTAAACATCGGAATGTGGAATGACTACGAGGGATTAGCTAGTCGGCGGACAAATCCGCACTCAAGCGGCCTCCATTAAACATATGCATCTTTGCGCAGCTGCCATACACCGGCCTGTGGTTTGATTAAAGCAGATGATATGGCACCAATACTGCCTCCACAAACTAGGACAATGATTAAGAATGCATTGTGCGCTCAGTGATTCAATTCATTTTGATATACTGCAGTCAAAGAAGGTACCAGTGGTATCTGGCGCAGCTTGCACACTTCGACGCAGCAGCATTTGACTGCAGTCTCTCGTATGAGTAGCATTTCACAATATTCTGCTTCCTCACACTGCGCCTGAGCCTTAGCTTGTAGGGCTCCATAACGTCGGGACTAGATCCCTTTCGATCGCAAGACATTGGTGCTGCGCATTTTCCTTCACAGAATGGTCTCTCCGCCATGCTCACCCTCGAAGCCGTATGCTTGCAGCTTGGCTTGCCGACGCTTATCTTTCTTCTTGCGCTCCTCTATCTCTTGCTTCTGTAGGGCGAAAACCTGCTCGGCTGGTGCTTGCTGGAATGGCTCAGGGATGTTGTCGTCCTTGTCCAGATCCTGCGAGGCATTCGGGTCAGCTCGGGTCCTTTTAAGAATTTGGTCTGCGGTGATATAGGGAGTCATACAATCTCGCCGAGCAGCAGGACGTTCTCTCCGCGAACAAGGAAAATGCCGCGGTTGATATCAGCGTAGAGGTTCTGGACGAAGATCCGTTCCGTGGTGTCTTGCAGGACAAGGTTGGCTGCAAACTTTCATGTCAGCGGACTGTATCACCAGCAAGGCATGGCGTGAAGGATCATACCGAATTGATCCCAGCTTCTCAGCACACCGATAAGTTTTCTACCATCACGCAGAGCGACCATGAGCTTCTCTAAGCGCGTGAGGTTAGCATAGGTTACACCAATTGCGAAAGGCCAGGGGTGGACCAACTGTCGGTCAAGTCGAGAAGTTGAGCGGCGGTGGTGAACATCTGCGGCGGGAGCTGGGGGACCATGGGTGGCATGGGCTGGGCATGTTGCTGTGCTTCTTGTCCTCCCGCGGGAGGCGGGTCATTAATCGAGAGGTTCTCCATGGACCAGTGCAGCAGAAAATTGTGGCAGAAAACGGAGTCAAGGCCAGTCCATGACCACAAGCAAAGAGAGTTGCGTGAAGCGCAAGAGGTGTTCGGAGACGCGGTGATTGACGTTATGGAACTAACGTTTGTCCGTGCGTCAAGCCGCACTACGTACCCCAAAGTAACCCCTCCTAGGCACCGTGGCACCGCCAGCCACAACACCATGCACAAAGCCACATCGCACGAATAGGACGTCTGGTAACCATCTATACTGTCTGTATTGTATTGTCTACAAAGGAACCCGTCTTCCTCACGACTAGGGCCCAGATCCCGCTGAGTCCGAATCGTCATTGTCGTCCCGTCCATCCGATCCTCACCCACCAGGATGCCAACCCTCCCGGGTCAATGTGCCTTAGGCCATTGGGATATCACTGCTTGCCCATCCATCCGGTGAACGCCCCGCACATGAAAAGTAAAAAAGAAAAAAGAAATCCGTCCAGTAACACTTGCACTCCGCTAGTGTTTCATGAGGACCTTCCTGTTGGCACCCTTTGTACCCAACCTCTTGGCTTGTTCCATCATACCTTCGATCCACTCCAGTTTCTCCTCGGACAGTTCCAGCTTCTTCGTGTTTGGACCCGCAAGGCCAACCTCTGAACCTTGCCAAGACCTCTGTGAAGTTCCCGATGCGCCGATCTCCGGTATGTCTTCCATTCCGTTAGGAGTGTATGTTGTCATGGCGCTACCTGGGCGAGACACGCTGTTCGAAGATTTCGTGGGGGACATTCCAGGCGTACTGCCGTTCGACGTCGGGGCCGGTGGCAACCCACCCGGACGGCCTCCCTTGACGCTATCAGAGCTGTGGGAGCTTGTAGGCCGGGCTGCGTTCCATTCTTGGTTTTCTTCGATACCCAGGACTTCAAACTTGCCGTCTGAGACCACCCGTTTCCCATGGTGCTCAACGTATTGCCTCAGATACTCTCCCAGATCAGCCCAACCGCCTCCAACACGAACCATGACTCTCTCGCCATTCTCACCAACCCTGCGAACGAAAAGCTTGATAGGCTTATCTCTGCCTGGTTGCATGAGGTGGTAGAGCTTGATGCCAGAATCTCCATGAGATACAGACCTACGGGCGCTGACCGATCTCTCGTTTTCAGGCTTAACGGGAGACATGGTCATGGAAGCAGCATTTGGTGTGCGAGAAACCCTTAGTGAAGAAGGAGGACGGGAGCCGGAGACATTACGATTCGGTTTGTAATTTATTGGCGATGAGTCGGAGGAATCATGGCCGGAAGTAAGGCGAATCGGAGCGTGCACGGAGGTGATGATCCGACGAATCTGTTTCTCTAAGTCTTCGGTTGCGCTGGATACCCGCCGGTTCTTGTTGCTTTTAGGAACACCGAGGCCACCAGAGAGCGTTGCCGGGGAATCCGAGCTGTCAAAGACAGTGTAATCGTCGAAGTTTGCCAAATAATCTCCCGCAGATATAAGGCGAGATCGGTCCATGGCAGCTCGACGCTTTGGCATGGTCGAATTCAAAGATGAAGGCGGTGCTCTCCCACGGAGTTTCTTTGGAAGTTGGCGTAGTGATGGAGAATCCTCAAAGCTCCCGCCAAAGCTTGATTCTGGGGAGGAGTCAGGATAATACTCTTGAGAGTACCGTCGCTCGGGCGTTCCTACTTCGACGCTTTGCTCATCGATGCTGCGGGATGGTGACTTTATTTCGTCCTCATCCGTAACTGATGCGTTGCCGCCATGTGAGAGCGCTGGCAACGAGCCATCATACAACTCTTGCGGAGGCCTGGCGGCCTGTCGTGAACTACTGTTTTGGCTGGCACTGATGTCGGTGACCGGAGCCGGAGCAATTGATTGAGTAGAAGCTACAGAAGCGCGCTTAAGGCCCGCAGGATCGGGTGTTTCGGGGGCGACAGATTCCTCCTTCTGATGTTGGGATTGCTTCGATTCTCCAGGCATATGCTCCGACGCCGACAAGACAGCCGCTTCGACAGGATTGGAAACCTCAATCAAAGGCCCATTGCCCACTTCCGTGCGCTCAAACCGGGGGCTGTGGAACTGTGGAAGATAGAGATGCGGTTCGGAGTTCGACCTAGTCCGTTGATGGCCTTTATCACCTTGAGTGGGATGCAAGAGGGATGGCCCGCTCTGCATCATCTCCGCGACACTACCACTACGCTTCGGTGACTCGGCCGGGTCTTCTTGCAGAGTGAAATCGTTGGCCGCCGATAACAATCCATGCTTGGCGAACTGACTGCCACTGAGTCTAAAGGGCTGACCCGCCCCGCGAGCCGACGTCGGCCTGGTGAGCTTTTCCGGAGGTCTAGACATCAGCATGTCGACCTCAAACAGCCGCCTCTGGGCCTCGACAGCCCATTTGGTGTAATCTGTCTCAAGGGCCTCGAAGTCATCTATCCAGTGGTCAGGTATGACGTCTTCCCTTCCCTCCAGTGCATCAAGCATCCCATCCAACTTTTGCCCAAGAGTGCTGATCTTATCCTGAAGCACGCCACGAATGGTCTTGACGGCTTCTTTCCAGTCGCTCAATGCCTTTGTGGATTGTTGCGATTGCCCGGGAAGTTCCAGGGCATCCCAGCCCAAGCGCATGGCTGTCCTTGCGCCGTCAAGGCCGATCAAGAAAAGTGGCACTTCCCGAAGCACGGCCAGACGCACCGACCAAACACCCGTCAATTGATTTAGCATTGACAGGTAAGGCAGCGCTTGGAGCATGGTCTGAGTCACGACAAATGAGAAGTCGTCCAGCAGGACCGGTTGAGTGGGCTTGTCTCCGAAATTGGCGTTGGGTCGAGATCTGTCGGCCGGATGCATGTCGAGGATGTGGCCCTTCAATTCGTCCATGTTCAAAGCTTCCAACTCTTCCTTGATTTGGTCTATGCGCTCTCCGTAGGCCAAGACCTGTGCGGCCGGTAGAGAACCCCAATGTTCCTTTGCGCCAACGTGTGTACCTCCGGACGGCGCCTCGGCGGGCCCATTATCGGCGCAGTGATCCGTGCTCTTCTCCTGAATGTCGGACTCCTTTTCCTGCGGTACATCGAAGCTGCCCGACCATTTCCAGCGGTCCAGCTCGACACACCAGGTCTTGAGCTTCTTGGTGGCGAGGGCGACTCTGGCGCCGAGTTCCTTTTCGGCGCTTGAGGCATTGGCGATGCCCTTCAGGAGGTCCTGCTCGTTGGCGCCGGCAGGCGAGGACAGGCCTTCGGTGAAGGCCTTGAGAGTGACAGAGGGAGAGACGGCCCAAGTGGAGTCATTGATGCTCATGTTCTTCCGGCGATCGCGGGTTGGCGAGGCGGCGGGTGAATTGTCCCTGGTGCGGTCGAAGAGCGGCGTGGCAAACGAGAGGCGGCTCGGGCGTTGCGCCGCCATGGCTGAGGGTGGTGGCAGCAGGTGAGTGAAGAGCAGAAGCTAGCTGGCATGGAAGGAGGAGTGGCGGGATGGAAAGAAAAGAAGGGCCGTCGAGCGTCATGTCCGATGCGCGCGTTTCACGAGGCTCAATCATAGCCCGCGGAAGGAGCTGGGCGGGAGTGAGCTATGTCAGCGGCTCTTCCCGGGAGCCCGTCGGAGATGATTGGCTCGGCACGCGCGAAATTGGCAATCTTGGGCGCCTGAACATGTCCTTGTCTGTCGCGCTGTCACAAGGCTGCACGTCGGTCCTCCAAATATAATCCTTCTCACCACCACCACTCACTCGCATGCTGATGGCCACGTCGTCTCCATACTTTTGGCTCCACGATGTGCTCCGCTGCTCCATTGATCCACGATACTCCCCCGCGCCTTAGCGGCTAGCGCTCCCTCCATCTGCAGATCTGCCCATCGCCGTGCACCTCCACCCACCTCCACAAACCCAACCACCACCAGGAGGCCTGCACCTCGCGAGCTATTTTAAGCTCCCGTTGTACTGTACTATGACTCGTGCCTCTCCAAGCCCGCCACGTTGGTCGACCCGCTTTCAGTGCTTCGCCTTCTCCTTCTCCAGCCGGCCCTTGCGCACGAGAGCGTCGACCCTGTAGCAACTTGTCAGCCTCTGCTCGTTTTGCGCCAGCGCTTCGAAAAGAAATGGTCACCTTTGCAGAGCCCCAAAACCCTCAATGAAGCACGATGTAATCCAGCACCACCACAACCCACCGCCAAAGGGCACGTTGTGTTTGCCCAGTTTGCGCGCCATGATAGAGGATTCGAACACATGAATAACAATCATCAATACCAGAATGATTGGCTGTACCTTGGCTGTGAAGCTTGCTAGTGCTGGCACATATTTGAGAATGTAATCATGGATGTATGACCCCGGGAGGGCGTTTGCTCGTCTCGAGACCAAGACGTAAGTGAGGGAACAGACTGTGAACACCACAGCGTGAAATCCTCGTGGTCGCGTATATGTCTTGACGGTGATGTCGCTTCTGCGCAGTGCAGTCACGGCGTCCTGATCCATCTTGATCACGCGTTCACGGGCTTCGCGCCACGACTGCATGGGCGGCTCGAGGGGGATGTTGTAGCGGTGGCCTGCGGCTTGGATGCTCATGGAGCCCAGAGACATGCCCACCAGGCGCGCATTGCGGGCGGCGAACGACGAGACATTGCAATAGTGCTCGAGATAGCGACGAACCTAGCAGGCGAAAACCATCAACCGGAGGAGAGGGAGGGAGGGAAAAGGGGGAAGGACATACTGAGTCTTGGTGGTCAGCATTCATGTGCGAGACGATGCGCTGCCTTGCGGCGGCCTCGTGCGCATGCGGATCGGCGGCCATAGCAAGACTGCTCCCAAGCTCCTGTATGTCGATGTTTGGACGTGGGACATGGCACCCCGCGATTTTCCCGCCCGGAGCCAGGCAACGCTCGGGCCCGGCACCTCCGCTTCCAGTCACGACTCTCGGCCAAGCCCTGCCCCTCATCCACCCGGCCAGCCACGACTCGTCTGAATCAAGCCACGATCCCCGTCCTCTTGCGGCTTTCCGTCTCATTGAATCATAATCAGGCCGGATGACGACGGCATGGCTGCGGTCGCGATGGAAACCTGGCACGGGCTCCCGCTTTTGACTGAAACCGGGACTTGTCCTGCGACCCACCGTGCCACAGGGCTGCCCCATCCTTACCAACTTGCGTCACAGGTAGGGTTGCGTGGCTCGTCACCTCGTCTGCGCTAAGACGGCCAGGTCCGTCTGGGTTGCAAACTTGCTCGCGCGTGCCTTTCTCTTTTCTCCCCTTCGGATCCTCTTCCTGCACCTCTGACCCAGCTACTACCTTCTAATTCTACCCACACACATCCTTCCCTCTCAGCTCGTACATAACAGAACAAAACCATGGCGGACAAGACGACCGACGAGACCCAAGCCTCTGCAGGCGCCGAGGGCCAGGCGCAGGGCAACGCATCCGTTGGCGGAGGCGCTCAGGGCTCGAACAAGAAGACCACCGAAAAGAAAGCCCCCAAGAAGCTTGGAAAGAAGCAAGAGGAGACTCAGCAGCAACCCACTCCGGACCAATCGCCGGCGGCAGGAGAATCAGACGCAGAGGCCGATGCTGATGGAGAAGTGGACGGCGAGCCCGAGCCCCAGCCAGAACCGGAGCGCAAGCAATCGCAGTCTAGGCGCCGCCAGTCTCGTGGCCGAGGTCGCAGGAATGTCCCCGACAGCGACACCGAGTCAATTCCTCGCTCCGATGTTTCGGCGTCTGGCGGACGTCGCAACCGTCAGCGCCAGAGGCAGAAGGGAGGCAAGCAGCAGGGCGGCGGCGGACCGCTTGACGGCATTACCGAGAATGTGCCTGGCGGTGAGCTTGTCAGCGGCGCCGGCGACATGGTGCAAAATACGGCCGGCAACGCCGTCAACCAAGTTGGCGACACTGCGGGCAAGGCCCTGGGCGGCTTGACCGGAGGTGGAGGAGGCGAGGAAGAGGACGGCGGCAAGGGCGAGCAACTCCGCCTGCGCCTTGAGCTGAACCTGGACATTGAAGTGCAGCTCAAGGCGAAGATTCACGGTGACCTGACTCTGGGACTACTGTAAGTACAGCACCACGACAGCCTTGATCCTGGCACTGAAACTAACGGCGTGGCAGTAACTAAGGTGGAAATGAATGCACGGGTAAACGTCACGAGTCACGCAGGATACGGGGAACAGGTTTTGGCGGTGTAATTATTTGTTGTTATTCGTAGCAAGTCGAATGGTAATGGCAGGTTCCTTTAGTTGCTATTCTAGTGTCTCGGAAGTGCAGTCAAGAGTCGTCAGTCGCGAAGGATCCGGAATTCGGCAGCCGCCGGCGGGTGGGTCGGGCGGTTGAGTGGCAGTGGCTTGAATCTACGACTCCGCCACTTGACGTCATTCGGCGTGTCAGCATGCATCTCACCCGCGTGTCCCGGCTGCTTGCGTTCCAGCATTCTTGATTTGCATTCCCGCCCGCTAGCTAGCGATAGTTGCCCTGTTGCTGCCACGAGGCTGGTCCTGAGCTCCTTACCTCCCTCCATCTGTGCTGTCTTCCTTTCCCCTCGTCCACCCAAATCCTCCAAACTTCCATATTCAACACCGCCATCATGTCCGACTCCGAGGGAGACCACCCCAAGCAGTTCCAGGCTGAGGTACAGTCTCAGCGCACCACCATGCAGCAGCAGAAGCAGGAAAATGCCATGAAGCAAGCCAAGCGCGAGGCTGGCCAGCAGTCGAATCGCTCCCGTTCCTCGTCTCGCCGCGAGCGTCGCAGGCGCATCCAAAAGGCCATGGACGAGGGCAAATACATGAAGACAAACAGCCTCGAGGCCTTGGAAGAGGCCGACGCCAATGGCGAGCTGCAGCAGATGCAAATGTTCGAACGCATAGGACCCGACAGCACCTCCATGGACGGGCCTGTCACCCACGCTCGCGCCATGCGGGGTGAGATTCCCATGCGGGGCACCAATCCAAACCAGCCCTACAAAGTGGACTCGGAAGAAAAGAAGAGCGCGTTGGACGAGCAGGATGGCTTAAAGCTGAAGCTCGAAGCGAATTTGGAAGTCGAAATCGAGCTCAAGGCCAGCATTCGTGGCGACCTTACGCTTTCTCTCTTGTAAGTTTTTGCGCTCATTGTTTCACGATACCCCCCGGTGCTATGTCTACCTTGTTCGACGGCCTATTCAGGCTGATATACAAATGACTAGAGAATAACCGTGATACCACCATAGTGCGTAAGCGACCGGTGCTGACGACGGATGGTTTCTTTCCGACGACAGTCAATGATGTGGTAATGATCTATCGAGGAGGACACTTGGGGTATTCATTTGCGCGTTGGGAGTTTTCACGGTACCTATTCTAATTGGACGAGGCTTCTTGGGTAAATATTAGAAAAAGCTACGTCTCGACGAGCTTCCCATCAACATCCTCAACGCACATGAACGCCATGCAGTGGATTGAGGTGGGATGCGGGTGTGCCTGCCTTCTGTATGCGCACTATTGTTTTGTGTGGTCAGGCTTGTGACCGGCTAGGAATGGATACCCTCGAGTGCAGATGGAAACTGCATTGCCATGTAGCTATAGAAATGTTCACGCCTGCAATGATTTCTTACGTATGTGCGAAAACATTGGCCGGTGGTCAGTATCGCTCATCCATCCTACAGCCGCTTGGTGGCTCTTGTAAGGCATGATCGACTGTTGATTTCTCTTTGATATATATGTCCAAGTGAAACTGAACACTAAGGGTGCCGGGGATATTGTTAATGTTCATATCTCCATGGTGAGTGATACTCCGTTGGTGCGAAAATATATAAAATTACTCCTGATTTGTATAACTAAAAACATGCTCCTATTAGATGTAAATAGATTTAACACTTCAAGGTTACTCTTAGAGAAATCTACACTTGAGCCTGTGCCTGTAATGTCCGTCACCGCGAACCGAGATCCACCGTCTAGCGAGATAGGAGATAATATAATTAGTCCCGCCCGACAGAGTACTCGCCTAGCTCCTAGCCCGAGTCTTAGGTCTGGGTGAAAGGGTCTTAGGGCATACACAGACTCTATATATCTTAACTGGGTATTTTCTTCTACTCTATACAATTATCACCATCTCGCTTTACGGTGCATCTCGCTTCACGGTGATGGACGTTAAGGTTGTAATGAAATGTGTACCCCTCGAAGTCATAATCTATAGCAATATTTAACCTCAACACCGTTGTACGCCCCGCTAACGCCTTACATTCAATGTATTACTCTATCCTGTATTATGGGAGTCAGGTCATTCCTATGGTGACTGTTGGTATTCCGGGTATCAAACGCCATGTCTATGAACTTTCCCTCTCAAATACTTGTATTTCCACACAAGTCCAAACGCATTATAATCGCACGGCTTTAGGGGAAGCAGCGCATATCCGTTACGCAAAGCTTTTCTTCTTGCTAAGCCGGCTGAAGACGCTTGCGACCGGGCTTACCAGCTCGATGCCAGACTCCCTACTGTCGACCGTGTTCCCGCGCGCCAGGCTCACAGTGTTGAGCTGCTGCCGCAAATTGTACATGCCACGCCTGCGGCGCGCCTCGATCTCGTCTGCGTGCATTGGGCGCATGCGCAGCGTGTCTTCCACCTTGTCAACAATCCACTGCACCTTGTATTGCCGCCTTTCGGGGCCGCCAACACCAACGGCGCCGACCAGGTTCGCTGCCGGCGGCGAGTTGACCGCCAGACTGAACAGGTTAGGGGGCTCCGAGACGTCGGTGACTAGCGCGCCGCGGTGCATGAGGAAGTAGGATAGGCTAATTAAGTTAATGAGGAAGACAAGAAGCAGGATCAAGTGCAGTGCCTTTTGCGCATCGCCGACGGGGCCGGATGCATATTCGCGGGCCCGCAATGTTGCGTTGAAATATTGTGTTTCCGGGACGTCCAAGCTAGCCGAAGTGTGATTCTGTTTGCAAATCAGTAAAGGAAAAACGGCATCGAAGGAACGTCGATCCTTACCCAAGTCGTCGAAAAGGTACTGTCCTCGATTGACGTGAGCAGGGTGCTGCTCGCCATGACTGCGAGCGCTTCTGCTATGCTCGGCAGCTTCGGGTTCAGCTTGGCCTCTCTCAGCATCAGCTGCGTCAACAGTCTTGCATCCGACGCCTTGCCATCTGAGATACCTGCGTTCAGGGATATACTGCTAGCCCACGCGCTGCCGACCCAAGGCCATTTACTGGATTCAGTCGCATGGCCAAAAGCGGCACCCGGATTGCTGTGGATGTACGCCATTTCGTCCTTCTCCGGGTCGCATGTCGCGCTTAACGATGATCCTTCCAAAGCGGCTGAGTAGGTAGTCGAACAGTTAGGGGTCAGGCTAGTTTTGAGCTGACAGAGTGAATAGCGTTCCTGCGTCTCGTCGTTATCGCGACTCAAGATATATATTGAGTTTCGATCAAAGTCGAGGGGATCACCCATGAGGGTGTTGTAAGGCATTGGGTATTTTGCGAATATCGGAGCGTGCTCATCATAGCGCTTCCCCCAACCAAACAGGTCATCAACCACCGTTGAATTGAGCCAGTCATCTTTGCCGAACTGATTGATTTGTGCTGGCCACACCAACGGGTCAAGCGGCTGAGTGTGATTCCAGGCTTCATAGACAAGAGGGGCCAGCTCCTCGCGGTCCAAGTTGGCGCAAAGGACGTGGATAACTGGAGATGCGGTCGAACCAACAAGGGTGTAGGCGCCAAGCCCGTTAAGCTCCTGCGGCTGCAGGATCTTGTTGCGTTTGTCGGCCGCAGCTTGCTGCACTCCCACGTGCGGCATGGCCAAACTGACGTTGTTGACAATCCTGCCGTCAACCTCCTTTGCAGTCACTTCTAGCCAACTGCCGTTGACGATGGTTGTTGAGTTGAGCAAACTGTAACCAGATATCCGAGCGTTCTTGTCGACAGACACATCTGTATAACTGGTGTTGCGAGCGCGCTCGTACCACCTCGCCATATACTGCTGGTAGTCATGAAAGGTCTTGGCAGCGTAGGAAATGCCAAGGCAGGTGGAGTTCCTGAAGAGTGGATCCATCTCGAGATCAATGGGGGTTTCGCATTGACCTTGGATGTAAGCTGCATTCGCAAATGATGTCCAAACTTCTCCGGACATCACCCGTTGCTCGACGTCCCCATACTTGAGCTGCGGTTGAACTACATATACTTGTCAGTGATCAACACGGCAAAAACACAGGCCTGCTTTACTCACCGAGAGCATCGGATGCCGTGGTATATAGCATTGCGCCAATTGCAGCGAGGAAAGCCAACACGCCCAAGGTACTCAATCCTGCATATTTTACCGTCTCCCAATGGGTGACCATTAAGCCGGGTTGCATGATCCAGTTGCGCATGCTCATATCAGCAAGAGTGACACCGGTTCCCCCATCCTTTGCCTCTATACTGCGCCTGCTCAGCACTTGGCCCAAAAAAGCCACAAAAGCCGTGACAAAGCACATTTCTATGGATTTGGCAACGATGGCCGTCAACAAGGAGGCATTTGCGGGGGATAGCGCGCCTGTATCGGAAATGAAGTGCCAGCGTGGTTGGCTAAGCGCAATGCCTAGGAATATGCCAGAGAAGACGGTTGAGTAGGCCGTCAGCAGGATGACGCTCAAAGCTAGCCACTTGTTACGACGCTGGTAGAATTGCTCTGCGACAGGCCTGGGCTGGTCCGAATTAAGGCCTGCAGAGGACGTGTCAGTAATGCAGAACAAAGCAATGCAGTATTCTTGCGCGCCCAATGGCCAGCATATTATTGGTGGAGCTTCTAGACACTTGGACGACCTCTACTACCGGTCATGATCCGGGCGCTGGCTGGGACAACCAGAGACGAGTGTTACACCAAGGGTTCGGAGTTGGAGCAATGTTTGCGCAGTAGCCATCCCTAGGTGCTGACCACCGGCTGCGCAAGAGGGTCGTCGCGAACCTACCGTCCCGAGATTCGACAGGCGAGGGCTTTGGGCGGCCGGTGTCCACGAAGCTGACGGGAGGCAAGGAAGGCAGGGCCCGGAGTTCTTTCTTGCCGCCGCCGCCGCCGCCAAGTGCACCATCGTCGCCAGCCATGGCCGCGCCTGCGCCCTCGTAGCTCGTGTCTACATCATGTATCCTGGAATATCCCAGCGGGTCGTCGAAGGGGTTGCCCGGGCCAAAGCCAGGAGTGGACGGGCTCCTCGCTGATGCGGCGGGGCGGTCTATCAGCGACGAGGATTCATAGTCCTTGATGGCGCCGCGCAGGCCCGCGCCGCCAGTAAGGCTACTCGATCGCGTTCGGCGGTGGTTGGCGGCTTCGTATTCATCCTCGTCGTCGCTTGTTTGGTGGTGGTATGGTGTGTCGTCTTGCGGTGGCTCGGTGGTGGTGATGATCAGCCGTTGTTGGTCGCTCCGTTCGTTGGCTGACATGGTGATGGACTTTCACGCCGACGCCTGGATGCAAAGACGACGGCAGTAATAGCTTCGCCTCGCCCTTTCCACGTGGTGGCGCTGATCTCCGATCTACGGGGAGACGCTGTATTTACGTAGTTTGTCAATGGATACGAAACGCTTGGATCCCTTCAAGCCTCGAAGCTAGGTATCGTCAATCCTCTCTGATTCCCGCCGTCATAACGGGCTGCAGCCTGCCCGATCCTATTCTTCAGGCGGCTGAAACGCTGGCAGACGCTTGAGCCATGACAACGAAGCACCGGCGGCCAACCGCCAGCCCGCCCGCCGCCTTCCTTGGGCCTTTTGGACCCGTGCGGATCCGGCGTGCGCTCGGCCATCATGGCTGTGATGTCGATCCTCTTCCCCACGGCTAGCGCGAGGGCTTTCCTTCTTCGTAGGCCCAAGGGGTTCGTGCATGTATCGCAAGAGCTTTTATTCTAGGCCTAAACTAAACTATCTGCAAAAAAAAAAAAAGCCAGGTGGGTGGAAATAGACCATGGACCCTTTAAGGGCCTAGGAGTAGTAGGCCCGAGCCGCCCAAACAAGAAACGACCTGCACTTCGTCCTTGCGTGGTGTCGACTCTGCAGCCGCGAAAAAAGGACTACTAGTACAACGATTGGAAGCAACGCTCAGCAAAACCAAAGCAAAACCGCCCAATGCAAAAAGAAGCCCTTAATCCTAGCCGTCTTAGGTCATCGATTCCCTGACTCGTTGGCGCCGTGAAATGCTACTTAGTCATCAACGTGCTTCGTCAATTTTGGACTGAGGAAAAACAGAAACGCAAAGCTCAAGCAAATCCAAAATACTCGCTACCCGCCGTCATTGCCGTGTAAAGCTGTTGGCGCAGAGCTTCGTAGCTCTCATACTCTGGAAGATCGAGCTGGTTGAAGCATGTGTGCGAGCTCGGGAGGCGGTCCTTGCTTCCGTAGTCCCGGTGGATGTTGAACCGACTGAAACCATTCATACCCTCCAGCTCCTTGAAGCCATTGAGTGGAACCTTGCTGGTACCAGTGACGAACTGAAGAAGCTTGGCACGCTCTTCTTTGTCGAACGAGCGAACAGCTCGCCAGAACCACTGGATCTGAGGGGAGGCAGCGGTGTAGTTGTGGTACTCGGTGTTGTTCTTCCAGTCGTCAACGTCAATTTCGGGCAGACCGGATATGAGCAATTCAAGTTCTTGCTCATTGAAGATTTCAATCAGATTTGCCGGCACAATGTCGTGGAAGCCTAATGACATGGTCAGTCGCCGAAAGCCTGATAGGGCAGAATGATCACACATACCTTTAAGGAACCCTGTGAGCTGGTCTTGAACAGAACCAGTCAACCTATACTCAACCATGAGGCGGACATATTCGTGCTTGTTCTCATCGGTGACTGCAACGTTCCGACCATTGGGGATGAGATCAATGGTCTTAGTAACACCAAATTCCTCACAATCGACCGAGAAAGTCTCAGTGATGATATCAGTGATGTCGTTCTCAAGCATCCAGATCAAGGACTTGTAGTAGTCGAGGTCGAGGGTTTCCATGTCTTTGATGTTGACAGGCTTCCCCAAGATCCGCTTGTAGACGGCCCTACTGAAATGACAGTCAAGTACGCGGCCTTCATAGAGAGCTTTGCCGATTATGCGCCCGATGAACTTGAAGAACAGAAGATGCTCCTGGTTGATTGAGCTCAAGCGGTTGGGGTGGAAGGTGGTTCGATCGGACGCCACTGGGATGAAGAGCGCGTAGTCTGGGTTGAACATCTGGCGAGCAAGAACTTGGAACCATTCGCGCGTGACACCGCCTGCGTCGACGCCCTCTTCGCCGTGGAACCGAATACTCAGCTTGCCATACTTCATCTCGTCCCCAGTCTTGAAATAGAGCGACTTGAATGAGTCTAAAAAGACTTGCTCGCGACGCACTGCTAGCTGCAGTGTAGGGTGAGGATGGCGCATCTCACTTCCGCGAGAGTGGAGCCGCCTGCTGAAGTAGTTACGCTTGTTGTCAAACTCAAGGACCTTCGAATTCTTGACCAGAACAGAGAACGATCCGCTCATGAGCTTAGGGTTATGGCGGACAAGGTCATTAAGAATCTTGCGGTGCTCCTCAGTAAAGTTGAAGAAAAGGTGCTCCATACGGTCCTCCGGCGGTGGACTCGACAATACAACATCCTTTTGGTAAGTCTTGTTGAGAGGCGGATCCTTAAGCGTGGTGTTCTTGCATACCACCATCAACACTTCAATAAGTGGCAGAAGTATTGTTGCAACGCTGAGCATATTCGTACGCTCACGGATCATTGTCAAACACTCGCTAAGCTTGTGCCACAATGGACCGAAGGTAGAATTCTCGTACAAGTTCGTGAGAATGTCGGCCTTTTGTTCGGCAGGCAAACCCTCTGGAACGCCCGATGGCTTGTCATGGGTTTCAGTTGATCTCTTAGGGTCGAAGAGGTAGTCTAGAGCAGTCAAGACACGGAGGAGCTTGGTCTGATCGGAACTGGCAGGAGAAAACTTGGAAAGTGCCATTCCTTGTACATCGGTGCCTGTCTTAGCCTTGGTGATCTGCGAGACCAGCTCGTCGAGGTCCTTGAGAATTGATTGTCCCAAGTCTTGAGCTTGCTTGATGAGTTCATTGCCGAAAGTTTCCTTGGCACCCGGGATCGCAGAAAGGTTGTTGATGACCGAAAGAGTGTTCTGGAAGGTTTTGCTGCTACACTCGCGGGCAGCCAGGATGTGCACCACAAGACGAAGGTTGTAGTCAGGAACTTCGGGTGGGACTAAAGCACGTGGTTTCTTAGACTTGTCCTCAGCCTGGCCTTCAGCCTCCTTTTCAATTTTTTGCTCCGCTGTGGCATCTTCAGGCAGTTCAGTCGATGGTTGTGCAACGGAAGTAGTGTTTGAAGCTTCTTGAGCTTGAGTTTCAGGAGCAGTGGTGGCGACAGCTGCTTCATCCTTCTTCTCTTCAGTCTTATCTTTGTCTTTCTTGAGAAGTACACCCAGAGGACTGGTGATGTTCATGAGTAAAGACGCCAGTTGCTCCATCACAGAAGAGCTTTCCACGATGAGTTTGCGGTCGAGCAAGCTGAGGAGAGCGTTGAGAGGATACTTCGTAGCTCTGCTCTCCTTAGCTTTGCCTTTCCGGGTTGCCTTTGACTTGAAGCCAACAGCAGTCTCATGCTCGGCCAAGAAGAAAGAGCAGATGTGGGGGTTGTTGTAGACCAAATAGACCAAGGTGCTAAGACATTGTTGAACAACCATGATGGGGGACATGTCATTGTGACTTGACAGTTGCCCAGTGAGGGTACGCTTGAGCGGTTGTGGTGTCTTTTGCGTTACTGGCTGCTTGGCCCGAAGAGAAAGTTGAGCAAAGCTGCGCTCAACGGCGATCAAGTCTGCAGATCCGTCTTGGAGAATTGACAAGAGGATGCTGATGACTTCAGCACGGTTATGGCGATTTTGGCAGACGTCCTTCAGAATTCCGTTCAGAGTCTGACGGGCACTACCTTGCTGCGGGATAAACATCAGCCTGAGGAGAGTAGCAACGCCAGCTTTGTCTAGCATTTGAACGATCGGTCTCGGCCTGGCTTTCTTCTGCGTCTGTTCATCGGCTTGATCGTCCTCGTCGAAACGACGAATGCGGTTGATACGACCCACGTTTGGATCAGCAATGTGGTTCAAACGGCGGTCACCACCCAACCTGCGGGCTTCTTCGGCAATTTCAGCAGGGAGCTGATTAAGCATATCATCGTCTTGTTCCATCAATACGGCCTGACGCAGGCCAGGGTCGAGTGATGCGAGGAAGCTTGCAGCATCCATGTCCTCGGCGCGTGGACCGCCGGTCGGAGCATTGGCACGTGCACGCTCAATACGCTCCTGCCGGCGGCGAGCTTGCGCTTCTTGTTCGAGGAGCTCATCGCGGATGTCTTCCGGTAGAGCATCGAGGAATTCGCGACTGATGTCAGAGGGTTCGTTGCCTGACGTCCGGGCTTCTTCACGCTGATTTTGGACCTGCCCCATCAAAACTTCTTCTCTGAGTTCCTCCGGCAGTGCATCGAGATACTCCAGGTCGATTCCGAGACTAGTGATGTCAACTTCACGGTCGCGGATACGCGCGATGACCCGGTTACCCGGTTCTGCGGATTCATCTCCGGCGGCGGCAGCCGCTTCAGCCGCAGGCGCTGAAGTTTCAACGCCTTCCATGACTTGGTTTTCCGCCGCGGCCTCGGTTGCTTCCGTATGACGCCGCTCCGCTTCTTCCTGGGCCCGGGCGGCAGCAGCTTCTGCCTCGGCTTTTTCGGCTGCCTCGCGCTCTTCGCGCTCTTTTCTTTCCTGTTCTTCCCTTTCGGCCTGCTCCCGCTCTTTCCTCTCCTTTTCTTCTTTCTCTTTCTGCTTAAGTCGCTCTTCCAGTTGCCGCTCGAGTTCCTTAGTAGCTCTGATTGCCGGAGGGACAAGCAGGCGGTTGATGGAGTTGAGAACGCGGTGAGCCTTTTCCAAAAAGACCGCGCCAAAGAGCAGCCGACCTTCCTCTTGCCAACGCGTGGTGGTAAGTGTAGGAACAAATGCCACAGCCTGGCTCGGGTCATCGCGTGTCGAGCGGGAAGGCTGGTCCTGGAGGCGTCTGTTTTGGCGACCAAAGGCGTCGAACGGAGGGAAACCTGGCCCATCAGGAAACATGCCTTCAACGGTAACTGTGAACCCGTCTTGTTGAATAGTGGCGGAACCATGGCTCATGATGTTGAGGAGATTGCTGATAAAGGACACGGGACTGTCCCCACCTGGAAACGCGCGACCAGGCCGCATTCCATCCATTGCGTGAACCCAATCGCTCATAGTTCCACGGCGGCCCACCATACCAGGGCCTGCAGAAGACCGACCAGAGCGCTGGAGGAGGGGGTTGGTGCCGTCGTCGGTACCGCGCTGAGCAGCCACTGGCCGATGAGTCCGGAAAGCACCTGGAACTACATAAGTCAGTCCAGCCAAGTTCCTTTGGAAAAATAATAAACATAAAAAACATAAACAGAGTAAGCTTACGGGCATGCCGCTCAAGTCCTGCAGGGGGTACAATCGCGAATGGGTTCATAAGACTATGACGGTGATGGTGGTGGTGTCCACGAAGCGGCCCACCAGCGTCAATGCCCCACGCACCCCATGGTGGCGGAGGCATGCCATCTTCATCATCTAATACCCTCAGTAAGTGCTGCAAGTGCTGCACTTCGCGTGACAAACCTTCTATTCCAGCCTCGTAGGCAATATCATCCTCGTCATAGTCTTCTTCGTCATCCTCCTCATCTGTAAAAGTTAGAAAAAGGCCGACCAGACAAGTAAATAACATTCGACCTTACCTTCATCATCTTGCATCTCATCGTCCATGTAGCCTTCAGGTTCCATGTCCATCATGTCACCCCCAAACGTTTCTAGGAGGCCAGCCGGTGGCTGTCCGTCAAGAATGCGGACGAGGTGGTTGATGTCACCCGGGGGCGGCGCATGATCGCCAAATCCATCTTCGTCAGGGTAATCGTCCCCGTCTTCTTCTTCGCTCGCCCATTCGTCATCTTCGCCGCCATCGAGACTGCCGTTGATGTCGTCGCCAGTTACTTCGTCCATCTCCTCAATCTCATCTTCCTCATCCTCATCAAGGTCTTCGTCCATATCAGCAGAGTCATCATCATCCTCGCTCAGCTCTTCACCGTCTTCTCCCTCGATGACAATTTCGACGTCATCGCCCACATCACCGGGCAGACCTTCCATTTCACCCATGCCCTCAATATCTTCATCTTCATCACTGACAACGTCATCGCCGTCATGGTCGATCTCTTCCTCGTATTCCATCTCGTCTCCGTACTCATCCCCATATATGTCTTCATCGTCTTCCTCATCAGAGCCATCAGACTCCGTCTCTTCGTCTCTGCTCGGGTCAAACATAGCCAAAGTTGAGTTTCTGAAGAGATCCGGTGTCTCTTCGCGAAATTCGTCCATGTCCGAAACAGATGAAGCAGTCGAAATCTCATCTTCATCTGCTTGGCCGGGAGTCGCTGAGATCTCAGAGTTCAAGCTTAAATCGATTGCTGTCTGTGTGAGGAGCTTGATAGGACGCAGGATGTACTTCACAGCACGCTTGGCATTGGGGAAGTTCAAGTCAATGTCCGCAATGGCCGTCGTAAGCGCGGTGATGAAGTTCTTCTCGTACATGATTCTGGCCAGCTGTTTCTGCGAAGCCAAAAGCATGTCAATGCTGAAATTGCTTCCGCCCGAGGTAGGCTTCCCGTAGAGCATGCGGTAGAAGAGGTCTGAGAGGTTGAGCAACCTGGAATATTTCAGGTCGATTGGCTCTGCCGAGGAGTTTGCGTCCTTGAATGCTTTCAACGCATGCTCAAGTACGAACTTGCGCACAAAGAGCAGATCTTGCTCCTCTTCTTCCTTGGCATCCTTATTCTTGTTGAAACCACGTTCACCAGTCTTCTGGCATAGAGCGACAATAACAGAAATTGCCCAATTTGAAGTAGCGCACTTCTTTTTGAACGACAAATCTTCGGCATGAGCCAGCGTCTCGACTGGAACCAGGGCATTGAGGATGTAGTTGAGGACTCCAGAACGTGGCTTGGAAGGCGTCATTGCGTGAGGATCGGCCTTTCTCGAAAAGTTTATGAACTCCACCTTCGTCCGGTTGTAACACGAAAGGAGCTCAGTGAGACACTGTAAGATGAAACACCTGTAAATGAAGATGGGGTTTTGATCCGCCTTGAACACAGGCTTGTCGCTTTTTTTCTGCTCGGGAACAGGGGCTGAAGCCGAAGCAGTGCTTCCAGGTGTTCCAGGCGTAGCACGATCGTCCACGTTCGACATCTCAACGTCAGGGCCTGTAGAAGTTTCTTTCGTGGTTTCCTGGGTTGTTGTCGCTTGCTCCTTGTCGTCAACGTCTTTGTACGTAAGAAGTTCGCATAGAAGGTAGTGGATGACCCCATCCGGATTCTCGACAATTGGGGGTTTAATCTCTGAGGGTTTCGACTTTTCTGGTTCAGGCTTACTTTCGACCTCAGTCGATGGCTTGACGACCTCTGTAGTAGAAGATTTCTGAATCGCTTGGTCTCCGCCGGTTGAAGGTTCCTCAGCGTTGGCCGGCCAGCTTTCTACCTTCTTGAGTTCAAGCACTTGTTGGCGTTGGTTTGCATAATACCGACGAATTTGAAGTCTCTCGTTGGTTATCTCCACAAAGATCTGGGGATTGCGGAGAGCAAGATGCCACATGTGGCGGAGGTAGGCGTTGGTGTCGATATCGCCGCGAGTCCGCGAATCCCTGATCTCAAAGAGGGCCTGGACTTCAGTTCTCATAATCTGCCTGATAGTCTCTTCATCCTCCACAATGTGACGTAATATCAATAAGAAGGCACTTTGCAGCCTGTCGTTGGTGATTCCGCTGAGTTGCTTGATCATGACGAACAGGCGTTGAAGATTGCGCTTCTCTCCCAGCTTCGTGGCCAGTCGTCTGTCCCTAGTCAGAATAACAAGGACGCGAGCGATAGACAAAGCTAGGGACTCGTCTTTTCCAATACGAGGAAGGACCTCGACAATGGCGTTAAAAAGGTTGCTCTTCTCCTCAAACTGAACCACAGGCTCTGACATCTCTATTATGGATTCTGGATCCTCAGGCTCTTCATCCTCCTTTGGAGGATTCCACTGTACTGAATGAGGTTGCGCGTCATCTGACAACATACGCTCAATGATCAGAAGTACCTGTCCGATCCAAGGAGAGGACTCCTCTGCAAGTTGATCCGGAAAAGCCTTGATGAAGCCAAGCAACGAAGAGAAGAAGTCCCGAAGTTGAGGCAGGGTCGCATTGTAGAACTCCGAGTCCTGGAGCACGAGAGCGAGGAGGTGAGCGTAGGCAGCCACTTTCTTGCCAATAGGCCTGAGGTCCTCCTCGGATTGTAGCGAAACTAGGGCATTGACAAGAGTTTCACCGATCTCGCTCCGCATACCCAAAGCGTCAGTTGCCTTGGTCACGGCGGCAGAAATCAGGTCTGCGAGCTCGAAAGTAACTTCGTCATGGACATCGAGCACTTCCAAGGAGCGGTCAATGACGTTTGACCTAATCTTTGCTCTCTCCTCCTCCAAATCCTCGATGCGCACGATCTCGACTTTCTGAGAATCGGGAGACGTGCTGCCCAAGAATGGCGATGTGGGCGATAAGGCATGTGCGACAAAGCCAGCTGAAGGAGTGAGTGATCGCGTGTCGTTAGACTCCGATGCATCCTGCATGGTCACTGACTGACTTCCAGATGCGTCACTCTCCTCACCGGCCCCGGTGGGCTTAATCTCAGTTTCGTAAGAGGGGACGGGGTTCCTCTCAAAACGTTGATCGTTACGTTGTGCGCTGCAGTATTCCCGGGCATAATTGAAATTATCGTAGCAGCGATAGAGTGCCTCTTGCGCCATGTCTTGCTCGAAACCTTCGCGCTTAAGCATCTCGAGATGATCTCCGTTGCGCGGCTTCCAAGGCTTATACGAGAACTTGGCTGTAGGAGGAATTGTTTCCGAGCGCTTGTAGGCATCGCCTTCACCATCACCCTCGAGGACGACACGGAGAATATCTACGAGCGACTTGACGATCGAAGTAGTTGCTTTGTTCATCAGATCTGAATTCCAAAGCTTCTCGACGGGCTCAATTACGGCCATCCTTAGTTCAAGCAAGAACTGGGCAGGAACGAAAAGGTCCGGTCGAGGCCTGCTACGCTCCCGAGAATTCATGGTACTCGTTTGACCAGCCTCAATGATGCACTTCGGATTGACCATTTGCGAGTACAGCGTAAGAATGATCTTGATGCCACCGAGTGCCAGATTCATGAGTGTCTGGATGTCTTCGGGCAACTCTTGGTTATCGTGCGTGGCAATGATGGCCTTTGCTTCGTCAAAGAAGCACTCCAAGAGCTCACTGAGCTGAACAAGCCCGCCCTGATTCTGGAACGAATGCAGAATCAATGTGAGCATGTGTGGAGACCGCTCCATAGAGCCGTCGACCATAAGCTGAGAGACCGAAGTGAGAATGACGATCCAATAGGCATAGCGGTCCTTTGACGAGGAAGCTCCCTTAGGAACCTTGTAAGATAGCTGATCCATAGCAAGCTTCGCAAGCTGGTCCGCCACAATGTATGCATTTTGTCTCTGATAACCGTCTTGGGTCCTCCGGAACAGGAGACACTTCCCCAAAGCTTGCAAGAAAGGTGTGATTGCAGTTGGAACTTGACTGAGCAGATAGCGCAGAATCTTTGTGTTCTTGAACTGCGCGGTTGACCTATCAGGGAGTGCATTCTGCTGAGCAGCAGTGCCCTCACCACTAGCGGCTTGGCTCGACGGCTGCTCCGAAGCCTCGGCTTCACCGTTGATGGGCTCGCCATGCTCGACATCAATCCTATCCGAGCGGGTGAGGCGAAGGATGTCATCTGCCTCGTCAGTACCGAAGCCACCGCTCTTGACTCTAGTCGCCTTTTCCCAATCAGAGGGGATGTTCTTCTGAAGGAGAATTTCTTCCCAAACGCAGCTCCGGTGCAATCTGCCAAGACTGTCAACCAGGTGGGAATACATGTCTGCCATGTTCACCTGGCTAAAAACGTTATGATTTGACCGATTAAAGATGGAACCTTGGAAGGTCATGGAAAGAGCGTTTGAAAGCGTGAGCACTACCACAAGGGCCTTGGCAAACTTTGTACCGTTGACAGTGGCATCTTGCAAGGGTGTATTTTGAGATGCGTTAGCGGTAGAATTTCTGCTCGTGAACACAGAAAGGTAGGCAGATTCTTGTTCATTACGCATGAAAGGCTCCAGCTGATCGCAGGCACTCTGCAGTCGCCTAATCAGAGAAGGTAGGGCAAGGTGTGGCTTCTGCTCGACAAGTAGCTGGATAACCCGGCTAAGGTCTTCGCCAACTATGAAGAATTCGTTGAAGTTGTATGGCAGACACGGCAGTGTGGCGAAGTCAAGGACGAATTCCATACCGCCTTCCTCTATGAAAGCCGCACAGAGAGACTCGTTGATGAAGAATCCTTCCAAGAACTTGCACACAGCTGTGATGTACTGCGTGGTCGTGGGGCCTTGCTTTGAATCCTCATGTTCGATGACGTCGTCAATAGAAACTGAAGTGTCTGTAGCCCCTGACGATGAGCGATCAACGTCAGTCATTTCAACATCTGCAGGCTCAGTTGCACTAGAAGATGTCGTGTTGTCGGCACTCCTCTGACGCTGATGCAGTGACCCTTCTGCACCAAGAAGAGCTTGGCGTCCTCCAGAAACAAGAACGTGCCCTTGCACATCTTCTATCCAAAGTTTTGCTCCAACACCCTTGTCTTGTGCCCGAAGGAAGCAGAGCTTACCCACTCTAGCCACCATCTTCTTTACCGAAGCAAGAACAGCAGGTTTTAGTGGAGGGTGGTGCCTAACAAATTCATCAAAGGAAGACCCTAACGATTGGGTTGTATCGGAATCCACTTCAATAGCCTTGACGTGTGCCGGGCTCGCAAAAACCTCGAAGAAGCTCTCCAAAGCAACGGATGCCTTGAATAAATTGAGACCGGCCTCCGTCAGACATATGGCGCCGAATGCAGCTGGGACCGCCGAGATGGCTTCAGAGACTGGCAGAATCCCCCCCGCAAGTGGCCGTGCTTCCTGGTCTTTGCTCTTGTCATCTTCGGAAGCTTGTGCTGAGGTTGCCGGCTGCGAAGGCTGCGCAGCGCTATCCTCCGTTATAACGGGAACCACAGGTGTCTCGACAATGGGCCTTTGCGTAACAGTCTCCAGGAAAGTCTTACTAAGCCCAGCTTCTGCGATAATGGCATAGCTGGTAGGCTCATGGTGGATAAAGTTGGCAAGAATATGAACAGCTTGGCTCCAAACAGTACTGCCAAAGACTGGAGCATTGGCTAAGACGGTACGAAGACCTGTTAGTAGTCGCGGTGAGTCCATGAGATTCCGCAGGAGACGATCAATACCACCGCCGCCATGAGTCATCATATGGCTAATGAACTTGAAAAGCCAGCGGAGGGTCTGCTGCGGGTAGAATGCGATCTTGTAATCCGTATGCTGAGTCTTGTACAAGGCAGGCATTCCTTCACCTTTCTCGGCCCGCGTAAAGGCCGTCTCCACCTCAAAGCCTGCGAGTTCGGCAACTGCATCGAGTCCTTTCGCTTGCACAAACGCCTGGAATGCTTCGCGAAGGTTGAAGGCATAAGTATCCAAGAAACTCAACACCTTGGAATAGTGTCGCTCAGCCCTGCTGGTACGGAGCGTGAGGACCTCAACGAAAATGTCGAACAAGCCAGCAGCTACCATGTTCTCGCCCATACGGGTTTGTTGGTTCGGGATACTGGTAAACAAGGTAAAAAGGGTGTCGCGCCATTCGTCATCTTCCAAAGTGTCTCCCGGTCCTTCATCGACAGTGAGTTCAGCGACCGCCTTACGAGCCACGTAGAACAGAACGCCGTGGTTGACATTCAGGCTAAGAGCAGCTGCCAACTCTCCGGCTTTATTCTTCTGTCTCGTAAGAGCTTCCAGCGTAGCAAGTGCCGTCGTCTGAAGGTCCCTGGAAGCTCCCAGTTCACCATCTCCTGGCGGATGGATCAGTTCAGACAACTGATAAGCCAGCTGTAGTCTGCGGGGTTCATCGGAATCTTGTTGTCCTATCTTCTGGTAGAAAGTGGCATCGGGGTGCACGTAGGCTAGATTAGCAATAGCGAGCAACCTGATGGCCACAATATCCTCACGTTCAATCCTTCCAGCACTAAGGGCTTGCGCAACCCTAATCCTATGCAGAAGTTCGTAGCGTGTTTCCTCCGGAACATCATTCAAGTGCTTTTGTAGAATCTCATGAGCCGGAAGAGCCCGAATTTGGGTGTTGGTTATCTCCACAAACTTCGGGCCAGATGGACGTTCCGCATGGGGGGTATTTGGTGTGGCTGGTGCGCGCGGCGACTCGTCAGAAGAGAAAGTGCGGGTTGGCCTAGGCGTGTGATGCGGGCCTAAGTTTGAAGTACGGCGAGCTGGCGTCGGAGTAGCGGGCGATGTGGGAATACGGGTGTTTTCGTCAGCGGTAGGATTGCCAGTTTCACTCTTCCCACCAGGCGCCGTCTCGTAATACGAGAGGAAGACGCTTCCCCATTCTTCACGAAGCACAGCTGGGAGCTCCTCCACTTTAACTTTACCAACCAAATCCGCTCCGTGCGATTTGTTCGCCGCATCATCTGAGTCAGCTCCGAGAGACTTCTCTTTGCCCTTGATAGCTGAGGTCGATGAGCTAAGTCCCCGCGAAAAGGGAGCTGCAACCTTCTGGAGGTTGTCAAGGTTGATGTTGAAGTGACTGTGCAATAAACTGCTCTGCACAGAGGGAGAGCTACCCATGCGCTGGCGAGACGTGTGATAGCGTTGGGCTAAGCGAAGGGAGAGACGCAGAGTCGTCTTCAGCATCGAGATGGATGTAGTGTTGAGTAATTTGCTGAGATGCTCACTGCTCGCATACAAGCTACGGTTGCCGCAATTCTCCAAGAGGAGCTTCGTGAACTTCAGGATCTGCTCGATAAGTTCTCGGTCGCCCTCGAGTGAATAGCCAGCCTCGTCGAGATCCTTAGAGCTGGGTTCAGGCACCGGCTGCGTTTGGCTCTCTTCTAAATTACCCTTGGCCAGCAGGCGCCTTTCAAAAGGCTGTACCTGAGGCCCATTGTTCAGACCATACTCTTCAACGAACGCCTCCAATATGCAGTCGAATCGGTTGAGGGCAGGTATCCAGTGGTACAAGTCACCTCTAGGGAAAGGCCATCGGCGAGGAAAAGAGCTCAAGTGAGCGGGTATCTTGTGGAGTGGAACAGTGAGAGTCTCTTTAATGAAGTCCGATAGCGCCGGAGACTGCAAGCGCAATGCCATGGTTAGCTGAGAGAAGCCTCTGAGAAAATTTCTGGGAAAAAACATACCAGCGTCGCATCGTGCTTGGCCGTAGCGACCTTTTTTATCCTCCCCATTTTGAAAACCACTACCCGGAAGGTGAACCTTCCTACACCGGCAGGTTCTTTTCCACTTCAGAATGATTCCTCGCCGCTCGGTGGTTGTGTATGACGTGGCAAGACAGTCAAAAGAAGGGTCGGTGATGACTAGGGTCCAAGCCGGAGTGGAGGGCGGGCGTGGATGCGGAGCTCTTGGAGGCAGCTGCGGGAATGAAAACGTCGCAACGGCAGGTCGCACTGCAAGCGATTAGGTGCTGCGAGCGTCCGGAGCTGGTAGGTGCGAGAGTGGCCCGGGAAGGCAGGCGAGCGACTGCAAACACGTGGGGGTTGTCGTGGAAGTCGCGGATTAAGGTGGCGCGGGCCAGTCAGGCAAAGGTCGCGATTGCAAGAGAAGAACGGTGCAGGTCGCCTCCCTCGCGCGAACTTTTAGCCTCGAGGTACTGTATCCGACTGAACAATCCGCAGCTCAGCTCGGGCAAATGGAGTGACGGTGTAGAGAGGATGGAGGTGGGTTGGCGGAGTTGGAGTTGGAGTTGGCGTTGCTGCTGCTTCTTCGCTGAGGTGAAGGTGGTCGGAGCTTTCGGCGTCATTGGGCGGTCACCATCACAGCACGAGCGCATTTCACACCCGCAACATGAATACGCAAGGAGAGACATGCAGTCAACGGGCAACGGGCGTACTTCACGACCTTTTTTTTTTATATATATATATTTTTTATTTTTTTTATACACACATCTGGCCCGCTCGCTCGATTGTTCATCAGGACAAACAAGCCTTGTTGAGTGCTGCACCAAGGGTGGTGACAGCGAAGCTGACATACTCTCTCGCTCTACCTAACAAGTCCGATCGGCACCAGTAGCTTTCGTTGATTTCATCGTAGTTGTAGGTGGTAACTTCTGTGCTGCATGGCCGGCCATCTGCCCACTCATCCTCCTCTCGACAATGCCGTAGCGTGTTCCGCATGCGCGCTCCCTGGCTCCTGGCCGCAAACACCTATGCCCATCCACTCGTGCCACTGGCAGTGTCTGGCGGTTCGCGGCCCTCCACCAGTCTCAAAGTCTCCTCCACCACAAGCAGGTCGCGCTCAATCATCTCCGCCCAGTTCTGCAAATCTCCGATTTCGTTCAGCTTTTTCGTGCTCGTGTCGGCCATTTTCTGCCACTGCGCGCTCTGCTTTGTCAAAGCAGCCGTCTGTTTCACCAGGTCTTTCTCTTGCTTTTCTATGGCGATGGCGTTTGCGTGTATGTCTGCAGCTCGTGTCCGCATTTCCGTGTCCATAGAGCTGCCGACCGAAGATAAGGATGCAGTGACAGCAGCACGCGCTTCGGCGGTTCGCCGATCTGTGTCCGTCTGAGAGGACATGCTGGAATAGTTGGTGTATGTGCGTGCCAGTGGCAGTAGGTAAAACTGGTGGTGGCTGAAGACTGAGGTTAAGAAGGCCTTCTTTACTGCGTATAAATCAGCTTCGGTCTGAGCATCTGACCCCGCTCACGCAGAAGTCGCATAAACTTATCCCTCGTTAAAATGCCATAAGACGGCCGGCATGATACTAAAGCAACCCCAACACGCCGAATTTGGAACATGGCGTGTCTCTAAGAACTGGCTGCTGACTTCCTGATGTGTTCCTCAAACATACACCCACGTTTCTAATTGGGGCAGTGTGCTGCAAGGTCAGGGATACTCCGACACGTGTCTGCGAAATTCTGGTCGCTCCGGCGTGGGAGAGAATCACTGAGAACGGTACCGATGGCCTTCTCCTTCCGAGAAACGCAGCATCCCACAACCAACGGGAAATGCAACTTGGTCGGAGACTTGAACAGATTTGCACCCGTATCTGCATTCGTACTAAAAACCAATACTGGCAGTTGAAGAAGTCCCTTTCGCTCACTTGAATAACGTCCGTTACCATCTAGCGAGATAGGGAAGGATACAAGCAGTCCCCATAGAACACTCTTTGTCTAGCTAATTCTCTGAGTCCTGGATATAAGTAAGGAGATCTTTAGGCATGTACATACACCCAAACATCTTAATTGGATTTCGTTTCCACTCCGTACACGCATCAATATCTCATCAGGCCATGAAACTCGTTTGATGGTGACGGACGGTTCTTGCTGCAAAGTCAAACCGTTGTGCAGGTTGTGATTCCAGTAAAGGTAGCAAGAGGCGTCTTTTACTTTCAGCGGTTCTTTGCATCGCAGCATCCTTGAAGTAGACGGCAATCTTAAGCGATTGCCCGTGTTGCAGATGGTCGTGACACAGAAGTATCAAAAAGGTGCGGCTTTGCCATTCTAGTGTGAGCGGGTAGTTGGGTGATTAACTATGGGAAAGGAGAGGAGGTGCTGGAAACCGCGGACCGTGCCTGGCTTTTCACGTGCACCCATGGAGTCATCATGATCGACGTCGACGTTGCCCTTTCCAACACGGACTAGGTGTGAAACGAAACGTCCCGATGGCGCGACTCGCGCCGGGACAACACCCTTCTTTACCGACGGCAACATGTTCCGTCTGAATAATGCTCGCACCGCCATCCGCATCACGAAATAGCATGATCTGGACTTAGCGGTTCCCAAAGCTAGGAAAGTGGCTGCAGGGTCAGAGTGTCCAGCTGGAAGAAGGACGGTCAACGACACAATTACTCCGTACAAGCCATGATCAACTTCCGACTGCAGAACTCCCGTCATTATCACGCTCGGTTCGATGTTGCAAACCACCTTAGCGAGCCAAAGCTAGATTGACTCTGACATAGTTGATGAATAGTGAGCCCCCAGGCCCCGCCAAAAGGTGGCCCCGCAATATACCTGTGAAACGGACGATTGACATCCGTAAAAGCTTATCGCACTCGTCGGACCGGATCACCGTGAGAACATAAGGAACGGATGGGTATAATAATGTCTGATTTGCTGTGGATTTGGTGCTCGTAGACCAGGGAATCCTTCTATGTCTCAGTCTCAATCCTCCAGTCTTTGTATTCAAGGATGAAGATCTCGACTATCTTAGGCCTTGCAGGCGCTGCGTGCGCTCAGCAGTCTGCCTATGGCCAATGCGGTGGAAGTGGTTATACTGGCAGTACTGAGTGCGTTTCGGGCTTTTCTTGCGCGTACGTGAACGGTTGGTACAGTCAATGTCAACCCGGGGCTGCTGGTAAGTGTCTCGTTGGAGTGTTACCGCTTAGCACTAACGCCTCAAAAGCTACGACGGCTCCAGTCACCGCAAACACAAGCATAACCACCAGCGCGAAGCCGGTCCCGACCTCAAGCAGGCAACTCAATGGCACAACTACCTCAAAAACTCTCCCCATTGCCACTTCGTCGTCCTTCTCCAAAACCGATGGCCTTCAATTTTCAATCGATGGAGTGACATCATACTTTGCCGGTACAAACTCGTACTGGATGGCATTCCAGATGAACAATGATGATATCGACCTTGCCTTGGACCACATCAAAGATTCCGGCCTGAAGATCCTCCGGGTATGGGGTTTCAATGATGTCACCACTACCCCGGACAGCAGTACGTCTATCCCCCAGGTGTTTTTTCCAATAAGCGTTGCTAAAGTCATTTTTTCTATTCTACTAGATACCGTGTGGTTTCAGTCGTTTGTCAGCGGCCAAGATCCTGTTATCAACACCGGTGCCAACGGTTTACAGCGCCTGGACTACGTCGTGAAAGCTGCTGAGTCCCGGGGAATCAAACTCATCATCAACTTTGTGAACAACTGGACAGACTATGGTGGGATGGCTGCTTACATGACATACTATCTCGGCTCAGCCTCGTCTGAGACAAACGCTGCTTGGTACAACTCCACTGACATCCAGACTCAGTACAAGACCTACATCAAGACTGTGGTTTCGCGCTATGCCAACTCCACGGCAGTATTTGCCTGGGAGTTGGCTAATGAACCGCGTTGCAAGGGCTGCGAAACTGTAGGTTTCCAAAGTCGGCACTTAAGCAGATCGTTGCTGACCTGACCATCGCTAGTCGGTGATCTATGATTGGGCAACTTCAATCAGTGCCTACATCAAATCCCTTGATCCCAACCATATGGTGACCCTTGGCGACGAAGGATTCGGACTGTCTGGTGGTACAAGCTACCCTTATACTTACGGTGAAGGCGTAGACTTTGTGAAGAACCTCGACATCGAGACCATCGATTTTGGCGCGTTGCATCTCTACCCATCAAGTTGTAAGTTGACCTGATATGACAAAAATGGCGAGTATACTGAAAGATTCACAGGGGGTGTGACCAACGATTTTGGCAATGAATGGATCACAGCTCATGGCGCTGCTTGTGCCACTGCTGGCAAGCCCTGCCTTTTCGAAGAGTACGGTGTGACCTCGGATCATTGCAATGTAGAGAAACCCTGGCAAGAGACTGCTCTCTCTACCGAGGGCATCGCAGGTGATCTCTTCTGGGACTTTGGTGACACTCTCAGCGGTGGAAAGACATCGGACGACGGCAACACAATCTTCTACGACACCGATGATTGGACTTGTTTGGTTACGGACCATGTCAGTCAAATTGGTTGAGAGAACAACTATGGCTCTATAGCGACCCCGCTGGTTACTTTTTGTTGACCGCACTCATATCAAGAAATCTTTGGCTACGACTGCTAGACCTATTCATCGCAAGCCAAGCATGTCCATACCTACCACTGTTTCTATTCGTTTCTTGTGAAGCTCTCCATGCGACAACATGCTTTCTTGTTTCATGTTCGCACGAATATGTTCATGCCCACACGCTGCCTGCATTGGCTGTAGGGTGTAATTGCAAGTGGCATGCGTGTTTTTCCATTGTTTCTCTGCATGAACATGCTAACTGTTCCGGATCAGCTCATCATAAACCTGGATTGTTGGCGTGGGGCACGTTGAGCGCTGGCTGCCACATCCTGGCGGGCCGCCGCACCGTTCGAAGAGCAGGCCCGACATGCCATACAATAGATTGACGAGGTGGCTCTCGAATGAAGCCGCGCTTTACCGCAACTTGCAGAAGCCGCGGGCCTCTGATTGGATTCTCCACTTCTCCTATCCAGACATGATTGCTTTTTTCAAACATGGCACAGACCACAGCACTGATCAGCCGCCGTGCCGAGACCGAGGAAACGTTTCGAACCAGGGATCGTAGCACCATCCTAAACTTGTGTCAGCGGTAAAGTCTGATTGTCACCTTATATCTCCGTCGGCTCCGGCTCAACGCGACAACTGCACGCAGAAACGTGCTATAGTTTCGGCGTGTTAAGCCGCAATGCCGCATGTCTACCACCCCACAGGCCTGCACCTTCAATATCGTCAACGAGGGCGGTTGCGGAGAACGAGCCGAGAGGCTCCGCATCGCCTTTATAAGTCTCCTGCCTGGTGCACCATCGTTTCCTTGATCGTCCCCCAGTGAGCCAGCATCCCTACCATCGCAGGTCGATATCTTTAATTTCTTTCGTTAAGCACCATTCAATCACCATGAAGGCTTTTATTCCTCTTATGGCGTTGGCATCCATTGCCTCCGCTCACTCGACCTGGCAGGAGCTTTGGGTTGGCAGCGAAGACAAGGCTGGCACCTGTGTCAGGACGCCGCCCAGCAACAGCCCCGTCACCGATGTGACGTCCAACGATATGCGCTGCAACGTCGATGGCACGACTGGCGTCAAGGGAACTTGCACTGTTGCTGCTGGAGACACTCTTACCGTGGAGATGCACGCGCAGCCAAATGACAGGAGCTGTTCGAACGAGGCTATTGGCGGCAACCACTACGGTCCCGTCCTGGTCTACATGAGCAAGGTCAACGACGCGACGAAGAACGACGGTTCCGGCAGCTGGTTCAAGGTTGCCCAGGATACCTACAACACTACGGTCGGCACCGAGTCCTGGGGTTAGTGTTTCTCCATTGATATAATTGTGACAATTCCGGATCCGGATATTGACAAGGGAATTTTCTAGGCACTGAGATCCTGAACTCCAACTGCGGCAAGAAGACTTTCACCGGTAAGGATGGAACGCAAAATGTCAATGGAAGAACTGCAAACTGACCACATACAGTCCCCAAGGACATCGCCGCTGGCGACTACCTCGTCCGCTCCGAGGTCATTGCTCTCCACACTGCTTCTTCGGAGGGTGGCGCTCAGTTCTACATGAGCTGCTTCCAGGTCAAGGTTACCGGTGACGGAACCGCCAACCCCACCGGTGTCAAGTTCCCTGGTGCTTACAAGGCGACGTAAGAGAACCCGGATCCACCGTGACTGGCTGTGCCGACTGACATTTATCTAGTGACCCTGGCATTATGATCAACATCTACCAGGAGCCTATCACCTACACTGCCCCGGGCCCTGCTGTCTACACTGGTTCTGCGTAAGCGCATGAATAAGGCTTGAGGAAGAATTCGCGCAAGGCACAGGTGACGGCTGGGTGGTCCATTCCAATTTGCATAATGGACGCGATATAGCAGTCCCGTAGTATCAATGTAATGTGTCCATGCGGCATATCTTCGAACCATGTCAAAAGATACGAATACCTTATCAAAAAAAATAGAAGAAACAACAGCGAATGAGATGTGCTAGAGCGAGTCGTGGGCGGATTGCACCATCTGTCCACAGTCCAGGCGGGTTGCAACACAAGTCGTTCTGGTTGACAGTGGTGGATAGGTAGGAAGTAGGTGTAATACGACCCCGCATCCCCGCTATAATCCGTACAAGATCGCAATGACGATTGACATGCTTGGCTACAACGGCGCGCGCGAGGCGACCAGCGTTTGAGCCTTTGAGTCCTCATCAGACGACGCACGCGAGCCTTTCCACTAGCAGGAGCAGGTCCGCTACGCCACCCGCGACCTCGATGCCGTTTCCGGATGGTTGCCTCAACATCGTTCGACGCCCGACGCCGCCGTCACGGGGAGAAACATGGTCGGCACGCGCCGGCAGGTCTAGCGCCGGCACTGGCACCCGGGAACGCACACGAAGGGGATCCTCAGAGGCGTTCGAGCCCGATTTACGTCGGATCGACAACGAGACATGGGGTGCACTATGCCACTAGTCTCGAGCACACACCTGTCGACGCTCCTTCACCCTGCTGGTTCGAGTTCGTATACCGTTGATGAAGGACGCCCTTCTTTGGTTTTTTCTGGTCTCTCCTACTTCATTCCCGTCGTCCCTTTCACCTCCTCCATGCCTTAACTCAATCGCCATCAATGCCGTTGGGAAATGGCTCCTGATTTAACATGAGTGACTCCAGCAGCAACAACGCCTCAGATGACGTCCCCGCCTATTACGACCCGACAGCGCCCGCCCCCTATTGGCGTCGCGATTTGGAGCTGGCCATTATCTGCATCACAAATATCTTTACCTGTTCGTCACCTCACGTCCAATCGTTACCACCGTGACGCTAATTGCGCCATTTCCTGCTTTCAGTGACCATAATCGCAGCCCGCATCGCTACGCAATATAAAAGATTCAAGAGAATTCGCAAGGGAGAAGCATGGCTGGCGGTCGCGGGAGTCAGTCGAATTTCTTGTCGCCGTGCTCCGAGACCCGCCGCTAACAAGCACCCATGCAGGTCATTCTCATATTTCCGCTCTGGGCGTGCCAGATTGGAATGAACAGATACGGCAGCGGCCTACATGCGTGGAATATTCCAGATGAATGGCTCGAGCCCTACTGGATCGTAAGTCTTGTAACTCCCCTTTTAAGCATTGTAAGCCTACTAAATCTTGCTGAATAGTACAGTTGGGGTTGGCTCGGATACTATTTTGATGTCTCAATGATCAAGGTTTCGGTGTGTTACAGCTTGCTTGAAATATGTAAGGCATCCCCTCAACATTGTTGGTCAAAGAAATAGGAGTTGCCGCTAATTACAATGTCTTTCGAAAACACAGTGCCGTCCAGCTTCAGAGGCTTTCGTTATCTGGTATACTCGCTTTGCATAGCAATCATGGCCCTCGGCACTGCAAACGCACTGATCTGGCTTTTTCAATGCCAACCATTTATGAGCAACTTTGATTTCGACGTTGAGCCAACGTCATGTATCGACATTGATATAACAAGATATGGTATGCTTGGACCAGGGCACCGTTTCCACTCAGCTCTTTTGCTAATATTCACTGACATCAAATTCAGTATGGGCCGGAGTTAGCATAGCGATCGATGTCTTGTTGATATGGATACCTCTTGCTGTTCTGCAACGCACTCGTCTACAAAAGCACGAGAAAGTCGTGCTGATGCTCGTTTTTGGAGCAAACATACTGGGATCTATTGCCACGTACATACTCCTTAATCTTTCAATCCTGGCAAGCTAACTAATATGCTCTTAGGGGAGTGAGCTGCTATGCTATATGGTTGAACCGTGAGAGCAATGCAGCTGCGGATCTTACCTACACGGAGACGCCTCTCGTCATATGCAACAACATTGAAATACTTTTCTACACTATTGGCGGATCGTTAACAGTACTCTCACGATATTTCATCAAAAGAGCAGCGGCATATTCTCAGGGTACACAATTAAAATCCAAGACGCCTTCTTCCGGGTTCTCGAAAATTCCCGAAGCCATCCGCAAGATCTCCAACTCTGCATCTGGTTCTCGTGCGCAGCGCCAGGAAAGCAAGGTCCCTAGCAGCAACCTCAGTCCATTACCACAGCATCATGGCGAGGACATTGAGCTGCAAGAGCTACAAGGGCAACAACCCTTCGCACACGCCGCGCCTGGTATGGCTGCAGAAGAAGACAGTACCTGGCAAACATGGGAGACAAGTTACGGCATTACCGTAAGACGGAATTTATCGCCATCATGTATTGACAGCATTGGTGTTCTGCCTGATATCGAAACGCCACCGCCAGAGGAATGGCAGGGCCTAGGAGAGAGACAATCCAATGGTACTACGTGGCTTGATACTGTCCGCGAGCCTTCGGAGGAAGACGTCCCACCACCTTCGCCGTTCTCTCCAATTCGCCATACGGAGTTGACGAATGGTCAGAACAACCATTGACGGGAGTGCACCGGCTAGGTGCAGAGCGCCTATCCGGGAAGGAAATAATAATAAGACACATTGCGAACGACGCCCAGCGGGATATTTCCATTCTGGCAAACCAATTACGGAACGAGAGTAGTTCTCATTCTCCACCATTCGCTACATTGTCTTCTCACCATCTTTTGGATTCCTCTTGCGATGGACACAACCTTGCTGCACTGAACCATACGATGGACCTCCCATGTCGGGACAACAGATACTGGATTACAGCGGGAGACGACGTGCTGCATAATCCATGGAGAATTTCTTTTTTTTATTTTTAATTCAAACTACTGCATATACGAGGTGTTGGAAATTTCAGGCCGGTCAGGGGTTTCAGGCATTTGTAGCGTTCGGATACCCACTTGGAAAGATAGAAGACCTGGTTATAATCTAGAGGAGGCTTTAATCTTTTCTTCTTTCCTTCTTTCCTCACTGCAAGGAGCTGGCTCGCTAGGGTTGTAACTGAGTGTAACAGTAGTTGGTAGTAGGTGTAGAAGCCCGGAGTAGACGACAAATCCTGCTCAATCGGGAATCTGTCTCCAGGCCATTTATACACAGATTCGGCTATAGATTGGTCTGCGGTCGAGGTAACGCCCACAGCGCCAAGACTCGTTCTCCACACCCCATGGTGCATGCAGATCCGCACACGGCCAGGCGCAGAGCCGTGCAACTCCCCACTCGTTCCTTGTCCTCGGATAATTTCCCCGCATCTTAGCCGCCTCTCGAGTCAGTCGTTGTATACATACGTGCTAGATACTTTTTGGGTGGTTACGAATAGTTATAGTAATACTATACGTAGCAGTCGCTCGGTAGCTATGAAGAGAAAAAGATCCGAGATTATGTCTTCATAAGAGCGTGAAGGCCCATTAAAGGCACAGATAAAGTAGTTTTAGCTGTACAGGCGAAAGGACGTTATCGAGAACTGTTTAGTCTACAGAGCTCAGAAGGACTGCTACACATTAACTTTGCTTGGCACAATTAATTCATCCAAACCAAAGATAAAGTACACATTCAGTTATACATACATAGATAGGTTGTGACTGATGCAATACGATTGATATACAATGCTGCTATGCCCTGTTTCCTAGTACTTGCTGCCTGCTGACCCAAACAGAACAGAAAACAAACGAAATTAACTATACTACGCGCTCACCCGTTCATCCATGTACGTGCCGTGCCGGTAGTCGACAACGCTTGTGCGGAGCAGCACGCACCTGTCCTGTGAGAACCCCCTCCCTCTCAACAATCCCTTACCCCTATCCCATATGCGTGAAGAAGAAAGAAGGAAAGAGACGAAAGAGAAGAAGCCGAAGACGAAAAAAGAAAGACAACCCATGCTATCTCTTTCCTCACCTATTTCTTCGCCCTCCCCTTCCCCTTCGGTTTCTTTTCTTCATCCTCCTCACCCGCCGCATTTTTCCCCTTCTTCGCCGGCGCAGCCCTCTTCTTCTTAGGTTGCTTGACGTACTTGTCCTTACTGACATCAAGGTCCTCCTCATCCTCACCTGGCTTGTCGGGGTCCTCGAGTACCTCTCCTTCATCTGACTCATCGATCGCCTCCTCCAGATCCGGTTTCTCCTTTGCGATTTTCTTCGGCTGCAGCACGTTCGAGGCTTTCATGAAGGGGAGCGGGTGGGCGGATTGGTTGTAGCTGCGCAGGACGTGTTAGTGCTTGTTCCAAACGACTGTTATGTGTAGGAGAGAGATGGGAAAGGGGGACATACACTCTAGTAAACGTGCTCTTAGCCTGCGTCTCCAACTTCACCTTATCCATATCCATAGGTCCAACCCCCAACTCCATAATGGCGTCAAAGTCTTCCTTCGTCAAGAAATAACTGTCCATAAGCTCAATAACCTCAGGCACGGCGTCCTTGCCCTCGCGCTCCAACTTCTTAACCAGCTGCTGCCACAGCAGCGGCACGTACTGTTGGCGGACCTCGTGCCGGTCGCCCGACGTGCGTAGCCGCATATGGCCTTGGATCTCCTTGACCATGCGCGTCAGTTTGCCCTGCGAGCTGTTCTTGCCTAGCCACGCTGGGAAGTTTGTCTTGAAGCCCGCCATGCTGCCTGCCACGAAACTGGCTGGCCGTACGAACGAGAAGATCGCGTGCGTCGGCATCAGACTCCAGTGTTGTTGCGAGCCGTGGATCATCCCGTCGACCAGGTCACCGTCGCTGATGCTCTCTGCGGCCTGCTCGGCGAGTTCGAGCATCTTGAGGTTCTTCTCTCTGCCCTGGTACTTGCCTGCTTTGACGGGGTTGGTGCCAAGGTAGTTCTCTTGGAGCATGAGGTAGCTCAGTTCGTGGTCGTTAAAGTATAACTCTGTTTTGTCGTTGAGCGTAGACTTGCTGGCCTCAGAGAACATGCCGCCTCCCAGAATTTTGCTAACAATGTCCCATGGCTTAAGGATTACGTGCTTTTCCCAGTTCTTAGACATCGCTTTGCTCTTGTCAAAATCCATACCCTCTTCATCTAACTTAGCCGTGGATATCATGTTGACGACCTGCCGGATGTCGGCATTACTTCCCTCAATCAGAGCATCGACGACCTGTTTCGGCAACTTTAAACCCTCGCGGAAGGCGATAGTCATGATGCGCGACCTGATCTGATCCGTGGTCGGTCTCCTGAATGGTAAATCAAATGTGACAAAGTCAAACGGCTTCATCTTAGGTTGTCGGCGGTCGTTGCAGATGAGAATCATGGGGATCTGTGTCTTTTTACAGACGGCGGCGAGAGCGCCGACGCCTCCTCGATCACCGGCGGACATGCCATCGACCTCGTCCATGATGAGCACAAGCTTCTTCTTCGATGCTTCGACCTTTTGATTGTCGCCGGCAAAGTATCCGAGCAATGACGTTGTCTCCAAAACACCCTTTAGTCCTTGTTCCACAAGCTTCTTGCTACGCGTGTCGCTAGCGTTGCTCTCAACAACATCGTAGCCCTCGAGCTTGGCGACGAGATGTGCGGCAGTTGTTTTACCAATTCCCGGAGGACCGTGGATCATGACTGCACGGAATACACCACTACCGTCAGGTCCTGCCATCTTGAAGCTTTTGCGCTGATGTTTCGGAAAGTCACGCAACCATCGCTGAAGACGGTCCACCTGAGTCTTATTGCCACAGATCTGGCTCATTTGGGTCGGCGCGTATTTGGCGGTCCAAAGACGGTTGTCCGGTCCAGAGGCAGCTTGTGAGCTCGAGGCAGATCCGGCGGCAGCCTTTCCACCACCAGCACCCCCTGCGCCTCCCGCGTGGCGTTCCTCCCTCTCCATTTCTGCTGCCATCTCCTGGATTTTCTTCGCCTCGGCCTTTTGCTTCTCTTCGTAAGCGGCTGCGGCTTTGCTATTACCGCCATTCGCAGGAAGTCGGCTGATAAGAGCGAACAAGCCGTCCTCGTCAATGGTCTTCAAGCCAAAGCTTTTGATCTTTTGTAACTTGCTTGGACCAGCATCATTTCCCAAGACAACGTAGCTTGTCTTACTGCTCGGCGCCGTGGTAACTTTGCCACCGTATTTCTTGACCAACTTTTGCCCCTCCTCACGATCCAAGTACTTCAGCAAGCCAGTGAAGACAAAAGTGAGCCCAACAAGACAGTTCGGTTGGCCTTCTGGTATCTCCTTTGTGCCTGCTTCCGGCGCGGGTCCAGAATTTGCGTGGTGCGCCTTGAAGTCGAACTTTTTCCCATCACCAGACTTTGGGGGTGGCGAAGGCGGGTGTACGGTGGGGATGCTGTTCAAGATATCCTGCATCGCTGCACTTTCCGGTTCGTCTTTCTTAGTCCGCTTCTTTGCCGGAGATGTCTTCGCCCCGGCAGGGCGTCCCCGAGGTTTCTTTGCTGGCTCGGGTTCATCCTCCTCATCCGTCTCCGCTGATTTCCGCTTCCGACCTGCTTTGGCGGCTGGCTTGCTGACTTTGGCGGGTTTGTCGACGGCGATCTTCTCGTCATCATCCGGGACCACAAAATCATCTTCCGGTTGCGTATCCTTCATTTCTACGTCTTCATCTGGATTGAAATCATTGTCTTTAATCTTCTTTTGCCGACCTTTACCCGTGGATTGCCTCTGCGGTGGCGCATCATCCTCGTCGGTACCTTCCTCATACGCATCCGCATCTTTACCCTTCTTCTTGTAATCAGCCGTGAAGATATCGTCTCCGCCATCGTCGCCGTCAAAAAAGTCTTCGTCCTCGTCCTTGACCTCTGCATAGGTTGCGGGCTTAGTCTTGCGATTCGAGGTTCTGGGAGATGTGGCGGCTGCTTTCGAGGCACTATTCTTAGATTTGGCGGGGGAAGCCTTGGGCGCCGGTTCTTCTGTTTTCACCGGTTTCGAGGTTCGGATGGGGGCTGATCGGGTCGGTTTCTTGCCGCCAAAGAAGTCGGAGGCCGTGGTTGCTTCGCCTTCTGGTGTAGGCTCGCGCTTCCTGAAACGTAGTCTGTCAGCGAATGTCTTTCACATCTCGGCTTGGCACTCACTGTTGCTTTTTCGGCGCGGCCTTCTTGGGAGTGGCCTTCTTCGGGCTACCAGTCGTCAACGGTTGCTGCAGCAATGGCGCCTGGCCTACTCACGGTTCATCTTCATCCGACTCTTCGACCACTCGGCGGGCAGGTCTTCCTCGCTTCTTCGCGGTGGTGGACTGGCGAGTACGGGGAGGCATGTTAACAAGTCGCTTACTGGGCGCCATGATGGTGTCGGTGGACAAGAATTGCGCGCGTGCAAGTCACGGAATGGCAGTGAAATGGCGTACCTCCTTCGCGGGCTTCGCGGCTTCCTGGGCGGGCTTGCCACCAAAAAAGCTCCTGATATCGGCAGGCATAGTGCAGACCTACAGCTCACAAGCAAGGAAAGCGCAATACAAAAGAGCGAGGCGTGGGCGAGGCGTGGGCGAGGCAAACGCTAGGTTTCCAGGCAGCACGAAGGCAGCACTCGAGGGCGACGCGTCTGGCGATGATGTCGCGCGCGTCGGTCCCGCCGCTCACCACTTCCGCACTGTTTCTCCGGCGCCGACGGGCTTGGCGCGCGCCGTCGCTGGGAAATCATCTGCTCGTACCTACACACCTAGACCTCAACATCATTTGCATCGATACTGCAGCCTGGGGCCTCCCGTAACGGTGCAACACCAAGCATGCTATTAACGCTCCTAACGCCTCTCTGCAGTCCTGGCTTCCCACCTTCGGTACAGCTCGCGCGGCAATCCCTTTAGCTTCACGACCGCACATATTGGTCTTATGGTCTATGTGTTAAAGAGCCTCTTCGAGGTCAAGGGCGATCTGCACGAGCAGATGGTCAGGAATGTGCCTATGCTTTCGGACAACAAGCTTCCGGGCTTGCACGCTCGGTCAACCTATGATGTTGAGAGCGGGCAACTGGCCGATCACTGGCTTGTTCGAGTTCGTCAAGAAAGCATGGGTCTCATGAGCACAAAAAGTTCGGCAACGGTGTCACGGAGTAGATGCTGAGGCAGCCGCTCGAGCAGACTGCCGTGCGCTGTAAGGGGTGGTTGTGTGAGCGGAATTGGTCCGTGGAAAATGATGGAATGCGTCTACTAGGTACTAAGTCCCGACAAAAAGCAACCCCTAGTCAGTCTTCAGCCGTACGCCAGGATGAAAACTTGCGAGCACCCAGGCCCCGCATCAGATCAACCGCGCCTCGTCGTAATACGATAAAGACAAAAGCACACAATATGGGGCGCACGGGCCAGGCATCCGCGCGGTGACTTCACCACCTGCCTCTCTCAGTGCCCACGGTGACTTTGACCGCCACCTGCCTCGCGCTGACCAGATCTGCCGACCCCACAGTTGCACGGCAGCAAGGATGGCACTTGGCACCCACGCACCTTCTCTCGACTCACCTGCCTAATCTGGCAATGAGCTGGCTGTCGCAACCTCTCGCATCATGATAGCAACTTGCCCCTCGCTGCACTCTTCTCTCCCATAAAGCTTTAGCTTGCTCTCGCTCTCTCTCTCTCTCTCTCCCCAACCCCCTTTCTTCTGCCCCTCCCGCCGCCTGCGTCTTGCTTCTCATTGTTTTGCACCATGTTGGCAAAGGCCATTGTCTCGTCGCTGCTCTTCGCGAGCTCCATTTCTGCCTTCATCCCTGCCCTGCCATTGCACGAGCGGCAATTCCCCGCCCAGCCCAAGAATGTCAAGACGATTAAGACACCTACCAATGTCACCATTCGGTACAAGGAGCCGGGGAAGGATGGTGTCTGCGAGACCACGCCTGGCGTCAATTCGTGAGTGACCATAATTTTGAAATGGGCAGAGCTCGAGCTCATCGCATGCAGCTACTCAGGCTATATCGATTTGTCGCCCACCTCCCACACGTTTTTCTGGTTCTTCGAATCGAGAAGAGACCCGGCAAACGATCCCGTCACACTCGTAGGTGACTCTGCAGTGCTGCAAAACGGCAAGCTGACCGCCACAGTGGCTCAATGGTGGCCCAGGCTCTGATTCTCTTATTGGACTGTTCCAAGGTTAGTTACTCTTGTGTTCCGCCACCGTTCCCGCCTCTGAGACCAACAGAACTCGGACCGTGCATTGTGACGGAGAATTATACGACAGCAGTCAATCCGTACAGTTGGAACGCGGTCTCGAACCTTCTGTTCATCTCGCAGCCTCTGGGCGCCGGCTATTCTTACTCGGAAGAGGAACCGGGATCGCTGGAAACGACCCAAGGCAGTGGTGCATTCGTGAATGCCAGCGAAGCTGAGCCCACCGGCACGTGGCCAGTCGTTGATGCTTCGATCCTGGACACTACAGACCTTGCTGCTGTAGCTACATGGCACGTGCTCCAAGGTTTCTACAGCGCCCTTCCACAACTAGACTCCGAAGTCAACTCCAAAGTGTTCAATCTGTATACTGAAAGCTATGGTGGTCACTACGGGTATGTAGCCTCGATTGAGCATTGAGCATGGAAGTTGACGCCTTGAAGTCCCGCGTTCTACAATTACTTCTACGAGCAGAATCAATTGATCGCCAATGGAACCAACCCCGGCACTGAATTAACCTTCAACACGCTCGGCGTAGGTACTCTGGGTCCAGTTGTCACTCCGATCTAACGTCTCCCAGGTCGGCAATGGTATCATCGATGCTTATGTGCAAGCGCCGCACTACCCCAGGTTCGCTGTCAACAACACGTATGGCATAAAAGCGATCAATGACACAACGTACAACTACGCCAACTTTGCTTTGAACATGCCAGCCGGGTGCCTCGCCCAGATCCGGAACTGCCGCGCCTCCGACATCAACTCTCCGACGGAGCAATCCATATGTGCGCAAGCGGCCGACATGTGTCGCGACAATGTCGAGGGGCCTTACGAGAACATCGGCAACCGTGGTGTCTATGACATCCGGCACCCACGGGTTGACCCCACGCCGCCGGACTACATGACGCAATACCTCAATACGGGCTCAGTACAGGACGCTCTGGGTGTAAGCTTGAACTACACCCAGTCCAACGGCGACGTCTACTACGCCTTCCAGATCACGGGCGACTTTGTGTACCCCAACTTCGCGGAGGACATTCAGATGCTACTGGACGCAGGCGTGCGTGTGGCGCTCTACTACGGCGACGCGGACTATATCTGCAACTGGTTCGGCGGAGAGTACGTATCCTTACCCCCTATATAACATTTCGCGACATGACGCTAACCCTACCGCTACCAGAGCCGTCTCCCTCGCCATCAACCATACCGACAGCGACCGCTTCGCCGCCGCGGGCTACACGCCCTTCACGGTCGACGGCACCGAGTACGGCGTGGTACGCCAGGCGGGCAACTTCAGCTTCCTGCGCGTATACGAGGCCGGGCACCTGGTGCCGTACTACCAGCCTGTAGCCGCGCTGGCCATGTTCAATCGGACAATTAACGGCGAGGCAATTGCGGACGGAGGTCTTTGGGATCCAGAGGGCGAGGGCACCAAAGGCGAGCCCAGCGCGACGCATACGGAGCCGTTTGTGCCGTTGCCTACGGCGACTGGGGCTTAGTGATGGGTAAAGAAAAGGGTCAAGGAAAGGTAGGTTGAAGATTGGATTGGCTAGTCGATTGGAAAAGAGGGAGATGCGCATGCATGCGGCTGTGGTTTTGTGTGTGGGTCGGTGTCGTCCCGTTTGGCCCTATCCTATCCCTTAGCGTAGTAAATAAATTAATCGACGATTGACGGACTGGATGTGATGTGGTATATAACAATATATGCGTGTATGGTACGCCCCCTTCCTTTGGTCAGGCTTTTAGGTATCATATCTATCTGATCAGTCTAACGGCTAATTACCCACGCTCTCATCCCATGCAGCCACCACGTACCCAACCGTCCTGTCCGACTGGGGAAATGACCACTGAATCCCACCCGATAGGCAGGCAGACAGCGCATCCACTTCCCTCCCAAACCAAATATAAAACGAAACCCAAGCAGCAAAAAAGCAACAACCGAAAAAAAAAAAAAAAAAAAAGAACAATGGATATCATGCCCGTCGCTTCAATTACCTTCCTCCACTTTAGCGCGTCCAAGCAGTTCAGCCCCGTCCCCTCTTCCCCTTCCCTTCAATTCCTTCATTACCGAACCAAGGGATTAAAAGCAGGTAAAGGAAACAAAGCAAGAAAATAACGGGAAAGTGTGCTCCGAACACCGTCCATCGGTACGTCGAGGAAACCGAAACGAAACGTTCATGTCATTACTTGGGTAGGAAGAGGGTTTGAAGAGCATGGAAAGGGAGCAAAAGTATGAAAATAAGCGAACGGCATGCGTAAGGTAGAGGATCGATAGCGTTGTTCCTGGCGCATTGAGAGGAGTGGGTATGAAGGAGGAGGAGTAGGAGGAGGGGACGCACGCGAGAGAACCTGTGAGGACGGCAGATGGCAGACGGCGGAATGCGGAAGAGGGGAGGGGAACGATGGAAGAAAAACTCGAAAATGACGACGACAAATAACGGGTGGTGGTATGCGTCCCTCCCTCCCCTCTTCTTTCTCCCTCTCTCAGATGAAGATGAAGACGAAAAAGAAGTGCGCGAAGAAATGTGTGAAAAGAAGTTTTGAACTTTTTTTGCGCATCCTCTTTCCGGTCGTTTTTTCCATCTTTCGCGTCCTCCACCCTCCACTTTCTCGTGTAGAAAGGCCTATCCTGAGTAGGTATCTTGTCGTGCCCTGTCCTGTATGTATGTAGGTATGTACTTGCGTCTTCTGTACACACGCATGGCTGTGGCTCTCTTCCTCTGCTCTGCTCTGCTCTGTGCTCCCCTTCCTACATAGGTACACTCTCTTCTTTCTCTTCTGGTCCCTCTCCTCCTTGTCTCTTCTCCTCTCTCGTTCGCTCTCGCTCATCGCTCGCTTGAACGCCACATAAGTGCTCAACCCCAAAACCATATGTCCATCCATCCAATCCATCCAATCCATCCATCCATCCATCCATCCATCCATCCATCTGTCCCTCTGTCCAAGAAACACAACTAGCTAGGTACGTAAATAAAGCGATAGGTATATATAAAGAAGCACGCAAAACTCCCTTCCTTCTTCTCACTCTCCATCCCGCCCTTCTCATCCGTTCCTATCCGTCCAGCCGTCCAGCCAGCCAGCCAAGTCCATCATCATCAAAAGAACAAAGAACCAAAGAACCAAATAATCCAACCAATTCATTCGCTCCGCTCCGCTCCGCTCCGTCTGGTTTGCAAAGGCACGCTATGCTGCGATGCAAGATGTGGTGGGGTATATATCGGGTATGTCGAGTATGTCGGGTATTGCTGGGTATGACGTTTGTATGTGGTGTGTGTGTGTGTGTATGTGTAGTATGTGGTGGTGTAAATCTCGAGGGGGAAGAAGCAGCAGCAGCATCCGCTGCCTTCGTCGCCGTTGTCGTGGCCGCGGCCTCCTCAGCGATTGAACCAGTTGACGAAGCGGCGGCGCGGCTCGCCTGCCGCGCCTATGGCCTCGAGGCTCGTGCTGCGGTCGTAGAGTTCCTGCCGGAGACAGTCAGCGTCATCATCCTCAAACCCGCCCCGTCTGTCTGCCAACCGAAAAAGAGAGGGAAAGTGAGGAAGAGAAAGAAAACTTACATCATCGTCCTTGCAAATCCTCACATCAAGCACCAACGCCCTAATCTCGTCGTTCCGCGCAATGTTCGGATACGGCACGCCCTGCGCGCGCTGCAATCCCACAATCACCTCGCCCATAATCGCAAACTTGCGCCAATTAATCCGCTCCTTGCCCACCACACCCCCCGGCGGCGCCTCCTTATCTCCCGCCTGGCTATTCTTGAGCAGCGCAACCTGCAGCGCCTTGGCTGACTCCGTGTTCGCGATCGACACCGACGCCGGCGCCGACACGGTCCCATGACAGCTGCCCCCACTGCCATTGTGAGTGGGCCCCGACGCCGACCCTGGTGGCGAGTACTCCTCCAGCCCCGGCACGCCCATCGGCACGCCGGGCGTCCCTGGCGTCGTTGGACTCGCCGGCGTGCGCGAGCTCATCGCTCCGCTCAGCGCCGCCAGCGTGTCTGCCCGGCTTGCCCGCCGAATTGGGTCCAGCACGAACGTGTTGTTGCCCTCGGCCGCCGAGACCAGGTCGCGCCGGTGCAGTGGCAGGTACGGGATGCGTTCGCCCGAGCTGTTCTCCCATGCCAGCCGGTACGCGAAGTGCGACTTCTGCGTGCCCATCAGGATCTCCAGCTTCATGAAGTCTTTGGCCGTCTGCGGCGTCAGCAGATCGCGCGTCGCGGCCAGGCGGTGGATTGCTGTGCCGTTGAGACCCGCCAGGACGGCGCCGAGGGAGTTGTAGTTGTTCAGCTCGCGCAGCTTGCGCGCGACCTTCATGAATTTGTCGAGCATCAGGGCGCGGTGCTTCGGCTTGTCGCGGAGGAGGATGAAGTTGGTTACCCAGTATGCGAGGTGGTTGAAGTGCTCAATCATGCGGTCGACGTTGTCAAGGTTCTTGCAGCTCTTCTTGTCCTTGGCGTTGAGACTGACATGCCGCACCAAGTCGCGCGGCTTGATCGAGGAGAACATGATCCAATCGATGCGCGTCAGCTCGCGCGCAATGTTCTCTTCCGATTCTCCCATGAGTAGGTGCCATTGTGTCTTTGTGAGCGTGACACGCGGGATAGGAACCAGCAGCTTGGCCTGTCGTCGCGCGTTCTCGATGTTGTTGATCATGGTCTGGGAGGTGCTGGTCGTCATGACGCTGTTGGACCGCTCCGGATTGCCCGACGGATCCTTTTCCGAGGCGTCTCCGATGTTGACCGACAAGTTGCTAGCGCTCTTCACTAGCTCCTCGTCGGACTCGTCTGCTAAAGTGGTGCTTCCGCTAAGAAAGCTCTTGAACTTGTCCGAGCTTTCCGAGTTCTCGCGCTTCCTATCGCTGCAGGCCCAGTCGGTGTCGTCGTCTTCCTGAACTACTTCGAGGTCGGCCAGAATCTCCTTTGCGGCCATGGAAAAGATCCGGTTGTCACTGAGTCTGCTGGTGACAAAGTGTGCCATCCTGCGCTTGGTGCTGGGGTAAGCAAAATCTCCAGGGTACGTACTGAGCCACTGTTCCATGATGGCAAGATAGCGCAGCTGCGCTACAGTCCGGATCATCGTGGGCTTCCTATCAAACTCGAGGTTGTCAAAGCGCTTGGTGATGGCTTCCAACAACTGGCTTGGCGCGGCGAACTTGCGGTACAGGGAGAGGAAGATGGCCACAAACTTGGTGTCCTGCTTAGACAGCGGCTGTGCTAGGAGGCGGTCGACGAGCTGCTCAAACGTGTAGCCGTTCTCGTCCGACGGCATGACGGAGATGACGCTGGGCTCGTAGTCGGACGAGTCGGCGGCTTCTGAATCGTAGGACTCGTAACCCGGTGATTCCTCGAGTTCGACGAAAGAGTTGCGGTTCCGCGAGCTTTTCGCGCGCGCCTGGGCATCGTTTTCGAACATCATCTTAAGGCGGGAGCCGGAGAACTCGGAACTGGCGCGCTCGTGCCTGCGCGCCCACGTGGGGCGGGGCGAAACGGGGCGGAGGGCAGAGGAATTGGCGCGCCGGCGGGCTCCTGGTGTAAGCCGTGGGGGCTCTTCATCACGACGTCAGAAAGAAGCGTGGATGCAACGGCAAGAGGCGTCTATATATGGGGGGTGGGAGAAGGGCCGAAACGCGGGTCTGGACTCACCCTGTCGCGCGGCCAAGATGGAGCGCAGCATGACATTGAGGCACAGGCGCTGGCTGTCCGGAGCGCCGTCGGAGCTCTGGAAGGCTGGCAGGTCGCCAACGAGAGCTTTGGCGCGCTGTTCGACGACGGCGGGGTCGACCTGGCGGTGGGCGGGGTGGTTGTCACACTTGCACCCCACGAGCACGCAGGGCAACGCCGTCTTGTGCACCACGTCTGCGCGCGCCTGGGTTAGCCGGGGAGCTCTCGGGACGCTTGGGTGGGCGTGGGAGAAACTGTACTGAGCATGCCCGGCACCTGCGCCAGACTCTCCTGATTCATCACGTCGTATAGCATAAGGGCGCCGTCGATGCGCGGGGCAGCCTGGCCGTCGATGGTGTCGGGCCAGACGAGGCGGTCGTCGTGCTCGATGTTGACATCGGCAAAGGGGATTTCGAGCAGGCGGACGGTGTAGACGGTGCCGTCGACGGACATGCGGCGCGAGGCAGAGCGGCGGGTCGACGAGTTGCGCAGGTCGAAGGCGCGGTCGATAAAGAGCGACTTGCCGACGCGGCCGTCACCGATGACGCCGATGTTGATGTCGAGGGCGTCGGAGTCGGCATCGGGCGACGCGTCGGCGCGGTGCGAGGGCGCGCTGGAGCGCTCCATGGGGTGGAAGGGTCGACGACGGGAAGGTCTTTTGGCGGCGGCGTGTCGGCGTCGTGGAAACGGTCGTTCGCTGGAAATCGGGGCGGCGGGCAAGAGGGTGTAAAAAATGGAGCCTCGCTCGTCTCTCGCGGGGGAGGGAGAAGTGGGTGGTGGCTAGGTGACCATTATCGGCTGGGGAGCGGAGCGGGAGGACGGGCGCGCGCGTCAATGAGCGAGCGTTGTGTGTTTGTGTGGTGGTGCGAGGCTGCTGGCCCCTGTCCCTGTCCATGACCCTCAACCCGCCGAGATTTGCACTTTATTGTGCCAATGCACTGTAAACTACTTCCTTCCGCTGCTGACCCTGGCGCCACAGCTTTGTCCCGGTGGCGCCTTTGGCGTACCGTTCGTGTGATGGATTCTAGAGCTGAAGTCTATGGCCTCTAGTCTCCTCAGCTAGCATATGAATCTCCCGCACCGCCCGCGCCGTGCCGCCGTCTTTCTTCTTTTCCCTTCTCGTCATGCTGTACTCTCAAACTCGACCCTGAATGTCCAACCTGGCTGTATCCGTGACCAATTCTTAATATTTCTTCTTTTTCTTTCTTCTTCTTCTTCTTCTTCTTCTTCTTCTTCCTCTTCTTCATACATTCCTTACTCTCTCTCTCATTCCCTTTCTCCTCTTCTCTCAGTCGTAGTCAACAAAATGGCCATCATGGCTGCTCCGGGCGTCAGAGTAGCTCTCCCCTTCTCCTCTCTTCTCTCCCAATGCCAATGTCTCCGGGCCCCGTGCAGCAATAAATCCACTTCCGCCGACCCCCAAACGTGCTCCCTCCTCCCTTTTCCGTTCATATCCGACTAACGCCCTAACCCAGCGCCCACCCTCAACTACGGCCGCCCAGCGCCGCTCCAACAACATCCTTCTGTACAATCCCACAGACGCATGGTCACAGCCACCACCCTCTCTGCCTCCCGCCCACGTCCCTCTCGAATCCTCGGACCTGTCCCGCCGCCTGGAGAACTACCTTGGCTCCCGTAACAGCGTCTTGGACGCCCCCCCGCCGTCATCCCTTCCGCGTAGCCAGAGCAGGCAAGACGCGGAGTCGGGTGCGCACGGCGGTAAGGCTAACGTAGCAAGTACCGCAATGGCGGACGAGGTGCGCCGACAGGAGGCGAGGCGGGCGCGCAAGTTGGAGCGCGCGGCGCAGGAGTCTCGACGGAGGAAAGAGGATGAAGGTGCCTCTGAGCCTCTACAAGCAGAGCCTCAACCGCAGCTGCAGCAGGCCCCTGAAGATGCGCGCGAGCTGCAGAGGAGGATGGCGCTGTTGTCGTTGGAGGGACGGAAGCAGGAGTGCGAAGAGCTGGAGCGGGAAGCAAAGGCGAAGGCGAGGGCAGCTAGGGCAGCCAGAGCGCGCGGCATATACGCTTTACCGATTGCCAAGCCAAAACCAGCGCGAGAGGCCTTAAAGCGCGCCGGCGGATTGCAGATGCCGGTGCCAGTTCCAGAGGCCGAGCGCGCGACGAAGGAGGAAGAAAAGGCCCCAACGGGTCATGTCGTTACGAGCTCCTTGAGTTCACTTGACAGGATCCGTGCTGCGGCCGAGGAGAGGAGGCGCCGCCGGCTGTTGGAGGAAGGCGATTCCCCTTCTGCTCCTCCCACACATATCGTGTTTCAGCATCGCCGCGGCCCCAGCAGCGATACGGTGAACCGGCCGAGAAGCACGACGGACGTCGATCGCCGCGAGTGGGATGGAGGTAGCAGCAAGAGAGGAAGCAGCACTCGTTCGCTGAGTTTCAAGAGCCAGGAGTGGCGAAAGAGCGGAGGGGATGCAGGCGACGACTTCAGTGCGATACGGGGCCTACAGCTGCGCGTGTCGGTGCTGCGTCGCGGGTTAGAAGACCGGGAGAAGAAGATGGAAGAGGAGGAAGTCGAGAAAGTCGAGAAAGTCGAGGAAGTCGAGGACGCGCAGGCGATGCGGCGCTCGCTGGCCGAGATGCTGGCAGGCCTGGACGGCAACGACGATGCATCAGCAACACCACCGCCACTCTTCCACTCGAGAGGGAAGGGGCAGCAGACCGTCACCCTGCAAGCCTTCCATCCGGACGCCAACGACGACGAAAACAAAGACGATTTCATCTCGCCCGCCCCCACGCCTCCCTCCTTCACCTACTCCTTCACCCCCACAAAGTCCTTCTCTACCGGCTCTCGCGCCCGTGCCGGCTCCCGTACCCCGGCCCCCCTCCCCATCACCATCCCTTCCACCGCCTCCTCCAGCGCTCTCACCACCGCCACTACCGCCATCTCGCCCTCGCCCTCGACCTTCACTGCTGACAGCGCCCTCACCGCCGCCAGTAGCCTCCCCAGCAGCGCACCCTCTTTCGCCATGTCCCCACAGCTGCCGCTCCTGCGCACCGCGCCCCTGCGTTCGCACCCTGTCACCGCCGACCCAGATGCGCCCGCCGTTTTCGACTGGGGCGCCAACGCGGGCTCGGCGGCGGGGTCCACGGCTGCGGCGGGGCATAGGCGCAGCTTGCAGCATGCTGGGGGAAGAGAGGAGGCCCTGAGGCGAGAGGCCCGCGAGGGGAGGGAGAGCGAGCGTCCTGGCAGCCCGAGGAGCCCGACCAGCCGTCTGGCGTTTTGGAAGAAGACGGGAAGCGGGAGCGGGGGGTTGTGGAGTCCGAGGAAGGACAAGCCGAGGGGATGAGATGAAGTCTGAGTGGCCAACTCCGCCTGTGTGCGTGGGGTTTGGTCTTGTGCTGCTCTGCTATTCTATCCTGCGATGGATTGCTCTCATGACTTCTCCGGCTTCCATGGCGCGTCCTCAGCCCAGTCCATCTTTTAGTTTGTTCCTTACCTCCATCCTGGCATGGAACGAGTGGTGAAGGAAGGCCGCTTTCACTCGCCCCTCGCCTGCATCGGACGCAGGTGGTTTGGGGATGCTCACTCTGCTGGGTGTTCTTCAAAGAAAAATAAGAGAAGCGCACTCGATTGAGGAAGCGCGAGAAAAGAGAATAAGGAAAACGAACAAAGAAAACCTGTCACCCCAGCCATCTGGTACCACGATAAAACGGCGTCTAACGTCTCACTCCTCCACCCATTACCTTTTGTTTAATATTCGATAATCTTACGCTGTTTACTTACGCTTCATGTAGTACATAGCATGTTACAGCAGCGCAGTGGTGGAACCTGCTATTTGTTTTTGCAAGGCATATTGTAATATAGGTAGTAGCAGCGACACCACATACATACGTGTGGTGCAGCAAAGACATCTTTCTGGCCGGCCTGTGTGTTTAAATACTCTCAGACCGCCATTCATCTCGTTATCCCTTTTAAGATCTTCCAAAAATCGACGCAAACAAATGCGCACTCACACCTCCCTTCCCTGCCGGCTTTCCCGCCCACGTCGTACCACGCTACACACGCGGCCCCACGCTCATGCCTGTCCTCCGACCGAGCAGACATCCATGCGCCATAACCATCAATTCCCACCGCCGCCTATCCCATCCAGATACGAGCAGTCGTACTCGAGTCCCCTGCCGAGCCGCCCATAAGGCTTGGCACTGATCTCGCTAATCTAATGCCTCGAGACGGTCCGATCGTATCGCGCGATAAAAAAAAAAAAAATCAAAAGCCAAAATAAAATCTCATGCACTACGGCTGATGCGCGCGGGGGCAAAAATTGCAGCTTCTGTGGATCGAACACAGTACCTCCAGATACCGCACAGAGTGGTTTGTAACCGAAGTTGGACTTCAGTCTGGCGCTCTCCCAAGTGAGCTAAAGCTGCTTGATCACCTTGACAATAGAAAACGCTTTGCTTGCTGCATTTATGATGATCATATTGATTGCAAAATACAAACAATGCATTGCTGCCTGGTGGTGAATGGTGAGCGAGCTTCTTGGTAAGAAGCTTTTGTCAACCTCGTCTTCTACTTTAACCCTCAACCGAACAACCTTAAGATCAGCAGACGCACAAACACTCAGACATGATCACTGCAACTATGGCGCTGCAACCCCTGGCGCAAGCGACGAGGTACAGAGTACGGAGTACCTGGGTACCCAACAGGACATGGGGAGATGAGGTTTCTAGACCGCGCACGCGAGAGGCCAGGAGCTCGGTCTATTATTTTTTCACCGCTTACGATTAAACAGCTTGACAGTCGACCTCGGGCGTAATAACCGCCGCGCGTAATGTGAACCCCCGTCACAACCCCGAGAGGCGCGCACAGAGTGACGACGATTGCGCTCTCTCTCCCACGGGGCCTCCACCACGGATGACGAAGGACAACGCGCGCCCCGTGTTCCCCGGCCGACTCGTCGAGATTCGGTGCTGCAGGCCGCTGGCGACGCTCAGGCTTCCCGCCGTCGTCGTCGTCTGCGGCACGGCGAGAGAGTGATAGTGGTTGACGCGTCTCGCGATAGTGAGCATGGCATCTCCTGTTCAACCAAACATTGCCGTTTCAGGGGAACAACCGCCAAGGATGCGCGAACCCCGGCAGGGATCTCTTCGCGGTGCAAGATACGGCCACGGAGAAGTGACAAGGCCGGTCTGGTACGGCAAGACGGCACCAACAGACGGCAGGCTGGAGGATTTCAATGCCAAGCGTGGGGCGTCGACTGCCGCCCCGTCTTGCGAGCTCGGTATCCTCGTCGCGTCTCGTCCACGCCGTGCCCCCGACTCGGGCAACGACGCAGACGGCCATGCCAAGACATGGCGGACTTGAGAACGCGCCCATTGGTTGACCGAGCTGCGTCACCTCCGGCTCGCACTTGCATCTTTTTCGTTAGATCGCCCAGCCCGCACCGCTATCGATACCTAGCATACGCGTGTATTCCGCTTCGGGGTGCTATACTTCAACATGTCCCTCCCGCCGCTGCTCTCCCTCGCCATGCCGTGCCTCGCCGCTCTCTGCTCAATCCGTCATGAGGCTCTCAATCCTCGCCTTCCTCCCTCTGCTGGCCGGCGCCTCTCCTCTCAGTCTCAAGTCCAAGTCTGACAGCAATCCTCTCTGGTACGACCAAGGTCTCTATGGCGCCTACCCGACACAGGAGTACGTTTCTTTTGACTTGAGTTCCCCGCGCGTGAACATACTCCAATGGAACTCCAAATGCGACCAGAGCTATACCTTCCTTGAGCCTCGAGGCCGGTCCGTCGCCGATCCTGGCCCAATGATCTTGGACGCGCGCGGAAATCTCGTCTATACGGAGAAGAAATATGGTCAGGCCATGGACTTGAGGGTGCAGAGGTACAAGGGAGAAGATTTCATAACATTCTGGGCGGGCAATGATGACGGGACTCATGGGCGCGGAAGATACTACATGGTGAGCTATTACGGCCTGCTCAACCACTGCCTCAATTTAACGCATAATAGCTGGATTCTTCGTACGAAGTCAGACATGTAGTAGGCCCCGCCAACAACCTCGAAGGAGACCTCCACGAGTTCCAATTGACCCAGAATGGTACTGCGCTCATGACCATTTACGAAATCATACCGGCAGACTTGTCTGCCATGGGAGGACCCAAGGACGGCTGGATCTACGACGGCCTGTTCCAGGAAATCGATGTTGCTACGGGCGACTTGATCTTCCAATGGCGCGCATCTTCGCACTACCACATTAGCGACTCGTTTGCGCCACGCAAGAGCAAGGGAAAGAGCCACGACGACGCGTGGGACTATTTCCACATCAACAGCGTCGACAAGGATGCCGATGGAAACTACTACATTAGCTCGCGCTACATGCACACAATCACTTGTATCAGCCCTAAGGGCGAAGTCTTGTGGAAGCTGGGCGGCGCAGCGAGCGACTTTCGGGACCTCAGTCAGGGCGCCGCGAGCAACTTTTCCTGGCAACACCACGTACGCTGGTTCCAAGGCAACCAATTGACCGTATTCGACAACGCCGCCTATGATAACAACGTCGCCACGATGCCGTATTCGCGCGGCCTGCTTATCCAGCTCGACATGGAGGCGATGACCGCAACCCTTATCACCGACTTCGTCAGCCCTATGCACATTTCCGCGCACTCGCAGGGCTCCGTCCAGCGCCTCAATAGTGGAAACTACTTCGTTGGGTGGGGACATTCGGCCGCGTACACTGAATTCACTCCTCAAGGACATGTGGTGTGTAACGTGCATTTCGGCGCGTCGTCCTTCTTTGGCTGGGGTTGGATCAAATCATACCGGACGTTCAAAGGCGCATGGGTCGGGCGCCCGAACACACTCCCCGCGATTGCGCGCAAGCGGAACAAGGTCTATGTGTCGTGGAACGGGGCAACGGAGGTCAAGAGCTGGAAGCTGCAGGGCACGGACAAGGTGAAGGGCAACTTCACCGACATTGACACCATCAAGAAAAACGGTTTCGAGGACGCCTTCTCCATCACGGGGACGTATGGAGATTTCCTCAGGGTCGCGGCGCTGGACAGCGAAGGCGAGGTCATGGCTGTGTCGGAACTGATGAACGCGGTGACAGGGCAAATAGTAAGTGATGTCCTCATAGCTCTTCTCTTCCCGTCAAACTAACACACCACCCACCAGGTCAACCACGCCTACACACCCATCCAAGACTCCGACGTCGTGCCCCTCCAGTTCCTGCTCGTGCTCCTCTCGCTCGTCACCCTCGCCGCCGCAGGCTACGCCGTGCGCAAGCCCGCCCTCGGCTACGCCAACGCCATCCGCCTCCGCTTCCGCCGCGTGCACATATGAGCCGCCACCGCCGCCGCTTCTGGGACCCCTCCCCTTTTTTTCCTTCCGTGCCGCGTGTGTCCCCTCACTCTCACACACCTTGGCTCCTGCCCCTTAAAGCGAGCTCCGCACGCGCGCTTCGCCGCGCCGCGTGGCTTCCGTCGTCACACTCGACCCCTTGGCGCCAAGCCGCGCTGGAGCTTGCCGCGCGTGCGCGTGGCGTCGGCCACGTGCTTGCTGGTGCGCTACTCTAGGCGTGGCGCTACCTATGACCTGATCGCTGGAAAAGGGGAAGTTTAAAACGAGAATGCGGGGAAATCGATGATGATGCGATTATATGGTGATCTGCCTGCTGGTGGCTGGGGGTTGGTTGGTTGTGGATGTGCGCTGCGGCGCGGGAGGTGCGCTTGTACGGATGCGGATGCTTCGCTCTGCGTGTGGGACCATGCGGGAAGAGAGGCCTGTTTGGAAGCACGCTGTTGCCAGTGGTCGAGAATGTTTGGCTGTGGACGGAATTGGGGCCTCATACCGGAGGAGCCCTCATGTACGGGAGCGAGATGGAGCATGGAGCACGGAACACGTCGACTTTATTCTTCGACGGCATCCCCATCAGCATTCTTCAACTCCCAACAATACCATAGAATATTGCTGTTGAAACAACAGCGAAAAATCAATTACTAGAAGCAAAATCAGATAATCTATAATCAGTCAATCAAGCAAGCATGCCTTTTAACGAAAGCCACTCTTTCCAAAACCCTTAAGCATAGCCATTTTTTACACCGGACCGGCCACCATGTCAAATCCCGTCTTACGTCTGAGCCGGGCATGCAACAATCCATAAGAGAAAGAAAAGGAGAAAAACAATATCAAATATTGTCTCTCCATTACCGCCACCACTGGGTGCCGCTGCCGTTGCTATTACTACTCCTAAGACCCCACCCAGCATCTTCTCAGCCATTCAATAGTAGAGATCATGTGTGACCCATCCCCTTCCTCGTTCATCAATCCAGTTGTGCTTTTTTTGTTTTTGTCGTCAGAAGTTAAAGCCATTCCCCCCGGAATGTAACCGTAAGTGAAGTTGTTGGAAGAGAAGCGCTTGCAACCTCACTTCGCCGAATAGCTCCCGCTCCCGCTCAGCCAGTCTCCCAGAATCCCATGTCCCATGTTCGCTCAACCCGATAACCGCTTACTTCCAGAACGAGAAGCAGAGCCCAACGCCTAGCTGTTCGCCTGCGCCAGCACATTCTTCATCAGCAAGCCATCATACAGCAAGAAGCCGGCGTCGGCTCTGGCCTCGCGTACCCCCGCATCATCCGCCAGCTTCTCCTGCAACACGGCCTGCAAATCGCCGCCGAGAGCGCCCAACCGCCCCTCACACGTCTCGCAGAGACAGAGCCCACAACCCACCGCTTCTGGGCTGCCCGGCTGGATCGGGTCGCCCCATTTGTCTGCGTCTTGCTCCGTGCAGCACTCGACAATTGCCGGCGACTGGCAGACATTGCACCAGCGATCGGTGGGCAGGAGCGCGCTCTCGAAGAGACGCGACAGCGCTGCTGAGAGCTCTTCTTCCACTTGCTCCGGGGTCAAGTAAGGTGGACGCAGTGCCCGCATCCGATGTCCGGGACAGCTCAGGATTCCAACTCTATCCATTGTGCACTCCGTACACATAACGGTGGCTTTGAGTCCGAGTTCGCGGTGCCCGTCATGCAGCTCCGTGTAGCCCAGCCCGTCGTACCATGCGATTACTGTGGGCTGCTTCCATTCCAGCCCGAACAGGCTGAACATTATGTTCGAGCACCAGTTACAGTTGCCCAGAGGCTGCATGAATCTAATGGGATGTGCCATGCTGGTGAGGATAACCGTGAGCGGGCCTCTGTGCCCATCAGCGTCAGTCAAAACCTCGGATCGTGGCTTTGGAGGCGGGGGCTTGTTGACAGAGCTGAATGCAGGAGTACTGGTGTTAGTCAGACTAGAGTCCTTGTTTGTATTAGTATCGGTGGATGATGGCGTATTTGTGCTGGGTGCCTCGACCAAACTGCGGCGCTTCCGTGGAGACTTCACTCCTTCCGGCTCATCTTGTTCGAAGGGCTGCTGCTGCTGGTCTTCCTCATCCTCAACCTGGCCGCTCACAACTTCGTCGATGCGTCTCTTTCCAGGATTAGTGGGGATAATCTTCTCAAAAGTGCAAGGAATCTTTGCTTTCTTGCAAGCCTTGCATGGTGGCTGATCAGTCTTGGATTTTAGCGAGCAGCTCTTCTTGACTTGCCGACATGCCGTGCAGGTGACGTATGGACGGAACGGGATGTATTCGGCTTCGGGAGGTGGAGTGTAAGTGGCGCGGTAAGGATATGCTTCGCGAGCGGGCCCTGCAATGCATTTCATGCCTTCACCAAGACATTGCTCGCAGGGAATGTCGTGATCGTCTTCGTTCTGCGTGTAAGAACAATCCTCCATACGGTCTTGGCAGCCTTCGCAAGCCTGTTTCTTAGCAGGCGGGATAATAAGCTCGCAATCGACATATTTCTCTCCTCCAAACGCATCAATACATTGGACACACGGCCAAGTGTTACCAGTCTTCCGCATGGTGCATTCCTCGCCATTTATCCGGCACCTGATACAGCCACGCGCAGATGGATGCCCACGTAAGTCTTCATGCTCGCCTTTAGGGTCAGGAATGGCGGGCAATCGAGGCTCCTCTTCGCTTGGGCAATCGTAGCGAACGTATCTCTTACGGGGTCGCAAGACTGGACCAAAGCTGCCAACTTCTTCTTGGCGTTGGTCAATATCCTTCCAGATGTGTTCGTCATTGAGTATGTTCAAATGCTCTTCAGGCCAGTTGTCCGAGTGTTGAGAAAGTAATTCTCTTCCCTTTTCGAAGCCCAGGTTAAGTGTGACAATACAACATTGCCCAGATTGTCGGGCGTTGAGCAATGAAGAAACCTTCGGTTGCCTAGGCACACCATCATCTTGGTCATCATCATCATCATCATCGAGATCATTTCCTGAAACTTGGTGCAGTGTAGCCCTCTTCTTCGGCTGTTGTTTGCGTCGCCGTTCTGCGTTGGGATCAAACGTTCCACTGTCATCACGGTCGTACCACGTAGTCCTCACTACATGGCTACCGTTGCGTGCGCTTTCGCGGAGTGAGTACTTAATCTGCTGTCGCTCCGGGGACGGTGATGGGCTGCTCGAGCTCGAGCTCGAACCGGAAGGGTCTGTTGGCGTTTGAGTATTGTCTTCAGCAGAACCAAGATACCCTGCTGATGAGGATATGATCTGTGTTCCAAGTGTAGGATCAAGCGTAAGGTTTGTGGGAGTGGGTTGAGAAGGCTGAGGAGTGAGTCCTGTGCTACTTCCCCTTCTGATCTTGTTTGTCGCATCATCACTTCTGACAACGTTTGGCGAAAGTGAAAGTTCCTCGACAATGTCCTCGAGCTGCGAGCTGCCAATAGCTTGCTGTCTTCCCTCGCTAGGATGCGTTGCGATTTGCGTGGTGTCAGATGTAGTGGTCAATGGTCCACCACCGAAGAGCGAAACGCCAAGGGCCGGCTCCTGACTGGATGGTGTATGAGGGCGGGTCACATTATCGGGCAACTCTTCTATGCCTATGTCTGACCAGAATTGGTTGTCAAAATTCCCTGGTTCATTTTCGATTTGTTGCCGATTATCTGAAACCGGAGACCCCAGGAATGACTGAGAGCGAGCGTGGCTCATTGGTTCCGAAGACTTCCTTGCCTCCGGATTACTCATAGTGAGCGATTATAAAGGTACTCGAAGTGAGTCGCGTCAATCTGGAGTGATAACGATGATGAGTGTGATGATGATGATCAGAATGTCTAAATCTGCGAAGCAGTCCAAGACACGACGCGGGGTATACGATGTGAGATGTCGCCAGGTTGGTTGGAGATCGATCGGTACAGACTTTGCGACTATAGTCGGTGCGGGATGTGCTGCAGATAGCTAAGGGGAACTAAGCGGGCAGATGTTTTCCGTCTGATGGCTTTTCAGTGACGGGTGATGGTTCGTATGTACCTTTGCGCCATAGGTATATGCAGTCGTAGGAGTGGTACGGTTACGAGATGATGGCCTTAGGACAGGGTCGCAGTGAGGGTCGGTTTCGATAACGCTCCTTGTTTAGGCACGTACTTGGTTGATGGAAGCCTTCTGCCGAGAAGGATGAGCGATAGCGATGATTGCCGTGGACTGGGCTGATGGAAAGTATCGCGAATGTTTGGCAGAAAAGTAAGGAGTTGACGGGTAATGAGGGTTGCTGCAAGGTCGTGGTTGTTAAAAGGAAGGAACGGGCCATTGCCTAACTGGATCGGGTTGAACTTTTGGTCGTCTGCTGTTACCAAGTCCTCGACTGCCCATCCTGATACTTCCTCCATTCACCAACCCTAACAAGGTTGCGTGGCACCTCCATAACACAGCCAGAAATGTTATAAGCTCCAGGCTCTTCATAGCAGACAAAGCAACGATAACACGCCCAACGCGTCTCGCAGCATGCATCTCCATAGACTCTGCCAATGTGGACGGACAAAAGCCCACAACATTGACGATGTTACTGGATATTCCGATGCCACCCCGTCTGCTAAGCCGCTCTCACAACGACAACCTCAGTCCGTCGAAGAAGACATGGCGCGAAAGAGCTTGGAATACAACCTCACAAGGATTCCGCGACAAATTTGATGAGAAAAGTTGAAGATGAATGATGCGACAAGAGAGAAGAAGAAGAAGAAGTTAGAAGTCGATTTAAGAACTCACTAAAGCGAAATCACATGATACGACAATAGCTATAAAATCGCTATTGTCAGACCAGCCATTGTCCTAGGGGACTTTATATTAAAGATTACAATTAGGCTATATATCTCGAAATCTCTATATGTTTGCGCGCTTCCACAAGCGGCCATGCCAAATCGTATGCTTTTCCATGTTTCGTCCCAATCCATCGTCATTCGTTAACGTCAGGAAAATAATAAGGGTATCTTGCGGAAAAATAAGAAAAGAAAAACAGAAACACAAATTCATCTTTACAAAAGCAACATGGCTCCCAAAACAAAAGCAGAGCACCAAGTAACGAAAAGCGGTACTGTGGCAACAGCTGTACTGCCAGCCACCGCGGGCACCGGGGGTACGACCGTTCCCGCTGCCGTTGCCGAAGACGTCGTCGTACTCAAGGTGCTAGAGGCGGTAGATGTCGCACTCGTGGCAGCGGCACTTGTCGATTGGGCCCCAACGGAAGAACCAGAGCTTGAGCTGTCCGTGCTGCTGGCGCTGTTGGAGGCGGATGAAGATGCCGCTGTAGAGCTCGGTGCGGCTGTCGTTGCTGTCGATGAAGCACGACGAGACGTCTCGCTGGTTGCCGTACTGGCCCCAGAAGTGGGTCCAGAAACAATCGACGCAGTAGTCGTCGTCGTGGCCTGCGCGGAGCTGGCAGCTCCGCTTGAAGCACCGCTGCTGACAGGGGCGGCAGTCGATTCCGTGGCGCTAGTAGCAGTTGCGGATGGAACAGCTTGACAGTAAGTCGGTGGAGTAGCCATCGCTGCGCAGAGGACAGACAAGGCATCGAGCGTGCCTGTGAGAGGTCCTGATACTGTCGTACTGGCAGTCACGGTGGTTGAAGCCAAGGGCAACACAGCAACTAGCACCTGGTGCTTGACCGGCGATGTAGCATCTGTTGGCGCAGGTGTTAATGACTTGAAAACGCACGATCGTCTGGATAAGAGCTTACCTGAAGCATGGCCAAAGAGGGTTGCATTGACAGGTTCGGAATCCTTTACGGGTACCGCCACGTGAGACAGCACTTTCGGAGTGCTCTGCGGGAGATGGCTGAGCGGTGTGGCAGCTTGGACGTTATTCCGTGCAATCGACACAACGTAGGAACCTGTGGTCGTTAGCAAGCTATCTAGTCACTAGCTTCCTTCTCAACTTACCATTCGTAACGTCCGGTCTTGAGACCAAAGGATTCGCCAACGTGGCGAATGGGAGAGCCCCCGCGGCTAACCATGCTAGCTTGACCATCTTGAAGATCAGAGTTGAACAGGAGGCTGGAATATTTCTTTGAGATTGACTTTTTGAGATTCACAGGGAATGCAGAGAAAGAAAGCAGAAGGGAAGGAAACAATGCAAGTGGGTATCGTGGAATGTCATGGTTGGTGGTAAGCAGGGTGGCTATGCAGACGGCGGTGGTTGGGAGAGGCTGGGACGGCACAAGCCTGATGAACTTCCACCCCCTGCGCGACATCGTATAAGGCAATATATCCATTAAAAAAGGACATGATAGCAATGCAGATAATATTGAGGTTTGCACCGACATAGAATCGCGAAAGTCTGATATGCTAAAGTGCAGGGGAAGGGGGAAGCTGTCCGTTGCAGATGTTGGTTGTTGCATCATCGCAGACAGGAGGCTGGGGCAAGCGAGACATGGGCAAAGGACAACTCCGTCGAGACTGGCGAAGCGACCGTGCAGACATGAATTTTACTCCATCAGACCTGCCCAACGTGGACAGTAGCATGCAATGACACGACGCGAAGTATTGGGCTGTCACCAGTTGATTGGGTCTCGGAGGCTAATAGTGGTTTTTGAATCACACCAATCAATGGATTGCACGAATTTAGCAGGCAAGCAAATGATTTCAAGTACTCAAAGGTTCCAATTTCGCAGTATCAAATATCTAAGCCTCCTACTCAAGTACCTACGCTGTTCTTGCTCAGCGGCAAAATTCAAAACCTTCAGGCTGAGACCAGGTATCAGTCGAGATATTAGTTGGACGTTGTCACGCGTCGGCATAGATACGAGGATTTCGTTGTAATGTCGGTCACCCGTGAACGACACATGGATAGGCCTAACAAAGTTCGAATTAGCTATGATCAGAGCGTAGCAAATTTCGAAAAATAACAAGATGGGTTCTCGGATCAGACAGCAGTTGGAACAATAGTAAATCAACACGAAGGTTCAGAACAGGTCTGTGAGTTATTGTTTTATCATCATTCGAGAAAGAAAACTGTGAAGAAAAGAAAATTGTCTCTTACCTTGTCATCAACTGAGACCAAATCCAGGCAGGACTCGTCAAATCCATACCATTGTGCAATCGCTGAGGTATCAGTAAAGACGGCTTTTAGTCAGTTCTGCGGCGTTTGAAGAAAGAGTCCAGCGTCTTCTGCTTTTCGTCATGCTTCGAACTGCCAACACCACCACGGGTCCTTTTGAGGGTTTTCATGTGCTCTTGGCCATTGATCGTTTTGATCTTAGTAACCCATCCGTGAAGAACCTTTGGAGCACCGGGTACCGTCGTGCTAGAAGCAGTCGAGACATGTTCGGTATCAGCAGCTGGAGAACGTACCGGAGCTTGAGGCAAATCTGATGTACTGTTCTCAGACTCGCCAGCATCGTTAGTGTTGGTGGGTTGCTTCTCATCATTGGATTCTGTCGGAACGCGCGCAAGTGACTCGCCTGCGGTCATGACCAATTCAAGATATCCGGTATTTGAGAAACCGCATATGTTCTCAAGAGAGGATGACCTCCTCTCAACCGTGATTTCACGATCAAAGCTGATGCTGTAAGGAGGCAACCGTCGCAGAATCCTGCGCCAGAGGACTGAAAGGATGATCCCATGTGACACGATGGCAACGATGTGCTCATCAGGCTCACTGGCAGATTGCCACAAGGGCGCAATGTGCTCGTCCAGAAACTCATCCATGCGCTGCGCCATGGATTCTTTCGACTCGACATCAACGGACTCAGGATCATCCTTCTGTGTTTCTTGATAAGGTTGCTTGCCAACCTTGTCCGAGCCATTAGGCCGGTCACGCCAAGGCTTGCCTTCTTGGGACCCAAAATCCTGTTCCTTCAACACAGACAGGCTTGTAATTGCCAGTGGCTGCTTCGGAGCAGGATGCGGGTCTTCGGGCGCTGCTTGACCATCGCGGATGAGTTGTGCAGTCTTGAGGGCTCGTTGTAAAGGAGAAGCAAACAAGTGCGTAAAGCTCAGACCTTTGTCGCGGAGATAGCGGGCGAGGTAGGTAGCTTGGTTGAAGCCATGGTTGGTCAGTTCCGAGTCTCTGCTACCTGCACTATGAGGGTTAGCGATGAACGCGTAGGCACACAGGATGCTGCCATACTATACTTGTGCAACGTTGTCGACCGTTTCGCCGTGACGGATGAGGAAGATCCTCATGGTCGGACGGGATGGTGAGGTTGAGAGAAGCGAAAATGACTGGGTGGTGTGGCTTCGCGCCGGCTCTCGCTTAGAGGATGCGTGACGCAAATGGACGACAGGACGACCTCACTCGTCTGTCAGGCTGTCATCAAAAACTCCAGACTGTTGTGGTTGTGCGTTCGTCGCGCAGGAATTTTATATGGCTATCTTCCGTCGTGTCATGCGTGTGCCAGGGCAATCACGATGGGTGGCTCTTTCCCAACTCGTCCAGCTGCTCTTCAATTCATGAGCAAAGACGGGTAGGTAGGCAACGCTCTTGCATCACTGCAAGATGCAACTTCTTTCCATTTTAGAGTAGCAGCTTTGCTTTACCTGGCGAACGCCTTCTTCTACCTAATTCACCACCATATCCTGTCCATCCCATTGTCTCTCTGCGCGCCATTTCGTCTATTATCCGATATCCTACTCCCAAGCTCCTGTTGATATCGGGACCCTCATCCTTTAGATCTCTTTTGCTTGCTGGTTTCAACGGGCTTCCATGTCTCCTAGCCTCGTCCGTGCCAAAGCTGCGCTTCATCGACTGTTGCTGTTACTCAAACATCCAAAATCCTTTTTCAGAGGCCGCAAAGAAGAAAACAAGGCCAAGAAAGACTTAATCAAAGTACGGAATGAACCTGGTCCTTCTACGGAGCCTACGCCTGTTCCTCCCACGGAGCCTACACCTGGGCCTTCCACAGAGCCTGCACCTGGACCCTTCACGGAGCCGCTCCGGGCTGTAACAGTGGTGTGGATAATGCCTAAACAAATAACGCCCTTGCTGACATGTATTAGGTTAACAAAAAAGCCCTGGCAGATGAGCTTGCTAATAGAATCCCCACCCTCAATCCACCCGGGACCCCCCCAACAGACCTGCCCGAGCCCGACCCTCCACAAGGTATACTCCGGGAAGTCACAATGGTGTTTTCCGACGGGCCTCTCCTCCGAAAGGTCACGACGAAGTTCGCAGCAGACGAAACTCCGGCGGAAACGGTTGAAACTGAGGTTCCTCTCGCTTCGAGGCGTGCAACAGAAGTTGACGCGCAAGTGCCGATGGTTGAAAAACCTACTGAAAAAGAATTTGTGGACCTCACCAAAGAAATCCGACGATTGTCAACTCAACTCGATCACCCAATCCTCGGCCAGCCCACAGAAAAGGAAATCGAAGAAGTCACGGACAAGATCCGTCGGTTCTCCAGGAAACTCTCCGATGCCCCAGAGACCTTGTCACCCGAAGACCGCGAAGACCTCGAACGTGAACTTGCCGTTGAAGCAAACAAACTCGCAGACAAACTCCCCGTCGAAGCATCAGAGGCCTCAGCAGCAGATATTCCACTACCGCCTACAAGGGCACCCACAACAGGGCCACCGGCAGAATTACTACCACAACCCATCATTATCCAGCCAACCACTGGGGCCACCACCACAACAGTCATTGAGATCGGCCAGCCAAATATCAGCAGTAATGGCGAAGAATCTGTTGAAAAGGTCACCAAAGTCGTCACCATCGTCGAGCCAGAACCCAGAAGCAGTCCCAATGAACCAGCTGAGCCGGCCAAACCCGCCGAAGACACCAAACCAGTGGAACCCGCTGAAACCCCTGCGGAGCAGCCGAAGTCTCCCGAGCCTCCAAAGCCCCCAGAGCCACCAGGTCCCCCTGGGCCCATCCATCCAGACGAGCCGGTCAAGCCCCACGAGGTCGTTCCACCGCCTGAGAATGCAATCATTGTTCCACCAGAGGCCGGTGGAGGGAACCAGAATCCCTGAGGACAGTTCCGCCTCAGTGCTTTATGGCTCCCCCACGTCATCCCACCAGAGGCCGGGGGAGAGGGCCACAATTCCCGAAGATGGTTCTGTATCAGTACCTTATGGCTCGCCCACCTCGTCTACCCAACCCAACGAATTTACCGATGATGACGAAGAGTGGCAAGACTTGGGGCAAAGACACATAGAGACACTGGCCTCTGGCGCGCGGATCGGCTGGCGGGAGTTCGAGTTCAACCCGTTCCCTGCGCACGGGCTACGTGAGGATGAGAACAAGATACGGTTATGGTGGGCAGAGGACATGGTTAAGTCGCGTTTGGTAGCGTCGAGCTTTTTCAACAGGGATCCGAACCATGTAGACAATCCTCGGCGGTTGTACAAGGGCGACCTGGTGGAGGCGGATGCGGTGGCTAGCGGCGCGGTGAAAGATGACAAGGTTGCGGAGATTGCGGTCCTGCGGTCGACGGCTTACTTGGAGAGGGACGCCTACAGTCTCAATTTTACTTAGCTTGGCGGATGCGGTTGGTAGCCCTGAAATTCCTAGAATCCATTCTTCTTCCCTATGCTTCATGGTATTAATCAAAGAACCTTCAACCTAGACCAGAGGAAGCTTAGGGATGGAATAGCCAAATGTGCCCGATTCCCTTGCTACATCCGCTCCAGGTATTCCCCTGCAAGCTGTTATATACAGCCAAGCACAATCATCATATTCTCGGAGACTAGAATGGTCAGTGACGAACTCCGTTCTCATGGAGATATTTGATCAAGCCTCTTTACGACAGAACCATGAACTTTAAGCCATGTTGTTTCGAAGGGGCAACCGTATCTAGGTTGAGATATCTAGTGCAATCTTGTGCTCGAAAACAACCCACTCCACGTACGTTTTTGATAGAAAAGTGCAACTTATAAAACTCTCCCCCATCCACCCACCCCACACACGTCCTCAACACCCGCAATCTCAAGCCACAACTGAGACAGCTTCCAGAGACGCCCGACTCCACATCCATCTTGAGTCCAACCAGGGTCTATAGACTCAAGTGGTACCATAGTCACACCCCGCCCAGAAAACACCAACTAGACTCTACACCTACCGTGTGATGAGTTAGCCACGACGACCTGCATACACCAGCACCACTGCACGCATACACAACCACAGCCTACCGATGCTCACTACAACCCATCTCTAACAGCAAAGTCCATCACCACTACCACCACAATCACTAATTACCGCCCCCGCCCCCACCAATCCACCACAATCCTGAAAAACGTGCAAATAGATAAGCCAGAGACAGCCTCTTTAGGCCGAATTCATCGTCCAGGACACCGCCAACTAACTCTGCTGGAATCCTGCATTGGTGATGGTGGCGTGCTTGCTCCGTGCGATTGCTCTGGCCCTTAAATCCTATCTGCTAAAGTTAATAGCTGCGCCGCGCCGCTCACGGCAAGCACACACGCGCGCACACAGGCACACACACAGAGGCAGACACAAGCGATGCTATGCATATGATACGATAGCATGACGGCAGGCGTAGCCAGCCAGGCAACCAGCCACCAGCAACCAAGCAATCAAAGTGCTAAATAAACGATTTTCAGCACCCTGTCTAGCCACCATCATCGGCATCGGCATCGGCATCGGCATCGTCATCATCATCATCATCGGGTCGAGGAAGAGGAGGATGAGGATGAGGAGGAGGCCCTTAAGGTCGGGAACAAAAGGGGAATTGTGAGTGTGTTGGGGGATTATTGCTCAAAAGCCAGCAGCCAGCTCCTCTAAGCCAGACAAAAAAACAAAAAAACCCGAAGGAAAAAGGAAAAGGAAAAAAACAACCATTGCCCAGACCGAACCTTACCAAACCAGACCAGACCAGACCAGACCGTGCTGAAACCAAGTCGAGGTGGCCGCTGCCTCCAAGACGCGCTCTCGCAAAAGCTAGAAGCCAGAACCCACTACTCGCCACTCGTAATAGGAGACCAGGCCGCCTTCCCCTCTGCCGCTGCCGCTGTCGCTGCCGCTGCCTGCATCACCGTAACCATCGCCGTCGCCGTCACAACCTCAACCACCACCACTCACTCACTCACTCCCTCCCTCCCTCCACACACCCTCCCTAATCACTCCGCAGCATACTCTCGACCAGATCGCCCAACGGGCCCCAGAAGTCGCGACTGCCATGCGCAAGCCCGTGCTCATCGACAAAAAGCACGTAGTGCTTAAAGCTAGTGTTGAGATGGGGCTCGAGGCCCAGCGCAATGACGACGGGGTAGTGGTGGCAATAGACGTGCGCGTAGACGCGGTACAGCCGCTTGAACAGCTGGCGGATCAGCGACGGGAACTGCTTGGGGAACGCGACGCCGATGCGCGACGGAAACATGGCTTCGTTGTCAATGTTCGCTTGCACCCACGCCATCAGGTGCTCGATGTACTCGGGCGCTGCCATCTTCGTCGGCCGCTTGTAGTGCTCCGAGTCTTGCCATAGGTACTCGAATCTGTGCGGTGCGGTTAGTGCGAGCTCTGCGCAGTTGCTTAGATAGGGTGGGGACGAACTCGTCCGTGGCCTTCATCTCCGGGCAGCTCTGCGGAGAGCAGAACTCCGTTATCGAGCCGTAGATCAGGTTGATCTGGTTGTAGAAGTCGACGACTGCGCATCACAAACACACACTGTCAGCACCTCTTTCCAATCCCTCAAAAGACCCCCCCTCGCACCATGGGCGCTTCTCCCTTGCTCCGTGTGCTATTTGTTGTCTGCCGCGGCTACTCACCATTGACGGCCAGCCACTCGCCCAGATCCTCTCCCTCCGGCAGCTGCACCGCCTTCCGCAAACTGCCGCTTCCCAGCGTCGCCTCCGCGAACTGCTTCAGCTGCCACGCGCTGGTGCCGCGCTTGCCCTCCTTGGCGCGGAAGGCAGCGGTGCCGTTGCCATTGCGCCCGGCGCGGTTGTTACTGCTGCCATGGACGGTCCCGTCAGCTCTGCGTCCATTGTTTTGCCTGAAGGTGTATTGCGTGCGAGTGGTGCCCGCGGGGCGGGGTTGATGGTGGGGGTGGGGGTAGGAGTGCGGGGAGGGGTGTTGGGGTGGGATGGGCTTGCTTCCGCGCTGCTGGCCAGGGCCTTGCTGCGGGAAGCGCGAGAAGATGCTTTGGGGATATGGGTATGGGTGCGGGGGTTGCGCGGGCGCTGGTCCTCCTGCTCGCGCCGCCGGCTCGCTGCGCCACCACCCGTCGTCGCTGTCGTCGTCCCAGGCAGCGCGGGCACTGGCGCTAAGGAACGGCAGCGCGGGCGGCGTGGGAAGCGTGAAGACGGGCGGGAGCGCTTTCGGCGTCGGCGGATACAGGGACAACGGGCGCGGGTGTGGATGCGGATGCGGAAGCGGGGGGGAAGGGGCATGGACGAACATGGTGGTAATGAACGAAGTCATGGCTCCCTCGTATCGCGCAGGCGACTCTTATGCGGCGGCGGGCGGATTGGAATGATCGGTCGCGGGGTGCGTGCTGTGCGTTTTGCATTCCGGCGGTTAGCTAGGGAACGAGCGACGGGAAAAAAAGAAGGGAGGTGGCGCAAGCGGTACCTGGATTGTCGAGGAAGGCGAATGTCGCAAGCAAAGTCGTGGTGGCGGGTGGGCTGGGTGAGACAGACAGTAGAGATCGGGCGCGCGCAAGAGAGAGAGAGAGAGCGAGAGAGCGAAGGTGGTGAGGCGCAGATTGGGCTTGGGCGGCGCTTGTGGCAGCAATCGATTGTAAACAGGCGCCGAGGGTGACGTGGGCCCCGCAGCACGGGAGATCCTCACCGCGCAGATGATCCTCACGTGGGAGGGTATATGCGATTCGTGTGTTAATGGCTTTCTTCTTTGACTATGAGTATGTAGGTACTCTTCGAATCGCCAAAGTCGAGGAAAATGGATGGATGTAAACAACAACAAAACAAACAAACCTTCTTAAAGCTTAGCTGCCTATCATTCTCCCCACCCATCATCTTCCCACCCGCCGCTGCTCCTCAGCAAACACAAACACCTCCCCCAAAATGAAGAGCGACACTCGCTCATCTTCCCATGGGGCCCCAGGCCCTCATTACCCGACCCATTCAACCGGCGCCTCCTCCACGCACCCAGCACTCTCCGGGTCACCCGGGCGTTGATCAATACTCGTAGAGCAATTGGCCGCACAAGCACTTCTCATCGGATTTAGCAACAGCGATGAGATGAGATTGCGCAATGTCAATCAAACGCAATGCAGCAATCTCGGCGGCTGTGGCGCCCTGACCCGACCAGCGAGTGAGGCTGCAGAGAGTGAATGAACTCTAACCCAACCTTGGGAGGAGCCAGGTCACGTACTACATACGTACCCAATAGAGTTTTTGGTGGGTAACGCAAGGACTCGACCCTGCGAACAGATGGGGCTGCCTGGCTTAATAATTGCAGGCAGTTATTAGCTGGCTTCATCAAGCAATGCTCAGCCCTGCCGGCCAACTCACACCAGCCGACGATCAGCACAGCCCGCCAACCGTGACAAGCCCGCCGGCGACCGGTGTGCTCCCACCAAGCACCATGCAAGCACGTAGCCAAGACATGGGACATCCCAACTAACCACGACATGCTAGGTAGACGCCTGATAGACGGCCACGCCACGCCTGAGCGTAGACCTTGTAAACCCTTGCCCTGCAGCCCGGCTCGGATAGGCGGCTCGGTCAGGGCTTGACTTGCCCGCCCGCGGACGGATGACCGCGCTGTCCCGACTGCGGGGGATTGGAAGGAGCGTGGAAAGGCTCGCACGTACGCCGCCTTGGGGGGCCTTGGGTAGGGCGTGTAGGGCGGGAGGATTGGTGGCCTAGTATGTATGGATGTACATGCGCGAGTGCTGATTGATTACTCTAGGCAGCTGCGCGCGTGGTTGCAGCAACAAGATTTCAAATTCCGGATACGGTAGTGCGGTTGCGGGTCGGCGACAGGAAGGGTAGTAGGTAGTGTGGTAGTTAAGCAAGGCAGCTCTCGACCAACCGACCCGTGCGCGCGCGCAGTATCTGTGAACGGAAGAGAGCAAGGACGAGGTGGGGGGGTCTAGAGATCGCACGTCGGATTTAACTACGGTAGTTCGTATGGTAGTTGGAGGCTTGGAGCAAGACCTGGCAGATCAGGGCGGCCCAGAGCGAATAGATCTATCTGCAACAAGGGCGTCTCAGACACGGGCAGAGAGACATCCCAACTTCACACACACCAAAACGAATCCGCAACACCCAGGGCTGGCTACATGCCTAAGCGACGGGCGCCGCCGACGACTGGCCGGCCGCCAAGAGGGTTCGTTGGTTAGAGAAGAAGGTTGCGCGTTGCGCGGTTGACGTTCTCCGCAATAATTTTACTCGGTTCTCCGTGGACCGTAACGGCCCGGAGGCTGTGGGCGAACGAACGTCAACGACGAACGAAGACGGATGAAGCGAAGCGAAGCGAGAATAGCGATGAGCAAAGGCTTGCTGGGAGAGGGTGTGGAGAACCTATTGGAGATGCTTGGATGGCCTGGCTGGCTTGGGCATGGCGTGTGCACCCCATCACAGACTCACAGACTCAATTGCACGCACGTTGCGACTTGTGGGGTGAGGGCCAAGGGAAGCGAGTTAGAGGTACAGTGCAGGTGAGCAGTGTAATGCGCAGTAGTAGTGAGGTGAGCAAGCACGCGCGTGAGATGTCTCTTCATCATGAGTTGGTCAGACTTTTTGCTAGCCTCAGCTAAAAAAGCACGGTGCTCTACAACAGCCAGCAGCTACGTGTAGGGCGGCGGCTGTGCGGGCGGGCATGGAACGCACACCAGCCTCATCAGCATGACAGCGCTGAGCCATTTTCCCCCTTGGGCAAGCAGGCGGACTGAAAGCGGATGCTGATGATGCTGGGTGGACGGTGCTGGAGTGGTGGGACAGGGGCGCAGAGGCCGCAGCGACGTCATCGGGCCCCGCCGGTCAGAGACCCTGCAGATGATGCCCCGACAGGGACAAAGTCATCATTCCCCGCAGCGCCGGTCCGTAGCAGATGTCCAAGGAGCTGGTGCCAGCAGTGGGCAGATTTCGCCGTCATGGGGTAGTATAAGTCGCCTTGCTTTCCAGGGGTCGATGGCTGCTGTTGAAACAAGAGGATACAAATTCCAAATCGTCGTCCGCACCTACCCTCCGCCCCTATCCATCCTTCGACTCCAGCTGTAAACGGGCCGCCCGCCAAACGCATTAGCAAATCAAGCAAGCAAGCATGCCCGAGCGCAGCAGCAGCACCAGGCTCGCCAAAGGTACGTGCAAAGAAATCTTTTATCAACTTCTGGACCCGCGGGGCCTAGACCGCGCGCGCTCCTTGGCCCCGCCAAGCCACAGTGCTGCACTCCTCACCCCATCTTGGCTTTTTGCCAGTATCGCGGGAGGATGAGCGGGGAGAAAGAAAGAACAACAACATAAGGCGAAACGAAGCGGAGGCGGCTGAGTGTCCGCCGTCGCTTCATCTTTCTCCCCCTTGCGATAAATACCACCATGCATGCACCCCCGCTGATCGCACACAGGTCTTCGTCGCACCCGCAGCACAACCAGCAGTCCTTGTCGCGCAAACAACTCGTCTACCACCACCACCACCATCACCACCACAACCACGACGACCATTTCCGCCAACCCAGCTCCCAAGCGCCCCGCCCGCACAGCCGCCAACCCAAACTCCCCCACCGCCGTGCCTCGCACCTCGCTCTCGCGTTCCGCCAGCAGCACCTCCGTCCCCGTCATCACCACCATGCGCGCCGAAGAAGCAACCAAACCCCCCTCGCCACTCGTGCGCCACAACAGCGCCAAGTCGTCGTCGTCGCCGCACCAGCGCTCGCCACTGAACGACGCGGCCCTCGCGGCCATCGACGCCCGCGCCCAACGCCGCGTGCAGGAGCTGGAGCGCGCGCTCGCCGCCGCCCAGGCCCAGGCGCGCCGCTCCGCCGCCGAAGCCGAACGCCTGCGCGTGCTCGCGTCGACGACCATGTCCTCCTCGGCCCCTACGTCACCCACGACGCCCTCGTCCACCACCAACACCAACACGGCCCCGCTGCCCGTCCCCGCCCCCGCCCCGGCCCGCAAACACGTCCCCAGCATCTTCGGCTCGCCGCCCAGCCCCCGCAGCACCACGAGCAGTAATAGCAGCAGCGCGGGGCTGATGGGCCTGGGCAGCGATGGCGGCAGCAGCACCGGCAACGAAACCGCCCAGCTCGTCCTCGAGGCCCACCGCCATTGCGCCATGATGGAGGACCGCCTCGTGTTCCAGAAGCAGATTGTGCAGCTGCGCGACCGCATCTACGCGCAGCAGAAGGAGGCGGCGCGGGAGCGGCGCGCCTGGGCCGTCGAGCGCGAGGGTCTGGTGCGCGAGGTCCGCGAGCGCGATGACCGTATCCGCGCCCTCGAGGAGCAGTGTGCCAAGCGCATGCATGTCGTGCGCGCTGATAGCATGGGCGAGGAGGTCGTCGGCAAGTGAGTGCGGCGCTGCCTGCCTGCCTAACTGCCTGACTTTATTCCTACCTGCTGTGCCTGCCGGCGCTGCGCATGCGCCCCACGTCACATGCCACACGCCGCCGCCGTGAGCGTGCACCCGCTCCGCTCCCACACATGTACTTAGGAGCAGGAGCTGCACGCGCGCTCGCCGGCCACGGCCACAGCAGCCACACAACCGACTCAGCGGCGGATCAACACCAGATGCCCACACCTCCATACACATACAGAGCATCTCTCTCCGCCCAAACCACCACAACAACCTCACCACAACCACACGGGTCACACACAGACACGCGATCCCGTCTTCATTCTCGTCCTCTAGCATCGATTATTCGATTGCTTGCTTGTTTGCTTGTTTCTTTGCTTGTTCACCGGCGTCCGTTCCCCCACCTTACATACCCGCAGAGATACCCACACACACACGTACGTGCGTATACGTACACATGATTGAGATACCTATTGTATTAGTTGTATTAGTTTGTTAGTTCGCATGCATGGCATGGCATAGCCTGTCTGGCTGGCTGGGTTTGAATGTTATTTGTGTCGAACGATTGATTTTTACTTTTGTTTTGGACTGAGTGTTGCGTTATGCCTTTTTGTGAGGTTTTTTTTTTTTCACGGCGTCAGTCATTGCAGACCTATCTAATATGTGTATGTATATACTCATAACACTCATGACACTCACGACCGAGATAATTAAAAAGCCTCCCGCACCCGCGCGGTCGATGGTGAAGAAAGAGAAACATCGTTGTCATTATCATCGTCATCTCCATCGTCATTGTCATTATCTCCGTCTTCGTCGTCGTCACTACATATGCTTCGTTCGTTCATCGGTCGTTTCCTCGTAATCCCACCCCCCAAGCCCAAGCAAAAACCAAGAACCCAGAACCCAAAACTGCCGTGCCCCCCAACTCTTCTGTCTCGCTCCCACCGCCGCTGCCGATGATAGTATTGTGGTGGTGGTGGCGGTGGTGCTGCTGCTGGTGATGATAGTGATGATGATGGTATGGTGATGATGACTGCAGCCGTGCGATTCCAAACCCTCCCAAGCAAAAAAAGACCTTCGTGCCGTTGAACCCGTCCGTCTGCCCGCCGCCGCCATTGATGATGATGCTGAAGTGATGGCGATGGTGGTGATGGTGGTGATGACGGCGGAGACGGTGCCCAAAAAGACGATTCCCACACTCCCAAACTCCGAAACCTGATGATGACGAACGCCGCAAAAACGACACCCAAACCCAAACCACGACTCAGGAAGTCGCGAGCGATCTCCCCCCTCCCCACTCACTCCGACCCGGAGAAGCCAAACCGGAACCCTTCAAGGTTGGGGTGCAGAGCCGTCCCCACACCTCCCTGCGCCGACGACGACTCGCCGCCACGCCCGAGACCAAAGGCGGCTTCGGCTTCGGCTTCAGCAAAAGCCTGCGCCTGCGCCTGCGCCTCCGCCTCCGCCTCCTCCACGACCTGCAGGTGTGCTAGCCACCGCTCCTCGATTGTGGCCGAGACTTCGCGCGGCAGGTCGAGCGTCTCGAGCGCGGCGGCACGGTGGCGAGCGCGCTCGGCGAGGTAGTTGCGCGCCTCCGTGTCGTAATGGTAATCGTCGTTGTCGTCGCCGCCGAGATCGAAATGGATGGCGTCGGCGAGGGCGGTGGCACGGGAGGGCTCAGGAAGGTGCGGGTAAGGATGCGGGTCCGGCGGGCTGGGAACGGCAGTGAGCGGGTTGGGGGCGTGCTCGATCTCGGGGTTGGGCGCAGGGACAGCAGCACCAGCCGCCTCCAGAAAGGGCTGCCGCAGATCGATGAGGTCCCCACGGGTCATGGTGGTCGAGACCAGCGTGGGCACACCCACCGTCGCGGGGTTCTTGCCCTTTCCAGAGGGACCGTCGCGCCTGCCCCCTTTGACCTTGAGGCCCGCCATCATCCTCGACAGCTTGCCCTTCGTCTTCGCCCGGAAGCGATCCCAGGGCTTGGTAGTAGCTGGAGCAACGGCCGGCGGGGCCTCATCGCCCTCACCCGGGACCGGCACGCCCACCCGGAGATCGAATTGCTGCCACAGCTCGATGGTGGAGTCGAGCAGGGCGTCGGCGCTGGAGAAGACGTTTGCGAGGAGTGTGGCGGCGTCGGCGACCCAATTCTGAGCCTGGGCTTCGGCGGCGCTGAGCATGCGCTGCCCCGACGTCGCCTGCGCCAGCGGCTGCTGGACTTCGTCGCGGAACAGGTTGCGCATGCGCTGCGCGACGATGCGCTGTTGCCGGGCGGCCTCCTCTGTAGGAATGGTTCTGTGAAAAGTCACTGTGTTCTTTAGAGGAAAGATGGGAAAGACGTGGTGAAGGTAAGCCATACAAGGTAAATTTCTTCCATGCCAGAGTGACGTCCTTCCACGCCTGGACGGTGGCAAGGCGCTCCTCTAAGGGCACCGAGTCGGCAGTGGGTAAATTTGCAGGATCGGCCCTTAGCACCGCATTGTCAAGCTCACTGACCTCGGCCGCCCAGCCCTCAAGGGTCTCGTTCAGGCGCCGGCAGAGGCTCTCGATGTGCTCTGAGTCCTCCAAGCTCAGAGGCAGGCGGTGAAATGCCGTGCGGAGGTCGTTGTGGATAAGATCGGCGGCCTGCGTGAGGTTGTTTCCGAAATTATCAGCGTACGTGAGCTTCTGGATCTCACGCTTCAGCTGCTCGACATTGCGGCGCGAGCGAAGGGCGAGCAGAGAGTTGGCACTGTGCTCTTGCTGGCGAGAGGCTTGTGTTACGGCGGAGGGTTGTGTATGGTGACTCGAGGCGGAGGCCGTCGGAATCATGGGGGGTAGAGCAGCCGAGCTGCCGAAGAGCTGCGCGTGGGTGAGGCCACGGGATGACGATGTCGGAGCAGTGCTAGCGTTCGTCTGGTGGGTGCGGGCCAAGGTGTTTTCGCGCGTGAGTTGGCGGGAGGAGGAAGGAGAAGCAGAAGAAGGGATCTGAGAAGACATTTTGGTGGTATAAGGTGGTGTGAAGGTAATGTGGAAGTTATAGGTGTTTGTGGTGCGCCGAGAAAATCGTGATGAGGTTGAGGAAGCGTTGGTGGTGGAAAGAAGGGGAGAAATCCATGGATGGGAGGTCGTTTATATAGTGCACAGGCAGAATAAGCGAGCCTGATGTTGAACTGAAGTGAATGAACAAGTCGTAGGTAGTGAAAAGTGGACATAGGTAGCGCTACGTAGCGCCTTCCGGTTGTTTAAACAGCAGTGCACCGTGCACATTAGAGGTGAATGAAGAACAAAAGTGAATGTATTGACTAATGTAATTTGCCAGCTTAACCTCAAACAATCCTTTCACGAGGGACCCCCGAGGGGGGAAGGGATTGGAAGCGGAGGAGTGGCGATGCCCGCCGGGGCCAGGACAGGAACAAGACGTCCCATGCCCTAGTTGAAAAACCCAGCGGGTGGTTCGATCTCCGCCCACAGACTCGTTCGGCGCGCCATTGAGAAGGCGCGCAGACTCAAAGGTGGGCGGGTTCAGGGTGAGGGGGGCTAATTTATATACTATAGCACTTTGTTTGCTCCAGGTCAGGATCTACTTGCAGATGGGCACCTGAACGGTCATTGGGTCATCTACCATATAACCTTACTGATTGTTTGCAGGCAGTGGTTCGTCGTCATCTTCATCATCGCTGTCATGGCCCTGCACGTCCATGACCCGCTGACCTGCTTTCTTTAGCAGGCGGCGTGACCATGCACGAACAGTTTTCCAAACACCCTATGATCAGTCAGTAGCTGCTTCACATACCACCGGGGAAACACTTACGTAAAGGAATGTAGCAATACCAATCAAAATGACGAGCCAAGTGACGTTGCCCAACCTGTCACGTCCGGTATTGCCAACACGGACAGTAGCACCACCGCGACTCCTGAGCGCAAAAAACCGCAGCGGATTCGTTGGAAAGAGTCTTAGGAAGCTCATAAGGCCAAGAGTAGCAAAACCTTTGACAAAATGGAAGGACCATCCCTCAGGCAACCCCTCGACAGGAGCGACATAATCATCCGCATCGTCAAGAGGCAAAAACGACCCGTATGGATTCAAGTAAAAATTGATGATGGGGTCAGCGATGAAACCCAAGACGAACGTCGCCAAGAGGAAGACGGCAAGTGTCAGGCCGACCTGAGCCGCAGTACCGCTGATGAGGCGTCCCCACGTCATGCGTTCCAAGCGATATCGAAAACCGCAAGTGGGACACTGCCAAAAGTTCCGTCTTCCATAAGAAGGGTCAGCGTGGCGCCATGCTTCAAGGCAGCCCTCGTGAACATAGCGGGCAGATCCCCTGCATTTGCACGGTCTGATCAAAGGACCTTCTTCAGACTCGTAAGTTACATGTGGAGCAGACCGAAACATGCGTGGTAGATGCTCCGTAGGTGGATGAAAGGTAGGTAACACCGTATCGAGGCAAATGCGACACTGGCGAGGTCGATAATGCTTTTGATGACCAGGCTCTTCAGATCTGCTACCCGCTTCGTCCTCTGCGGACGGAGGGTCGGCGACAGGTGGATGTTCGTCTGCAGGATCATACCAACCTGGCATACTCGAGTTGCGGTGCGGGGTTTCTTCCGTCGCGGCAGATGCGGAAGCGCTTGACTCATCGGTAGGCTGTGCAGCTTCGTCTGGCCATCTCCATCCGGGCGCGGCCTGAAAACCAGTTGAGGCCATTCCGATCAAAAGGTAAATGCGCAGCGGGGGCACTGGATGTTGCGAATGCGCTTATGGAACTTCGTGCTATCTTATCCTGTGGGTAAAGGTTAGACAGTTAGGAGTCAACGTAGAAAGCGTAAGAGTATCCAGATACTGGGCCCGCGTGCATCGCAGCGTTCATGCTGGGCGCCAACAGTCTGGATGAGTGATTGATCGAGGTGAAGTGAAGTCGGCTGAATGGTGAAAGAAACTGCGGTTTTCCGCTGCCAAGGAACACGTGATCGCTCTGGCGCGAAAGCCAATGAAATCAAGGCAGCTTGCTTATCCTCATCCAGCTCAACATTGTCGTCTTCTCAGATCACTCCCACCGCTCCTCCAACGGCATCGCCTCCTCTCGGATGTAAACAATTCCACATTTGGCGCCACACTTCACCGGGCCTGGATGGCTGACCGCGAGGCGCGTAAGGTCTCACATACCACCTACAAGCACGTCTACAACGAACACCCGACTACGAGAATATTATTCCAAGATGTCGCGAGAATCACATAAGATACTGCCTAGTCGGATAGTGTCCATCCGTATGGCGCCTTCTTGCTGTTTGCTGGCGGGACAATGAACTGGAGCATAAGGCGAAGGGTGCAGGTAACACTGGTACGGAGAAGGTGCTGGCGGCTGGCAATACTGGAGGTATCCTGAAGGGCAGTCCTAGTCCGTATAAAGTCGACCCCTGCGACAGCTACTTCCCGTAGAAGGCCGCCGCCATTGGCAAGAGCGCGATCAGCGCGAAGATGTTCCCGGTACACGTGGAAGGCTTGGAGCCGGAGGATGCGATTCACAGTCCTCTTTACACTCAAGGGGGCTATAGAGGGTGAGCTGAATGGTGACACCGTTGGTATTGGTAAGCGCTCAGCCTTCTTCAATGGTATTTCATAACCGCTTTCTTTAGATACGAGAGTGCAGAGGGCGCAAAGGGCCCACGCTTCCATAAGTTGAGCTCCAAAAGGTTGAGGACTACTTGACCAAACTGTAATTGTGTAATGGATAGCGGTGTGAGCGTCTAGCTGAGCACGATACAGTGGTACGACTATAAATGATATGCATGCGAGCATGGTCTAGTTGCGTGCTTTCCCCAGGTCTCACCAAGTGGCGTTTCTGATAGAGCTATGGCACTATATCAATCTGTTGTCCTTCTATGTACGGCCGTAACCAGGAGCAGTCCCTGGGGGCATGCATAGCATGCAGTACTCTAGTGAAGAGCAGCTAGAAATTCGACAAGCTCTGTTTTCGGGGGCAAATGGCGATTTTGACCCCATCATATCGTCGGCGGCGCATCGAAGTTTGAAGGGGATCTTCGGCCCTTGTCCACCGTTGCAGGGATCGCGCGCCCGCTTTCGGTCTCGATCTCGCCCCTCCGCCGCCAGAACAAAACTCATTTATGAATTGACTCATGACACACGAACCCCACTACGACTCATACCATTCCCCGAATCCTTAAAGCCTTACACCCCTCTCTCAGCCTGGTCTTTACACCCATTCGCAAATCATCACACGCCAATTAAGGCCTATTCAGGACACAATCGCCTCCAAGATGGCCGATCACATCCGCAAAACTTTCCAACAATGCAAGAAAGAGCAGAGGGTATGAACCGGATTATCCGTCGCGCAGAGGCCGAATATAACTGACTGCTACGTAGTCTGCCCTTGTTACCTATGTGACGGCAGGTTTCCCTACTCCGCAGGAGACGCCCGACGTCCTGCTGGCCATGGAGGCTGGCGGTGCCGGTACGTTCATTCGCCATTGAACTGCGAGTGATTTGCAACAATCTCACGATGCTTTAGACGTCATTGAGCTCGGAATGCCGTTCACGGATCCCATCGCCGACGGTCCCACGATCCAGAAGGCAAACACCGTATGTTGCCACCCACCTCGAATATAACACACGGCAAGCAGCTGATGGAGCATATATAGGTTGCGCTCCAGCACGGTGTCAACACCACGGATGTGCTGCAGATGGTCCGTGATGCCAGGAAGAAGGGCCTCCGCGCTCCGGTCATGCTTATGGGCTACTACAACCCTCTCCTCAGCTATGGCGAGGAGAAGATGCTCCAGGATGCCAAGGAGGCTGGCGTGAACGGTTTCATCATTGTCGACCTTCCTCCTGAGGAGGCCGTCAGGTTCCGCAACTTCTGCTCTAGCTACGGGTAAGCCAAAATGACTTTAGGTTTACTGAACCGATCTGCTAATCGCGCGTTTACTATAGTCTTTCCTACATTCCTCTGATTGCCCCCGCCACGTCTGAGGCTCGTATGCGCGTCCTTTGCAAGATCGCCGATTCATTCATTTACGTCGTTTCCCGCATGGGTGTTACCGGCGCCAGCGGCTCTCTTAACGCTGCTCTTCCTGAGCTCCTCAACCGCGTCCACAAATACTCCGGCAACATTCCCGCTGCGGTTGGTTTCGGTGTCAGCACCAGGGACCATTTCGTCAGCGTTGGCAAGATCTCTGAGGGTGTCGTCATTGGTTCCCAAATTATCAACGTCCTTGCGGCTGCTCCTCCCGGGGAGGGCGCAAAACAGGTCCAAGAGTACTGCAGCTCTATCACTGGACGCGCGCCCGGACAAAATGATCTCACTCGCGAGGTTGGCATTATCGAGACCATGAACGAGGCCAGGGAGCCAGAAGGCGTTCATGTTGACAAGGTCATCAAGGACAGTGATGTGCCTGACGGCCCTGGTCTGGCCGATCAGATCGAGGCTCTCAACGCCGACAACGTGGCCCAGGGATCTATCCCTGCCCGCTTTGGTGAGTTCGGTGGACAGTATGTCCCTGAATCCCTTATGGACTGCCTGTCAGAGTTGGAGAAGGGCTTCAATGAAGCCAAGAATGACCCTAAATTCTGGGAGGAGTACCGGACCTACTACCCTTATATGGGCCGTCCTGGTCAACTACACTTGGCAGAGCGTCTGACGGAGCACGCGGGAGGCGCCAATATCTGGTTGAAGAGAGAGGATCTCAACCACACTGGTAGCCACAAGATCAACAACGCGTTGGGTCAGATCCTGGTCGCCAGGCGCCTCGGCAAGACGGAGATCATTGCGGAGACTGGCGCCGGTCAGCACGGTGTTGCCACCGCTACCGTCTGTGCCAAGTTTGGCATGAAGTGTACCATCTACATGGGTGCAGAGGATGTCAGGCGTCAGGCACTCAACGTCTTCCGCATCAAGCTTCTCGGCGCCTCGGTTGTCGCAGTTGAGGCTGGCTCTAAGACCCTCCGTGATGCTGTCAACGAGGCTCTGCGCGCCTGGGTTGTCAATCTCGACACGACGCACTACATCATCGGTTCCGCCATTGGTCCTCATCCCTTCCCTACCATCGTTCGTACCTTCCAGTCGGTGATTGGCAACGAGACCAAGGAGCAGATGATGCAGAAGCGCGGCAAGCTCCCAGATGCCGTTGTTGCCTGCGTTGGTGGTGGTTCGAACGCTGTTGGCATGTTCTATCCCTTCTCCAACGACCCTAGCGTCAAGCTGCTTGGTGTCGAGGCTGGTGGTGATGGCTTGGACACCGACAGGCATTCGGCCACTCTGACTGGCGGTACCAAGGGTGTCCTTCACGGTGTCCGCACGTATATTTTGCAAGACAAGCACGGTCAGATCAGCAACACACACTCCGTTTCGGCTGGTCTTGACTACCCCGGCGTGGGTCCTGAGCTGTCTGCCTGGAAGGATACCGAGCGCGCCAAGTTCATCGCCGCCACCGATGCCGAGGCCTTTATCGGTTTCCGTCTGATTGCCCAGCTTGAGGGCATTATCCCCGCGCTTGAGACGTCGCACGCCGTGTTTGGCGCGATTGAGCTCGCCAAGACGATGAACAAGGACCAGGACGTCGTCATTTGTCTTTCTGGTCGTGGTGACAAGGACGTCCAGAGCGTGGCTGATGAGCTGCCCAAGCTGGGTCCCCAGATTGGCTGGGATCTGAGGTGTAAGTTTGCTTTGTTCTCCACGATGCCCGTTGAACCCAAGCTAACGTGATTGCAGTCTAAGTCGAAAGTGTATGTGACAGTGGCAGGTGGTAGATAGGTAGACTAAAGTAGAGCATTTGCAATATGCATGTGAATTTTGCTGCTTGTTGTTTTCGCGGGCTCGGCCAGTAAGCGTCAGCCGGCGGCGCAGTGGATATGTGACTATTAAAAGACGACCTCAAACGATTCCGGCGAAGTGCAAAAGTTACGTAGGCGAACCAGAGGATATAAATAATGCAGAGGCAAGAGGCGCGCGGCAGAGGTGTTAGCGGACCCTTTCTGGCAGGTTTCCCCACACGTTTCACGTCTACAGGGATGGACGTGTTTACGTAGAAAAGGAAAAGGCAGGGAGCCACTGCGTCCTGCACCTGTCACTGTGCAGCAACCCGCCGTCCAGAAAATTATCATTGACAGCGTCCGTGAGCCGCAGTCTCTTGTTCTTCTTCCCCCCCTCTTGCAATAGCAGCGCGGCCCAGACCGCCGAGTGGCTTCAGACGCCGGCCGTCGGTTGCCGTTTCTGATTAAACAATCGGCCACTGCGCGTCCTACGCTCCCACGACTCCTCGCCGCGACCTGCAATCACGACGTCTCGCCTCCGACCCGACAAGGCCATTGCCACAACGAGCCTACGATTGACGACCCTTTCCTCGTGTCTCGCCCCGCATTGATCCGCGTCCGCTAGATTGCCCTGTATTTCCGCCCGCGCTTCCTGCGACGCTCGTCTCCACCCATATATCCGAAATAGACTACCTGAGACCCCGGCCCGGGCACAAATAATTCCACGGGTCAAGGAGCCGTGATCATGGAGGCAGAGCATCAGAGTGGGCATAGCTCCGACCGGGAGAATGTAGGCTATCTCGCAGGTGCCGCGGCAAGGAGGATTTCTGGGCTAACTACTCCTCTCCTTTTGCTCAGGATACCTTTGAAGATGCTACCCCCGCCACCGACGTCGCCGACGCCTCGGAGATGGCTGCTTCCAACTCCCATACCAGATCGTTGATCGGTCGTCGCTCCTCTTCCGGGTCCAGGTCTACTTCGACCAAGCGCGACTCGGATGCCCCAGCTGTCGTGTCCCCGGTTCCCGTGCCTGTCGAGGAGGAAGCTGTCGCTGAACCTTCCGAGCCGTTTGATTTCCACAATGCCGACATCGACGACGACTTCCACGACGTAGATGACGAGGATTACTTGAAGGATAGGGAGAGCGAGGTGCCACCTGGTCCCAAGTCCCCACTTCCAAAGTCCCACAGAATCTCGACCCAGGATATGGCCGCCATGGACGATGTAAACCTCAATGAAGGTAAGCGCGGGCTTCGAGCTACCTTTGCCTCGACTGCAGGCACAGTTTTGACACGGGACCATATCATGTCACCCGTGTCATAGTTGACACATGCCAAAATAGCGGTGGGATGACTTGGCGAAGCTCAGATGTTCGCTGACAATCAACAGAGGGCAAGAAGTCCCGGCAGAATTCCTACTCGTCGACGGTTGCGTCGCTTTCGCCAAAACCGCAGAGGGACTCCAACGACTCTCTGCCCCAAGTCTTCGCCAACCCAGTACCTGAGGTGCAACAGCCTCCGCCGCCTCCGCCGCCAAAGGAGCCTCCCGCGCCGACTCCACCGCCCAAGCGATCACTCACAAGTCCGTTTGCATGGCTGTCTCGTGGCTCGTCGGAAAAGAAGCAGAGTCCGTCGCCGAAAGCAGGCAGCCGACGTGGGACCAATGCTTCGACGTTCACGTTGGGAAGCAATCCCGAGCTTAAAATTGGGGATGGAGAAGAAAGTGTTGGGACGAGAAGTCACCGGTCGAGCCGTAACAGCTTGAAAGACAGGTTCAAGTTCTTGCGTATGAGGGAGGAGGCAGGAATCCCGATTGAGGAGGGTGAAGAACATCTGAACGGTGGCCTCAAGCCTGAAAAGCGCTCTGCAAGCTTTAGTGTCATGAGCACTGATGAGAGTGAAGGTGCCCCAGATATGGCTCGAGTAGCCTCGAGTCCTGGAACCATGACCACACCTGCAATCAACCCACATCTCGCTCCCGGTACTGTCTCTGGTATTGCCACTGCTCCTCCTGAAAACCCACCTCCCGTCGACTGGGACCTGTGGCAATCAGTGGTGTACGAAGGGCCGGCAGCTGTGGCTCGCACCAGCGCCGAGGAACTGAATGAGGCCATACAGAGCGGTATCCCGCAAGCCATCCGCGGTGTTGTCTGGCAAGTTCTCGCCCAAAGCAAGAACGAGGACCTTGAGGTCGTCTACAGAGAGCTCGTCGCTAGAGGCACCGACAAGGAGAAGACGACTTCGAATGCCCCACAGCTCAGCCGACAAGAAAACCCTAGTGGCACCCAAACCCCCAACGGCGCCCAAACCACCAACGGTCTCCAGCATAAGGATTCGGTAACTTCGTCAGCCTCATCCATTCATTCGGGCTACTCCACCCCGGCCACAACAGCAACAGGTGGTGGCGTTGGTTCTCCTACCTCTAATGGCAACGATCCCCAGGCTGTCAACGGTGCATCTGCAGCTCTTCTGGAAGCAAGAAAGAAGAAGGAAAAAGAAGATGCCATCGCTTTGTCGAAACTGGAAAAGCAGATCAAGCGTGACATGGGCGCGCGGACCAGCTATTCCAAGTACTTGATGGCTGCTGGTCTTCAAGATGGTTTGTTTGGGCTGTGTAAAGCCTACGCTTTGTTTGATGAGGCTGTTGGTTATCCGCAGGGTGTAAACTTTGTCGCCATGCCTTTGCTCTTTAACGTAAGTCTACGCGCATTACGCGTTTTGACGGACGCTGACCCTTTCATTTATAGATGCCTGAAGAGGAGGCTTTCTGTCTGCTCGTAAAAATGATGAACCAGTATGGTTTGCGCGACATGTTCATTCAAGACATGCCGGGTCTGCATCTCCACCTATACCAATTTGAGCGTTTGCTTGAAGACTTCGAGCCAGCTCTTTATTGTCACCTTCACCGGCGGGGTGTGACGCCACAGCTGTATGCCACGCAGTGGTTCCTGACGCTTTTCGCCTACCGCTTCCCGCTGCAGCTTGTGCTTCGCATCTATGATCTCATCCTTTCTGAAGGCCTCGAAAGCGCCATTTTGAAGTTCGGCATCGTCCTTATGCAGAAGAACTCAGAGACTTTGCTTGGTATGCGGGATATGGGTCACCTGACAACCTTCCTGAAGGAACGCATTTTCGACGTTTACATCGACAAATCGCCCTCGCAGTCCTCGCTCCTGGAGTCGGGCTTTTTCGGCTCTGCTGGTGGTGTTGACAAGGAGGTTTATCGTGCCGACATGATGGTGCAGGACGCGTGCTCAATCAAAATCACTTCCGAAATGCTGGCACAGTACACACTCGAGTGGAAGGAGCAGCAAAACGCGGAGAAGGCGCGCGAGTGCGAGCTGGATAACCTGAAGCAGTCCGTGGCGTCGCTGTCACTCAAGGTTCGCACGTTGGAGGAGCGAGCGGAGAAGAGCGACACAGAGCACGTAGCCATCGCCTCGGAGCTGGTGCGTACAAAGGTGGAGAACGAGACATTGCAAGATGAAAACGAAAGTTTCAAGACGCAGGCGCAGGAGCTGCGCAAGCTCCTGGATACGCAGGCAGAGCAGATAGAGGCGCGCATGCACTCTGAGATGGAGATCGTTATGAAGCGTAACATGGAGGTGCAAGAGGAGAACCGCTCGCTGGAAGAGCAGCTGTCGGACATGGAGCGGGTGCTGGTCGAGACGAAGATGCAGTATGCCCAGGTGAGTGGCGCGACTGTCCTTCAACAATTCTTTGAGTGCTGACTGGATTCCACTCATAGGTCAACTCGGACCACGAGATGCTCAAGCAGAGATGGAGTAGCGTGCAGACGCTGCTCAACAGCGGTTAATACACCAGTCCCCGACCAACTGACAGATAGACTCGGTTGTTGTTACTCAATGGCTAACAACGCCTTACGACGACATATCACACCCTCAAGCACAGCATCCCTACATTACCAGCATCAACCACAGCGGCATAAGCGAGCGCAATGCATCTGCATCATCCATCTATCATCGGTTTCAGCGCGCGCGGACTTCCGCGCACTTCATTCACTTTTTGACTCACTCGCTCACTCACTCTGCGGTATGCTGGCCACGAGTCTCTCGGCTCGGAACTGCGCCGCCTTCTCATCCTCCTCTTTTCCGGGTTTCTCTTCCTCCTCTTCCCCCCTCTCTCCCCCGACTGGTTCTCTTATCAAAAAAAAAAGTGCCTCGTTCGCGCGAGCGAAACGGCACGGTGCGGTAAATCGCACTTTGTATGTACGTACTGACGCGAGATGGACGGTAAACATTGGTTGAGACACGCACAACGTATACGGACGGAGACTTGGGCTTGATTGGCTTGGCTGGCTTGCTTGTTTGTGCCTCGCTTGCTTTGAAGAGCTCCATCTGTCTCGTACTGTCTTGTCTTGTCTACTTTCGGCTTGCCTACCTCTCTCTTTCTTTGCTTTTTCCCACTCTGCCTTGACTTCATGCTTGGTTTGGCTTGGCTACAGTATCCTGGCTATTCTGTCATCTATCTAGACCTGACTGAGGAAGTCTGGCCGTCTTACAACCTGGTTACCCATCCTACTGGCGACAGGCGGCAACAGGCGGATGAGACGGGCATCCTCTCTACTACAGCTTCTTCATCTTGGTACTTCTTCCGACCTTCCTTCTTCACTATACTACATGTGTGGGACATCATCGATTGGAGTCACGGACGGGACGGGCGAGGCGCAGGAGCTGGGCAGCTGTTTTTTGTTTGAGCTTTTTGTTGTTGTCGTTGAGTTTGAGCCTTGTGTTTTGAGCTTCTTAAGCTTTTTGTGCGTCGTGCGTCGCTTGTTTGCTTGTTTGTTTGTGTGGCTCGCGTTGCATTGCAAGAGTGCGGTATCGATCGTTGCGTAGATGAGTTTGGGGCTTTTTGCCTTGCATCCGGTGGGTCGCGGCGGTTGAGTGATAGTTTGGCTTGCTTGCTTACCTACTTTACCTACTCTGCCTACCTACCTGCCTGCGCTCGTATGCGGTATGCGGTTCTACGGGTATTCTGCTACTGACTGCTACTGCTACGCTGCGGTGGTGCGTGTTGGTTGGTCGGTTGGTTGGTTGGTTGGTTGTGTGTGTGTGCGTGAGTCGCGATGGTATGGATGGGCGTGCGCGAATGCATTGCATTGGATAGGGTTGGCTGGCTGCTGCTGCGGTGAGGTGTGAGTCGCGTGTGTGATGTGCGTTACCACGTTGTGCGACCTACATACGTGGCGGGGTATGCGGTGTGGTTTGCTGTGCTGTGTTGTGCTGTGCGGGGGTGGGGCAAGCCCGTTGCTAGGTGTGCTGGAGCGGAGTCTGGAGATGAGAGGTTGCGAGAGGAGATGATTTGGGATGCAGCTGGCTTTATGGAGTTGAAAGAAGATGAGGGTTAGATGGGTGTGTGGTTGTGGGTGTATGTGGAGGGTTGCGTATAGGTTGGTTGAGTAGGTATGGGTGGCTGGCAAGACCTACTGTATATAGAATGTGTCTATGGTCCCGTCTGTCTACCTACCTATCTACGTGCTTCAAATTTCATCAAACAGGCAGTCTCGCGCTCTCTACACCCGTCCCACAAAACAAACAAGCTCACACGATCCAACAAACCGAGCCCTTCACCCTCCTCCCTCCTCAGTACAACCCGCCCTCCCGTTCCCAAACTTTCCGCCCCGCCACCCACGTCTGCAACACCTCCCCCTCCTCATTAAGCACGCACAAATCCGCCCGCCTCCCCTCCCGCAAACTCCCCACAGCGCCCTCGACGCCCATAAACTTTGCCACGTTCTCCGTCGCGGCCGCCACCGCCCCCGCGATCCCGCTTCCGCTCCAGGCCGCGACGTTGCGCACGCACTCGCGCAGCATCGCGCACCCGCCGACCAGCGTCTCGGCGCCCTCGAGCACGGCTTTGGGAGTAGGGAGTAAGGCGCCTGTGGCATCGTGCGTGATCTTGACCTGTGGATGCGGGATCTGCGCGTGCCCGGGGTATGTGCCTGCTGGGAGGGAGGGGCCCGCGAGCTCGATGCTGTCGCTGACGAGGAGGGCGCGGTGCGGGGCTGCGCGGTAGAGGAGCGCGAGCGTCGCGGGCGCGAGGTGCTGCCCGTCGGCTATGAGGCTGTAGTACGGCGCAGGAACGGCGGCCGTGGGGTCGTCGGGGAGGGCGAGCAAACCTGCAAGGCCAGGCGCGCGTGACTCAAGTGGCGCCATGGCGTTGAGAGTATGCGTGAGGCCGGTGGCGCCAGCGGCGAGGGCGGCCAGGCCCGTCGAGTAGCTGGCGACGGAGTGGCCGAGCGAGACGACGACGCCGTGCGCAGTGAGGGCACGGATGAGCGCGGTGCTGGCCTCGAGCTCGGGGGCGAGGGTGCAGAGCTTTATGGTGCGGTTGGAGAGAGCGGGGCCGTAGATGGCGAGGGGGTCGGAAGCGCTGGCTGGGGTGTGGAAGAGCGTGTGCGTGTGTGCGCCGGGTTTGTGCGGGGAAAGGTAGGGCCCTTCAACGTGGGCGCCGAGGAGGGTTGCTGCGGAGGGGAAGGCGTGGGGGGCGAGGGAAGGGAGGATCTGTGTAATGTTAGTTGGTGGTTGATGGAGGGAAATGTGTGTGGTAGAGAAGCGATAGATCTTGACGAGAGATTCTGTGTTTGGATACGGTGACTGGAACAGGAACAGATAGTAAGAGAGAATCCGAATCATTCATGGTCGTTATGAGAGCTGATGTCTGGTATGAAACGTACCTTGAAAATGGAGAGTTAAGGAATTTAATGATAGACGATCAAATTGAAAAATGGAAAAAGACATCACAAGCATAGCATATTTATAGCACGAAACATTTATATCAACACGGAAATATTCAAATATATGAAATTGAGACGTAGGCAAGAGACAAAATGTGAAGTCAACTCAAGCATAATAACAAAGTCGGAGCCCACCTTTTGGAACGTTTCGGGAGGCACAGTGGGCAAGGTGGCCCAAAAGCCCGTAACGCCCTGGGTGACGTAGAATTCGGCCGTCTCTTTCAGCTTCAGCTCATACTGGTGGTTGTTTTCAAAGTGAGTGAAATGGAATCCATTGACGCCGTTGGTGTGCAGCTCGAGCAGGCCGGGAGCTATGATGTTTCCCTCGAGATCGACAATCTCGCCACCAATGTAGCCGGTACGCTTGATGATTTTGCCAGTTTCCTCGGAGATGACGAGATGGTCGTCAACCAGGGCGCCGTCAAGGCAGTAGCGGCAGTTGGTAAAGGTGGTGAACTGGTTGTCGCCCATGGTTGGGAAGGGTTGATGTCGGGATGCGGGGCGGCCATCGTCGGCGGCGGTCCCACAAGGATCAGGTGTGGGAGATCTCCGGCCAGGGTCAGCGGCGACGGGCGATCATCAACCCAGCTTCTTGCGCCCAATCTGAACTGCGACAGAGCCGCCTAGGCTCGGATTGGATGGCCATGTCCCCGAAACAAGGTCAATTCGCAAATGTAGGCGCAGTTGCGCGTCGCCGCTGCTTGATTGGCGTCGCGATAGCCACATGATGTCATTGACGAGTGCCTTGGTCGCGCAAATCACTTTTACCCTGCTCTCCCTCTCTTCCCTCCCTTTTTTTTGTTCCTACCCTAACCTTTCATTGCCATTGAGCCCGTTGCCGCATACCACTGGCGCCTCACCTCGCCATGGCCGAGCAGCAGCAGCAACACCAACCCGGGGGTCACTACTCGGGCAACAACCCCATTCCCACCGTCAAGAAGTTTATCGAGAATCTCGACCGCGACAAGGCCGACCGCGACAAACAACTCGAAGAGCAAACGAAGCTCAGGCAGCAAGGCACTGCTAATGGCGATGCCGTTCCCCACAAGCCCGAGAAGGCGGGCAAGGAAGGCACTCGCAAGACCGTCACGGACCCTACCACCGGCAACGACGTCGTCATTGAGGATGTGAACAAAGACACGATCGAGAGGTCCAAGGACCCTCAGGTAAATGCTCTTTAGCATGGGCTTTCTCGTTCTCCAACTGACGCAAGTTGTACAGCTTTCAGTCCCAAATGCCAACCTCGGCAAAGATACCGTACGTCTAATTATCGCCACTCTCTTCAAGCAACATACTGATGACTTTTTGCGCAGCCCATCAAGACGGACGCTTCCCAATCCAACAACGAGTACAAGTACAACCAAGATGTCACTGCTCCTCCAGACCCAGTCGCTGAGAACAGCACCTCCGATGTCCCCATCCACGGTGAAAAGACCAACATTCTCTTCCACCCTACCCCCTCGGTTAGCTACGAGCCATACTTTGCGGCCATGGAGAAGAGGACGGGCGGTCTCTGCATTGGCATATTCGCTGCGATTGTCGTCATTGGCAAGATGTTTGGTGGCTCTCTGAAGGGCTTGATTCCGTTGGCCCTTTGTGTGGTCTCTGGCGTCTGGCTGTGGATGAAAGAGGTCGTCCGCAGCGGACGCGAGGTTGAATGGGAGAGCGAAAAGACTCGCGGATTGACGGTATGTCGGCAGTTGGGTTTCTGAAATCACTACTGACTGTGATATAGGCTACTGCGAACCTCATTCCTGAATCTGTGGAGTGGATGAACACCTTCCTTGGTATCGTCTGGGGTTTGGTAAACCCAGACATGTTCCAGGGCGTCGCCGACACCCTGGAAGATGTCATGCAAGCATCTGTTCCTGGTATTATTGAAAATGTTCGTGTCGCCGAAATCAATCAGGGCAGCAATCCGATCCGGATTTTGAGCCTGCGCGCGCTGCCGGATGACCACATGACGGAGATGAAAGAAGCAATTCACGAGGAAAATAAGAAGACAAAAGACCCTCAAGAGGCTGCTGCCGACGAAGAAGGCGGTGACTACTACAACATAGAGGTTTCGTTCGCCTACCATGCGAAGCCCACCGGCAAGCGCGCCTCGGACAAGGCCCGCAACATGCACATGCAGCTCGTCTTTTACCTGGGTATTAAGGGGCTTTTTGGTGTCCCTCTGCCGATATTTGTCGAATTGCAGGGCCTGGTAGGCACTATCCGTTTGCGGTTGAACCTAACGCCAGAGCCGCCTTTCCTCAAGACACTCACTTTCACGTTGATGGGCTTGCCTCAGGTTGAGGCTGGCTGTATCCCCATGGTGGAGAAGGGAATAAACATCCTGAACTTGCCCTTGATCTCTAACTTTGTCAACTATGCTATCGGCGCTGCAGCTAGCATGTATGTTGCGCCCAAATCAATGTCCCTCGACATGAGGGCGATTCTACAAGGCGACGATATCACCAAGGATGTCCAGGCATTGGGTGTTATGTGGATCCGCATCCACCGCGCGGTTGGTCTCAGCAAGCAGGACAAGCGTGGCAGCAAGCATGGCGGCAGCGATCCGTACATTACTCTGTCTTTCTCTAAGTACGGCAAGCCGATGTACTGCACGCGTGTCATTACAGATGACTTGAACCCCATTTGGGAGGAGACGACTGCGTAAGTTCTATCAAATTTTCGTGCTTCATTTTACTAACACACCATAGGCTTCTTGTCACCCCTGAATTGATCAAGGCCGATGAAAACCTTAGCGTCGAGTTGTGGGACTCTGATCGCCACAGCGCTGACGACATCGTTGGCAAGGTCGAGCTTTCAATGCAGAAGATGATCCAGCACCCCGGAAAGATGTACCCGCAGGTTAGTAAGCTTGCTGGCATGGACGCAGACAGCTCCATGCCCGGTGAGCTTCACTGGGAGGTCGGATACTTTGGCAAGCCGAAGTTCAGGCCTGAACTCAGGACCGATGGCAAGAATAGAGCATTGCCTGATGAGCTCAAGGATCACCCTGAACTTCAGGATGAAAAGGGCGTCACCAACACTGAGGAGGACGATGCCGTTCAGCATACACCCCCTGACCCTCTTTGGCCCAGCGGAATCTGCAGCATTGTCGTCCACCAGATCGTTAATCTTGAGCTTGAAAACATCAAGGGTACCCAGGGTAGCCGCAATGGCAAGGAATACGAACCAGCGAAGCCCTATGGCGAAAACACCGAAGAGGAAGGCGATAAGTTGCCTACGAGCTACTGCACCATTCTCTACAACGACGAACTCGTCTACCGGACTCGTGCCAAGGCTGTCAGCAGTCAACCTATCTTCAACGCGGGAACTGAGCGGTTCATGCGTGACTGGAGGTCTGGTATCGTCACCGTCACCGTCCGTGATCAGCGCAACAGGGAGCATGACCCCATTTTGGGTGTTGTTCCTCTGAAGCTCTCGGATGTTTTTGAGACGAGCTCACAGGTTACTCGCTGGTATCCTCTCGATGGTGGCATTGGTTTCGGCCGCATCCGTATTTCTTTGCTCTTCCGTAGCATCGAGACTCGCTTGCCACCCAACCTCCTTGGTTGGGATGTCGGTACCTTTGAGTTCATTTCTGAGCGCATCCTGGCTACCGGCTACAACCACCACGCTAAGCTACGCATGCGTACAGGTGGCTCTGTCGGCAAGATTCCACGCACGCAAGCGCGCAAACTGGATGAGGGCGATGGCTACTTCTGGGACCTGGCGAAGCAAGATGGTAAGAATGATGTGCGTCTGCCCGTCAAGTACCGTTACCGTGCGCCTATCGTCTTCGAGTTCCACGTCTCTGGTAAGCGCAAGCCCGATGCTTACAGTGTCATCTGGCTGCATCACCTCATCGACAACGAAGATACACCCATCAACATTCCCATCTGGACTTGTTCGAACCCTGCACGTCTCACCCAAAACTACGTTACAGAGATGAACTGCCATAATGAGACAGCCCTCGAGGATCTGAAGGAGGTGGGCCGTCTTCAATTCCGTGGCCGTTTCAAGGCCGGCACCGACGAAAGCCACGAATCCTTCATCATGGACAATGACTCCCGCGAGACTTTTGAGACGTGGGAGGCGTGCATGGCGGAGGGTGTACGCCAACGTCGCGTCGACAAGGAGCTGCCGGAGCGCGTGAAGACACTTCACGAGGAGTCATTGACGGCGGGCCGTGACACGCTGAAGTCGGCCTCGGAAGATGAAAAGAAGAAGTGGCTGTCCAAAGACGGAGCAGACTGGAGCGGCGCATTCGGCCACGATCCCAAGGCGTACATGGACTCGAACGGGCGCAAGCGGCGTGAGCCCGGTGTCGAGCCGCCGCTGCACGACCCGCACCACCCATCGAGCGACGAGGACCACGAGAGCGACATCCAGTCGGACTCCTCTTCGAGCGACGATTTGGGAATCCAGGATGCGGAGAACATGGACGGCGACGCAGACAAGATGGGCAGCAGCAGCGTCGCGAGCCGGTCGCGCAAGTCAACGCGCGCATCAGCTGACACCAGTGACAGCCGGCGCAGCACGCAGACATCGGGAACGACGACATCGTCAAACAGTGACCCGAATAAGCAGAACCGCCGTACGGAGAAGCGCAAGCATCGCGGTATGATGCAGTGGAGGCCAGCGAGGAATGCAGCTTTCGCAGCGGACGAGGGTAGGATTGGCTTGAGGAAGTTGAAGAACAGACTTACAGGCCGGATGGAAGGACGCCAGCCGGGCGTGGAGACTGAGACAGGGACTTAGATGGTGGATGATTGCAATGAGGGGAAATTGCTTGTTGGGTTGAATGGCTTGGGGATACTTCACTTCTCTTTGGCTTGGTTCTTTTGACATCATTTCTTTTATTCCTTCTACTTTCACCTTCTTCTTCTTCTTTTCCTCTTCCGCTTCCTTCCTTTTACACCATTTTTCATCCTATCCATTTTTGTACAATAGAACGACAACGGCAATGACTACGACACGCACGACTGCTATGCTAGTAAGTTATGGAAATAAATTACGATTCTTATATGAATATTTTTGTGTATGTGAGAAATCTGATTCATGGTGAATTGTTTGCTCGGAAACTTGAACTAATGACGGATGTATGTATCAAATATACTGCAGTATGTATGTATGTATTTAGTACATCGTAGAGTTGAGGAAACAAATAGAGAAGCTGTAGCAACCGTCGAAGGAATAAGAATCTGGCCGATTGGACAAATATAGTCAGGCGCTGGCTCAAAATCCACAGAAGCCATCCGCAGCTACGGCGTTCGATCTTACGACTGAGGAATACCAGCACGCAAGAGACATGGCGGACGTGAAGATTAAGGGTTTCCCATACCTTGAGGCTTTTGGCCCATCCCTATGGGAAGAAGTTGCCCTTATGGCGGCACATCTTCACGTACCTGGACTGAATGCTTAACCCACACATACACACTAACACGGCCACTTGTAGGACAGAGACGACAACGCCAAAAACAACAATATTACACGTCACTAAGGCGTTGTGATGGTGGGTGGTGGTGCGAAAGTTGATGCTCATCATCATCATCTTTACTTTCACTGCCATTGACGACGGTGGCATCAAAGCTCATTCGTCCAGCACACACACGGCTAGGCTGGAGTTGGTTACGGACAAAGCCTTTGGTGGCTGCTGCATTAGATTCGCATAAACCCCCACCCCTGACAAGGATGTGAAGTGAATGATATGTCGGAAACAACGCAGTTCTCGTTTGTGGAGAAGTAACTACTTCACAGCCGACTATTTAAGCAGTGAATTTACCTCATCAGAACCGGTCTCGTTCACACCCAGCATCTTCCCTAAACTGCCAAGCACGCCGTACAAACAGTAATTGAAGTGAATGAATGAACAAAAGACACAGAGATGGTCCCGAAGTAGTTCGCAAAAAGCAAGCCCTCGCTGTGTGGCGAGGGGGTATCAATTCGATAAAAGTAAATACACCGTCCATCCTCCAACACACTCTCTCCAGCCAAGTCCATCAGCGCACTGACGCGATTCCAGACGTATATTAAAAGAAACGAAGAATTAGAGGCGCGAGTCCCCCCTTTTACTCTCGCTTTACCACTGCACATAAGCACAACCCCCACGCGCGCGCTCTAACCCTCCACTCCATCTACGTCAAGTCACGCCTCTGCGGCGAGACCTCCTTGCCCGGGACCTCAAAGCCGGCTGCGTCATCAGAGCCAAAGTCCTCCGCGCGCGCGCCATCCTGCGGCATATCCTCCATCTGGTAGAGGATCTCAGGCTGGACTTTCTGGAACAAGATGTAGCGGCGGAAGAAATAGCCGACCTGGCGCAGGCCATATGCAGCATGATGCCGCGTCGGCACGCTGAAGACCTGGTCCAGCTCTTCGAGCGTCTTGCCCTTGGTCTCGGGCAGGAAGAACAGCACCAGGAAGAAGCCGACCACGTTCCAGGCTGCGTACCACCCGAATGCACCCTGTGGTCGGAAGGCGTCCTGCAGTGAAGGCCATGTTACTGATAGCACGAAGTTGAAGAACCATGTTGTTGCTGTCGCGAGGGACATGCCGTACGCGCGCACGTACAGCGGGTATGCTTCCGCGGAGTAGGTGAATGGCACGGGGCCTTCGCCGGGAGAATACACCATTCCGAAGATGTAGATGCCCAGTGCAATCAGTCCGACACGCACTCTCAGCGCTGAGCTGCCAGGCGTGTTGTCGATGAAGAAGCACATGCCTGTAAACAGCAGAGAGGCGGCCATAAGCGGGAAGGTAGAGAGCAGGAGGTTGCGTCGTCCGAACGTATCGATGGTGTAGACGGCGGGAATGGCGAAGAGGAAGTTGATGACACCGAAGCCAAGGGAGGCGGCCAGGGCAGACTTTGCGCTGAAGCCGCTGTCTTGGAAGATCGAGGACGAATAATACGCAATGACATTTACACCACAGAACTATTTAGCTCGTTAGCTGCTGTGTCTTCAAAACAGGAGAGGAGTTTCGCCGCACCTGCTGCATGAACATGACAATCTCCGAGGCAATCATCGCCCTGCGGTTGCGAGGAACAACAAAGAGCTCCTTAATCTTGCTCTGTCCAATTTTCATGCCCTCTTCGGCTTTGAGCAGCTCGGCCATGTAGAACAGGTCTCGTGCAGCCTGGATCTTGTTGAAACGTAGGCGGCACATGGCGTGGTAAGCAGAGGCGTGACGGCCCTTGCTAAGATACCAACGGGGCGACTCAGGGCACATGAAAACGAAGCAGCAAACGACGACGGCCGGTAGCATTGCGGAGCCCATCATCAGACGCCAGTTGAGTCCAGTGACATTTGAAGTATCGGGAACACCGTACAGCGCGAGGTCAGCAACGTAGCCGAGCATGATACCGAAAGCGGTCCACTGCTTCATGTCAGTACTGATTTGGTATATACGCTCTAAGGATTCAACTGACCATCTGCCATTGCATGACTAAGGCACCACGAATTGCCGGTGGTGTGCATTCGGCAGCATAGATGGGTACGGTTGCAGATTTGGGGCCGATACCAAAGCCCAGAGCGAAGCGAGCAACGAACATGTGCCACCAAGTGTTGACGAAACCTTGCCAGAAGCAAGCGATAGCCGAAAACAGACACGTGATGAATATGGTGCCACGGCGCCCGAACCAGTGGTTGTAGGGTACGGTCAACCAGCATCCAATGAAAGCACAGCAGAGGTAAGGCGACGAGTTGACAAGACCGGTGAGCCAAGTAGAGCGAGAATCGCCATTGTCGATGCCAAACTGTGGGGTGTAAAAGAGCTGGGCTCCGTTTACGACCGTTTCATCTACAAGACATTTAGCTTATGTTGACCGAAAAGCCTGAACCGGGGAGACGTACCCATGCCCTGCACTGCTGCACAAGTGGAGCAAAGTATAATCACCACGTATAAAAGCTTTGGCTGCGACCACTTTGAAGTGAACTCTTTTTGTAGAGTGCTGGTTTCCTCTGCGGAGAGGGTGTTGGTTCCTAGCTTGTCGAAATGTAGCGGGTCTTGTGCAAGCACTGCGCCAATTTGGAATGCGCGTATATCCTCAGGCTCAGCGAGAGCATGTTCTAACGCATACTCTCGACCCATTTTCTCCAGGCGTGCACGGCTGTAGCCCGCCAAAGGATTTGCGAGCTTTGCGTTGGCATTTCGCCGTGCGCGGTCGGCCGCTGTCACGCTCGACACTACGGATTGGTTCCGGGCAGTTTCACTGTAGCGTCTGTTGGCGTCCTCCGTATGGGCAACCTCGCCATTGGTGGTGCCCTTTTCCGGGGAGGCCATCTTTTCCCGAAGCGCAGATGTGTTTCGGAGTAAAGACTTGAAAGAAGTTAGCCCGTAAATCGGTGAAATTAAAATTAGCAGATTGTACAAACTGCAGCACAGGGGGTTTATTTACTGCCAACGGCTAAGCGACTGGGTGAGTAATGGCTTCGCTCAGAGGAGGTTGGAGATAGGGTATGTTGCTCCGGCAGAGCGCGTCGTCCAGCAAATTTGTCCGTAAGGTGAATCATATACAGTAAAATGCAGCGCGCAGAGCCGACAGTAAGAGCGGACGGGAAAAGAAAGCGGACGGGGAGCGGGAAGATGAGCATTATGAATTACGGCTGATGCTCGACCCCGGACAGCCAAGCCCCAGAAACATCAGGGTTCAACGGGGTTTCCGTGACAAGGCTAGCGCCACTTCTCCGCGTTACATTTCCCCATGGCACTTAACTACCGAGCGAGTCGTGACAGCCGCGACTCCCTCTCACAAATGTTGGGCTCGATCAATAATGGGCCATACAGATCTCTCTGCTCTCGGCCCATGACGCAAGCCAGGGCAGGCCGAGCCCGCCTCTTGTCGTCTGCTGACTCTTGTCATGGCAGCCTCGAATCCTTTCGGTGCAGACATGTCGGGGTTTGCCTGTGCAGCGGGGCAGAGTACGACGCAGTCTAGTTGATTGGGTTCTTGAGCTTACTCGGACGAGACCGGGGGTTGTCGCATCGAGTCACCGGAGGCGTGGTTAGGCTGCTCGAGGCTCAAGTCATTTCCTCAGCTCCTTCCGGCTTTGACATTGTTACTCGAGCACCGCTGCCCGCGCTTTGCCAGCTGTCGGAATCCGCCTTGCGGACAGTCACATCCAGCACACACGAGGCATCGAGCGCTGTGGTTGTACTCGATCGGCAACGGTTGCGGCGTGGCTTGCCATGGCGGTCAGCGAGAGCGCCATCGACGTCAGCGGATAATCCCGTGTATTGTTGCGTGCATGGGGGGTGAGGAGATCTCTCGCTCGTTGCCTGAGAGCCAGAAAACCAAGAAGTGGCACAGTGCCCAAGATCCAAATTCGGTCGTCGAGGCCGTTCCACTTTACAAAGTGTTTGCGGGGAGCGGAGAAGAAGTGGGGCGTTGGGGGCGGAGCTGGAGAAACGTACGCTGTGCAACAACCCAGCTGGACGCCCGAAAATTATCCTGGTCTTCACGCTGCGCCGCCTGTGCCGACTTCCCGCCCTGCCACGCCTCCCCATTTGCTGGATGCCGTCGCAGGGTTGTTGAAAATGCAATCGCAACACGCGGTCTAGAGTATCGGCCTGGCCCGGCCAGAGTCTGCTTGCAGAGAGACCTGTTGCGACTTGCGTGCACCCACCTTCGACGTAATAATAGTTAGGCATCCAGCGACCAAAGACATGTGCAGTAACCTGGGATGCCGTTCATCGGAGTCCCTAGAGCTGCATTGCCCGGAAAAAAACTACTATGCTTGGTTATGTGTTTCGCGCCGAGCATGCACGAAGCTTGGCTGCTGCCTCGGCAGCTATTGTACGCGTCCGAGACCACTGACAACTATGCCTGCTTATCGGATGCTCGATGGCCCGGTCAGCCCATAATCTTTGGGCAAGTCTCGTAGAACTCACTCAAAACACCCAGGTTTGCGAACTCGAGGGGCGATTGTACTTAGGAATGAGAACATGGTTGTATTTTCAGCGACTAGGCAGATTGTAATGCGAAGATACTAGTGCCTCAATACTTGTCCATTGTTATCAAGCCAGTTCAAGAGTCGACATAGGTATCAGGTTCATCCCCATGTCTGGATCATCCCCTGGATATTGTGAAGAGCGTCGTCGATCATGTATGATTTACATATTCAGGATTACCCAAAGAGAAGATCGTCACCCGCGACCATGGGACTGGTACGACAGTAGCCGTGGGTGGGAACGTGTCAGTGTAGATGGTGCACCCGCTTGAACCCGTTTGCCTGTACAACTCCAGAGCAAGCACCGGCAACCCCATCAAAAAACTTAACCGGAAGAGGAAAGCGCTCCCAGTGACAGAATTTGGCGAATAAGATAGTCGACTGAGCCAGCAAGTTGGCTTACGACTGCGGATCGATGATGCTCATCGCTCGGGGGAGTGGCATGTGGACGCCATGAGGTGAAGATAAGCTCGACGGCTCAAAGTTTAAAAATTTACACAGACCTAGCAAGGAGGCTCGAGCTACGTGGACCGTACTCGAGTATTCTTTGTAGTAGCCCCAAAAGTTAAGAACTTCGATATGATGGGGTCGCGCAGTCAAACCTTCGTTGAGAATCTCAGCACATGGCTTCAACGAGCTTTGGTAGAGGAACAAGGAAATTAGCCTGTTCATATCGAAGATCTATTTCGAACAGAGTACATGCCTAAGTTAGAAGAGATGTTTTTGTCGAGAACTCCCAAGCTCCCTATCCAGCCTTATCCGTACTTCCGAAATTCCTTTGATTTTCATTGGATGATATCAACTTGCACGTGATCAAAGTTGCTGAGAAATCAAGACCCTTGCAAGCTCTGACGCCATTCTGGACAATTTACTGCCGGCTATCTCAGGACTCTCTAAGTACAACACCACTCCTTCCAATTCACAATCGCACTCGCACGCAGCTAGTCTACACCTCGTCCAACGCAGCTCCCGCCATGTCCTCAGCCTCAGTCCCTAGATCCGCCATCCGCGCATTGTCGCGAGCCAGACCCTCCGTGCGCCCCCGCACCGCGCAACGGCTCGCCACATCCCAACCTGCGCCGCGCTGCCTCTCTCAGGTTGCCAGTCCTATCACCTCCGTACGCCACAGGCCGAGCCCTGTATCTCCTCGTAATGCGTTCCGCATTGGAGTCAGCGAGAGCCGCCGGACAATGTTCATCCAAACCGAGAACACTCCCAACCCCGACGCCCTCAAATTCAACCCTAACACACGCGTTCTTCCTGAGGGCTTCCCCTCTACTTTCCTCGAGTACATGTCGCCTCGCTCCACTCTTCAGCCGCCGCACCCCTCGCCGCTTGCCGCTAAGCTACTCAACGTCGACGGCATCACATCCGTTTTCTTCGGTGCCGATTATATCACTGTTACCAAGGACAGCTCTGTCCCCTGGGCGCATTTAAAGCCTGAGGTGTTCAGCCTGATCAGCGAGTTTGTGGCATCGGGACAGGCCATGGTGAACATCACGCAAGGCAATGCAGGTGAAGGGCAGGAAACGGAGCAGGATAGCTTGGCTTTCGATGAGAATGATGATGAGGTCGTTGGAATGATCAAGGAACTGCTGGAGACACGCATTCGCCCAGCGATCCAAGAAGATGGTGGCGATATCGAGTTCCGGGGCTTCCATGATGGCCAGGTTCTGCTCAAGCTGAGGGGTGCATGCCGGACGTGCGACTCCTCTACTGTCACCCTAAAGAACGGCATTGAAAGCATGCTGATGCATTACATTGTAAGAGCACCTTATTTCTGGTTTTGATGATATGGATGCTAACTCAATAACAGGAGGAGGTCCAGGGTGTGCAGCAGGTTATGGATGAGGAGGAAGAGGTCGCCATGAAGGAGTTTGCTAAATTTGAGGAGAAGCTCCGCCAACAGAAGGGTCCCGATGCGGCACCGACGACGGTCGGTAAGGGCAGCCTGGACTTCGTCGAATAAAACACACAATGGTAGTTGGGCCGTTTGAGAATTAAAGGTGGTCGCGTCCGGATTGAAGTTTACTACGTAGAGCACCAACACACAGTCTAAGATACCAACGCTAAAAGCGTAATGGAGATAATGCCAAACATTCATTTGTCATAGTTGTGTTGTTATTATACACGGAGTATGATAAAATGTATGTTCGTCTAAGAGTCAAATGCAAACATTCACCTCCCTGCCGATTCGATGAATTTGCATGCACTCTGTCCATTGCTTGCTTGGGATTGAACGTATCAAAAGGAATAGTGGCACCAACTTGCAGATTCAACAGCACCAATTGGATGCAGGCAGACCGTGGAGCCCCTCCACGAGGCATCCCAGGACCCTGTCAACTGTCGTCAGACTCCAGGACCCCATGCTCGTCTTATCGGGTCTGGGCCGGACGTTGAGAAAGGCTTAATCCGGGGAACACAGTCGAAACCAATACAAACACTTGCTCTCAAGACAGCAATGGTTTTGCGAATGGTGCTTGCTGGCCTGCACAGCCAGATGGAGGCCTCTCACCCTATCCTTGGACTCGTGCAGCAGTCGACGTGCCCCCCTCTTGCTGAACTGTCAACGGACAGGGTGTTCTGGAGCGCTCGGTCGGCAGTAATTCCTTGCTCGAGTCCCGCAAAAGCGAGGGGTGTTGGCGGAGTTTGGCCGTATTTGGCCGCGAGGCCGTGGGGTCTCCTCGTGCAACGTGCAGCAGTTGGTTCCTGCGGCTGGAGATGTGGGCCCATGACGGAGTGGCAGGTGCTGCGACGATCGCCGTTACTTTGGAGAGCCGCGCGTGGAGGCTCGAGATTCGTGTAGCACGGTGGCGGCAAGGTGAAAAAGCTGCAGCTGCCCACGGTCGCGACGGCGACGAGACGCTCGAATTGCTGGCGTCGACTTCCCTTGTGCGCGAATTGCTACCGCCTGGATTGGGTGTTGAGGCTGTCTGTCAAGTGAATTGGGTGAATTGGCGCCGCGATAAGCCTGGACGAAGCTTCCCTCAGCTAGACTGGATTGCGCCTACCGCACCTGCATGCGACGGACTCGACGACACAAAAACCTCTCGCGCCATCTTTCTTCCCCCTTCACAGCTCCCTCACCACTCCTCAAGAGAAACCTCACACCCTCTATCCGAGCATTGTTTGCTCCGGCGGCATTGATTTGTCCCTCATTGGCTTTACCTGCACTGAGCTCGCTTTGCACTATTGCATCACAGCGCCCTCATTCTGCCCCTCAGCGTTTGACTTTCAATCGCGCCATCTTACCTAGCCAACACTCCCTTTGCACAAACAACTTTGGCCTGTCACCCGCCTGATCTCCCACCATGGTCCTCGTCGACAACCAGGAATACCTCTGCGAAGAGGAGAAGAGATTGAGGGAAGATACCAAACGTGAGCGGTACTGGAAGAAGTGGGGCCCTTACGTTGCAGAGAGGCAATGGGCTACAGGCAAGCGCACAATCCCTCGGCGACCCATTGAGCTTTGCTAACAGTCTTGCAGTTAGAGAAGATTACTCGTGAGTTGCCTTTCGAGGAATTCATTGTTCTGCAGCTAACGAATAGCCCTGTAGCCACGATGGAGATGCCTGGAGCCGTAAGTGCTGTCTGTTTGTATGAAGCTCAAGGCGTCTGCTGACCTCAATCTAGACTTCTCCCACGACATGGCTCGCTCGAGGGCTTACCGTTGGGGTGAAGACGGAATTGCTGGTGTTTCCGACACCCATAGCTTGCAGAACGTCGCATTTGCCTTCTGGAACGAGAAAGAGTAAGTTGAGCCTTTGTGTGGTTATATCTCATTTCTGACAACATTCTAGTGACTTCCTGAAGGAGAGACTTTTCGGTTTGTCGAATCCTCAAGGAAACCACGGCGAGTCGATCAAGGAGGCACATTTCCACCTGGACAATGTTCCCACTGTAAGCGCCCAAATCCCATCTTTCCATTCATCCGATCATATCTGACACTAGCATAGCACTCGTACATGAAATTCCTCTACAAATACCCTCAGCGTCGATTCCCGTACGACGACCTCATCAAGGAGAACGCCCGCCGCGGTAAGCTCGATAGGGAATACAACATTGTCGACACGGGCTGCTTCGACGACGACAGATACTGGGACATTTTCATTGAGACGGCGAAGGAGGCAGATGATGAAGAGGAGCTTTTGTTCCGGGTTACTGCCTACAATCGCGGTCCTGAGGCGGCACCGCTGCACGTTGTCCCTCACGTCTTTTTCAGGAACACCTGGGCGTGGGGACGTGAATCCCTGGACAAGAAGCCATCCATTCGCAAGATTGGAGATACCACCGCCGAGTCAAAACACTACAAGCTTGGCGACAGGTACTTTCAGCTATCGCCCTCTCCAGGAATCGGTGAAGGCAGCGATGACATTCAACCCCAGCTTCTCTTCACCGACAACGACACCAACATGCAAAAGCTTTGGGGAGTAGAGAACAAGGCAAAGTATGTGAAGGACGCTTTCCACCGTTACATTTGTGACGACGAAAAGACTGCCGTCAACCCAGAAAACACCGGAACCAAGGCAGCAGCTTGGTTCGCATTCGACGAAGGCGACGGAGTCCCTCCTGGAGAATGTGCCGTTGTCCGATTCAGGCTCTCACGCAGGAACGACGGCTACCTTGACGAAGAACTCTTTGATGACATTATCGAACAGAGGAGGATTGAGGCTGATGAATTCTACTACCGCATCAATCCTGTTCCGATGTCTGAGGATCTTCGCAACATCCAGCGACAGGCCTTTTCCGGAATGTTGTGGTGCAAGCAGTTCTACCACTTCATTTGGGAAGAATGGGCGAACGGCGACCCGGACATGCCACCACCTCCTCCCGGAAGGAAGAACATTCGCAACCAACATTGGAAGCACATGTACCTTGACGATATCCTGTCGTTACCTGACTCTTGGGAATATCCTTTCTTTGCCGCGTGGGATAGTGCCTTCCACTGCATTCCGCTGGCGATGATCGATCCCGACTTTGCAAAGAAGCAACTTGATCTGTTCACTCGCGAATGGTACATGCATCCCAATGGCCAGCTTCCTGCCTATGAATGGAATTTTGGCGACGTCAACCCTCCTGTTCATGCATGGGCAACCTTCAGAACATTCAAAATCGAGCGCAAGATGTATGGTCGCGAAGACTTGGATTTCCTGGAGCGGGTTTTCCAAAAGTTGCTCCTTAACTTCACCTGGTGGGTAAACAGGAAGGACTTCGAAGGCAAGAACGTTTTCGAAGGTGGGTTCTTGGGTCTGGACAACATTGGCCTCTTCAACCGCTCCGATCCTTTGCCGACTGGTGGTGTCCTTGAACAAGCCGACAGCACTGGCTGGATGGGATTCTACTGTCTCTGCATGCTTAACATCGCCCTGGAGCTGGCAAAGCATCGCCGGATCTATGAAGACATTGCTTCAAAATTCTTTGAACACTTCATACTCATCAGCGATGCCATGCAATATCGCTCCGGTGGCGAGGAAAAGTCCTTGTGGAACGACGACGATGGCTTCTACTACGATGCCATCTCTTGGGGCGGTCCTTGGAGCCAGCAGATGCCTGTCCGCTCTCTTGTTGGTCTCATCCCACTTTACGCAACTTTGACTCTTGAGCCAGAGGTCATCGATAAGTTCCCCTCTTTCAAGAAGAGAGTAAACTGGTTCATCGAGAACCGCCCTGAGATGGCGGATCGCAACCTCGCCAGTATGTCCCGGCGCGGCAAGGGCAACAGGATTCTGCTGTCCTTGGTCAGTGAGGATCGCTTGAAGAAGATCCTGCACAGGATGCTTGACGAAGATGAGTTCTTCGCTGACCACGGCATCCGCTCTTTGTCGAGATACCATAAGGACCACCCTTATTCCATGGATGTCAATGGCCAACGCTTCCAGGTTAGCTATGTTCCAGGTGATTCTGACAGTGGTCTGTTTGGAGGCAACAGCAACTGGCGTGGTCCTATCTGGATCGCCGTCAACTTCTTACTTGTTGAGTCCCTTCTCCGGTTCTACATGTTCTATGGAAACACCCTCAAGGTCGAGTGCCCTACTGGCTCGGGCGACGAGATGCACCTGGGTCACGTCGCAGAAGAGGTTCAACATCGCCTGCAGCACCTGTTCGCGCGTGGAGACGACGGCCGCCGTGCTATCAACGCAGGCAACGAAATGCTCGACTTCGATCCGAACTGGAAGGATTACATGTGGTTCCATGAGTTCTTCGATGGAGACACTGGTAGAGGCCTCGGCGCAAGCCATCAGTGTGGTTGGACCGGTCTGATTGCTAAGATGATCACCGACACTGGGTAAGTTTATGATCCTTGAAGGTTACATCGATGATTGCTAATTGCCACTTTAGTATTCGCTGCCGCCTGCCTCAAACTCCTCGTACTCCGTCCACTGCTGCGGCCCACTACTTTGACGACATCTTTATGAAGTACAAGCCTTCCAAGCCTGCATTCCGCCGCTCCTCAACCAGCCGTTCGATTGGCGTGCGCAGTGATTGGGGGGATAATGAAGGTGCTGAACATGCCGTCGAGGATGAGGACCCCGAGAAGCCCACCAGACCGTTCAAGCGGGTCAACTCAGTGGGTTACTTTGACGAAGAAGCGCTCGCGAAGAAGAAGCAGATCGACGAGCACGTTGCGCATTACGTCTCGGATCAGCTATCGCGCATGATGAGCAACGACTCTGCTGGCGAAGGTGTGCAAGACGAGCTCGAGGCTCAGCTGGACGGTGCGTGATCAGTCATACCAAGAGGGTACAGACAGGCGGCAACATGTCATTTTGCGTACAGCGGTTAATGGATGTTCGAAGACGGGGGTTCTGGCGACAGAGGCGCTGCGTTGTTTTTGCTGGACGGGCTCGAATTACCTAAAACCTAAGTTAGACGCTACTCAAATTCCTTTTTGCGTGTCACTTTTAAACGTGAACTATATTGAATTCGCACGTGTGTCGTGATGGCTGTGGTATTAGGAGTGGTAGCGTACTCTCAAGCTACAGCTACCCGGAGCATTCCTGTGACGTCGCAACCGAGCTTGTCGGACGACCGCCCGCCTGCCGCTAAGCTGTCGCGGGTCCCCATCGCGTTCACAACAAGCCACCATCTGCAAGCACCAATTCATTCCATTATCATGGTATGCACCTCAAACACCCACTCCAGACACTCTTCTGACATGTCCGCAGGCTCGTCCGCCCGCGCAAACGAAGAACAAAGGTACGAAAGCGCCAGGCGCGTCTCGCCGAACGACAGCCGCGTCGCAATCGACGCGCGTAAACAACAACAATGGCAACACCATGCCCAAGAAGCGCGGCAGGCCACGTAAGCAAAGGGACACAGACACAGCCGAAGGCCCTGAACGACCTACTGCATCGAGCTCACGACCAAAGCCTTCGCAAACCAAAGTAGAAACCGGCAAACAGGCGCGTAAGCGGACCTCGGCGGCGCAGGCGGAAGACGCAGAGGGAGATCAAAGCGGCGTACATACAGAGCTACCATCCAAGTCTTCAGGAAAAAAGAAGCGCAAATCACAACAAGATGTTCTAGACGAGGCTACACAGCGCAAGAAGCCCAAAATCGGCACTTTCGCCCGTCTAAAGCCACGCACGCGACACATTCCGCAAACGGTTATCACTTCGAAATGGAAAATGGCGTCACTCCCCACACAAGCCGCCATCAAGACCCTTTTGCACTCCGTCCAGCGTTCCGTCTTCGCGTCACGCGCGGACAATGCGCGGAGCCGCACCGAGGCCGAAATCACGCTTGCGAGCGTAATAAACAAACTTGAGAGGCAGTTGCCGCGCATGCCGTTCCCGCCGCGCACCAAAGAGGCGCTGTTCGATCTGAACAAGGTTGTCGAGAGGAATCGGGCGCTGGAAACAGAAGTCACGACAGGGATGCACGGAGCGGGATTGCTGAGAGAGGCGGTGGAGAGGGAGGAAGAGGGGCTAAGGAGGGATAGGGAGGCATTGAGAGTACTGGAAGAGAATGCCAGAACAAGCGAGCGGGAATACAGAAAGAGGGAGAAGAGGGTACATCCGTTGCTGAAGGACGGTGTGGGACATGGAGCGGCGGATGACATGCCGGACGACATCGATATGGTGATGGGATCAACGAAGACAGCGGAGGAGTTGGCGGGCATCGAGGTGGATGAAGAGGACGAGGACTTGGCCCCGCTGCTGGACCAGTTGAAGAATCACCTCGAGTCGATGCAGGCCAATATAGAGCAGGTCGAGGGCGTGGATGAGGCGATGGAGGGGGCATTTGCGGCGTTGGACGGAGTCTTGGGAAGGTACGCCACGAGGGAGCAATACGAAAGCTTGGAAGGGCGGTAAGTATGTAGGGGGTAGGGTACTCCGTAGAGGGTTGCTTGTTCCGCGTACAGTATGAGTTATGATACCCCTTTGTTATCGACCGGGACTCGTGGCAGGCATTAGATATAGGGAGAGGAGCAACCCCCTACCCGATAGTAAGCGTGAGGGCGGCGGATCTGCACTGGGGAGCACGTGAAGAGCGGCGGCACGGCGGGAGTGGAAGAGCGCGCTTGCCGCCGGGCCATTGCAGCTGAGACGAGGCGCTGGCGGGGTCCCACGGCAGGCGGACCCAATATCAGGCTTCCACGAGCGGCTGCACCTGGGTATATTGGCATATTGGCAGCGTGCAGCGGGCGGGCTCGGCTGTGGAGGATCGCAGGGGCAGGGCTGGCGCTGGAGCGGGCCCCGCGCTTGCGCCGAGCAATCGTCCGCGTGCTTAGTTTGAACTTCACCATGTCGCGACCCTTCGCCTCTGCACCGTCCTCGCTCACGAAACAGCCGCAGAGCCCCGGGCAACAAGGAGCTGCTCGATGTCGCCGGCATCTCCACATGTCCCTCCGCTTTGACGCGCCCATCCGTAAACGACCCGAATGCGCCAGCCTATGCGCGCTTCCGATCCGCAGTCCTCTGTCCCGAACCATAACCCCATTGGACCCGTCCGATGGTCCAGGCTACACAAGGAACCGCCGCAAAGCGATCTAATGGAGATCAGCCCCCGGTTATGACGACCCCCAAGGAATCCGAGAAGAAGGGCGACGAGCCCATCAAGGCCGGCGCACCGAGGCCCGAGAGCACGCCCAAAAGCGATGATGCGGCCAAGAAGGCGGTGCCCTCCAAGAAGCGGAGGAAGGTCAATCATGGTTAGGGACACGGCAGTCTGCAGCTTGACAGCGTTGCTAACGTCTTTGGCCGCCCCAGCATGCATCTACTGCAGACGTTCGGTGAGCCGCTACGATTCTTTGCGACTCCCGCGCCGCGCGCAAGCGTGGGCGCAGCTGAAAGGAGTGCACAGCATGCTGACAATCTGGCCCGGAACAGCATATGACCTGCGATCTCGTATGTGCGCCTTTTTCCCGTCCATTTCCCGCCCGCGACTGCGCGCTGATTGCTGCCGCCCTCTTGTGACTCTAGGAACGCCCTTGCACCAGGTGCATCAAGCGCAACATTGGGCACCTCTGCCACGATGAGCCCCGAGAACCCGTCAAACGGCAAAAGACGGACACGCCGAGCGTCATGGAGGATGAGAACTCGGCTCCCACGCGGGATTCGGAGAACTCGCTGGGGCGTGCCGCATCGCAAGATGCAGGGCTGGCCCTGGGGCCGCCTCCGCCGCCGCTGCCTCGCGGCCTCCCACAGCCGGCATCGGTCTCTGCGCCGCACGCTCAAAGCATTCCCGGCAACAATACATCGTGTACGTGGTACCTGATTTCTGCGCTCGAGGCTGCCGCTTGCTGACGCGCCGCAAAGCATTGAACTACAATGACTGGATTTTTGGTGCGCCGAGCAACTTTCAAGACATGCATGCGCTCAACCCTTCCTTCATGTTCAACGCGTCCGAGGCCTCAAACGAATACAGCATCTTCAACGACCTCAACATCCTTATGGACGACGGCGCCCTCTACAGCAGCGATGAAATGAACCAGCTCTTCTCGGACCCTTCCCTTACTAACACACCGGGCGTTCTCAGCCAGAGCAATGCCATTTTCCAGGGGAACCAGCCGAGTAACCAGCTCCTGCCTCCTTCGCAGGCTGCAGCCGCCAACACGATAACCCGACCGCCCAGCAGCTTCCCATTGGACAAAGCCCGAGAGGCTTATTACATGACGGCCGCTGATCCCGCAGGGACCGACACGCCCGAGGAACGCATGAACAAGCTGCTCAAGGCCAAATTTGACGCAGGTATGCTCAAGCCCTTCAACTACATCAAGGGTTACGCACGTCTATACCAATACATGGAGCAGCGGTTCCAACCCATATCGCGGCAGAAGATCCTGCGTTGCATGGATCGCTTTAGACCAAAGTTCCGCGAGCGTGTCCAGACATTGACGGATATTGAGCTTGTGCGGGTTGAGATGTGGTTTGAGCGATGCTTGATGGAGTACGACCGCGTATTCGCCAGCATGGCCATCCCGGCCTGTTGCTGGAGGAGAACGGGCGAGATTTTCCGTGGAAACAAGGAAATGGCGGAATTGGTACATGTGCCAATGGATAATCTGCGCGATGTTGGTCGCCATTTGATTTCGCATGAGCTCTGACAGTGAAACTAACGGCGTGCAGGGCACTCTATCACTACACCAGATCGTCGAAGAAAAATCGCTCGTCAACTATTGGGAAAAGTTTGGCGCCATCGCGTTCGACGCTTCGCAGAAGGCCATCCTGACCATGTGTTCGCTGAAGAATCCAAACCCAGACTCGAAAGATCCAGAAATCCGTTGCTGTTTCTCCTTTACCATTAGGAGAGACGCACACAACATGTGAGTAACACATGACTTGTGTTGCTGGCGGTGGAGTGCTAACATGTAACAGCCCGTCTTTAATTGTAGGAAACTTTCTACCAATCATTCGCGACGATTCGTAATCGCATACGCGGCAATTTGCACTCCTCTCTTCGATGCACATATTCACACTCTCACCTCCAATGTTAGTACATGGACAGCAAAACTTGGCTGAATCGGAGGCAGAATTGTTTTTGGCGACTCGGCTATTCAATATGCAGGCGTTTGTTCTTCCGGCGAGATTGTCATTCACAGCGGGGTGTTGAATGGCAGGGAAAAGGTCGTTTTGGATCCTGTTAGCCGACGCCGTTGAGCCGGCGTCAGCTTACCTTCGCGGGCAGACGGGATATCGCTACTTTACGATGGCGGTAGGGTGTGCATACGGCCGGTTGGATCTTTGTTGCGATTACCTGCTGTGTTTCGTGAGGTTGGTATTCTCTGAATGCTAGGTTCCTTTTCCCTTTCTCTTCAGGCCCTCGGGTTTTCGCGGCGAGTGGGGCCGATGTTGTTGGCGAGGATGTGAAGTACCTCCGGTAGGTATCGCGCTGGTTTTCGGACACAGTGAGGCTTATTCGCTGCAAGGTACGGCTATACGAATCGTCTTTCGTGAATCTCTCGCACCCTTGGTGTGGCGCGAAATACCGGGTCACGATCGAGAAGGCTATACGATATCAAGGCCACCGTTTTCTTGCAGCGTCGCTCCTTTACTAGAAATCCCGATTTGCGCCGTACCTTAAGCTTAAGGCGTTGGCTGTTGCCATACTTTTTTGTCTTACGATGCGGCGTCTGGATCGCAGACTGTTCGAGCTTCGCGCTTCGACGCGTCGAGAGGTCTCAAAACCTCCCTTATCTCACCCTCGATCTTCAACCTACGCAACACCCGCCTTCATGACCCACATCACATCAAAATGGCATCCAAGAACCGCCTTGTCGCCGAGAACGAGAAGAAGGTTACTGGGCTCATCGGCAAGCTCCCCTCTCCTTTCACTCTCACTCTTCCCTCCGTTGTTATCCCACCTACTCATCATCGCCGCGCGCTCTCACCCACCAACTAACCCTCCGCGCCATAGCCTTCGCCCAATCACTCGACAAGCGCGTCCAAAACGTCATCAATGCATCCAGCACACCGGACCCAGACCTTGCGCCTACGCTACAAACGCACATTGCAGCGCTACCACTGAAGCCATCGAGCGCACTTGCAGCCCGCGTCAAGACCCTCGACGCGCTCGGAACCGCGCTCTGGAACGCGGCAACGAGGGCACGGCGCACTGAGGCGGCTCCAGCAACCGCGCGCCCAGCGCTCGCTTTGCTACGTGTATTTGCGGCGCTGCTGCTCGACGCGGCGTGTGGGAGCAGTGGAAGCGGGGAGCACGAGGCAAGAGACTTGCGCGTAAGGGTGATGAGGGTCTCGTTGAAGGCGGCGAAGGCTTGCGTGGAGGAAGGGTTGTTGGAAACGTGTTTGCGCGTGCTGGAGAGGGCTGCGTTCTATGAGGAGGTGTTGGGGAGGGAGAGAGATCCGGATGTTGGGGAGGTGGTGGGGAGATTGCGCGCGGACTACTTTGCTTTAAGGATGACGCTGGTGAGTTCGTTTTGTTTCCTTGCCGGGGGAGAGGATGTGGGCGAGTTGGTGCTGACGGCGCGTGTCCCAGGCGTGGAAACAGTCGAAGCTTCACACCGCGGATCTTTTTTTCGGGAAGGTCGACCTCGATCCAGCACGCTTAGGGGCGGGCACGGCGGAGATGCTGACAGACACGTTCTATGAGATTGGCAAGGACATGCTGAACAAACACCGGCATGAAGATGCGGTCAAGTGGCTCGATCGGGCTTACAGCGTCATCGGGGAGCGAGACATGGAAGAGCTAGGGAACGATGCCGTGGAACTCCGGCAAAGCACTATGCATCACCTCATCCGAGCGTTGTTGAGGCAGGACGACCACGATGCAAAGGAAAAGGCCAAAGTACTGCTTGACCTTCTCGCGCTCGATCACGGAGACAAAATGGTTGTGTCACTACTGCAGCTGGAGCAACTCTCTGCGGAGCCGAAACCGGATCCTGGACAGTATTACGGCGCCGTCGAGCGGATGATGCGGTCAATACACCTTACCGAGACCAATTTCAAGACCATCATGCATCATGTCCACAAGCTCAAGAATCTGAGTCCTGAGCTGGCGGCTAAGGCTCTGGATAATTTCCTCGACCTACGATTATTCGAGAATAGGAACTCCGAATGGATTGAAAAGGTGACAGTAACACATGTCTGGGTCAGCATAGCAAACTGGGACGGTGACCAATCTCCTGAGCCACTCAGGGAGTTGCTCGACACAGTTCAACAAAATATGCACGGCGCATTTAGCGTGGCAGCAACTCATGCTGCACAAACACTGCTCTGGAAACGTATCGAATCAACGTACTCCCAAAGTCAGTTCAACGCGGCAGAGGCATGGTGTCGCCTGTCATTGCATCCATTGTTTGAGAAGGCTGGAGAGCTGAACAAGGCGAAGGTTGCTCGAAAGACGATTCTCTGTGCATTGGCTAGGCACGACTATGTCACAGCCCGAAAGGTATATTTCGATATGTCGGATGCGGGCAAAGCAGCACCAATGACGAGGTACTTAATGTACAAGGTGGCGCTTCGCCAGGACGATCCGGACTTGGCGTCGGAGTGTCTAGACGCCGTGTGCAAGCAGACCACCCAGGACGTTACGCTTCTCTACGCATGCGTAATGGAAGCACAGCAGGCGGGCAACAAGAGCCAAGCCGTGGTGGCACTGCAAAAGGTGCTTGAAAAGTACAACTATGCCGCACCGCAGGGCGTACATCTTCCGGCCCTGCTTCGCTGCATGGCACGGCTTTTGCTGGCCGAGCTCGGTACGGCAGACAACGTGAATGAAAACGTGGCGGAGGAACTGGTCAAGTTGTTTGAGGGCGCTGCGAGGCAGGCGAAGCTTCAGAAGCGCCGTACAAAGGAACAGTCTGCGCCGCTTTTCTCGGAGAAGGAGCTCGACTGGTTCTCCCGCAACAGTTACAATATCTCGCTCAAATACTGCGCTACACTTCATCCATCTCATCTTCTTCAGTTGTTGGAGGCATGCATCGCACTCATTTCCCTCTTCCAGGAAGCAACAACAGGAGACAATGAACAATCCACAGCAGCACTCCCAGCTCCATTAACCCACCGCCTTCTCCTTACTCACTACCTTGCAGCTTCGACTGCTCTCGTCCTCGCTCGATCCGCCGACTCAATTCCCGTCTCACATGGCGCCTACCACACTCTCTGCCATCATGCCGACGCCTTTTGCGAGCGACTCCCATCTTTCCTACGCACCAGCGATCTCGCCGAGCTCAGCGTTTCAGCCCGTGCTGATCTGCGCGCCAAGCGCGCCCAGCTGCTCCGCTATGGCCTTGAAGCTGCGCTCAAAGCCCGCGACTGGGATTCCATGGACCGGTTATTCGAAGATTGCTTTGCGTACGACACAGGGACCGGCGCGACAGACAGTGCCGCACACGTGCGCGACGAGGACGTCCCGCAGTTCCGTCACCATCTAGAGACGCTGGCTGACTTGGCACTGGTCATTCATGCGGAGATGGCCAAGGAAGGGCCGGGTTCTGCAAGTGCCAGCCCCACGCACAGGAAACGCGTTCTCAGCGTCTTGCAGAAGATCGTAAACGCAAGCTGGCAGCGGGGCGGGAGCGGCGTTGTCGGCGCAGACGTCGTCCGCCTGGCCCGCTGGATCAGGTGTCTTTTTCAGCTCTCGCTCGATACAGACGAGGAAACGGCGCTGCAGTGCATGGATCATGCCATTGAGGTTGCAGGATCCCCCAAGAAGGGCAGGGGCTCGGATAACGCTGCCATTGCGGCGACGGCGTACCCACGCGACGAGCTCGAGTGGCTGGCCACTACGGCATTCAATCGCGGCGTCGACGCGTTCTGTGCCGGAGATGATGCACGCTGTCGGATGTGGGCCGAGAGGGCCCTTGAAGTGGCGGCTAGAGTATCGGATGGGGGCGCGTTGCACAAGGTGTTAGAGGAGAAGTACTCGGGGTTAAGATGGGAGAGTTGATTGACTGATTGCTTAAGGTGGGGGTGGAGTTGCTGGAGTTGCTGGTCGATCTGGGGTCTCCTCACGGAATGTTGGGGCAGGATGACGCGTTACTTACCCTGTCGACTATCCAGGTGAAGAACTTGAGTGGATTTGAGAGGAGCGGCAGCGGCGCAGTGGGTGGAGGACCGTCATGGGCGGGGAGCATGTCCCGAAGAGGCTTGCTCGGCAGGTCGGGCGGTTGATGCCCCGCATGCCGAGTCATGACCGACGGACCCCGCCTCGCTCCTGCCCCGCCATAGACACAAGGAATGCATGATCGTGCCGTGGCTTTTTAGCCTGAATCGCTGCCTTCCTCTCATTTCTCCCGTCTTCTGTGAGCTAAGTACATTCAGCTTCTATACACCTTTTTCCCCTCAATTGTCTCTTTCCACACTTTATACACCTCTCACATAGCTTCACATTCACAATGGTCGTCGGCAAAGAGACTGTCACCCTGGCCTCTGGCCGCGAGATGCCGCTGGTCGGCTTTGGCCTGTGGAAGGTTCCCAAGGAGTCCGCAGCCGACACTGTCTACAACGTATGTAGTATGACGGGCCAATTGCGTCTTGAGGAGCATTTGCTGATCCGGACAGGCCATCAAAACCGGCTACAGGCTTTTTGACGGCGCCTATGACTACCAGAACGAGAAGGAAGCCGGCGAAGGCATTCAGCGGGCAATCAAGGAGGGCCTTGTCAAGCGCGAGGACATCTTCGTCACCACGAAGCTGTGGAACAACTACCATGCCAAGGAGCACGCGGTCAAGATGGCCAAGGCGCAGAACGAGGCATGGGGCCTTGGGTACATTGACCTGTTCCTGATCCATTTCCCGGTGGCGCTGGAGTTCATTGAGCCTGAGAAGCGGCGGTACCCGGTATGTTTCTGATATCATCATGATGGCGTCATGACTGGGGCGAAATTTTCTGACAAAGTACATAGGGCTGGTGGATGGACGAGCAGGGTACGATCAAGCCGGCCAAAGTGCCCATCCAAGAGACGTGGCAGAGTCTGGAGCAGCTGGTGGACGAGGGCGTCGCGCACAGCATCGGCGTGAGCAACTTCCAGGCGCAGCTGCTGTACGACTTGTTCACGTACGCGCGGCACCCGGTGTCGACGCTGCAAATCGAGCACCACCCGTATCTGGTGCAGTCGGAACTGGTGCAGCTCGCGCAGGAGAACAAGGTCGTCGTGACGGCGTACTCGAGCTTCGGACCGCAGAGCTTCCTCGAGCTGCCGTCTACATTTAACCGCCGCGCGACGGAGATCCCGCTGCTCTTTGATGCGGAGCCTGTCAAGAGCATTGCGGGTAAGCATGGCGTTACCCCTGCGCAGGTATTGCTGCGCTGGGCTACCCAGAGGAATATCGCTGTTATTCCAAAGTCGAACAGCCCGAACCGCTTGAAGCAGAACTTGGAGGTCTTGCAGTTCGACCTCGAGAAGAGCGAGCTGGATGTCATTTCGGCGTTGGACAAGGGCCTGCGCTTCAATGACCCGGGCTATTACCTGCCGAACTACCCGCTGAGGATCTTTGCTTAGACTGGTAGAGGGCGGCTGTCGTAGATGAGTAATGATGGTTATAAGGTATGATGCGATGCGGGCAGAGTGTAGCATAACCCGCAAGCAATGGTAGATCCTAAGCAGAAGCCTTGATTTTCCGATGACGATTTCTTTCAGTCAAGTATTCAATGCACAAACCCCGTCACTTCAAATTAACCTACAATCCACACCCGTCCAACCCGGAGCAAACCCCTTACTCATCACCCCCACCAACCTCACCCCAAACATCTCCCTCATCAACAACAACAACCTTAACGGCGCCACTCTTGGGATCCCCCACCGTCTCGACCGCCTCCTTAGCCCGCTCAAGCGGGAAAACATGCGACACAAGCACGTCCTCCAAGCCCGTCAGCACGCCGCCCTCGAGCGCCGCGATGCCCGCCGGCCACGTCCCATGGTACCGGTTCACGAACAAGAGCTGCGTTTCTGCCAAAGAGAGGTGCATGAACGGCATTGAGGGGAGATTCGTCTGGCCCACCCCGATTAGGGCGATGCGCCCGCCGCGGCGGACAGCGTAGGCGGAGGCGGCGATGGCGGGCGCTAGGCCTGTGCATTCGAGGATGGTGGGCGGCGCGTGGGCTTCGTGGGGGTCTGCTGCGTCTGCGTCTACGGCTGCAGCAGCTCTCCCCTCTGTCGCGAAATTTGCGGTAGCAGCGGCAGCAGCGCCACCACCGTTCTCGCCCTCCCTAAACAGCGCACGCACCCCGCGCGCGACATCACGAGGCTCCTCGTCCAGCCCAACGCGGTACGTCCGACACTGCGGGACAAGCTTCCTGGCAGCGGCCAGGCGCGCGTCGGACACGTCGGTGATGACAAGGGGGTGCGCGCCGGATGCGCGGGCGGCGGCTAGCGCGAGGAGGCCAATGGGACCGGCGCCCGAGATTAGGGCGCGTGTGCCGATGTGCAATGGGCACAGGCGCAGCGCGTGCAGGATCACGCTTAGGGGCTCGAGGAGGGAGGAGAGGGCGTGGGGGAGCGTGGGGGGGATCCTGTGTGCGTTAGCTGGTGCGTGTGATTGATGTCTGAGAAAGGAAGGAAGGGCAGGCAGTACTTATGCAGCCACTTGGCAGGATGCAGCATGAACCGTCTCATGGTCCCGTCGTGCGGCCACACGCCGGCAAAGCGCACCGCTTCGCAGAGGTTGTAGCGGCCGCCGGCGCAGAGGAAACAGGCGCCGCACGGGACGCCGGGCTCGATGGCTACGCGGTCGCCGGGGACAAGGTCGCGCACGCCGGCTCCGATTGCGAGGACGACGCCCGAGGCTTCATGCCCGAGGATGCTGGGGCTTTGTACCCGGAGACTGCCGATTGCGCCGGTGCGCCAGAAGTGGATGTCGGATCTGTGGGGGGCGGGGGGTTAGGGTGGGTGTGTGCAGCTTGTAGTTGTGGTGTGGTTGAAAGAGAGAGAGAGAGAGAGAGAGAGGACGACGCACCCGCATATCCCCGTCGCCTTGACATGCAGCAGCGCCTGCCCGGGGCCGGGATCCTCGATGGGCGCGTCGCCGGGCTCGAGCGTGTGCGCGGGCGTGACGCGCAGGGCGGGGTTGGCGTAGCGGGCTGCGAGCGTGGCGGCTGTGATGGGGGGCAGCATTGTGGTGGGAGTGGTGGGCGGTAGTGATAGAGAGAGAGGGAAAGAGGGAGAGAGGAAGGGGGAAAGAGATGTGAGAAGAAGAAGAAGAAGAAGAAGAAAAAGA